AATAAAAAAAATTTCTCTCTGATATTAAGGGGCATTTCCATCTTTGGCTTGAATTTTTTTATTTTCGTTGGCGTGTTAAACACTTTTCTGAAGTAGTATAGTTGTTTTCTTTTTAGTTGACAGAATCTATTTTCCCAGCTCGTTGGTTTAAGACGAAAAGAGGATTCAAAGTGAATAAAACTTAAGCATTTCGATCAGACCACTCAAGGTGTCTGTCATGTTGATGATACAAAGCAATGCCTGTGTCATGTTTTTCCATTCTTTCGCGCTCGATTTCGCACTACGAATAAACACCCTAACCCTCCGGCATGATTCGGTCATTCGACCGAGTGTTTTCGCTTCAACAAATAACGAACGAAATTATTCAACGGAAGGAATTTCATTTAGCTAATTTCATGATAATTTACTACGAATTTCATGAATATTTATATCTAAAAGCATTGTTGGAAAAATCGAATTTGTTGGGAATTTATTGATTCTTCTATTTTATTTTTTTGCTTTTTAAAATTCTGTAACTGTTTTTAATACAAAAAAAAATTTACACCTCTTTGATTCATTTTTTCTTTTTACATTTTAAATTCACTATAATTCAAGAAGTTATTTCTTTCTTTAAGAATATGGATTCACGAACGGACATGATAATTATTCAATTCTTCAAAAGATAGTGAAACGCAAAGATATTTCATTTTTTTTTATTCTTATAATAATTTTTTTTCCTTCATTATAATTACAGAAGAGTCTCCATAAAATGGTCAGCTTGGAACATGTTATAAAGGTTTTATGGAACACTAATATTAATCAACTCATTGAAAGCTTAAAGACTTGATGAATATATTTAATTAAAAGATATAATGAATTTAATATTTATATATTATTAATAGTCAATAATTTAATCATCAGTAAAATGTTTTTTCGAAAAGTGAACAGCTAGAAAAGTTGTAGATCTTTTTAATGTCCAATGTAAAGAATTGAATAGGAAACGTGTGTGCTGTTGAAATCGAGCAGAAAGATCACCCAAACAAAAAAGAATCAAAAATTCTGTCGTTCATTGATATATAGACCCTTATCGTGTGGAGTGAGTGTACAAGATGGGAAATAATTTTAAAGTTAAATTGAAAGGAAAATAAATAACCACAATGAAGACTGTTAGTTTGGCTCATTAATTATTGACAAAGAAATTTCCGATGTGCAAATAAAACGGAGACTGCGTTTAAGGGATAGAAAAGGGGTGTTAGTCAAATGAGGGTGGTTTCTTCATGATAAACCGTTACTTTCCACGCCAGAATATTTTACCCTTACTAAGCATGCAAAAGATATGGTCATCAGCTTATCGTTTGAAGGTCACTTTAATTTGTTTCTACCCTCTAGGAAGACATGGGATGATCATGGCCCTTCAAAAATTCTCTTTAAAAATTATCATCCTTCTTTTATGGTTAAAAAAGGGTTTCTTCATGGCCTTAAAAATTTATGAATTTTTTAATCTCTCCCCTGAGGCATAAACAAAATGTTAAGATATGCAAGAGGGTTGGAAGTAGATCTGTAAAGATCTCTCGATTTCTTATTCTTTATCGTAAAATTTTTATCTACAGTTCGTAATACAAAAAAAGGAAAAAAGTTCTCTGTGACTCTTCACCTCCCTCAATATTGCGCCATCACGAGTAAGGGTGTTATGAAAGATGGTGAAATATACAGGAGAAAAGTTATCGAGTTTAGTTAAGGGGGAGTAAGAAAGCAGCCAAGCACAAGCTATAAAGATGTCTCTGGAAAAATTCTTAAACCTCCCTATCCATATAACCAGTATAGCACTTGTTTTTTTTTTACCCTCTTGAAAATAAGTTTACTTTCGATCGCTTAACTTGCAAGATTATTATTAAGACAAAAGCTTCTTAAGTATATGTCATTACTGAAATTTCGGATGGGGTTGTTGTTTGCAATATCTGTCGTACGTGGGAGCCATTCAAGTAATATTTTTTTCAATTTTATTGATCAATAAATTGTTGTACATCAGAAATGAGAAAGTTAATTTTCTCTAGACATGATGTGATTGACTATTGAAAAAGTGATACCAGTGAACTAGAAGAAAGCATTTTAATTTATCCAGAGGAAAGAAATGATGACAAAGAAATTTTAAACGATCCCGAAATACTTGTAAGACAGTTGAAGACTATTTCTTAATCACAATTGTAAACCCAATGATTAAACATTCCTAAATTTAATAAGAGCTTTGACTCTTCTTTACTCTAATATTTGTAATTTTCTTCGTGATTGAGCATAAGTTTAATTGCTAACATTTAAGTACTTAACTGAGAAAAGTAGAAAATAATACAAAACTTTGTAAAATAATTTAAATTAGATATCCATGATCTTCTCACCCCTTCTCATAAATGTGATAGATGAGTAAGTCTTTATACTTTACTTCTAGTTTGCAAGTACGGACTTGAAGTTTTTTCTTTTCCACAAAAGCAGCATTTCTACAACTTTGATTGAGAGAGTTTGCTTAAAGACGAGAACGAGGGTTGAAGAAAGAGGGTGGAAAGGGTGGTTCGTAACTACTTTCTACGTCCGGCAGGATAGCATCACCTGCCTTCCATCTGCTTTTGGCCAATTAAAAGTTACCATACTTTGATTTATCGAGTGTGACTTTTGGTTGCTATAGTAAGAGGTACTACCCCTTCTCAAAAAGTATTTTTCAACCCCTTTGACGTATTAATTTTTTCTTTAAAATAATTGCAATATCTTGTAGTTAGTGGATTTAATTAAATATATTCTCTAATCGATTGAATGAATAAGCTGGCGATTTGTGTGCAAAAGCGTCACTTTTATCACGCTCAATCCCCTTATCATCATCCCCCTTTTTAGTCGCTTTTGCATTTTATAAAAAAATATTTGAATATTTATGATGTACATAGTCTCAATTGAATTCTAAAACAGCTTCTAGATTTTTTCGTATTTTTTTAAATGAGAGGTGAAGGAATACAAGGATCCTATGAAGGGGTTAAATTTTTTTCATCAACGAGTGAATTTTTTTTACAGGACATAAAAAGTAGACAAGCGTTTTTCCATCTGTTGTGTTTCCGTTTCCATTTCATGAATGTGACATGTACAAAAGCCTGTATATATAGATGGCTAAAGGGTTGATGGCAACGCCTGAGGGTGCGAAAATGGAGTTGTCCGGTGGTTTTAACCCTTTTATATTAATGATTGCGATTTCATACTATTTTCTCTCGATAACTCATCCCTAAATCCTTCTAAAAATATTGTCGAATATCCAAAATTAACGTGTTTTATTTACTTTTTACAAACTCCTTTTTTTACTTATCCTTTATTCCAATATCACTTACTCTGTTTAGAATTTTAAACACATTGACAAACTCAGCATTAATTGCTATGACTCACGACATGTCTCCATTACTCAGCTGAACACCCTTTGAAACCTATTTTTATTGGAGAAAAATGAAAACAGTTCTCGAATAAAGTCAACTATTCGTTGAATAACAATTTCTCATGATCTATGGTAACATTTGTTTTTCTTTGGATAACTTTGTAAAAGAGTTGATTCAAAAAAATTGATTTCACCGATCATCCGCACTTGTCACTTCCAATTATATTTTCATCGCAGCAATGATATTATAAGCAAAAAAGTAAAAGTATTAAAAAGAGAATATGAGAGGATGAAAGAGAGTTTTGAGTAAAAAGAGGATGAGTTAAGGTAATTGCATGAGATACAAGGGGATTTAAGGCGTCATATCAAATTATCCAGACCCTCTGTTGGCGAGATATAGATAGAGCAAGAAACATCTTATGGAATTTGTAATGAGGAAATTTTGAATTTTTTAAAGGCATAAAATAGGGTGAGGAAAATTATTTTTAATAAAAAGTTTAGAGTTTTTTAACATTTCTTACGAAGAACAAAAATGTGTTTGACTTTGGAAAGAGAATAAAATATTCATACTTTATAATTTATTGACATTAACTTGGTATTTATTTTTACGCAATTATGGATTTATAATCGATCGATAATATTTTTATTTTAAATGAATAAAATATTTTTTTAAATTGTGAATGCCATTTTTTAGAAAATTTTATATTGAAAACTTAACTGGCTAAATTAAAAATATAAATTGACATGTGATTTAAAAGCCACAAATGCCATGAGATAAATATTCTCAGTAAGTTAGGGTTGATTTTTACCCTCTTTGGTTTAGCTCCCTAAAATAAACATCCCCTAAGTCATTGAGAGAGATGTTAGACACAGTCATGTTCTGAGAGGGTCCTTCTTGGATTTTATTTTTGATCTCACTGACCCTTTACATGTCTCGACAGCCATGTAACCCTCAAACAGTAATCACAGATGAGCCTTAAGGTTTTTATAAATCTCTCGTGATGTTCATCGATAAAACAAGACGGGCAAAAACAAAAAGAAAAAAAAAGTTCTAATCGAATAAAGTAACTTAGTGGACAGTAAAAAAGAAAGAAAAAAATTCGGATATGGAAATTCCGAACGTCTAAAGTCTTTGGAAAAAAGGAAGTTGAAAGATGTAAGGAAGAGTTGAAAGGCCGTTGGACAACCTTCCGGTCTATTTTCCAATTTCGTTAAGACTTCTAGAAAAACGATCAATCTACGTTACTCGTCTAAAGTCTGATAACCAGTTCCAACCTTACATTGAAGACGAATGACCCAGAGAAAAATTAATTTTGTTGAAAATTAAATAAATCAATAATTATGCAGAATATTTTTTCATTATTTTTGTATATGACTTCTTACAATTGATAGAATATTCATATCAATAATTACTCTCAATTAACGTTTATAATTTCTTAATTAGTAAATTTCAGACTTCACACTCTATTCATTGAAAATTCAATTATCTCATCAATAAATGTTCATAATTAATTTATCCAAACTATAATTAACTCAAAAACTACGGCAAGTATAACATACAGAAAATGAAGTAATTACATAATGTAAAAAAAAGAGTAAAATGTTAAAAATTTATAATAAAGTTTATAAATGTTTGATGTGACAAAATAATTTTCGCTGGATATTGAGTTTTTATCTTTTATAGAACAGCTTTCATTACCATCAAATCTTTAAACACTTAGACACTTGAATAGGGCTGATCTCAAATGAATAGAAATGATGAACAGCTGATGGGTCAATGACCTGAGTGTAAATATGAGTCAAGTTCAAGATTTTAAAGAACAGTAGGAAAGTGTAGAGACAGCTTGAGTGAAAAAGCTCTACAGTTTATTTTTTTATGAAGAATAACAATTAGTTTAGAATTTTTTTCTCCATAAAACCAACTTGAAAAAATATTTTTGTGCTAAGTAAAATTGATTCAATTACTTTCAATGAATATCAAACAATATTGCAAGTTTTGATCTATTTATACTAAGCATCGACTCTAATTTGTCCTTCAAATTCAATCATCAATTTATTATGGGCAAGTTTTTCCACAGGTTGCATACCCAATTTAATAAGATTACATCTCACAGAATTTAAGTTAAACTTGTCTGGAGAACATGGCAACTTGTGTCTCGCATCAACTGCTGGGTCATTAATATTAAAACACTCTGATTCAATTTGTAACATTTTCACATCTGCTTGGAATTCATTCCTACATCCTGTGCAAGTAGAACGTTTGTTATCAGCCAGTGCATTTTTCAACTCAATAGAACCCAACTTAGAGCAATCGCATTCGGCAGTTTCACGATTAAACATATCTGGTGCTTTAGAGCCAGTATCAGTCAATTTAATAGTACATGGATTTCTAAAAGGATGAAATTTATTCAATGGATGTTCAATATATTGATTACCATAATCATCAGTTCCAAATACACAAGTAAACCGATCATATATTGATTCATTTTTATCATATAGAGACACGGTTTTTGGGTCAACTGGTTGGCCTGTCCTATTGTCAATTAATTTATTGTTACGATTATAATATTGATAATTATTACAAGCGATGACTTTATCACCAGTTGGACCTCCAAATAATTCAGGAAATTTTGAACGACAAACAATATCCCCACTAGCAGTTATTACAGCATAAGTAGTTCTTAAATTACATTGAAGTCTATCAGCAACACACCAAATACCTGGGTTTAACCTAGTATTATTCATATAAACCTCCTGCTTTTCTATATCAGTGATAACCAAAGCTCTTGCTGAGCCTGATTTACAAACTTTTTGACACTGGCTGTCATATGAATGGTTATTAGTATCAATATCAGCTTCTGTTAAATTGTCCGGTACGTCTCGTAAAAACAATGCATTTGTAGAAGTACATTTTGTTAAATTACTGTCATGATGATTATTCACAAATAAATTAATGTTTGGTAAATTATCCATCAACTGTCCATTCATTAATTGTGCTAATTGTTTATTTTTCACTCTTTCTTGCAAGTCATTATAATACTCATAATATTCTGATGTAGACATTCTTAATGCACTGCAATACAGTATTATAAATATACCAAATACAAAAATTATTTTAATAATGTACATTGGTGCTTATACTCGCTACGTGATATTTCATTAAAATTGGAACTAAATATTTTTATAGCGGCTAATATAAGTAATATTAAAGGCATTTTATGTTTGACGTTTGTGTGTATATGTTTGTGATAAAATGAGTACGGTCAAAAATTGAACAGTTCAATATATTGGACACTACTAAGCAAACCTCTCGACTCGAAAGCCCTTCACAATCCCTCTAATTTCTATCACTGTTGATCCACGCCGACTATTGATTATTGATAATTTAATCACATGCAATAATAAATCATGAGAACCTCATTATGATCACGAGAGAGCTATTAGCAAACTGCAGAGTTCACTTATCAATCGACTAATTAATAAATTAATTACCTAATAAAATTCAATGTAGTGAAGACAATTAGTTATTAATTATTATCATTACTCATTATTTTTCCTTTTAATTTTTAATTAATTATATATCCAAATACCACCTACTCTCTCTTTAGGCGTATAAATAGTAAATATGGCAATTAATCTAAATAATGAGAATGTTTTGGATTATTTAAATATGGTTTTTAAGTCAATTTTATTATTTAGAACAACAAAATTCTAACTGATTAAAGCACTAAATAGTTATTCATGAATTACGTAAAATAGCAAAATATTAATAGAGATTTCTAGAATTATTCTGATTATACTAGAATAATAATAATTTGAATTAAAACTTTAAAGGGTACAAACTGAATAATATTTAGATGAGTTCTTGAATGATTCTGGTTAAAATTGCTAACTGTTATCAGTTAATGATCTTGAAATAGCTTTAATGATGATCATTAAATATAATTGAGGGTCATCTTGATTGAATAGCTGTTCAGTAAAATAAACTGCATCGAAATAGGTATATTGATTTGATAGTTATAATGCTAAAGATAAACACCTATACAAATTAAAAGCTTCAAATTTATTGAAACATTACGTCTTGCTTACTGTTAAAATTACGTGAGCTCTTATAGAGTCTGATAACAATGCCAATAGAAAGCCACTACTAATAAAAAATATTTGAAAATCAAAAGATGAAATATAATATTCATATCATCCCTTGGGCTTAGAATTCTAACCTTCATGGATCTTGCTATTATTGGTTGCGTTATTGAATCCATCGGGAAACCACTCTATTGTAAATTGATAGTTTGATGCAGAAAGAGGAGAAATGGATCTAAGAAAGAGAGTAAAAATCGACATCTAGACAAAGATAAAATGTATAGTGAGATAGAGAGAGGAAAAATAGATGTGGGCTTCGGAAAAGGGGTAGCACTGTATAAGACGTGGTAAAAGTGAACTCTGAGTATTTGTTGAGGTCGCTAGTCTTGACAAACCCGTACTAAAAGTCTCTATATATTGGATACGTGGCTCACATTTCGATATTACTATATCCACATCGCTAGTCCTTTTATACTTCCTTCGTTATTTTATTCTTTTTTTCTTGAAAGAAAAAACGCGTACATACGTGTATTAGATACTGAGAACGAAGATATTTAATGAAAAAAACAAAAAAAATGAAGAAATTACAACTATAGTATGGACTGAATGAACACTTTTTCAAATTTATCTTTTTATTCATCTTCTGTTGATTTGTCATTTTTGCTGTTAATTTTTATAAAAGCAAGAAGTAAATGAAAATAAAAACAAAAAATTTGCAGTAACTGAAGTGGCCTTTGAATTTTCTTTTTCTTATTTCATTGAAAAAAAAAAAAAATCATTCAATCTTTTTTTATTTTGTCTTTTGAATTTTTTTACTCTCTTTTCTATCCTCTTGAGAGCTACCGACGTTTTCGTTACAGAAGACGTGGCAAGGACTTGATAAAAGACGAAAGAAAGTCCTTTGCCACCAGCTTCACCTCAATTCGAGCGAATGAAACAGACGAGGTAAAATTGGATGGTTTTACGATCTATTTGAAATACTCAATGAAATCTGAGTACAATTGATTTACGAGTTTTACCTTCAATATTCCTTCTGAAATAAAAAAATTTTCAATTCTATAGATTTTAAAAATTTTATCCTAAAAGATAAGAATTTTTATATATGATTCTGTACCTTAGACATAAAATTTAATTTCAAAAAATATGGCTTTGGTACTTGACTGCTACAGGAAAAATGTCAAATGTATTATTTATATTTTTACAATTTTCTATATTTATAAAAATTTTCAAACCACCTGTAAATGTTTCTTTTTTCTTGTTGGATAACTTAACTCTCTTAATTAAAAAACTGCAACAAAATTTATTTTAGCTTATATTTTTTTTAAAAAATTTTTTAATCATTTTTAATAATTTATTTTTTAAAAAATTACCCGATTGTTAACGTGTTTTTTTTCTTAATTATATATAAAAACAAATTATTTTTTTAATCATACAAATCGTAGTTCTAAAAAAAGAATTACTTGTTTTGATATCATATGAATACAATTCACACAATAAATGTTTTTCAATTGTGATGAAAAAAAAAAGTTATCAGAATACATATTCATCATTCTACTGCTGTTGTTGCAATATGATTTAACAAATTATTCTTTTCATTTACTCTATAGCTTAAGTCATTTATTTTTCAGAATACTATAGGAAAATAAATTTTTTACACTTCTATACTCTTCTCTTTATAATTTTCCACCCCCTTCAACATTCACTTTTCTTTTACGTTGCCCTATTTATTCGTTTTTTTTGCCCGATGCATTAAGCGTGTTCACCCTGTACTTTTACTCCATTTTTATTTTTTTCTCTCCCCTTTCTCCTACCTCACATCTTCTTTCTTTTATGATTATTTTTTTATTATTATTTCACCCAACGTCATTGCACCACATTTTTCCTCCCTTGGTCTCCAACTGAGCCCGATGTATCACTGGATTATACAATCCACTTTTTTATCCATCTTGTTTCTTTCCTTTCATCATTCCCTACATTACTTTCTTTGCAACCTAACACCTAATGTATCAGATACCCAACAACCAACAAAATAAATAAAAACATATCAACACCCATTTTTTTAGAAATAGATTTTAACTATTTGTTTATTTTTTTATAATTTTTTCAAAATTACATCTATCAAATGGTCTGATCTGATTCTTATAAAATAATTTTCTTTTATGTTACAGTTTTATAATCTGCTAGAGCATAACATGGTGGCAAACTTCACACTTATGTCTCGGCATGTGACAGTCTTTGCTCCAACGAATCGAGCATTCCAAGATAGTGATCGAAAGATTAAGGATTCTTATGTTCTTTATCATATTGGTGAGTAGAATATTTTATTTAACCAGTTTAGAAATGATGAAACTTAAATAAATGCTATATGTAAAACTCATTATGAATTTATGATACATCTGCTTTAAGTATTAAATGCAGAATTCTCAATTATTCATGAAGGAGTATTTAATGTACTGTCGAATTAAATCGTATATTTATTGATGAATGCCTTTCAAAACTTTTTTATTAATTTTGGTATCAACAACAATTACTGAATCTTTAAATAAGAATTAATTTAAATTTACAACTCTAATGGGTTTTAAATATTTCCTGAAATAATGATTTAAAAACTGAAAAAAGAAACACTCCAACTATATTCAGTGCTAACGACTATCGAATAAATTACAAGTAGAAGCCACTTTATCCAGGCCAGGAAGCCCAGGAAATGTGCTTATGGCACATCTAATTGGCATTGGATCTATTATTCAGAACTTTTGGGTTTTCTTTATTCTTCTTATTATTTATATTTATATCTATTATAACTCCATTAGTATTATAAATACACATACATCGTTGATAACTTCATTCAAAATTAACGATTACATTTTACAGTCGAAGTTATTTCACTTCTTGAATATTTGAATAATTCATCTGAAATGTCATCAGAAATCAAGCTATTTTACTTTTTATTCAATCAATATACATATATTTCTTTATTTTTGTCATTCTAGAATATAAAATATAGTTTAACTATTTAGAAAATTATTATGATTAAAAATATAATTGGTGGAGGTATTTTTGTTAAAAATAAATACAATCTAAAATTAATCTTGAAGTCTGTTAATATTTAATGAAATAGAATTATAAAAATCAGATTATTCCTTCAAAAGCACAAGAACTCCCAATAGTGAATAAATTAAGGTTGATAATTATTTTCAAACACAATTTCCGTAATAACATTAGTTTGTAACTAAACCAAAGTATAACCAATATAATAGCTACACAAACGCCATACTCACGTATTTTCATCAGATGCACATGACACAACGTTGCAAAAATGAAACTATCATTTTCACAGAAACACTGATGAAGTTGACTGAAAGTATTGATCAAAGACATGAAAATAACTTGGAGTTTGAGATTGAAATTGAATATTATATTTAACTATATTTAGTAAGTAACATGCAAGTATATGTTAGTTATAGTTGATAGGAAGTTTTGAACTAGACAACAACGTGGTCTATCAAGAATTCACAAATATTAACATCATAGAAGATAGAAACCGTCAGCTTCAGAGTGTGACTAACCACGTATTCAATAGTTGAGCTCGTTGTTAATGTTCTTTTTGTTTTCATCTTTTTTATTCACGAGTTTAACATCTCGTTTAATATTCTACTCAAACATTCAAACATGATCTTGAATAATCATGATGGCAGCAATCAATCGATAAAAAAAGAATATTCCTCGAGGTCATTGAAATTACTCTTTGAATTTGGCAAACTATCAGATCAGAGGGAGCAAGGGGTTTTGGCAAACCCTATATACCACCAATCGATTAGATTCTTCCGCAAGTTGGAACCTTGATGACCATTGCCAGAAACCAATAGGGACGATTTTAGTTAAATTGGTTTTTGCTAATTTACCTCTTGATTGCAATCAGAAAGAGCAGATGAAGAATTTATCACTTTTGCTAGATTTTTTCCATTTATTTAAATAATAAATTGCTGGTTCAATGATTTATTTAACTGGAAATCATTAAAAAGAGACTTGGAAAAATTTTATATTATATTATATTTTTTTCATTATTAATATCACATTATTTGCTATTATTAATCTACTTTACTATTCATTATCTATAAGTATACTTTACGAAAAGCAATAATAATTATTGCTTTATTCTCAACAATTTATCTCCTCAAACCATGCATTATAATACCTCAAAAGACTTAAAACAAGAATACTTAACCGCTTATTAAAATCAAAATTATTAATTACAATATACCAAAGCTGTTACATATAAGGTATCATAGCCAATATAACTATTAGTCAAGATCAATACTCTAGTTGAAGTACACGCAAACCTGAGGTTTCCGGAAATTGACCGCCAATATTCTAGATACAGAAGGTGAACTTGATTGTTGAGAGGTTTCAACAGCGAAGCCGAGCAGATAAATCTTTATCCATACTATATATAATATTTTCATAATAAGCAATTATACTTGATTCTTTAAAAATAACTAAACCAATTATTTATGACTATATAAATATGAAGAATGGTTTTATTCAATTTAAGTAAATTCTTATCATCGTTGTCTTTACCTCTTGAGCTTTCAAGTCCGGTTTTAGAGCAATTTTGTATATCGCCAGTGAAAACTTTCACAATTAGTCTGGAAACTTTCATAATTTTGAGGCTTAAGCACCGTTGTTTTGCGGAGGAATTGAAGAGGATGAGCATCCAGAACCACCTTTATAGCGGCTTCAATTTATCATTTGGAATATTTTGTTAGGGTTTTGGAACTCATTACTCAATAGATGCTTTTTCTAAAGATAGAAAAATTTCTCTCAGTTTCTAAGAAAGACAACAACCTTAACATTTTGAAGTTCTTGTGTACAATTAAAAGTTAAAAAAAATATTCAAAACTAAACAATTAGAGTGTTTTAAAATAAACTTAGGATAAATTAAAAAAAAAATTTTTCTAACATCATAAAAGTTATCTTTTTCTACTTTTTTATGAAGCAAAATCTCTTTAACAAGTTATCACATAAAACATAGACTTTCATTAACAATTGATTTTCAGAATTATCAAGTCCATCTAAAGCTTCCAAAGACTATCATTTTTTATCTTTCTTTTTCTGATACCCAGAGGTTACTTTTTTAACTGTCCAAGATGTTTTTAGCAGATGTTCTACAAAAGAGTAGTCCATTTCTAACATTATCTAGAGAAATTGAATTCTTTTCTAGCATTTTCATTCAGAATTGTGTTAAAGAAATGCCTTTTTTGGTGTGTAAAACATCTAGGGAATTTTTTCCCTATGAGGTTTCAGGTGACGACAGTAAAATTGACGCGCCAACTGTACACTGAGATTGATTTCCACGTCGTCTGTCTAAAGGAAAAGGACTCGTTCTAAAAGACATCAGAGACAAAGAGGTATAACGAAAAAAGGTCCTTAAGATCTCATGGGAAATGTTCCGAATATTTCTTGTCTATTTTCAGTGGTAATCACGACGACAGATAAAATTCAGTGAAAACTTTTGCTCTTGTTTTACATTTCAAATGTTCATTCATGTCATTTTTAACAAGATAAAAGATCATCCGATTTCAAATACAAAAAAAAATCATATTCTTTTTTTTTAATTTTACATTACATTATTTCCAATTAATTATTAAATAAGTTAAGTATAAAAAAAAATATAAATAAAAACAAAGTATAATCAGCTTAAAATATTTTATAGCATTTTTATTATAATTAAAAATTAGTCAAATTTACTGAACAAAGCTTTTTACGAAAATAAAAAATAATCTTTACAACTACAAGCTAACATTTTCTATCAGGAGTGAGACTTTAATAAATCATTATATTATGTCAGGTACAATGAATATTAATTTTTTCAAATCTGAACTAAACTCGATTTATCGAGTAAGTGGAATGTAAAACCTCTAATGACAGATAAAAATGAAACTTTATGACTTTCATAAGTTGTTTCTAAAGATTACAATGATCAATTTTTGCTAGTTTATTACTGTCCAGAATCTCTCCATATCGTTGATAGTTCGGTAATTTAATGCTGCAGCTGGTGTTAGTAGCACTACGTGACATGGATGAAGTATAATACGCAAGGGAGATTCTAAATCTACTGAAAAGGACAGCAGATATGCATTGAAACCTCAGCAAAGTTATAATGACGGTAACCTAGAACATTTGACTTGTCTCATACAAATTTGCTTCTAACTTTGGTCAACTATTTTCTACCGGAAACGATTTAATACGTCTCAAAGCATTTCTCATTTCATTGGTATCGAAAATTATCAATCAGACTAATAACGTTGGTGATCGAGTTGAATATTCACTATGACACTTCAGGTCACTACTCGATGAGATTCAATCAATGCATAATCGCTTCAAAGGATCTTCAACCGTCCATGTGATATGTCTTGGAGACAAGTGAGGGCAATTCCAAAGCCGGAATAGAGTTGTCTCATCTTAGAGAGATGTGGTATAAATCCCGTGGGTCTTTGACCTTATTCTCAGTTGGTGTATCCTGAACTCTCCAATGTTGGACTTCGGACATGATCCACACACAAGTTCTACAATGTGTAGCGTGTCTCCATCGTCCCCTATGGAACACCAAACTTATCTCCAAAACCACCACAACCGCGGTATCTCGCGAGAAAATTAATCTCGAGAGCACGAGGTTGAATTCCTACCTGATTCTCTAGATTCTGTGATAGCAACAATTAATTGGATCCATTCAGAAGATTATTCCCAAGTTTTATAATTGTTTTGGTAAAAATTTTATTTTTTATTATCTCTTCTAGTTCGATTCACATACTTTTCGTTAATTTAAATTATTTGTATTGTTCAAATTAAAAAATTTATTTCAATGACTATAAATCAACTCTTTTCCTATTAATTTTTACACATCAAAAAATAATTATACTTCATTAAGTTTAATATTTAATGACAGATATTCATCCAAATTATCAGTTGCTGAATTAATATAATTCTCACTAGTAATTATCAGCTTTCATAAAATCCATAATAATTGTATATACTCTGGCCTACCTACTTTCAACAAAACATGAAAATTTCATTGGTTATCATCAAAATTAAACGACCACCTCGTCGAACAATCAATAATTACACTCGCTGTAGGATGATAGATAAATTGAAGAACATTTGTTTGATATCATTGCCTCCTTCCCTCCATACATGTATAAACAAGCACAGTATGAGTACACCCATGATGCATATATCACCATAATTCAATAAATAATTAAACACTTGTATTCACTAACAAATTTATTAAAGATTTTATGACTACGTTAATATTGTCCCAATTTCAATAATGTATAGTCTGAATTAAAAGCCATAGACGAGTAAACTCAGTTAATTGAGAATCATCAAATATAATTGTTTTGAGAGTATTGTAATGAAAAAATTTAATATATATGTAATGTAAAAACAATTTTATTTTCTTAAAAAAAAAGTATATCATTTTATTTGAAGAAAACAAGAGTACAAGAATCTGGCTAATTTCCAAGGTGAATTCCATTGGTCCCATTAACTGAGAAAGAATTTTAAGAATTAGAACTTGAGATTCTCTTATGCTGGATCCAATTAACCCTCTCATTATCCATTCATTAGCACTCTCCAATGTCGAAGAAGCATAAAATCAGCATTAAATTGACTCTCATAATTTTTCTTACTTTCATTTACTTACTTTATCTTTTACCTATTCTCTACGATTCTCGTGTCTTTCCTTACTTCTCTCCGATAACTAAGTAACCAGTCTTTTTCCAAGAATTTAAACAAAACCAAAAGGATTAATAAATAAAGGAAAGAAGAAAACTTCCAGGATATGATTCTTACCACCGGAAAAGTTGGACTTAGTATTCTTACCAGTCCGTCGTCTACTTCATGGAGATTTTCATTGGCCAATCATCAATATGCATCACAAGCATTAAATTATTCGTTAGTACACGTGCTGGCATTTTCTATCCTTTCTTTTTCTCGAATTTTACTGTTCCATTGAGTTTTTTTGTAAATTAAGAGTAAAAAGAGAAGAAAAAAAATTTGAAAATAGAGAAACCAGAAGCGGAAATGAAAGAAAGAGGATTGAAAAATATGCAACTATGTGGTAAGAGAGGGGTTACTTTAGAGGATGATTGAATCAAATTTTAGACTCGGAAATCATATGGAGAATTCGCCAGAGGCATTCAGAATATTGGGAACTAAAATGCCGTATTTCTACGCTTATAATCGATTCCACCCTTTCGTGAAAGCTGTCGCTTGTTCCAGTTCTTAACTATCACTTCTTTTTTATTCAGATGTTGAAAATATATTCGGCAGACTTTTAAAATTTCTAAAAATAAAATTAGCGTTGATTCATAGAAGAATAAACTTTATCAGAGAACTATTATCAATAGTGAATTCACTGAAGGAAAATATTGATTGTAGCAAATCAAATTCTCTTGTAGTTTGTATCGAAGTAATCATCATCTAATATTATTGCATACGTGAATATTTCGTTAATTTTATAGTTATAGTATTATAGAAAATTTAATGATTTATGGTAATGATCCCCTAAGATATTATAATTTGAGTTTATGTCGACGCCTTATCGCTCGTTAAAGCTCACAAGGGAGCATAGAATATTCGACTCTAGTGTCTAAGACGTTCATGAATTAATTAGATGTTTTAGAAGTAAACCTTTGAGAGAAGATGGCAGAGGATGTATTAAAGTTAATCCTATATCATAATGTTCTTTACTTATTTAAGTTTTTTTTAAGTAATAAATTGAATTATCTTATTTAAACGCATATACTTCTTTCAGTGTAACTTAGTCTTTTGTTTACAAAAAAAACAGCTATATAAATTTTTATGAGTAATTATATTATTTAATCATCATAAAATCTAGCTTCTACTAATTTACAGGATAAGAATAATTGATCACCCATGTTTTTAAATAAAAATTTATTCAAGAAATTAATGTAATTTTAATGCTCTTTTATAAACCAGTTGAATGTAATTATAGATCAATTAAGCTCCGAGAAATTTTTCATAAAATGTAATTTATTATTAGATTTTATTAAACTTAAAATAGTTCAAAAATTTATTATAAAAATATTTCTAAAAAATATATACAGTTTATTAATTAAATAAAAATACTCGACAGGAGCTTTTTTAATAAATAATACTTCGCGATCTAACAAACTCATTTCCATAAAAAAATATATTCAGTCATAATTCACTTGAAGAACTCATAAAAAGTATACGCTGCTATTGCAATAACAAAAAATAATCGTTAAATTTTAAGTAAGTCGTTTGACATGATCTGTTTTTTTTCTTGACGATTTAATAAATCCTAAACGTTGTAATTCTGCAACAGCTCTAGTAAAACGAGCCCTAATATCAATGATTAAGGAAAATATATTAAAACACTATAATAATAGTCCTAAATTTTGTTTCAATTATTTAATCACAATAAAAAAGGATACTGTATTTCAGGATCAACTTCCGTCTGTTCTGACTCATTATTAGGATCTACAACCATCAAAAATGCCTGAAAAAAAAAGAAATTCATCAACTGAATTTAATTAAATAAATCCTAATAGAATATTTTATAACTAAATGTACAAACACGTTTTACTTTAATAAGCAATGATGTTTAACCATCCACGATATCATCTAGCTTATTTTAGATTCTTTGAAGAAAAGTACATTAGGAATAGTGTATGAATATATGTCGACAGATAAGAATGCAAACACAAAATCGTTTTGCAAAGCTCGCACGGGTGTCTCCTAACGACTGACAGCAAAGCTGCATGAATATGAATTAAGCTTCGTCGATTAATATCACGTCAGTTAAGCTAGATGCATATATAAATATTTTATCTGTAGCTTTACTTCAAAGCCATCATTGAGATTTAAATACCGAAATTTTGGTCAAAGCTCATGAAGAATTGAGCCTGATAAATCATGAGTAACGTTTACGGAAGAACGATAAATTTAGAGAGGAAACTGTTTAAATATTTCTATTTGATAAATTTGAATAGTATATGGCGAAACATAATATTAACTTCAACGTAAATACAGAAGATTATTATAATTACTCAACTGTTGATGCGATTATTATATTATATTATTTTATAACGTGACAGGTTTTATTTAATTTAGCTTACTATTTAGATAAAATAAATTTAATATTATTTAAATAAAAAATATCAATTATTTAAGTTGTTTTTAGAAAATTAAATGTCTCAGTAAATCTATAATGTTCATTTAAAAACAAAACTATGTGATTTCATCTTAGTTCTATAGCGTTCACGAATACTATAAAAATTATCTTTAGATAGAAAAAGCATCAAATAATAATTGGAGTATGAATTCTTTTTTTGCTGCGAAAAATAATGAAACTAGTATAAACAAGAGCTAGCTTCACTTCGTTATAAAAATTTTAAAGCATTGTTTCCAACTGAAGTCCCACTTCTCAACAATTATTAAATCTATTAATAAATATGAATTTTTACCTGAAGCCAGTCATACATGTTGATAAGTTTTCTTGACTCTAAATGCAATTTGTAGACTATACTCAGGTCAGGTAATGTAGGTTGAATTGTTTGATCGTTCTCCAAGTTACAACAATTACACTGTCAATCAAAATTATAAGTTATGTCATATTCATTTTAACTCTATCAAGCTTTAAGACATTTGCAATTCATTGGCCAGTAAATAGGCAGTTGCATGCGTATTATTTTGATATACTCAAATTTCATGCATCTCGTTTCGGGTTTTAAAACTTTCTACCACCTGTTCATTTTCCTCAAATATTTGAAAGTCTAAATAGCCTAAGTTAAATGAGAGTTAAACTCCGCTTGTTGATTTGCCGCTTTCATCACATAGAATATCAAAATATAGTGATGTTGCATATTATTTTTACTTACATTTAAATAAATTTTAGGATTATTTAATCCCGTGTGAATAGCGGCTCGGTGAGATCCACGTAAATGTTGTTTCCCTGCATATGCATCACTAAAACAAAATATCTCACTAGCCGGTAGACGATTGGGATTTTTTAAAAATACTGGAAAAACTTTATCATTTAGATAATTGATTAAATCTAATTGAGCTTGTTTAAATGGTGATCTAGATTGTTGTTGTGAATTTTGAAATAATTTCTATAAAAAAAAAATTCAATATCATATAAGTTTAACATTAATAATAAGCATGAAAGAAAATATTGCATACATTCTGAAATTGAAGTCTATCAAGTTCAACATGTGGAGTAAAAACTTTGTTCGTTGATGCCTCAAATTTTCCTGTACTAGCATTTTCAATAATATTCAAATGATCTCCCAAACTAGCTAATAAATCTTTTAAAGAAACATTTTCCGATTGACGAATTATACTGATGATAGTTTGCAGTTTAATAATTAATTCTTCTTTCGACATGAAATTTAATAGCTGCATTGATTTTTTGTACTCTGGTGTCTCCGGTAAATCACAAATTACTGCATTAGCATAAACTTCGCGGAGCTGAAAGTGACTTTATTTAGATTGATAAAATGAATGAATCATTTTTAGATGGATTATAAAATACCTGTTTCCCCAAAGGAGCACCGGGTAATGAAGTAGTCAGAGAATGTAAGCACTTGAGAATTACAAAAAAAGATCCAATATAATCGTGAAATTGATGTAAAATATCTGAATAAAAACTCATTGCCTTTTCACTTATATTCGAGTCTATGTTTTGTTTAGATTTTTCAAGGTATTTAATAACTGATGGCAGCTCTGAAAGTTCTTTAAAATCTTCAGCAGATAATTCCTTCAAACGTTCCTTTATTTTTGAACGATCACAACAAAGTGACGTTAAGTTATTTTCAAAGAAATGTTGAAACATACAAAGCTAAAAGAATAATTTTTTTTTTATAAATGAAATAAAAAAAAAGTAGGATAATTAATTTCAAAGTTGTTAAATAAAGAAATAATAGTACTTTATATCCTTGAATGAATCCATTAACGGAAAAATCGTAAAATAAAAAAATATCTGTAAGCAATTGAAACGCTTTTCCTGTTAACATAAAAGGTGATTTTCCAGACAACACTGTTCCCTCTAGTACATCAGATAAACTTTTTACTTGCTTTTGAGTGTGAAAAACCTAAAAAATGTATAAAAATAGAAGGAACACGTGAATAATAAATTTATGACAAACAAATAAAAATTATGAAAAAACAAGATAAATCAAAAGACTTGAAAAATTTTATAAAGTTTTTTCTCTATTTGAATATTCCAATTAAGAAGCTAATTTCTTACTTTCTCAGCGCTTTTAAATTCTACTTGTTCTCTGTTATTTGTTTTTCTCTATTTTTCTCTTTAAAAAATTAGCAATTCATAAAATTAGCATGTTCTTTGCAATCTTTATACTGAACAACTTTGTCATGTCATTTTATTTTTATCGTTCTTACTACGTGTTTACTCGTCATAATTTATTTCACATTTTTATACTTTTTCTTCGTTACTTCATGTTTATCTTTATATTTTTGGTTCAAAATTTATGGTAATTTATTTAACTTACTTGAACTCTAAGTTTTGATGTTACGTCATAAGATAGAGATCTGTGAACTGCATGAAGAGTCGTTGCAACCCCGAAAACTAACACGAATTTTATTACTCTTGAGTAGGAGCTAAAAAGGAAAACTTTTAATTTAAAAAATTAAATTTTCTTTAGATATAAAAAAGTAAATAAATTTTGTACTTTTTATAACTAAATAAAATAAAACAAAATAACCAATTTCCTTCTATACCTTAAAACTGAAATAAAATCTCGAAGCACGTTTGGATTGAAACTCTCAAAATCTGGGATTATTATAACTAATGGAGTGTTTGGTTTACAATTCTCCGAATACCATAATTTTAATTGTCGAAAATTACATTGACTTTTCTTGACCTCGCAAACCTTAAAAGATTAATTTTAAATTAATAAGAATTTTTTTTACTGTATCTATTGTTAGGTCATAAGATTTTTTATTACATCATCAGAACTATTTATTAACTGATATATCGATTCCTCCATCAGTGTCTTCAAGTTTCCGGAATCTCTCGATGGAATTACTGCGATTTGCTTAGTAATTAAGGATAACGCAGCAGATAATTTGCGAAAAAATTCTCCATGATCAGGCAAATTGACTCCTTAATTGGTAACAAAACAAAATCAAATGAAAAAACTTTTAATACTATCATGTAAGCGGGTACAATAATTGTTATAATGAATTTTACCTGTTAATAAAATTGCTGTAGCTATTTCACCAGAAAATTCATCTTGATTACTATCACGTGCATTTTCTACGTATTTTTTAACGTCCGATAGAATTTGTTTGGACATATTCACATCAATATTCTGAAAATAATGAAAATATATATAATTACAATTTTTCCAATTTAGAAAAATGACTAATTAATGAAGTAAATTTACTTTAGCAGAATTTTCAATAATTGACCAAGCATCTTTATAAGCTCGATACCAAGGTGTGTTAATTAGTGGATTTGTATCAATTTTTTTCGGCTTCTGATTTAATCTGTACTTTCCTTTATACGCAAATATACCCTGAAATGAATTAAAAATACGTATTGAATTTTTTTTCGAATTTACTATTATGGTATAAATGTTTTTAATAAATATACCAATTATTCATTTGTTAAAATTTTTTATTTATTTAAATTGCATCTCTCATTGTTTACATATTACATTTCAATTTTTATCGATTAATACTTTGGAATACGCTGTAATATTTATTATGACAAAATAAATTCAATTAATAAAAAATATAGTGTGAATCATAAAACATATACTTGTTATTTAATTAAATGTAAACTCAGATTTAGAAATTGTCTTGTTTTACTAAAAAAGTAAACATTTATTTCTTAAACTGTTTTAGGTTATGTTTGAACATGCAACAGGTAGAATCCTTCGTAACTTACCTTCGATACCGAGACATTATCCATTTTACGAAAGTTAGTTGCTAACAATTCAGTAATTCACGATAAACTTTCAATATTTATCTCTGTAGTTTCTTTAAACATTAAACAAAAGCCGATAACTTGTATATATTTAACTAGCACGTAATATAGTAACCTCACAATACATTAACAAAGACCAGCGTCATTTGAACTGGTCTCAACTGTCGCAGAAGCCGGTATATAAACGTGTAAAGCCACAGACAGCTGACTGTCTGCAGCTGCTACTACTGCCCTCCCTTCATAACGTAGCTGTTTTGAAACTTATTCAAGGTCTGCATTAGACACTTGACTAATCTCAAAAGTATCTCATTTAACCGCCGTAACAGACAGTATACTACTGATGACAATAAAGAAGATATTTCTGGGAAATCAATATAATGCAAGATAAATTTATTTTCCAAATATTAAGTTACATTGAATTTTATATAAAAAAAGAAACTTATTATCAATTCCTAATATTAACATCAATTATTCAAACCAATAAATCAATTTGAGCAAATAATTTATTTACAGTATAAAAGTAAAAAGTTTTTGGAACTAAGAATCTGTGTTTCGATAAGAAATTCAATTTTAAATTGTTTAATTTCATTTTCTTTAAGGTCACCTGTTTCAGTAAATTTAATAGTGATAAAATAATTTTTTCTTCAGAAGGTATAATATTTTCTTTTTATGCTATTCTCTACCTAATTATTTAACAATTTCGGTCGACAAAAGAAAGATGAAAAGTGACTAAAATAAAACAAAATGTAGCAGACAGAAACGTGGAAACTGTCGTTATCGTTGATTGCACGGTCAATTGTCAGACAAGTGTAGAAATGAAGTTGGGCTAACATGTATGAGAGAGAATTGTAGTACAATCTCATAGTAGGCGATCACTAAAGATGTTTCTATCCCTATGTACACTATCTGCTTCCACACTATCATGTACTATCCTTTCTACTTCCATTCTCATGTTCTTTTACCTAATCTATGTAATCAAAGTTACCTTTATCTACAGAGAAAACTTTTCTCAGTAACTGCAAGCAATTTTCACACCTGATAGCTGATATCTACGGACTTTTTTTGCCATGTGAAATGTTATTGGTGTAATTGATCGCCATTATTGAGACAAGGAAAAATTTAGAATGTAATGTACTTTTGATTAGCTGAAAAAGATTTAGATTTTCATCAACGAGATGGAACATTTCCATTACGTAATCTAAATTAGTTGGCATTAAATTTTATTAGAATCCTAAATACTTAATATTCATGGTTTATTTTCAAAGGTAATGAATTAACTAGCTATAAGAGAATAATGATTATATCATAAATATATCTTTATAATTACATTTATTGTTAATTCAATCATTTTTTTTTTTACAGCAAATCTTCCTCAAACTACTGATGAACTGAAAGAAACAATATCATCCGAGCATGAAGGCAATCCACCTTTGTGGGTCACAAAAGTAGGCACTCCGCCTAATACTGAAATTTACATCAACAATGCGAAAATATTGCCAGGCAGTAACTTCAAGACCAAGGTTTTCACTGCGCAAGGAGAAAAAACACAGGTCAATATTCTTTAATTAAATATTTAATTATAAAATCCCTAATCCATTCATCGAAGATTTTATTATTTTTATCGAAGGTAGAACAATAGTGAATTTCAGATAATTTGAATATTTGGTTTTGGTAAAATTAGATTCTCTTCTGTATGACAACAAAAGTTAGAAATTTCGTGTTACGAATAGAGGAGAGTTCTGAACTAACTCAACCACAAAGGGGACGTAGACAAAAGGGTCTATGTCAACATGGCATCATTCTAACGAGCTTTTTATCAACTTTACTGAATCATCTATGGTTGTTTCATCACGCGCATTAATATAGTTCAGAAAGTGTGAATACAGATGAAGAAAGCTAAAAGTTAAAGAAAAACATAAATTGAATTCATTAAAAATTTTTCCAGAACTAGATTTTTAACTATATGAAAAGAACGATAATAGGACATCATCCTGAGTCGTAGTTTGCAAATAACATTGAGAAATCAAGAACCTTTGTAATAACTCGTAACTCATAACAAAGCAATTTCTTTCATCATTTGCACTCAAGTTTAAGCGAAACTCAACCAAAGAAATTTAGTATTGCACAGGCTTCAAGACGTTTGTTATTGGAATATATAAAAGAAAAGAGTGGAGCCAAGCTAGGGTGAGATGAAATCTTGACTTGAACGTTGAAGTAAGAATGCAGCATAAAAGTGGAAACATGTCTGCGATGCTTCAGGGTACATGAATTTTTTAATTTTAAAGCATACTTCTTTTGTGCCTCTTTATAATATTTCTATAGCTCACACAAATCAGTGTTGAAAAAATTGAGGAGTTTTCAAACTTTATTAAATATTTATCATTCTGAACTTCCATCAATTTCAAACATAGATTAAATATTAATTATCAAGTGATGGGTTAAGTAGACTTTTAAATAAGAAGTCTACTCACGTTTGAAAACTTTGATTACAAGTTTTAGAATTGTGTTTTCGATATCATTAAATGAAAAGCTTAGATTTGTTCTTCAATAATGACTAAAGTAATAATTAAATAATAATGAAGTCAAGTGAACATGGAAATGAATAGGAAAATAATTTATTCAGAAGTAAGATAAGCGAGATTTGAGTGTGAAAACGTCTGATGAAAATAAGAGAATTTAGTACTAAATGAGTTTTCGTTGAAAACGCAGCAATATTCGTCGACGAAGTGTGAAATATGTTGCTCAAGTTATCTTAATACAGTATAAAGATGAAAGTTTTCATGAACAACATAAGTACTAGTATAACGACGTTGATTTGCGTTCATTAGAGATAGCATTACTATGACGACGAATACAGCAATATTTCGGCATTTCTCATTTCTAGTACGATCAAGTTTTCTTCATTTTCATTACGGCTAACTAAGTTATCTTGTAAGAATTGCATTTAGCTTTCTCGCTCTATTGAATGTATAATTGTACTTGCTAATTAGATTTTTCAAAAGTACTTTCAAATATCGAAATTGGCCATTTTATTCGGATGTTCAATATTAAAAGTATCCCAAAGTAGTACAAACGTTGTATATTGAGCTACAAATAATATTGTTATAACATTTTTTATCAATCTAGCTAAATAATGTATTTTATAATTCAATAATTATGTTACAGCTCTTCTTTATGAATCTCTCAACGTTAAAAGCCAATTTTCGCCCGGAAATTAATATAGTCAATTTTTTTTTATTGTGACTTTTAGTGTTCAAAGACATGTTATTTTCCTTTAATTTATCTATTAACTCTTACAGGAAAACTGATACAAAATTATTCTTTTTCAGAGAATAAAATTTTTTTCTAGCTAAAGGCTGTTAGGTAAAATTGTATGAGTTTTCAACTGAATAACAAATATGTCAACATTCAGGAAAATCGTTCGGGAGGTTTGTGGTAATATTTACACAGTAGCAATAAACAAAGGTGTTTATAGGTGTATTCAGCTATTTGTGTTTTTCAGAGCAAGGTTTTGTTTGTTAAAAGTGAATCAAGTATAATACAAATGTTAAAATATTTATTTTAATATTTTGAAGTTTAAATTCTATTCAATAGAAAACTCTTCTATAATTCAATTCTATTTATTTTTAAAAGAATTGTTTTTCAAGTACTTTTGTAAAAGCAAACATTTTTACATTATAAAATTAGATATCATTTAACTCTAACATTTATTAATTCTTTAAAAATTGAAAAATTGCTCAAGTTCTATTGATCTTAGACTTGGAGTTTACTTGTACTATCATCAATTATTCTTATAACATTTTTTATCCCCATCTCGACAAGAGCTAAGAGGATGATCGATCGTAAAGCTTCGTGTACTTGGCTATGAAGCAATCCGGAAAGATTGGCTCTCGATTCTACTATACACGACATGTTGATAGTTGCGGCATTTATGCATAATAAACGTTCAGGACTAGTTGTCGACAGTAAAGAAGATGACGGAGAAAACGAAGAGATGAAGTATATATTCTGAAGTCGCAGAATCAGGAAATTAAATTATCGAGCGGCAACCCTACGGCGTTGGGTGGCTTTAACTATAGACACCATGTAAGTCTTGTGCTTATAGGGAGCTTTGTTAAGGGATGAAAAGGCTTTACAAGACTTCCGGTTCATTGTTTCAGCTAAATTGACTAAATGATTTGCGAAATTTTCTTTTTATATTCATAATTATATCGTCAATTGAGTTATTTAGATGAAAAAATGATTAAACGTCTAATCAAAGCGTCATTCTTGACTTGCAAATTTTTTTTTAATCAAAATTAACGGTCTTGAAGAATATAAAATAGGAATGAATATAAAAATCTAAGGATTAAATTTCCATTGTCTTGAATTTTTTCTTAGTCTCTGTCTTCCTATTCTTCTAAAGGAATGGCGCCTTGGCGTCGCGACGCTACACTTTTACTCATCTCTGCACTAAAAGGGTAAACCACTTATTTGAAGTGATTGTCCAAAATGTGGGATTTTATTGTTCCATTTTATTCTCAATTAAATTTATTACTAAAAATGAAAATTCATACTTGGTTATATTTATCATTATATTCATTAAAGTTTATATCAATGATTACTTTTAAATTATTAACCAAGTTTTCGATCATTTTTCTTAGAATAATGTAAATGAGGTTAAAGGAAATGCAAAATAAATACTGTACTATAAAGCTTGGAATATCTAGAATAAATGGTAGATAGTATTGAAGATAAAGTGGTAACGTAAAATGTTCCTGTCTCATGGAATAAATGCAAGTATAAGGAATAAAATCGTTCAGCTTCATCAGCAAAACTCTTCGTTATATAGTCTCGCTTGGTTTCACGACTCAGGATTTTATCGTTGGGTTAATTTAAAAGATAAAGAAGATAGGTACGCAATATCGTTTTATTTTTTCGCCATTTTTTTCTTCCTTACTTTCACTGGACTTTAGTTAGAGTAATAACCATCCCAAGCATTGCTATTATATCCTCAAGGCTCTCTAATTGAAAAAATACCAGACGTTTTACAACCTCAAATGTAACTTTTAATTTTTTCCCCAGCAATAGATTATCTTATTTTATTTATTAATTAATTATTGTTTCTTCTTTTGATGTTTTAATATTTACAAAAATGTATTAATTATTTCTTTTTGAACGTTGTAGGTATTTTAAAGAACAAATTGCAATGATAAGATGCAGAGAAAAAAAAATTTTAATGAATAAATTTCAACTAAAATTAAAGGAAAAAAATAAAAATTGTATATTTTAATCAGTCTATACAATTCTAGATGTATTTCGAGATCGTGATCATATCCCACACCATTTGTGACTCGATTTCTAACTGGATGGAGTGGGAAATTCGGTGGTTTAAAACGAACAGAACAATGCATAATTTTCTACTCTCACTTTATTGTATTGTTCTTTGCTCATTCCACCAGCCTGTAGTTGTTTTTGTTCCGATATGTAATGATTTGCAAATTAAAAAAATGTACATGAAATCATTTCAATAATATCATTAATTTAATGAGTCTCGATACATGAATAACTAAATTATTAATAATGATTGCAATTTATTTTGCTTTAAAAACAAATACTAACATTTAATTCGATTTATTTGTCACAGGTTCTGCATAAAATATCTGAGGTCCTTGAACCAATATTGCCAAATTCACCAGAATCATTGGTTTCATATCCCAATGCATTTGAATTTCTAAATACCAGCGATAGTTTGGACCTTGGTACTTATAGATTGCGGTAAGCTTTGATAATGTTTATACAATAAATTACCTGTTTGGTTAATGAAATATTTATTAATAATGTTTTTGTCAAAACTTAATTTAAAACGCATCCGAATGTTCCAATTTAACACGTTTATGTGTCTGACTATACGTAACCTCTTTCTACTTAAAAATCAATTCATCAAAAATCTTGAAAGCAAATTAATTATTTTTAACTGAGTTAAATTATAAAAATGAAGTTAACCTTTTTTATTATACATTCATGTTAAAAGAATTTTGAATAAATTATTTAAATTTTTTGCTAAACTAATGGAAAAAACAGTATTGAAGAGGTTTTATTATTTCTAATGGATAAGAACATGAAAAATAGATAGAATAAAGTGAAAAATACAGTAAACATGTCGTAGATAACAAGAAAAATACTCGGGACGTTATCCCTCGCCATAATACACACAAAAGTGTATCAAAGTACATTGTAAGTCAGGAGAAAATTACGAAGAGCTTCGTATCCACCCCTTGTGTCTATGCAAAGGTAATTTTCCGCCTTCACGAAAGAATGCTCTGTTCACCTGCTCACCCACATTTTTTTTTCTCTCTTTTTTGCGTTTTGCTCTCAAAGAGGGTTGTAATGTCTCAGTACCACCTAAAATGTTTTCAAAAATGAAGAATAAGTGAAAAATACTTTAATAATAGTTATTACATAAATTAAATGCTTTATTTCAAGCATAAAATATTTAACACTATAGAACTAACAACTTTTTATAATACTTTTTACTTTAAAATCTTTTTATTTTTTATGTTCAGTTAATAAAAAATATATATTTATTCATAGGATATTCCGTCAACGAGTAATGGAAAATCAAAAGCAAGATATTTTTAAAGCTGAAGGTGGTTTTACATTCTTTATACCAGAAGAAGAAGGATTTAAGGTAAAATAAAACATTGATAATATTTTTATTGATTGATTTATTTGTTTATTTTTATAGGAGAATAAAAATATTTTTACTAGCTGCGTTACATTCTTATCATTACTATATGTAGAAATGTAACTTGGTAAATTTGCTTCAATGCAAAAACGTGACGTGCAAATCGAATGATAAAGGCATCAAAGTCACTCACCCTCAACATTTTCAAGCACGATCGTTCGTGCCTATGACTACACGCTTACATTTTCCCATCCACTGCTCGTTTTCGCGTGTTACCAATGTGGAATTTTGCTTTTTACTACCTCTATTACCCTACCACATATGTTCTTCCGACCAATCTCGGATTCTCTATTTTTTTTTTTCTTCTTCTTTACTTCTCCTCAACTTCTTTCCTTCTTCCTCAGTCTTTTATATGTGTTCGTTTCCTGATTCTTGAAAGAATTTTAGAAAAAATATTTCGATGAAAAGTCAAATGCACTGTCATTTAAAAAATTTCTTTGCCGTCAAGTATAGAAATTACATATAAAAAGTTTGGTAGAAAAATAAAATGAAATTCAGAGAAATATCTTCAATAGAATGAAATTCAATACACAACATAACTCATTGATCAAAAAAATTATAGAAAAATTTAAAAATGAAATATTCAATAGAGTAACTTTATTTCATCAAAAAAAAAAAAAAGATTCATATGAAACGATTAACAATTACCTGAGTAATTTAATTACTTCTACAAAAAAATTTACATACAGCACTGACTTTTTTAATGAATAATGAAATTTAAAAAATTCTAGAAAAACCACTGAGTAAGATGAAAATGAGTGTGACAGTTGAATATGAAATAAACTCGAATTAAAATAACTTTCTGTGATTTATAAGTACATATGAAAGAAAATTCAAAAAGTAAAAAACTTGACGAACAAAGTAAAACAACCGTGCAATTAATGCTCCCAGACTAATTAAATATTTGTTCATCCAACGGCCATAAGGTAAACCGCAAAGACCTGAGAAACAACGAGGATTAGTTGAAGCTCATTAAAGCACAAATAAAATCGTTCTTTTTTTCTCGAATTAAAGTACTCATAATCTTATTTTACATTAGATACCGCTAAAGTTACATAAATTATAGTTACATTATTAACTTTTTAACATCCAGTTAATGAAGCAATGATCGCATAATTGAAATAACCTGTCGAAACATTCTGTTTTATAAATAACATATCAATATTCATCGATTCTTGTTCCATAGGTAGAACGATCATCTAAAATTGATCACCAAGTAATCGATGGTCACGTGATTCCAAACCATGTTTTATTCACTGCTCCAACTCCAAATGATGTACCTTACAGTACACTTGCCAACAATGATAATTTTAAAGTTACCATCAGTTTTATTCGTGATCCTGACGACCCAAAGAAAGGTAAGCCGTCATTAAATATGTTTAATCAGATAAGATTGTAAAAAAAAATTAATAGTACATGTAATTTATCTTTTTACTTTAGCAAAGAAAGATTTATTCCAAACCAAACATGATGGAATGCTAAATAATAATTAATTGTTTTTTTAATCAATTACAAACTATCGAACAAGAGTAGGCTATTTAAAGAAAATATTTATCAGAATATATGTTTATTTTGTTTAACTAATGGGAATAATTAAAAACTAATGAAAAACTTTTATGTATTTATTGATGCCATGGATATTATATAGGAAGATATTGATAATTTTTAATTAGAATATTTAAATTAAATGCTTCTGCAATTATTCGATAAAATTGCAATTAATTGGTGATAGTTTATTCATCGCTTTTAATAATTATTCTCTTTGTTCTATTAATTGTTATAGTTATATCAACTCTTTCATTAATAATATCAAAACAATTCTGAATCACCAACTAAATTCAAAGTGGAATTGTTTAATAATAACGGAATACAATAAAACAAAATATATTTTATCTCTGAATTCTTTTTGCTCAACATTATGTAAAAAAATATACTCGAAACATTTACATTTTTTCATTAGTTTTTATAGTATAGAAATATTGCAGAAGTGCAGTATTACGGTAAAATAAATTGTTTTAAATAAAAAAAAATGTATGTAAATAAATTCTGCTAATTTACCATTTTTTTGTTCAACTTTTATCTACTTGCAGTGTACGTAAAGTCCAACACACTCATTGGTGATTCATCTCATCCAACCGGGGTTGTTTTAGCGAAAATAGTGAAACCAAATATTCCAGTGAAGAACGGGGTAGTTCATATCATCCAACGACCTCTCATGGTAGTAGACACTACAGTCAAACAATTCCTCGAGGTCAGTATACAATTCACCCATTCTTCTCACTACATTTAACATATATATGTATCTTCTACTCGAACTTTATACTATTAACAACTAAAATTAACATACATAATACAAAATTAAAATTTCTACACCGTTCATAATCCTAATACTTTTAAATAATTTCACAAATAATTCCTCTAATCTCAACTAAATCTTTGTGAATTCTTGTTATTGAAAGCAAAAATATTATTACATTTTGTAGTTATTATTGGAGTTATTATCATCAAACTGACCTTCATTTCAGCTCTTTGACAACCTAACTGAGTCTATTGAATCTGTATCGATACTCATATACTCACTTCTGGTTAACAGGGATACTAAGTAATTGTAGACCAACTCAATAGTTTCACAGACCAGCACTCTGAAGTTGTTGAGACAGAAACCATCAACTATTGATCTTATATAAACGTTATAAATTTAACTGATCAAATTGAACATTCTAAATTGCATAGTTGAAATGAATTTAGCAATAATAATATCTCACCAATTTCTTCCACGATCAGTAAAAACATTCATTTCAATTAATTTAAATGAGAGAAGGAAACCACTTTAATTACCTCATTATCATCATGGGTTTGCTTAGGATTGATGGAAGCAAATATCATCAATATCCTTGGCTGTTGTTACTGCTGTTAGTTAACCCTTGGTTTAGAGCAACATAATAATGAGAGGGCAGATTTCACAGGTTGCAATACCAATAACTTGACTATAGGCACGTCGAAACGATATTATCCCCTTTGACACTATCAAGCTATTGTGTTCCGATATATTGGTACAAACAAATGACTACTGAATACCTTTCGTTGTCATATACCTATCTGTAAGACAAAGACAATTATAGTACTAAACAAAGCTGGACTTGACAAAGCTTCGATATGACAAACATTTATATAATAAAATTAAACTGTTTGGCTTTCAATAAAAAATTATCACATCGGTTTAGTTACTTTTACAAAAGATATTCTTTATTAACTTAAATTACAACATAATAAAAGCGAAAAAAAACTAACAAGAAATCTGATAAACATATCAACAGCACGTACTGCTAATGTCAGCACTCAAGCCTCTTTTATATGTCGTGTTGGATCAAAGAAACAAACTTATATTATGATACCATGCAATATTGTTGGAAATAAATTTCAAAGTACATACATCACATGTACAGTAATGCAAACTCTTTCTCCTTTCATTCTTTGACTTTCATCTACTGTAGCTTTTATAAAATTCTACATTTACAAGCATGATGTTAACGCAAAAACGTGAAAAGCCTTAAAAATATATTTCTGGAATGTATTCTTATCTTGTTATAATTTTTGATCCAACACAAATTTGTCTGTTATTGTAAAAGCTGTGTGTTGTTTGAAGTGATTTTATTCGAACAATTGAAACAAGATTGAGAAAATGTTTATTTTTATTTCAATTTCATTAAACAATAAAAAAATTTTTCTCAATCTTACATCTTAAAGTTCTACTTTTATCACTTAAAATCACTTGGACATCGATTAATCGCTTAATTTCAGGCGTCTAGCACTGTGATGACACGAAAAAAAAAGTTTTGAAAAAAATCAAAAATAGTGTACAAATAACAAGAAGAGATCGCTTTATGCAAAGACAAAGGAATGAAGTATGAAAAGAAGAAAAGGATATGAAATTGTATGTTGGTGTTTATAGGACAGCACGAAAGCTATAATTAAAAAAGAAAATGATTAAAAAAAAAATATATATATATATGAAACAAAGTTCTGCCGTCACTGCACCGCCTTGTATTGTTTTATCACTGCAGATTTGTCTGTCTGCGCCTTTGCTAGCAAAAATGTAATCTATTCTCTTTTTTTCCTCTTATACACACTCGTCATATGAATAATCAGTCAATTGAAGAGTAGGATAAAATAGAAGATACAATTAGTTAAATTACTTTTAAGCTGATTATTTCATATTTTAGTTGAAAATAAAAAATATTCATTCATTATAAAAATTAGTATTGAAAAGCGGAATTTAAAATTCATTTTTTATCGCTAGAGAGTCTTCCCAGTTTTCATCTATTTCTTCTATCATTATATTAAAGCTAGTTTTGCTTTTTTATTTTATAGTAAACCCTATAAACGATTTTTCTTATTGAAAAAATTTCAATTATTTTTGATAAATCACACGTTAAAAAATTTAAATTGAATAAACTTTAATTCATCATTTGAAATAATTCATGCTAAAAAACTGATTTAAAAGCTTTGCTAAAAATCATTTGGAATTTATTATATGTACTCAACAGACAAATACACCTCAGAGTCACGTAAATAACATTAAACATAAATTAAAAGAGTGTAGAAAAAATCTAAAAAATATTAGAGATGATAATACTCTTGAGGAAATTTTCTAAGTGGTCATATACGACATGAAGATGTCCCCTCGGCTCTAGTCATTTTCTCTAACTCACCTACTTTCAAGCAAGTTTAAATGTCTTTAACGATTCCCTCGCGAGGCTTCAGGCGTTGGCTGTCCAGTCAAGAACCTTTTTCACTTCGTCTTAAACTTTAAGAGATACGATGGGGAATCCCAATTATGTCTCCCACGTGAAACTACATTTATTAAAAAATATATCTGAAGGGAAATAAGCAATAGATTATAAAGTGGACTTTTTATTTAGTTTCTTCTTAGAAGAAAATTGATTGGAAATTAACCCTTTAAGAGTTTTAATATTTTAATGATCATAAAATTATGAGAATAGTAAATTACTTTTTGTCAATTATAATAATATATAATAATATTATGAACATAAGTCAGTGTAATAGTTGTTGAATAATTTATAATATGAATATCATTAATGTTAATTGTAATTAAAATTGTAACGAGAACGTGTAATACAATATTAATTGAAGCCCGAAGATATGATAACACTATATTGAAATATTATTACAATGTGATGGATTGAATAAATTACTTTTTAGATGAGAGATAAAAAGTTTCAAGCATATTATATCAAGCTAATATAATAATAAATAAATCTAGAGTTTATGAAGTATTTTATAAAAGTCGTAATTTTAAATAATCTTAAATATTTGCACAGAGACTACTCAAACATATTTTTAGAGATACAATTTGTAGAAAAAAAACTTGGAGAACATTTTAACAAAAATCATAAGTTTTATTATAATTTTGATAATTTAAAATAATATTTTTGAATAGTCAAAAACAAAACTTAAATAACTTCTAGAACAAAAAATATTTTAATTGTTATTTCAGTCAAAGTAATAGTATAATTTATCAAATTGGTTCAAATTATATGGTTAATTATATTTCAGTAATTTGGTTGAGAATTGAGTTTAACATCAACTAAAAACTTGTATTAAGTTCTTAATAAGATCAATTTTCTTTCATAAACCAGAAAAGATTCATCAATCGCAAAATTTTCTCATGGATAACCATCAAAGGTATATTAATGAATGAAATGTATTTCACAACAGACATTAAAATTCCGAATAATTATGTTTATTTATTACAATGATGATTATATTTGCTTGAAATGCATACCTAAATAATGGAATATACTAGAATAATAAATAAATTTTAATTGCAATACTAGTTGATAAGTAATTGAAACATATAAAAGGCACATAGACGGATGAATTAATCGGGCGATTTGCTAGCAAGTTGTGATAATAAAATAACGTACTACAAAACACGATGCACTATACTATGGTTTCATAAATATTCAACGCTTGAAATTACCTCAGAGCCGATTATCGACTGACGCGAGAGTAATGGCTAGCATAAATGTCCGGAAATCTGTGCACCAAGTGCACGCAATTGTCCACTACCCTCTTTTGACCAGCAATCACAGTTAAAATATCCCCCAGAGTCATTATACTTTCATTCATTCATTCATTCGTAATCAACTAGAAAATTTTTTAATTATTCATGAAATTTTTACATTTTTGTAACTTTAATAATTAAGGAATGATGATATTATTGTAAAACGATAACGTGTGATTTTTCAAAAATACAAAAAAAAAAATGAAAACTATCACATCATTTTATTACGTATTATGTTTTATCATAGTTCATGAAAAGTCGTATTTTATACAAAATCAAAGAGATAATATATACAACGATAAAATTTTCATATAAATTCAGCATATTCGTCGCACATACTCTGGAATCACTAGGATTTTTCAAGTTTTTTTTTATGTCAATTTTTTTCGAATGTTGTATACAAAATTATACATACTCTAGAAAGAATTTAAAAAGAAGAGAGTTAAAGGTAAAGCATAAAGATGAAAAATAATGTAGCTTTAAAGATAGAAAATAAAAAAAAGAAATGAAAATAAATAAAAATGAAGAGACTAAAAAGAACAAGGAAAAAAAATGTAAATCTACCGAGAATCGCTGTAGGGCGGGTTTTCATGAATTTATATTAGCACCATGCGTCACAGAGAAGAGGGTGTATATATCTCGTGTTTGTACTGATGTATATGTACCAACAGGCAAGCATAATTCCATAAGATAATAAGCCTTCCGTCCGGTGTAATCGCTACGATGAATACACAAGTGAGTGTCTCGTAATACTCAGAAAAATAAAGTTGAAAATATTTTTCAAGAACTCATATTTTTACCAATAATATACATTTAGGCTCATAATAACGTTACTTTTTCCAATTATTTTATGCATTTAATATTTTATCATATAATCAAAAGATATGACCTACGAGAACATCATTTTTTTAAATGAAAATAGTTACCTAATTTTCGCATGAGGCAGAATGACAAAATTAAACAAGCATTTTAATAAGAACAAAAACTATCTAAAAGTTGAGAAAAAGAAATGTTCACTGTCAAATACAGATTTTCGACTGAACGAACTATCGATGAGGGTACCCTCTTTAGTCATTTTCTTTTTGACGCGTTTCAACTTCCGGAGGTTGATGAAAGCGATCGCGCAATCAGCGTATTTCAAACTTTATGTCTACTTCAATTCTATAATGTCACTAAGACTGACAGCAATCCAATAAATCCAATTTAATAAATTGATAGGAAAAAGAGAAAAACGATGAAAATGAAAAAAAAAGCTCCAATAAAACATATGGAATAGTAAAAATATAAATATATATATATATATTACTGAAATAAATAAAATAAAGAATATAAATTTGTTAGTGAAGGAAAAACCTAATACAACATCACAATTTTTTTCTGTTTTCTGTTCGCTTCTTGTGTTACGGACCAACTCTCTGGTTTCTGGTTTTACTGAGCAGTCCTTTAAGGTAATTTCGCTTCATCCTTTTTTTTCACTTATTTACTTTATTTCGATCATAAAATAAAAATAAATTAAATCATTTGTTTCGATTTTCATAATTAATTTGCAAGCAAGTTGCATTTAATCATTTCATTGATTATGAATATTAATCATAAATATTTTATTTATATTGATAATTTTTCATTTTTCGTCAGTAACTTGCTTGCTTTTTATTTTCATATCACATTTATCTTCTTCTACATCTGCTTCCTTCTACATCATCATTTAACATTTTTTTCTCGTCCTCATATCTAATCCTCATAATATATCTCTTCTCATTTCCATAAAGCTATTTTTCATTCGACAATTAATTATCCAAACTTCTATCTTAATTTACTATCTGCATCAATGTGTTATTAGAAGTATATTCTACTATTTTCAATAATTCAAGATATTTCTCTTATCACTAATTGCAATAAATAAACATTGCCTTGCACGTGCTTGCTACTGGAACAGTGAGAATTTTGTAGACATGCTTTGTCAATATTTCGTATGCATGCTTTTCTATATTAAATTCCATGTGTAATTTTTGCTACAATTACATTATTCATCGATATCGAAAAATTTATTAATATTTTATTTTTTTTTAAATAGAGAGATAATTTATTTATTTATTTATAAAATTCTTCGAATTTAATAATATGACCTTTTGTCCTTTAATTTGTTTCTAAAATATAAATATTTCAATGTCTTTATTTTAATATAGACAATAATATTAAAAATTAAAAGGGATTTTTTATTTTGAAATAAAATAATTTCAACTTAAAATGTCTGGTATAATTTATAATTGTTTTCTCAAAATGATATTAAGAATTAATTTATTGAATTATTAATATTAATATTATCAAAGAAATTTTTTTTTTCAACTGTTTTTATTCTTTTATTATTCTATAATAGATGTAAATTATTGTAAAGGACAAAAAGGTGTATTAATTTAACTTCACATAAGTAATAACATTTAATAAAGTTGTTAACATCTACTCTAGCTCTCGACGTAATTAAATCCATGGAGATTTTTTTTTATTAAAAATCCTTCTATATAATACATGTTTGTTTATTTTTCCACTTCAAAGATACTCCTAACCCACTTTGATCCTCTTAGTTACTCTATTTCAGTTGTTTTTATTTGTACCAAACATTCAGATGGCAGTTGTTTTGTTAGTAATCGAGATGTATGAATTTTCACAATGCTGATATGAAACACTCGGAATAAAAATTTAAATTAATTCATTATCCGATTATTATTAAGAGACATAATAAAAGCTTTTTCTCCATCAATAAATACGTTTGCATGATAAAGAAACAATGAAATGAAAAGAAAATTTCAATTATTTTTAATTTATAGATGAACTAAGCCATATCATTTTATATTATTTGGGATAACAATAAAAATTTTTAGAAATTAGAAAATACTTCAATTGATGTGTGCAATACTGATATAATGGGATTGATAACTTGAAGGTATTCCACCACTGTTTAAATTGCAGAAAGCTTTTTATATATTTGCAAATGCTTTCAACTACTCCAATCTGATGGATAGATGATCGACAAGAATGTTTAGATATTGGTTGAACTAGTTAATTGTGTATAGATAGATGGAATGTTAAGTGTAATAGTTGCATGAAAAAATGCACTTAAAATTTGCACTGTAGATATGAAAAAAAAAATACAACAAATTATTCACACTTTAAAAGAATATTAATAAAAATTAATCACTTATAGAGCTATCAATATTAATTTTCAATTAAAAATATAATTGTACACACTAGTTAATCAATTTCAACATCGCGACATTTTCATTACAGAAAATCATATTTTCACAATCATATTTCATGATCAATACATAATATTATATATTTGATAGTTATGATAAAAACTATTTAATTAATAGCTAATGTTGATTAATAGTTTTTACTTTAGTGTGTGAATAAAATGACATTGATTAAAAATGTATTGAAAAAATTTTTAAAATATTATCATTGTAAAATTGAAAAAATGTAAACATGAAAATAGAAAACTCGAGATTATGCAAAAACGATAAGCGAGCAATTGCACACTCGAGATATGAAAGTATGGGTAGATGAAAGAAAATTAAAAAAAAAAAAATGAAAAACAGAAGCAATCAACGTATGTTGCTCTAAAAATAATTAAAAATAAACAAAAAATTCTAATAAAAGTCGTAATAATAATAACAATAATAATTTAACTGATTCGAGAAAACAAAGTTCGGTCAAGTTTTTAATTTGTTAGAATTTTTTTCTTGTTAAAAATATGGTTATAATTATTTTTATTAATTAAATTAATTAATATATTTAATTTTGTGGTGCTTTGCATGTCTCTATTGGATTCTGCATGTCGTGTAGGGCATCGTAAGTACCGAAAAAATGATTAAAGATTCCAGTTTTAATGTGGAATTTTTATTGATAGAATTATCTGTATTTATCCAAACTCCTTCCTTTATTATTCCATATCTGTTATTTAGTTATAGAATTATTAACTAGCTTTTTCCTTTTTTTTCTTTTTAATTTATTTATTATTTAAATATAATCTTTTAAAGTTCATTTTTATTTATCAATAGATTTATTTATTTGATTTTTTAAGACATAACTTAACTTTATGAAGTAATTATTAATTGATTTTCTTAATTTAGGATGATAAAAAAGGACCTGTTTACAAATTTTATCAAGCAATGCGAGACTATGGAGATGATTTTATCGACGTCATCACCCGGCACAAAGACATCACAGTCTTTGCACCAAGCAACGCAGCATGGGATGAGGAAGGTGTTAAACATATCGTTCAAGATAAAAAACGTTTTCGTGAGATACTCAATCTCCATTACGTCCAAGAGAGACTACCTCTAGATAGCATTAAACAAAAGAGTATTAGTGGGGTAAATATTTATTTTTTTAATAACAGTTTTTCAATGTTTTTCATGTGAAACAAATCATTTGACAAATATTTATCTCATTTCCTTAAGATGCCACGTGATGGAAAGGGAATTTATGGGGTAAAGAATGCGAATTGAAAATTAACTGAATTTTATTTTGCATGAAAATATGCACGTGTATTATTCAACTTATATTTAGTCACTTTTTTAGATATTATTTTAAGAATCATTTTTTTGGAGAACAAATTTATTTAAAAAATTAACTCATTTTTTTTTTGTTTCTAAAAGTAAAAATGAATAAAATTTCATGATGAAATGTTTTTAAATGGAAATTAGTACTTCTTAAAAATGCAAAATTATGTAAACTGACAAATAGTCGGAGGAAAATGTTTAACAAGTCATTTTAAAATAATTCAATTTCATGCGCAAGTATTTTGTAGAAAGAATATTCACTTTTTTCATTCTCGTACAAGATGTAAAGTTGGCCGATATAGCAAGAAGGAAAAACTAAGTGAGTGAGCTTATATAAAGAAGTACAGGATAAAATAGAAAAAAAAACAAGATGAAAAGTACAAGAAAATAAATGTAAAAAAAAGTGTGTTCAAAAATAGTGAAAATAGGATAGAAAAAAAAATGAGACTGAAAGACGGAGAAAATGGAGCAATCGAAAAAGAAAGCTTCACTGCGATTCAACGTGGAATTTATCTCAGGCGCGATGTAGCGCATTAAAAGGCGAAAAAGTGTCGAAAGAGTTTGAGTTGTCTTGGATTGAAAACGAAATCATTCAGACGAATACATTAGATCGTTTTCCAATTTCCAATTGTATTTTTAAAGTCTTCATTTATATCTAGCGAATGATCATTTATTTTCCGTAACTTTTCTTCACTAAATTGTAATGAAAACGAATTTCTATGAAGAAAATAGATTTGTTGTTTTTCGCATTTAATGCTGCTTCATTTTGTTAAAAGTAAACTTTATTGCTGTAAAATATTTTTTGAAATTTATTTCAGAATGTTATCAGTTTTGATTTATCTAAATATAAATAGGATTTTTTCCATAAATAATTGACAAAACGATAGGAATATTTTTATTATCAAAGAGAATTTAAACATATAAATGTATTTATTCAAACGATCTCAAATATTGTTTTTTTTCATAAAATTGGAAATGATTTATCAATTATTAATGAAAAATGTAAATATATTAACGATAGCAATTGCCAATTGTTAGAGAAAAAGAATCATTTAGGAAGAAATAAAAATTTGAGCAATTTAAACTGTTCATTAGTCAGAGAGATTAATTTTCCCGGAATATGTGGACTCATATTAAAGCAATGAAAATTATGAACAAGCACATATTTCGATAGAAATACAATTTTTTCAGCAAAGATAAATGCTTAGTATATCGGAGCAAAGCTGCAATATTGTCGATATTTTCCAATCGTTTATATCCACCTGATAAAAACGATAAATTCCATCATCCTTTTTCATCCCCAATCCCAGTAACCAAAAACACAGCAAGTTTATTCGCTCAACGATCCGATTGTTGCTTGTGTTATACTACTCCTGTACTCTTGTATAGTAATACAAACCTCCTCCTATTTGTATTCTCGTTCACCAAATTTATGGATGTAAATATTCTAGTGTGAATCTGTTACTTTTTTCATACAGAATACGACATGAAAATCTATTGAAGCGGATTTATTTTACAATCAATAATAATTACTCGAGCTGGTTGAAGTATTTTGGGTTATTTGAGGGTAATTGATGATTAGTAAATTAACGTAGAACAGTCGATAAATGTTGAAAGTAAAGGTAGCAAACGGGGACCAGTGGACATCATTGATGATGTTATCTATAATGCGTTAGTAGTAATGATGGTGTAATTAGCGAATCAGTATTACCACACCCATTTAGCTTTTATGATAATCCATCTATTAATCAATTTACACCTTACACACCTTAATTATTGAGTACTTTTAGGTCAATCGATTTTGTTAATTATTGAAACTATTTTCAAATCGCATCAATGCATTTACTGTACTTCCTCATTTTTACTGGTGGTTATTTCATTCATTATTTGTTCAGTAATAAATTGAATTTTAATCAGTTCCAATTGATTGAAGGATTACAATAATCTCGGTGTAAATTGGAGTGATGTTAATTAACATATGTTCAAAAATTACTTTTAATTAGTACATCGCGACTGGTGCTGATGAATGATACGTCAAAAATTTCTTTATAACTTAAAGCAATGGATTTTCATTAAAAATATGAATTAAAATTATGCTTTAAACAAAAGATTTACCAAATTAAAAACAATTTACATAATTAAATTTTTTAGATAAATTTATTCCAAAGGTACTTGAAAGAATTTTTTTTGCATGATAAAAGTTGATGTGTTTGCATTCCAATTGCATGATCAAAATTAATGGATATATTTGTGTAATTAGATTAATGTGATTGAATTTAACTGTTTACATTGATTTTCATTCAAAGGTATCCACGGCAGCAGCAAAAAAAAGTTTATACTTTAATGTGGTCGAGAGATCGAACGGCAGTCAAATGGTTACAGTAGAAGGTGGAGGTGTAAATGCAACTATAATTACCGCCAATATAGCGGCAACTAATGGAATCATTCACATTATTGATCGAGTACTTGGTATTCCCTACACTACAGTACTAGACAAACTTCGAACTGATCCGATGCTCAAGTAAGTAATTATATAATTACTTTATTAGTAGTTGAAAGTAACATAACAACAAAATCAAATAGTTAATAGGATTTAAACTAACAGATATACGGAAATAAATAAGTCAATTCAATTCTACAAATAACACAATTAAAAATTGATATTAAAGTTAGAGATCCTTGATGAGGTCAGGAATTATTAAAAGCTATTGAAGTGAAGGATATTCTCGAAGTTATATTAGAAAGTACTTGGATATCTGGGTAATACACCAAAAGAGGGTCTTATATTCAGTCAAGTTTAATCATTCAATTTCTTGTTGTAATCGGATTTAATTTACCAACCTTTTTGGATTTATAATTTCTTTTTTTTTTTCAATTACTTTTTACTGCAATATCCCAAAACTTTTTTTATAAATATCAGAAAAGTGATTACATGAACCATTGAAAATAATTGTCTGGTTTCTTGGTAAATTCTTTGTAATTGAAAATTTTTTGGAAGAAATATAAAATGCTTGAGGCATTTTGTTAAAAACCAACTTTCATTTTGTAAATTTCATTTAAAACACTCCAAATTTCCATTTTCTATTACCATCAAGTAAACGGGAAATTGTTCACACCCACTATTAACTACATTGACACGTCAAAGGAAGTAAAGTGATAAGAGACAGAGAGGGTGCAAAAAGCTATTTAATATTATTTTACAATTTAATTTTTAATATGCCTGCTAGGCATTGGTAAATAAAATATTTAAAATTAAAAACAAATTGATTATAAGGATATTGTTGATACTTTTAAAAACGAATTCAATATTTTATAAGAAATTGAGAACCAGATTCCTACATGTATAATATTTTTTTAAAACCTTGTATTTTAGTGATAAAAAATTAAAAAACGAGAGAAAGAAGTAGATTGGTCGACTCAAGAAGAAGCTGAATGTAAATTGGCTATTTTCACAAGCACGTCCATTCGGTACCGACCTCGACTTTTCACGTTCCCTCGTTTCTAACTGGAAAGTAAAGTTTAAACCCAGTAAAAGTACATGCAATTACTGACGGCTTAATAGTCACTACTTCTTGCTTTTTTTTACTTTTTTCATTCTTTATTCGATATTTCCTTCTATCCTCTCTCTCCTTCAATAATTTATGTTCACCTATTGCCAGTTATTAGGTTTTAATTAATACACAATGAAATGTAAACTTCAATTTTTATTAGATACTCTATTTTATAACAGTCTTTAAACCACAAGAATTTATCCAACTAAATAATAACTTTATTTTATATTTGATTAATTACTAAATTAATTTGAACTTTTTATAGTGCAACATATTATTTGGGGAAATTGCCCGGCTTTAATCAACAATTGAATGACACGACGAAACGTTTTACGTATTTTGTGCCACGCAATTCAGCATGGGAGAAGGTGAAAACTCAGATTCCATCAGCCTACAAGAAGATTTTCATGCCTGAATACAGTTATTATGTAAGTATTAATTGTACAATAATTTTTAATTATATCTCTTGTATAATTGCTGACTTATTGATCAATCATCAGTTTGATAGTTGAAAAAAAATTAAGATGATCGTATTCTGCATTTTTAAGGCAAATCAAGTTCTGGAGCGACATTTAGTTATTGACGGTCAAGCTTATTCAATGGCAGAACTGAAGAGAATGTCAATCAACAATAATTCTGTACTTCTATTCCCTGTTCGGGACAATTTAAAGCTCCGCATTAGAGAGCATAATGGAAGTAAGTATATGCTTTCATTTCTATACGAGATCATGTTCTAGTGTAATTGCTTCTCTATAAATTTATATTTTCTCGATTTCTTATCTTTTTATATTTACACACTCCATGTTACATTTCATTCCATTTCCACTCTTTTTTATCCGTATATTTTTCCTTACTATTACCTGGACATTTTTCCTCTTCATCATAAAAACTAACGACTTACAAGTGCCATTTCATCTTTATGTAAATCCTCATTTTTCCTTCATCGTTTTCCGTAATGTATCAGTTTCTTCCTAAGACTGAAAACTTACCTTGGAGCTCATGAGGTCAGAAAAGAATTATATCAATAATAACAATAATCATGATAGTAATCGTGAAAGAAATAATCATAGTGTGGATAAAAATTTAAAATTTAATAAAATGTAAATCTTGAGTAGTTTGACATGAAAATTTACCATTTTCCAATTCTGTACCATACTCCATTTAATGTTATTCCACTTCATGGAAAGTTTTCAGAGTGAGAGTGTAAATTTATTTTTTTGGATTTTTACCATCACCATTATTTTGATTTTATTGCTGTTTTTGTCAAATATATATCCTTTTTAAAATCCAAGAAAAGTTTAAGGCTATTGTATTTCATTACATCTAGCCGATCCAAAGTATGATGAAAATGCAATCCATCCCCCTAACAGTTCCGGCGATGGTGAGTCACATAGGAATTAGCATTGACGCCATGTTAGGACGTTTAAGCGTCTCTCTTGCTGTATGCCTATTCTGATTATTGCTGCCTCTCAGGTTGCATTCAAATTGCGTGCTTTACATGTAGACAATGTGACAACACTATAGCACAATAGAGCAATCATATTTTTCCTAATAATTACAATATTATCAAGTTTATCGAAATAGCACTCTATTGAATAAAATTCATTAATGAAACATTTACATATTTCTTATGAATTGTAATAATCAACTCTATATATTTCGTTATTAAATAGTGCTATTCTGATAACAGAAAAAAACATGAATTAATTTTCAATAAATCCCACATAATCAGAAAATTATTTCATCACTTGAGTGTACTCTACATCAACCAAAAAAAATTAAATTTTTCATAACATCCAATACTCTCATATAAAAGCAACTGTATAAAAACCCTCCTAAATTCAGATATGAGATTTTCCACCTGGCCATCGGTCAATCCATTTTCGTTATATATTTTTTTTTTTGCGTTAAAATACCAATATTTCTCTCATCCCTTCAACACATTCACCGAGTACCCATGACTAGACAAGCCATAAAATCAGTATTTATGTTGCCATAAATACATCGGTATCTTTGTCATCCTCCTTCTCCATTTCCACGTCTTTCTCTTCATCCTCTTGTACCTGTGGTCATCGCAATAGTGAACGATCTTGTCGATAAACCGGTCGTTATGTGATCACTACCCTATACCCTCCTTACTCTGTACTCTGTCTATGCTGTCTACGTCCATTTAGCTTTTTCTAGTAGATTCTCTTGGGACCATTCCCATGTTACTTGTATTTGAAACGCGAAAAGTTCGACTTCTAATGCTACAAGCTATAAATCGATGACGGAAGACGTCGAAAATCGGTCGCTATTTTTGTAATTCTGACCAACTCCATAAGAAAATTGATATATGAGACAGAAAAATATCGGTTTATACTTGAATAATGTCTTTTCTAGTTTAAAAAAGAAATTATTTATCAGAATATTAAATATTTGTCATTCTAGTCAATAAATTTATTTAATGATTATTATTGAAATAAATATTGAATCATTGTCGTATAAATTAGATTAATTTGATTAAATATTAAATATTATTCATTGCTCAATAAAGTTATTTAATAGAAGTTATGAAAATAATCTATCATACTCTAAATTCTAATTCAATATTCATTAAAGTGAAAGAGGATTCAATTTACACGATATCAATAACTATTTACATAAACATTCTTTGAGTATTTTTGAGCACTAACTACCAAATCCTAACATATTTCCATTGGAAAGCTTCAAAGCCTCAGTTCATTCTTGTTATTTAGTATCAATTCCGTACATTATTCTACGTTTAATCCATTTCGATTTCATGTGTGAAAAAAAAAGGATTGATGTAAATGAAAAAAGTTACTCTATAAAATTAAACAACTTAGTTGATTAAATATAATTGAATAAATTTTATTACTTTCAATTTTTAATAGAAACTTTTTAAATGAAAATTGATGATAGCTTTTACAGAAGCTTTAGTTATCAACATAGTCTATTTTACTTTCATTTTTTATCAACTTATAATTTCTGTTGCAAAATTGGAATGGATTAAATATAATTCAATTAATAAGAGAAAAGATTTCTCCAATATTTCATTTTCTCTTTGTCACTTCTATCGAATATTTCGTTCCATTTTATTATTGATATCGACATCAACATTGACATTTGAATCATCGAGCTTTTTCTGCTTGAAAATTGCAAACACTGCAGTAGTCAAAAAGCTCTCTTCCTTGACTGTTTCTTTTTAGTTTATATGTCAGCAATATTTAGTCTACTGAAAAAGTTATTTCGGTTTTTTTTTACCAATTTATTCTCGATACGAAATGATAGAAATTTTTTCAATAAAAAAATCTCTTGGCTTTGAGAAATTAAAAAAAATTGCTGATATATGGACTTATCTTTATTTCTCAATTAAATATTTAAATAAATGAGCGTGAGCATCAGACTTCTAATCATACTGCATTTCTCCTAGGTTACCAAATTGAATGGATGGGATCATGGATTCAAGTATTCCGTCCAGACGTTGCTTGTACCAATGGTATTATTCATGTAATTGACGAAGTGTTCATTATACCCGAAGACCTCACAGTGACTGGAAGTGCGTCAGTAATGGCTATTGCGCCTCATATAATGACAATTATTATTGCTAAGTGGTTTTTATAGATTCATTAGAAAAGGTTTATTTAATGAGGTCTTAAAATGACCCTAAAAACACTATAACAAATTAAATACAGTTGAAAATTTTTTTTTGTTCTTCGATTTTTGGTTGTAAAACGATTTTGATAGAATTTTTTTCGGAGGTATCAATAACATAATGAAATCACTCAAAAGACCTGAGAATTATACAGAGGCTAGAATTAAATAATTTGATTATTTATTAATCATAAGATCAAGTCTCTAACCGTAGGGGTATGAATATCACTCTACAGTATAGTAGTAATTAATTAAAATAAAAGTTGTCAACATTAGATCATTATAATTGTACCAAATGAATATTTATAAGAATTCCTTAGGGGATTGAATAGGCTAATGTATTGATAATTAATTTTTTTTATTTATAAAAGAAGCAAATCTTATTTTTATGTTCTTTCTTGTTCATAAAATGAGAAAATACTCAATAGAATTTCATACTTGGTTTGTAACAACAAAAAGTTAGTAAGCCACAAACGATTAAAAAAAAAGTTTAATAGATAAATGGTAAATAAAAGAAAAATAAACAAATGAGTAATATAATTAATAAGTAAAGTAAAAAAATTCCATGTTATGTATAATAAAACGTACATATTAATTACTTGATAATTGATTAAATATTAATAAAATAATGAATATAATGTTTATTCTATACATACTTATATCAATGAACATAACTGCCACGTGAGAATGCTACATTTGGAGAAAAATTAGAGTGTGTATCCGATGTATGGCTTCAAAAAAAAAAACATTAAAGAGAAAGAAATAATTAAAAATTGATGAAAGATGTCAAGGTTTTTTTTTGTTAACATTAACATTTAAAATTTGCATCTACTTTGAATAATAAGACAGAAATTTATAAAGTATTTATCAAAATGTCAGGTTGGGCAAAGTTGATATGTACAATATCACCGAAAATAATATCTTTATTAGAAAGACAAGTACAGTTCAATAATATACTTCAGTCAACAAAAGTTTAGTCTTTAAGTATTGCTAAATTAATTTTGTATCTTTTGAAATTAAATTTTTTATTTATAAATATGTTTAAAGTAAATATTTGTGTCATAAATTCATATTTAATTGGCAATATGTATGAAAAAATTAATAAATTTTGATGATAACAAATAAAGTCAAAATTTGTACGTTCTGCATTGTTTAATGCCCAATCCTGAACTGAATAAAAATGTCTGAATAAATCATTAAAATTGAGTAAGATTTAATAGAGGAATTATTACATCAATAAGAGTATGGTTGAACTATATGTAGAGATAAATTTACAAAACTTGTCAAAGTTCAGTGAAAACTAAATTATTGATTATAATAAATATTTATTAGAGAAGAATAATAACCAAAGAAACTAATAAAAAATTGAAATAAATTACAGAAAAATAAAAAATATCGTACAGTAAGAAACTGAAAAAAATAAATACTAATTCTTGTTGGAATAAATAATATTATTATCATTATTACTGAGTATAATAAACTTTAAATAACACTGTTTGTTCAAGAAAAGAATATGAAAAAATAAATTAATTGAATAATTAGTGGGGAAAAAAAATATTATAGATACATGAACAAAAAAGAAACTATACAAAATAGTAGAACTCTATCTTCTTCACTCTGTCTATCTGTATAGATATATAAAGGTGTTTTAAATGTTCAGCTTACTATTATAATTAATGATAAACGGTAAAAAAATAATTCTAGCCGTGGAAATTAATGATATTGTAAAAGAGGAAGGTATAATCATCATAAAAAAATTTAAATACTTGTTACTTTTTCACTGCCACATTTTTATCATCATATTATCTGTTTATGGCATACCATTCCATGTTTAATAGCCCGAAAAATACTCTATAACCCGAAATAAATTAAAACTAAAACTCGGAAATAAAGTTTTACGTTACAGAAGATTTTATTTATATGAAATACAAGTAATAACAACTGATAAGAATTCTTTTTTAGTTAAAACGAAGTAGTAACTAGTTCTTGATTGTTAAACTTTTGCTGATTGAATAAGAAATGGTATTTATTATAATAAAGCCATAATTAACGGATTCAATGCAGAAAAATTTAATTTTTATGATTATACTTACAATTACGTATTGTAATATTTTTTCTGTTTTAATCACTAGCATCAATAAGTATTGTCCTATATATCATGATAATTTTTGTGAAGCTTTCTTCTGCGAAACAAGATTCATTCTTTGCATGAGGAATCATTCTCAGGGCAAATAAGAAATAGTACTAGATTCATTTTATTTATTTATTCAGTTTGAAATTATTTCCATAATTATAAAATTATTTTTATAAAAAAAAACAAAACATTCCGTTTTCTACTCATACAAAATTTTAAATTAATTAAAAAAAAACAAGTTGTTTAGTGAGAAATAAATATTTCTATCAAAAATTAATTCAACATGAACACTAAACAGCTATTATTAACGAACATTCGTATGCAGGCTATATAATAAAAAATTATTTGTATTAAGAAATTAAAAATGAAATTAATGTGAAGATCAAAAAAGAAAATGATGGATAATCACTTCGCCACTGTCATTATTTGTACATTTTGTAGATATATGATGAATCATCGCTTTCATTCGTAAAAGAAAATATTTAAGATATTATTAAAACTACTATAAACAATATAATTAATATGGAATTATAATTCTTGATGATAAACGACTCTAGTGTTCAGATGTGAAATCATTTAAAACGATTTGCAACTATTATTAACGATGCACTCTGCAATATTGGTGAAAAAATTAAATTTTTAATAGCAAAATTATGAATAAAATTTTGAATATCTAGTAATGTTTGTCAGCAATAAAATTAATCTGAATTTACAATAGAATAAATTGAAGTTGTTCAATATTAATAATAAAATAAATAATCAGAAGAATTAGGAATCACTTTGCATGATTAAAGAAAACAATTATCAATTGAAATAATTTCGTTTGACATTTCTTATCAAAGATTTGACATTTTTTTACATTTATAGAGCAAAGACATTAGCTAGCATGAATATCAAGAAAAATAAAGCAAAATAGAATACAACAGCTTTCATCAAATAATTGTAATAAATGTTTTAACAATTTTATACACTCGGTATGAGGTAAGCGATGAAATTAATTTATGATAATCAGATTTCGTATGTGGTTTGATGAATTGATAAGTTGTTTATAATAAGAAAGAAACATAAAGATCATAAAATTATGATTGAATTTGAGAAAATCATTATCACTTGAAATGTGAGAACTAAAAATTTGATATTAAGTGCAGAGTTTAATGCGTGAATGAATCAATATAAATTGAGAAACAAAACGGATTGAAAAAAAAACAAAAAAGTTATCGATTTATAATTAAGATTTTAATTAATTTATAAATAGTTATTATGATAGCAAAGAAAAATTTTTAAAAAATAAGTAATAAAATAAATATAATTGTAAAAATGAATGATTCATATTAATGATTGACAATTGAGTATTTTCTTGCAACATCAATTTGATATTCGTAATTAATTGAAAAAATTATCCAAATAGATTGAATGATAAATACAACGTATTTTATTTATTCTAAATATTTATTTCACTAGTTAAGTAATCGTTTATTAATATTAAATTACTATTAATTAGTTCAGTATAATTGCCTTTATTATTTATAGTACAATTAATCGAACACATTTTGTGATGTTCAAAATAATGTAACATTTGAAAAATATTTCTTGGTTTTTATGTGAATCACGTTTGTGAAATTGTAGGTTCAAAGAATATTGTAATGAAAATTTATAAAATACATTTGATGGAAAATAACAAACAGATAGTTGAAATTTGGGAAACACTTAAAATGAATAAACATATTCAAATAATAATAGTAATAACGATAAAATTGTTAATCGATACAACAATCATAGTCACACGCTTCTCAAGCAGGTTTTTCTTAGATTTTAATGATGAACAATTACATAATTTGTACGCTCTTTGTAAACACTCTGCTTTTACTGTATTATTTTATGATAAAATAATAAAGGAATACTTCTGAACAAAGTAATTTCATACATTGTATGATTTAAAACATTTATTTGAACTTTTTACCAGTAATATATTTTATTTTTTGACATTATTTAATTATAATTCTCTCCGAAAATTCCAAATCATCAGATGTCATTTCGCGCCATTTTTTAAACAACTTTTTTCTGGGACATCCTACTGTTTTGATGACGTCATACACTTAGTGTTCTTAATCTCCAGCAGACAGCACTAGTAGTTCCTACATATATTAGGTCGCAATGGTGTATTAGCTTGTAAAACATGATCAAAACAAGGTAAATGTCACTTGTTGACTTTATATTCACTGAAAAACATGTTAAACACATTCTATAATAATTCAACTTAATCAAAAAATGTAATAATTAATAATTATACATTGATAATACAATAAATTCATTGAAAAATTGTGGAAATTTTGTGGCGTATATCATAACATGGCTCATGACCTAGTGCAGACATCAATAAACGCATCTTGTCGAAGATTTTCAATACATTCTTGAATATCAACTGTGATTTCCAAAGTTACATGGTGATGAATATATAAATTTATTCAATTCTAAAATAGCTAACAAAATTTTAAGAAACTAATAGCTAGGATATCATCACTTTCATGATGGAAAATATCTTTCAAAACGGCAATTATCAAATCATGAGTGATTCAAATGATATGACTTCATTAGACATTCAGAAACAGGTAAAAATATATTTTTTATATATTAAATTTCATAAATTAAAGTGATATTATCGACAATGTTAGATTAATCGATTAATCATTTATAAGAATACATCTATTAATTGCATTTTCTTTTCAGGATTCTTTGTTAGATCATATGGAAATTGCCATAGTAGAAGCTGAAAAACGTGCAAATGAGGGTCTTAATTTAAGAGAATTCTATACTGTGTACCTGGTTGAAACCAAGTTAGTTCATATCAAATTTGAATTATATCTAATTGTGAAGCATATTGTTATAATCAATGTATCAAAAAATAAGTTATATGTATACTTTCATTGTAAAGAACGCAACTTTAACATTATAGTTCTACTCCAATGATACTCTTTTTTTTTTTAGAGTGATTGATCCAGATTTTAAGGATGCTCTAACTACAATAAGTTCTTTGTGGAGACGATATACAGAATTTGAAATGCTCAGAACTTATTTAGAAATTACGTATCCATTTGTTGTTTTGCCACCACTGCCAGAGAAAAAAGTTCTTTATGCCTGGCAAAAAATCACGACTGATACTTTTGATCCTGACTTTGTTGATAGAAGAAGAGCAGGGCTAGAGGTATATAAATCTTTACTAATATTTTAAAACTTAATTACATTCATCAAATTTACATGCAATAATACTTGGTTGATTACTTTATATGCAAAATATTATTTAGAAGTTGGTAAAACTAATTAAGATTGAACCATCATCTCGTTACTATTAATAAATGATAAACCAGAACTACTTTGTTATCAAATAATTGACATGCTGATGTCCCGGAGGTGCTTATTGCATGATATTTAAATTTCATTCATTGTTAATACCTCCAACAGTACAGATAACCATAGATTTATGAAGCGAACAATCTTCGAAAAAATGAAAAAAAAATATAATATAAATTAGACTATGCATAACAATGAAGAGGTGTTATATTAGTTCAATTAGAATTACAATTATATATCAACATTGCTATTTTATTCAGTTTTATGATTAAATATAGAATAAAATTGAATGAATTGTAATTAAAATATTATAAAAAAGTAAAATCATGATAAGCATTAATCATAAAATCTTTATTTTTCTTGGTTTATAGAACTTTTTATTGAGAATAGCATCTCATCCAATATTATCGAAAGACAAACATCTAATGGGATTTCTTCAGCAAAGAGATGGTTGGCGAGAAAGTATAAAAGAAAGTGGATATTTACAATTGGCCGAAACAAAACTTAAAGCTCTTAGCGTTGCTGTAAGACTGAAAAAACCAGACAAACAATTTGAAACAATAAAAACTTATGGAGCCGAACTTCAAGTACGTTTTCTAAGTTAAATATAATTATTACAACAATGAACGTGAGACCATTGATTAATTTTTATAAAATATGTTTCAACAGAATAATTTATGTAATCTCTTACGTATACGAGCGAGATTAGCTGAAAGACAATATACATTATTTAAATTACATGCAAATTACGGCCGTGTATTTAGCGAATGGAGTGCCATTGAGAAAGAACTTGGAGATGGTCTCCAAAAATCAGGACATTATATGGATTCATTAGCAGCCACTATTGATAGTCATCTTGAGGAAGAAGAATTAATAGCTGATCAATTAAAAGAATGGCTATTTGGAGCATCTGCACTTCAGGCTGTAGTAAAACGTCGAGAAGCTCTACAACTTGCAAAAGATGAAGCAACTGATAATCTTAATGCAGCTTATGAACAACGTCAAAAAATTATGCAAGGTGAGGAAATATATTGTACTTTTAAAACCTAAATAAATAAAGGTAGTATAATCATTAAACTTTATCTTTAAAAAGTAACGGTTATTCGATTTCTAAGTATCCAAATCATATATTTTTTTCTGCTTTTAATAAAATATTATTCTTTATAAAAATATCCTTAAATTAATTAGTACTTCTCGTAGAACAATACAATTTTAAAAATATGTTCAATGATAAAACAAATATTTGTTATCCAATAGGAAAATCTGGTTTAATGTCACGTTTATTCGGTTCCGTTGATACGGAAGAAGTGCGGGAACTGAAAGTTAATCAATGGCAGCTGAGAATAGAGCAGAATGAACAAGCTGTTAAAGAAGTGGATGAAAATTTAGTGTAAGTTCAATAAATAAATTTTCAATAAAGTTAATTAACTATTGAATGAATTAATCTGTAGACTTGATATTAACTCAAACCATCAGTATGCCAGAAATTAATAAACACACAAATTGATTTATAGAACTTTCTCAACAAAAGCAATGGTAGATATTGAACGATTCCAGAACCAAAAGGTAGTCGACTTGAAAGAGACACTTGCAGCTTATTGCATTTTACAGTACAAATTATCGAGAAAGGTATATAAGTTAACGAATAAGATGTTAAAAAATTTTAATTTAATTAGTTATAATTATAAATAGTATAAAAAACTGAAGCTTATAAATGTTTGTTCTTATAGGGTTTGCAAGCTTGGCAGCATATTAAGCAGTGTATAGAAAGCATGCCATGATTTATTTTAATTGAAAAACTAATTATTTATTTTTTTAATTAAATCACAATATCTTGGAGCAAGAAATTAAATACAACTATTATCAGTTATTATTTATCACAACCATTAAAAGAACAATTATAATACTATCTAGATATAATATGTACATTCCGCCATTTACAGTTTTATTATTAATAATATAATGTTTACATATAATATTATTTTTATCAATCTAATTAATTATAGTATATATTTTAAAAAACTATATACATATTCTGATAGCATAATTAACTTTTCACATATCTCATTGTTATCGTTACTGGACAACAAATAAATATGTTCTTTCTCTATAATTAATTTTCTATAATTTCTTCGTTAAATGAAACTCAATAATTTTATCACAATCAATCAATTATCTTTCTAGCGTCCAGTTTGATTTATATATATAAAACAATAAAATCACTTGTATAAATTGTTCTCTTTTTTTAATAAAATAGAACACAAAAGACAATTAACACAGCAAATATTTAAAAATGGAGTAACATATAAAAAAAGTACACTTAATATACAAATAATGTTTTAACAAAATAAAGGTATATGTATACTGTCATACCTATTAAAAAATTTATTATATTTATCATAAAACTAATAATTTCGATGTTTCAATAAATATGTCTACTTGAAAAATTATAAAATTTCAGTTAATAGAAAATCATTGATGCAATTTATAAATGATATGAACCTTCAAAGTTATCTTTACGCCAACTGTATAAATACTCATTATTCAAAATGCATCTTTATTCATCTCCCGATTAATCTACCACTCTTAGTCATAAAATAAAACATTTTCAATTGAAATAAATCTATAGATAATATTAATAATCTATTATTACTCTAATGTAAACATTAGTATTTTTATGACAAACTTTTTGATTAACTTAACGTTATATATCTAAAATTGAACTTCCTTTGAACACTCTTCTATTATTAGATGAAAAAAAACTATTGAACTTGAGAATACTTATAAAGAAAATTCAATTTATGAACGAAGATTTAAAATACTTTTTGATGTTAAAAATGTTTATTTTATTTATTATCGTTTTCAATAACGCTTTGATCAATATTCATTTCCTACATTATAACGTTTGTGAATTTTTTATTAAATAATATCACAGTATTTTCCAACTTGCAGAATAATTTTTAATAAAAATGATTCATTCTCTTGATTGTTACTATGATTTCATGCTAATGAGCAGCTTGATTGCAGAATAAATTTTTTTCTCGCCAACTTTTTTATTAATCATTTCGATAATTTTTTTGTGAAGACTGACATTTACTCCAAAAGTTATTAAAAAAAAGTAATAGTGTGCATCAGGTCTATCGAAATTCTCCTATTTTTATTTTTAGTTCGAAGTAAATATTTTTTCTATAAATTCTTTCAAGCTTTTTCTAAACTGATCGGTGTTCTCCTGCAATGTAGCAAGTTGTCATTGAATACTCTTCACGATTACTTTCAATATCACTAATAACTACATCTACATAATTTCTCGGCCTTTTTGTTAATTTTAACATTGTAGTACCTGGTAACCACTTGAACATCCTCCACCATTTTTTTTCATTAACAGAGGGCAGACCAAAGTTCTTGGACTTGTTATTCATATTGCCAATAGTTTCTTTATTTTTTATAATATCACCATTGATTGACACTGATTTATTATCATTCTCATTTTTCTGAATCTTCTGTAGTTGATGTTGATCATCTAGTAAATATTCTTGAGTATGACTAACATCTTGAAACACTTCCGTTTGAGCATTTTTATTTGTTTCTAAAAGCTTTTGTTCTTGCTCATTAGATTTAGCCTTATTATTTACAAAAAAATCCGAATTTTCGTTGAATTGACCAATCTTTTGGATTGATGGATGCTCAGTAACTGGAGTAAGATGTCTATCTTTTAGAGAAGCTGATCCTTCAGAACTTTCTTGATTACTTATAGTACCACCTGTTCCGATAGTTTTACAGCCAAAATTTCCCAAAGCTCTTTGCCGAGACCGAGAAAGACTAGAATAAGACCTTGGCTCTCGTTGACTGGATGACTTTGAATTACCGCAGCTTCTTGCCAATGTTTCCTACATAACAGGAAATTTAAATTATTATTATTCCAAGAATTTATTAAACGATATGAATTACTTATTACACATTTATACTGTGCAACAAAGTGTAAATCTTTTTATCTAATAAAATGGATATGTAATGATTATTTATTCAAATACATTTTTTTATTATGAATTGTTACTCACTTTGAAAGCTGCACGAAACTTATTGGACATAATATTATACAATATTGGATTAATAGTCGTCGAAATATAATAAAGAACTCCGGAAATATATGTGAAGAGGAGGTAGAGGAATTCCATCCATTTACTTTTGGACGTTACATGATCGCTACCTGTTCCATAGATAGCAATTAGTCGTTGAACATGAAACGGTGCCCAACAAATGAAAAAAGCTACAACAACGGCAACTGAAACATCAAGAAAAAATAAATAATTTTGCATTCGATTAATTGTATATGATGATACAAGATTAACCAAACAATGACAATTAAAGTAAATCCAATGTTTAAACAAATGGGGAAAATCTACTTTGAAATAATCAATTAGATTCATGAGAAATGTTATTTTTCATCGTATTTGTATTCTAGTGGATGTCCGCTTGATAACTTGTCAGGGCATGACATATGAGATTCAAACTCATTCATTATAAGTAACTTTGACGTAATGATATTTGTCCAGGATAGACATCGTCAACGGAGGACGATTGCTCTGTTACAATCATCATAATCACAATTGGTAATTATCTATGTGCAGAATAACGTTTTATTTATATTTGACGTTATAACTCGTAGTCATGTTATTAGAAATGACTTAATCGACGTAAATTCGAATATTTTACAGCTTTAATGTTGTTTATACAGTTCCAGATTTAGTCTGGTTATTTAAATTTGCACTAAAACTCATGCTATTTGACCCTTAAAGTAAATAGCATGGTATATTATATGGAAGAGTATTTAGAATGATTTAATTCACTTGAGCATTCTTTGTTGGCAAAATAGATGAAAAAATTTGTTTTAATATTCAAAAACTATAATAACAGAGAGGGTATTATTTCTAAAGTCCAAGAAAATAATTCACTAGATATCATAGCATGCTTTTTCTCAATTTCAAAATTTTGGACAAGAAAACTCGCGAACTCTGTGATTACTTCTTTATTCTTCTGAATCTGAATAATCTTTTTTAATATCATGCTACCTGAATAAAAAAAAATATTTTCAAAACTATTTTATGCTAAAGTATACGCAAAATCTATTTTGCGTAAACAATGACATTTATATAATACAATAAAATTTATGTATATTAATGAGATTTTGAAAACTTTTGCAACGTCATAATTAAAGATGATTAAAATGATAACAATTTAATGATAAAAATCAATGTTAATAAATAAAAAAACAGTTAATATAAATAAAAATCTAGAACTAGTTTAAGAAAAAAATATATTTTAATTTACAATAGTTTCTTCGTAAGCAGATTATTATCTTTATTTATTTTTTAATTGTTGTATAGACTGAGCGAGGAATTTAAATGTAAATACAATTGTTTTAATGATAATAAATGTTTATATAAAAACGAGAATCAGTGAATAACTTCAATGATTTTAATAGCGCTATAAAAACATCCGATGTGATCATTAAATGAACATATTCAAGGAGTTTCTCATTAAAATAGACTATACAGTTTTTTTTAATTAATAATGACATATAGTGTTATTAATGTATTTATAAAAAGATAAAGTAATTATGGATAATGAAATATTACTATACGTGATTTGTAATAATGTGTACATGAAAAATATCTTTGAATAATTTGGATTAATTCAGCTTTATCCATTCAATCTATGAAAACACTCATATTTTTTCATTTTATTTAATAGGATTTTATCCTTTGAATTCTTGTACAATTTATATAAATATTGTTAAATCATGTAATATATTAAATTTAATCATCATCACAGTAACATATTATAATCAATGAATGTTTCACTTATTTCCATGAACATTATACATATTCTGTTATTATTTTAGTCATAGGCGCCATGTTATTCAGACATACATCATTTCCTAGCTAAATTGTGCGATAGCTGAGATAGGATTTAATTTTAATGATGATAAAATCCACTTAAATTAATGTACATTTTGATTTAAAAATAAATAAAATAAAAATACTCCAACTCATTATAGCTTTTGGTAATTTTATAATGAAGTTTATTTTCATTCACTAATATTTATACGTTATTTGTGGCCAATTAAGAAATGTATAAACAAAAAATTAACGTTTTTATTTATTCAAAAGTATTATCACGGCTATAACAATTTTAATGAAGCTTTTAAATCAAAAGAATCGTTTATATTTATTGGAAACTTTTTATTCCAAGTTTTTTTTAATCTGTATTCGATATTTAATTGAAAAGATGATTAATGTAATCACTGCAAATCTCAAATATGAAAGTGTTTTATTTCAATACATATAAAGTGTTTTAAAATGACGTCACCAATTTGAGTAGCATTGTAGTCACTTTTAATGCACTCGAAAGTGTTTAAAAAGTTGCTACAATATTAATCAAATGGGTAATGTCATTTTAAAACACTTTTATGTGCATTGAAATAAAACACTACGATTTGCAGTGATTAAAGGTACTCTGGTAAATCTATTATTCTATAATATTATACTTTTAATTTGATAAATTAAAATTCATTAGAATTCAATAGCTCTTAGCTTAAACAGAAAAAATTCTTATTTTCAGTTTTATTGAGACAATTGTAGTCTAAAGTCTAGACGATCTATCTATCTCTCAGAAAGAAATATACCTATTTTGAAAATTGATTTTCGTCGGCAGAAGAATAAAGAATTCAAAACTCGCAGTTGCCAGAAATTTTTCTCATGGAGAGCTACACTGTGTAACTTGTCAGTCAAGTTTTTGACCCAAGTCAAGTTGAATTTCATGTTTAAATGTAATACCACAAAAATGAATTTTTACGTATTCTAGAAATATAATATTTAGCAATTTTTATTTTTTAGAATGTTCTATCATAAGAGAATGAAAGGAATAAAAGTTAATGAATTCAAGTAGGCCCAAGTGTGAAAAGATTGAATCGAGTGTTCAATTAATTCGAATAAATAACAAATTTTTTTTATTCCATATTTGACTCGTTTGATGAGTTATGTAATAGAATCACGGGCAAAGTTTAATATCACTCTTAAAATTCTGATATGTCGGCTCATCATGATTCACCAGCTTGTGGGGGATAGAAAACATTATGGGTAGAATCATATTCGTTACTACCACAGTCATACATACATTCTTTTTAGTCATATAAAAAAAGTAAGAATGACAAACTGGAAGTGGAAAATTTCAGAATATTTTTATACTTTTTTTTAATTGATGAAAAACATTCTCAAGTGACCTAAAAAATAAAAAACAAATGTTTTTATTTATGCATTCGAAAATAAAAACAATATAAAGAATGATAAATTGATGAATAATAGTTCAAAATTCATTCTTCGATATACATCCATACATAAAAACAAATTATGATATTTATTCAAGCATGATATTAATTAAGACAGGCTAAACATTAACCGCTGAATTTGAACAGCACTGAAACCATAATCATATGATATTGATACAACCACTGATAATTATGCAGATTTCAATAAGAAATCAAACTTATATTAACATCATATATCACATTAAATCACATATATGTATTTGTAATGATGTATATATGAGATCATTGTTAGCTATAGAATACATTCTAGAGTCATCATCATTACCATTATTAATCTACCGAACCTGAAACAGAATATTAAAGAAGTTGTTTTTTACATGTATCTGATTTTTGTTGACTACTCGAGTTGAATATTTTTAAAGAAGCTTCAAGCAAAATTACTTCACAGTTATACATTACTTTCAGAAGAAAATCTTTGGCTTAATTATAAGGAAGAAAGTACCGCCCATTCAACATGCGAAATTATTGGATTATTAAGTGGAGGCATCAAAGATGAATATTTCACTACCGTTAGAGTTGAAATTATTCTTCAGAAGATTCAGTCATTTTCATTAACTTCTTGGTAGAATGTAGATTTGAAGTATGTATACCAATTATTAAGTCTATATGATGTTGAGAAAAATATTATTATAAGTGCGAAATATCTGGCTACATAAGAAAAAAAATTTAATCTGAGACGAATTAATATAAATGATGATTTTGGTCTGATATGTATTTTAAATTAACTTGTATTCACTCAGATGAGTAAATAATACATGATACATTAATTTTTTTAAGTATTTAAATATATAAAATAAAAGCTAAAAATAGTAAAAAATCATTAAGGAGACAAAAAACTTCGAACTTTTTCATTTTTCGTTTAAATTTAAAATTCGATTAATTTAAATATAGAAATAGTAATAATATGAATAATCGTTTTTCTTTCTGTAAAAATTTGCTACAAATTCCTGTTTATAGTTTCAACTTGAATAATACTCAAATTTAGAGTTGAAATATTTGAAACTAATTCTGTTCATACAAAAAAGTATTTTTAGTGTTATTCAGATATTGAAGGACTATTTGAAATGTTTAGTTCGACTAGACATATAATAACAATAAAATCGCAGATAAAAAATATGTGCTTTCAAAACGATTGAACCTTGTCGTGCTGGCAATCATTTGATTCAAGAATGACATAATTTCAGTTTAGACTGGAATTTCTTCAAGACATTGTTCAATACATAATCTTCATGTCATTGTTATTTATTAACGTACAGTTTATTGCTTTATTGGAAACTAACAAGCCTTAATGTGAAAATTTGATGACAATTTTTTTATTATGAATAATAAATTGAAAAATGCTTTTCATATTATAATATTAAATATTAATATTTTTATTTATTTATACCACTGATCTTGATAAAGTGTTGTCATAAATGTTTGGATTTGTGAATAAAATTAGTGTTCTACTTACAAAAGGTGAAACCTTAATCGAAAGGTGATTAATGTTTTAATAAATATGTAATGATAAAGCCTCTAGTATAATTAATGGTAATTTTTGCGCATCGTATTTCATATTACTGATCATATATACAATCTTATGTATTATATTAACGACGGAATTTCCAAGACCTTGTATAATAATTTATTGCTACCAACAATGATTTACAAAATTAAAAATTCGAATAAAAAATCTAATTTTTTATTAAACAAAAACATTTAGGCAGAATTTGTATTTTACACAACTATTCCCGGTATTATTAATGTGGCCATGACCTATTTTTATATCTTCTCTGTATTAATATCGCCAGATTCTCATATCAATAAACAATTTATTTATGAAAAAATTATCATAATTATCAATGAATCTTACTACGATTAGTCAGATAAAGTTTTTTACATAATCATATTGACTAAACAAAAAAATATTCTATTGACTCACTTGTAGTTTCTATTGATTTTGAATAAATTTGTTATCAAGATAATTTACAAAGCTTTTTAGGAAAGTTCTCAATTTCATTAAGTATTTATATAGCTTTCTCTCTTTGTTTTAAATAACAAATTACTCAATTTACACATATATTTATGTATTTATCGTAAACAATTTCACCATTTGGCAGCAATAATTCAAATCGAAAGAACGAGAAACCAACGGAAATGGATAAAGAATAAGAATAACGAGTCATTCTTTTCATTCGATCATGAATAAATACACGAATTTTATTCTAACAATTGTCGTTAATTTTTTTTAACTACCAGTCAAATTTATAAAACTACAACGCAAATAAAATAATAAATAGTAGTAAACACTTTTCTTACAATTATCACAAATCATCTCGACTAACGTTGATTTATAGTTAAGTTTGAAAATATTTAAAGTTTTAATCATATACTAAATATTTACAGTTCCAAAATATTTTTTACACTGCACGTATTACGGCTTTCAAGTATTAGACCATGTATCAATGACAATCTAAAAATGATAGGCAAAGAAAGAAAGAGAATACAAAAAATATGCTGAACATGGATTTTCTCTTCACTCAAAAAATATAAAAAAAATCAAACATAAAAATGACAGTACATGTTCATATTATATTTGTGTTCGGAAAAATTGACACCCAGTGAGATGAATTGTATCTAAAATTTTGATGGATTTCCGACATTTGTATTAGTATGAATTATTTTTTCATTTTAATCTCAACTAGAACAGTTTTCTAGTCTCTTATTTTCTAATTAAACAAGTAATAATTCATTGAACTATTAAACATAATTTATTGAATTAGTTAGTCACTGGGATGTAATCTAACGCACAATAATTAAAGAGCTTACAAATTAAATTTAATATGGCATCTTATTGAATTGCTTTGAATACGAAACAAATTCAATTAATTTTATAGTAATAGTTTAATTTGTTGAATTCACTAATTTCGCTAAATGTTTGAGATACACAGTGACTCAAAATTATCAATATAAATTACTAGAAAAGCATGAGTGCTATCTGTAATGATATTTAAAACGAGCATTCTGTTTATATTATTGACATATAAAATCAATAAAAAAATTTTCACCAACTTATAGGTTGACCCAATGTTTCTATCATTTTTATTCATAAGAAAGAATATACGGTATGAAAATAGTCATTTATTTCGATTTTACACATTTGATTTACCCTTATTTTTCACTTATTTTGGCAAATGGCAATCCATCATTTATCCAATTCAATGATTTTTCAATTTTCTATTAAAATAAATATCAATGTATTTTTATGACATGATCTAAAATACTCCGTAAAACTGAATTGTCAAATAATTTGTGCAATTTGTCGATAGAGTTCATTGTCACAGTCTAATTAAATGTTCGCTGAATTATTATTTCAGTTTATTTAATATGAATAAAAAATTTTTAAAATTTATCATCACCAATAAAAACAAATTTTATATCACTTAAAAACAAATTTCAATATAGTTTTAGTTTATTTAAACTTCTTTTTTTCGTAGAGATAGTTACGTTGATATAAATGGTTAAGTGAAGGCTTTACAGACAGAGATTGGCATTCTGTCATTGAGTTGAACTAGTCTGATATTATCAATGAAAAATATTTTCCGATGTAATAAACTTCGTGTTATTATGTTTTTTCCAACTGTTTCAGTTATTTTAAAACTACCATCTATAGCTTTTTATACATCAATATTTATTCTATCATTTTGAGTAGTATCTGTTGGGATTTGTAAAAATATTTATTAGAAAAACACTAAGCTAACATTTTTTTTAAATTATCTTAGAAAATTATATGCTTTGCTGTAGATAGATTTTAATTATTAATGGCTTTAAGTAGTAAAAGCTCTCAAAATAAAAATAACGCATTCATTTTTTTTTACAATAAGTATTTAAGATCTAAACTTTAAACCTTTGCGAAAAAGCTCATTTGTGAATGTAAATCTCTAAATATATTCTATTTTTATTATTTAGAATATTAAGAGTACAATTTAAAAAGAATAAAACTCACCGAGCATTTTTAAAACTCTTCTAGAAGATTTTCCTGTGCTGTGTCGGCTCTCACATCTTCTATTTTTACTATTCGGAAGTTTTCTTATCCCTTGATTTTCAATATTCCTTTTCTTCATAGCATTTGATTTACGAAGCTTTAGTCCAATCATAGAATAGAGTACAGTAATAAGCGTCATAGGGATAACAAAAAAAAGAAAAGTTGAAAGCTCAAACGAATGTTTTATCACGAATGTCTTGAGAGTACAAACCACTAAATCAGGACTTATATGAGGATGTGCAATTATTCCAAACTGCAGAGCTTGAGGTATTGCGAAACATAAAGAAATTAACCAAATGAATAAAATGAGTTTAATTGCACGAGATAATTTAGACATTGTCTGAGACAAGAACGGATGACAGATGGCAACATATCTTTCGATTGTAAAAGCTGTGATTGTAAGAACACTTGCATTTGTTGAGCATTCAGCTGCAAGCCCTCGAAGAATACAAAATCCTTCTCCAAAAATGTATGGATATTTAGACCAAACTAAATAGACTTCTGCTGGTAAGCCAGAAAAAAGGAGTAATAAGTCAGAAACAGCCAAACTGAAGAGATAATAATTGGTAGCTGTGTGCATAGACTTGTTGCGTGCAATAACAATGCACGTGCTGATATTTCCTATGGTGCCGGTGAGAAATATAGATAGGTAAATTATGGTGACGGGAAGCACCACATATAAAGCGTCTCGTCTGGAACCAGCTACTCGATAAGCTGCATCTGTTGTTGAAATTGAGTTTGACAATATTGATGAAGTATTTGATAGATTGCAGTTCGCTTTGAACATCGATTCTGTTGTAAATGCTGTCTCCATGATTTTTAATCAACAATAAAATTAAATAATCAATCATTCATTTTATCCAGACATTTTTCAAATAAGTTTTTTTTATTAATTTATTATTTTTCAATTATTTTATCCTAAAATGAAGATTGAAAATTTTTCGCTTCACTAGTCTTACTTGGATGTTTCGAAACATGTCACGCAGAATAATTTTACGAGTTAACTTAACTGAGAGAAAAAGTTGAAAGAAATTTTTTTTACTTAAAATATTATCACAAACTTTAAGAATTTATAACAATCATTCAAGAAAACCAGCGCCACAGAAATACGAATCAAGACTGCTCGATGATCGTAAACGGTCAGTTGGCTTCGTCGACTGTACGATAGTGGGGAATGATATTCTGCGCCGGCGAAAGATACGCATACAAGAGAAGAGATTCCAAAATGCTGAAGACATTCGTAGATTTTTAAAAGATTTTATGTATAGGAAGACCTTCATAATTTATTTATGTATTGCTCATATATCTGGACCTTTTGTCCATTCCTTCGTGTAAAAATTTGTAAAAAATCTGAAAGAAAAGAAAATGGAATTAGAAATCATAAATTGAATAAAATATTATAATCAATATTTCATGATTTTTCCTATTTCAAAAGTTTATACCTCGAAAATTATTTCAACCAAAAATATTATGTATGCAATTGTATCATTAAAAATTCAGGATTATTTATTAATTATATACAAATATTTATTAATAGAATGCCAAAGTTCTTGTTGATAATATATTAATTAAATATATGTTACATACTAAACTTTAATATGGAAAATCAAATTATTTCTTAAGATAATACATGTACAAAGTTTTTATTGTTTTCATAACAAACTTTTCAACGATACAGGATTAAATTCTATGTCATAACGAAAGATCAAATTCACTATAAGCCTGCCTAAATACGTTTTATATGAAAGTAGAATATAATGAGATAATAGCATTTCTCTAACAAGTTGAAGTTTTCAACTATATTAAACACTATTCATAAACATAAATTTAAATAATCACACTTGTTATTACTCACCCAAATTATTAGTATATATTTTGTTACATGCAACATATGTTATATCTAAACTTTTATATTGTAGTTATTAGATGATTGCAATTTTTATTGTCGTCGATTACTCTGTAATTGATTAGTGTGAGTCTCCTGTTGTGTGCCATCACTGACTAAACCTGTTTTTAATTAATTAGATACTAGAAACAATTTCTTTTTTTTATTCTCATTATCCGATGATTCTCTTTTTTCAATAGATTAAAATTTTTATTGGGCTTCAATTAAAAAAAAAAACATCAATGCTTTCCAGTGGTCTGAGTGCGACCCGAAAGGTCCACACGATTAATTTCCCAGCGGAAAGAATGAAAAAATTGGTTGTATTTTTAGAATCTATTATTATTATTATTACTATCGTAATAATTATAATTATTATTAGGCGAGCAAGCATGAAATTTTTATGTCAATTAAATAATTAAACTACTTTATCATTTTTTTAGTTTTTTGATTCTGCAAAAAAAATGACTGGACCAATTTTGCTGGAAACCTAATTAATTTTAAGTTGCGTAATTATGCGTCGAATGCAATTGGTCTCACGTTGATATCATTTTTTGATCTTGAGATAATCAAGACGAAAAATAATTTTGAATGCACATACGCACCTATACACGTACAGATATTCACTTAAAAATATTTTATCCGACTCTGGAAACCTTGAAACGTGGAGATTTGCCGAAATGCGGGATTTGCAAAGTCGGACCCATTACTATAACTTCCCACTGGGAATTTAATATTTATATAAAAATGATTCAACAGATTATTTTACCTTTCAACTTTGATCACAGATAAAAGTGTTAATAACATTATGTTTGAAAATTGATTTAATAAATAAATACAGTAATCACTGAAAAGCATTAATATACAGTCGGGCAGAATTTATTTACTAAGTAAATTTATAAAAATCTTCAAATGAGAATACAAATTATTTATAATTTCTGTACCACGTCTTTGCCATAAACTAGTTAAACAATTTCAATAAGGTTGTATATTATTCAAAGATACCATTATAACATAAATATGTAATTTCAAGAAGAATTCATGTTCTTACAGAATTCTAATAAAGGATCAAGATGAAACAAAAGGAAATCATCTTCAGTCCAACTTTGATGAAAAACTTTGTCCGGACTCGACTGCAATGATCAAAGTTCGTAAACTTCATTTCTATGCTTATTTAGTCTTTACTCACCTATTACAAAGAAAAACCGCTATTATGGTAGACTTTGAGACCTAATCTAGTCGGTTTAGACAGACAAAATAACTGGACAGGTCAATGTCCGTTTTTTATCTAAGATATTCAGATTTTTAGCTATTTTCATCATCACGGTACTATACTGTGACTATTTCTCTAATTTTAACTGCGCCTGTTTCACTGAAAATGTTTTAAAATAATTGGTTAACTCAAATAAGAACGATAAATTACATTGATAAATTATATGCTAATAAAGTATAAATAGAACAGTTTATCATCTCAATTTATGAAAACTGTATCATACGAACCTCATACATTATCCATTAAATTTTAATTTTACATCAGAGCTTTTTTTCTTTTCCCAAAAGAGTTAGAGATGGAATAGTGCATTTGTAGGTAAATAACTGTTAGTACATATTTGTTTCTATTTAAACAGTAAATATATTATATGGTTCCTACTCAACATAAAATACTACTATCTATTTTACTCACAAAAAGCAATATAAATAAGTCATGTTGGCTTCAATTGCACTTATAATATTTACAATGAAATAATATTGTATATACTGTATGTGTCATCAACGTTGTTTTTAATTTTTTGTTTTACTTATTTTCTCTAACTGTCTCCCATAATGATGAAAAATTCATTTTTTCGGTACTACAAATATTATGTTTGTTAGACATCTCTATTTTTTTTCTATGTTTGTTTTAATTTTTCATGAGAATATGAAATTAGGTAAATATCAAATACATGTAAGTAATTTCAGATTTAGTTCCCATCACAGAAAACTGATTACTGTGGTGAATTAACATCTGTGTGTTTTATTTCTTTTTATATTAATGACGAGTGAAACCGTGTGAATGTGAAAAGTAACGATCGACATTTGTTTCGTAAGGTCTTCTCTTCAATCGTAAGATTACCAAGCAATTGTTGTTTTTTCTACCGTGAATATTCATTGAAAATGCAAACATAATACTTGAAATTCTCAAATTTATCATTTCAAGGTCTTTACAATGCATAAAAAATTTTTATCACTTTAATTAATCGATTTTTTTATTTAAAAAATAATCTTAGCTTATATATGGCACAAAATTTTCTTGTTTAAAAATTCGGAAACCATCGATCCATTAATAATTTATCGATTATCTAATACTACTGTTCTATATTCTACCATATCTATTTATTTTACATCCATATTTGCGCAGAATCTACGTGTGGGTTATGGCTTTTCACACTCTCTTGAGTTTTCACCTGTATAATTGAGAATAATTAATATATAGTTATTGATTGACATTATAATCCAGTGCGTATATTATTTCAAAAGCAAAATACATCGACTACTCACTTCGAATATATTGCTATGTCCTTGGTAAGGATATATGCCACCAAATATATAGCGGTAAGATCCGAAATGTCCAATCCGATATTTTCCTGGTTCTGCATTTAATGGAATTTCCCACTTGATTTCCACTTCACTAGTTCCCAAAATTACCGACGTTCGAACCCAATGAAATCTACGCATTATTGCAAAAAAATATATTATGTATATATTGACGACTACAGTTGCATAATAGATTAAAAATATTCTACATATTTTTTTTTTGTTTTGAAGTGATAACTTTCAAACTATTCCAATTACCTTGTTTCCCAGTCTGCATCAGTAGCAATTTCAATCCAAGTATCATTTTCGAGTTTTTCGACAGATAGGAAACTTCTACCGGTCATTAAATTATTTCTGGGATGTCCAGCCACCTGTAATAATGACCAAAAAATTTCTGTTAACATTAATTTTATTTTGGAGTCAAAAAAAAAATGATCGTAAGATTATATGAAGTATTTAGAGGCACAATATGAAAATTTAAACGTGAGATAAGACTCTAAAATAGAGTAGAAAGTGAGAAAAAATTGAATAAAAAGTGCATCAATACATGAGTTAGAAAAATATAAGTTTACGATAAATTTAATAAAACCGTATTATAATATGAATCCCTCAAGGATAAAAGTACGATCATCTTATTTTATGGGATCGTGCTATGTATTTCTCGTCAAGTTTAATAGATAGCATTGACACAACCTTTATGGTACAAGTATATAATAAAAGAAATAATTGCATGAAGTAATATTCGATTCCTAGTATATATAGATTACGGGCCATATCCAATATAAATGAATAAATATAAAGTCTATGAAGAACAAGAAAATTTTTCTCAGGTGTTTTTTTTTATGTACAAATTAAATTAACATAAAAATGTAGTAATTCTCTATTACTTTAACATACTATTAGAATTTTACTTTGCTAAGTGAATAATAATGATTGAAAATCTGGTAATCTAACAAAGTATAGTTGAATTCATGAGCCATGTGCGTAACATTATCACAAGCTATAAGAAAATTGCTCAAAGATTGTGTAACATAAGTACATTTGCATTTAATAATATTTACTTATGTAATTGATGCTAATATTTATTAAATTTTTTCTACTTTCTACTTTCGTATGAAAATGTATTTTCTGTTATCTTGGTCCAACTGTATTCTTTTTCTATTTTCGTTAAATTATTTTACCTATATGTATTCGTGCTTTAATCACCAATTAGTATTTATCAACTACTAGAACTACAAAAATATAAATATCATTACATTTCTACTTTAAGTACTATAATCATAGTTACAACATTAATTATTGTTATTATAAAAATTTGTAGATATGAATAAATTTTGTTACCAAATGTCGTTAAAAAAAAATTATTTTTCATGAATTCCCCAACAATACAAATAAACTGAGTGAAAAAAACCTCAAAGACGATTGTTGGAGCTTATTTCTTTTCATTCTAGTTAATTAATTTTACATTAAGTTCGCAAGGAACTATAAAGAAACCAAAGATCCTAAGTCGATAATTATTTGCTGTGTCAATCAGTCGATTGAAAAAAAAAGAAACAAAAAAATAATTACAAAAGTCACAGAGACAGTATCGCCTGGCCAAACAATTTTCTCCGATTGATGAATACAATCTCCAAAATCTTTTCCCCATTTTGGCGTATCATAAATCACAGAAGTTTGTAAGCTTATTAATCTCTCAAGAGTAAGATCGGGCGGACTTGGTCCTGGTTCCAATTTTATACCCTGCAAAAAATTCATACAAATTTTCAATATTATCATCGTATCAGTAAAAGTAGCAAAAAATGAAATTAGAAATCAATTCTGATAATTTTCAGTAATATATATGACAATTTACATCCTAAAGCACATTAATAATTCAGATTCAAAACTAGTTTCAATAAGATTGTGAAAATTGAAATTTTTTTAATTAAGCTGATTTCGTGTAACTATACAAATTACTTCTTTCAAAATTATTATATAAATTGCTCGAGAATGTAAAAAAAAACTCTCCTGAGAAGTGTATATCTATGTAAAGAGTTAATAACTTTCGAAAAAATTTAATAATCTTAACATATCTCTTCCGCTTTAGGACAGAATTTTACTCACTTGAGTGGCAGCTGCTGCTAGCTCTCTATACTGTTTCAAATAAACAGTGAGTGTATGCGGTCCATATATTGTAGATGCTCCTTCATATCTTTGTATCTACATGAAACATACATACAGTTGAAATTTATATACCAGGCAATATATCTAAAAAAAATAGTACATTCATACTTCATACTCCTCAGGAGTTGTGATGTAATCGCTGTACGTGTTGCAGAGTCCAGCGATGACAACTACTGGTTGTATCTTAGTATTCTCTTCAACCACAGATGCAATCATTTCCCGTGTTCTTCTACCAGACATGGTTGTGAATTCGCCAGGTACACCAGCTATCACCAAGTCACCAACCATCGCCAAATGAGTCGAGACTATTTTTGGCTGCCACAGATATGGTAATCGCATCTGTAAATACAAAAAATGACTTACAATAAATTTTATCACATTTTCATAATAACGAAGCGTATATGAGAGAGAACAAAATTAGGCCAAGTATTGCATTTCTTTTCTAATCTAAACATTTCAACTTTTAAAAATTTTTTTATTCGTCAACAATCCTTAAAAAAAAATTTCCCAAGTTTTTATAATTTTTAATTAGATCAATTTTACCAATGCTCGCAACGAGCTATTTTTAAACTCGTGTACAATATTAAAGTTCATTGTCAAGTAAATAGTAAATTATTTAAATAAGCTCAGTATCATAAAAAATCGCCAACTTTATATCTAATGTATCTAAGGTACATAAAAAATTAATGAAGGGTAAACGAAAAAATCCAATAATTCCTCATAAATTTTAAGAACTTCTAGGGAACTTTAAGCAACTTTTTCAATTATTTTCATGTTAATAATTTTGTTATAAATAAAATGTTAAGCTTCATTATTATATCTCTCTGAGTCAAAAGTTTATTTTTTTTAATATTAAATTATATATGTCAATCATAATATTATATTCTATTATAGAAATAAGAAAAAAAACGCTTTTTTGATATCAAAAAATGCATTATTATAATAAAAGTCATTTATTTTTTATTCTACCTACCCGCCCTGTGGCTAAAAGTATCGGTTTAGCCCCATGGCATTTGATATCTTCATCTGTGGGAGCCGCAACAAAGTTCCTCACTGCGTTCCACATCGGATTTGATGTTTTTGTACCTTGTTCAAAAGCAAATGACCCAGGCCCATCAGTGGTACCAGCTGCAAAACTATATCCCATAGCTGGTAAACAGGTCTCCACCTGGAATTAAATGAATAATTAAATGAATTTTAAGATAATAATTTTTACAATACAAACTTATTATTTTTCTTTAATTAATACCTCTTCATTATTATTCGTCGATTGATTGAAAAATTCCGCTTTTTGACCTGGCATTTTCACAAAACGATGAACAATTCGAACTGGTCCTTTTAATTCTACAGCATTTTTTTTGTTCCAAATATTCTGTAATTAAAAAATTTTATTTGTGACAGACAGTTAAATAATTTGTTCGAGATAGCTTAGTTTAATTGAATAAAAAGCATCAAGTGAATTATATTTGACTATTGTCAATGAAAAACAGAAGAAATTTTATTTCTATCAACAAATGATTTTTCAATAATTGTTTAACGACGGAAGAATTTAAACAACTCCTGTATCAAAAACTGTAATTAAAATTAAAACACAAAATATGCTAAACGTTGCTATTGAGAAATTTTCGAGAGAAATTTAGCACGAATTCATCTGCTACAAATCAACATCTTGAGGTGCAATCGACAATGAAAACATGTGGAACACAACGTGTCAGTTATATTCACGTGGCTAACGCCCGTGACGACATTTCATCTATATTGTCCTACTCAAATATACAATTTGCATTCGTATTAACCTATACATAGGTATAATTAGCATTATAATAGTGCAGAAATGGGTTCCAAACCATGTGGTACTTGTGCGTGTCGTTATTGCGTTGAGACACGACGGGGAAAGCGCCGGAACCGCGGAAGAAGAGGTATAGATTGCAGGCGTATTTAAATAAAAAATATGTTTATATATTAATTAGATATTACCTTAAAACTTTCTGCTTTTTCCATTTTAACGTAATACTCTGAATAATTATCGGCTTACTTTAAAAATTGATTATAATTTTAATATTTACATGTTGATTTAGAGTTAATGAGCAATCTTTATCTTTTATCAATTATTTATAAAATCTATTTCATATGCAGTCTTCTTTAATTAAGTTATTATAAAAGATTTATAACTTTGTATTCATAATTTTAGTAAAATTTATGTTAGTTATAACCAGAATATTATTTATTTATTTTATACACAAATTTTATAGTCAGTCTTTCCGCATAGTTTGTTAGAAATATTACACATAAGAGACTTTACCTTATATGTTCATATAACTTCCGTATGCACAAAGAGACTTTTCTTTAAGCAAAAGATATATACAAATATACATAACTACCATACATTATTTGATTCATTGTTAAACGAAGAAAAGGCTCTAATTTTTTTGTTTTACAGATAGACGTGTCTTCTACTTTTAATAATATTTTATGTAAGTCTAATGCTTTGTTCAAATGCAAAAGTATTTAAGGGAGATCTAGAAGGTTTTTTTTCTCTTAATTTTCTTCACTTCTCATTTTTATCTTTTAATTCTTGAATAATGGATGTAAATTAAGTCTTCAAGAGACAAACGGATGAATAAAAACTTGAACAGTTTTTATTTTTTATATTATGATAAAATAACTGACAAATACCTGATAAAGCTGAAAAATTCGCCTTATTTTTAAAGCTCTTCATAAATTTCAGTATTGATTTAAATAGATAACAATTAAAAAAAAAGGCAAATGTTGGTACAATTTTCGTGATAAACTCAAATTATCTGAAAATACCTTGATAAATTTAGATGATAAAATAGTGCAAAAATGTCAGATAATTAAATAAGCTTAATTTTTAATCATTCATTGAAAATTATAAAAGTATTAAACAATTTCATTTATCTTAATAATGCAATATCGCAATAATTAACGTGTCCATAATTACATGATTGTTTTTTATTTATAACGAGATATAAACCATTTATAGTTACATTACATTAATATAATCTTAAACTGAAATATAGCATTTATTCAAAATAATATCATATATTGTGATAGGATATTATTTACAGAGTATCTCAAATTAAATACTAAAACGATGTATTTGATTATGTAATTTGTATTTTATATCTAAAGAGAAATTATACAGTAGAGGAAATTTAAATATATGTATATATTTTGGATATTCCCGTACAATACATAACTTCAAAGTTATTAAACTATAATATTACAATGATAATTGTACACGGAGAGAATTTTTTTCACTCAATGTAAGTGCACGTTTCGGAATTTATAAGTAAAAATATTTCTGCTTAATAGTGAATTTTGGGTTGTCATAAGTAATTATTTTATTAAGTCGCCTCTTAAATATCATGTAAACCTACGACAATCCCAAATTCACTGTTTAATAAAAATATTTTTACTTCTAAATTTCAAAACATGGACTTATCACGTACATTTAGTAAAAGAATTCTCTCCGTTTAAAAATAAATTTTAATGTTGTATCGATTGCAATTATTAATTTACAACTCTCTAAAAAAACGAAATGCACTGCAAAATCAATGAATATTCACTGGTTTCATTTTTAGAGAGTAGAGTGTTGAATTTAGAAGCAATCCTAAAGCATGATTATTGTGCTTAATTTACGTTTGATGTATAATTTACATCAAAATATCTTCAATATCCTTCAAAATAAAATTATTAACTCAAAAAAATTAGTGACAACATAAATGTTACGCGTGTGAACGTGGAAAGATGTTTGCTCCCATAATAGGCGAGCTTCACCACTCAGATACATATTGGACTAATCAACTGTCGATTCAAATGCAATTGAATGAAGCAATATGTCGTAAGAGCCCTTATATTAGACTGTATTACTTTTAAGTTTATATACAAATATATTACGTCGTAGTACGTGGTAATTGGTGAAATCGATTTTATCATTTACCTTTTTTTTTTTATAAATAAATTTAAAATGAAACTTCGTTGATACTTTCCAACCGATTTTCATAGATTGTAAAATCATCTTTAGGTAATATATATTTATATCGATTACGCTTTTCAATTAATTTCAGATGATCATACTAGTAATTAAAAGGTAGAATTTGCTTAAACAAAGCTTCCAATTATTGTTGTTGATTTTCATAGATGTGAATTAGTAGATTGTATTAATGAGTAAAATATATAAAGCAATTACAAATACCTCGTTATCGGTTAAAGGAAGGGGTATGTACTATGAAGATAATGAATTGTATCAATGAGAACCTAGTATATGAACTTTAGTACAGAGAAAATAATCAAAGCTAATGCAACAGATATTCTCTCTTGGTGTATCTCAATCCGTTTTACTGTGATGCAACCACCATAAAACATAGTCTTCATGTTCTTATCGTGTAAGAATTATAGCGGAACTCATGTCCCTCGAAAAGTCTGACCTACATCGACAACTTTAATGCTGAGATATAATACATAAACTTTGCGCGTTTATTCACTATTTACCACCTCATTCAGTGGGAATGCATTATTGAAAAATAAAAAAAAACTCTTAATATATAGATCAAAGGTATCTTTTTTATTTTCAATTATTCTTCCTTGTTCTAAATGTGAAAAAATGACTTCATAAAATAATAATATTGTTTCATGTGAATAAAAAAATAGAGCTTCAAGTTTATCATTTTTATTTGATGTATTATTTTTAAATGCGAATCAAAAATGTTTGCTTCAGTAATGAAAGTGAAATAAAATATAAAAATTATGAAATATTTATGTTATTAATCCTTTAAGAAAAAAGATCAACTTTTTAAAAACTCATTGCCAAGTGAATGAAAGAAATAATGGACATTTTTTTTCTCTATAAAGCTTTTGTGTTAGAAAACAATTGAATTTTAATCGTGTGAAAGAGCCACAAAAATGTCAGTCTCTGTCGCAAATTTACAAATACCTATGAATGCATTTAGAAAACTGACCTTCAGGATATTTAAACAAAAAAATAGATCTGAGCTTAGTTTGTGCCCTGATAATGAACTTCCCTTTAATTGAAATCCGTAATTTTATCATCTTTTAGTTGTTTTTGTTTATAACAAATTGCTATTGTTAGAAAACATATTCTATGTTTTATCACATCACATCATTTATAACAACATTTTATTGATATTTATTGAATATAATTGGAATTTTTATAAACAATATTTAATTATTTACATACATACATTCATTTTTAAACCTTTTAATATGTTTCTAAATGTCTCAAAACGTAAAGAAATGATAAAATTACGGAATACAATTTTAATCAACTCCATTACAATGATTTCCTAATGGAAAATTAATATAAAAATAGAGTACATAATACTTTAATGAAAATTGCTTTGTCCGAATTACATGGATATTATGTTTTCAACTAAATCTCATGAATATTTACTTATCAACCAACGGCAACAATTTTAAAATCAGTAAATTTTTGCATCTTTCTTTTCATTCTTTATATTTCATTTAAAATAAATTAAAAAATTTATTATAAAAGAATAACTATATTTATCATTCAAATAATTTCATTAGTCGGGTTGTAAAGTCACGAAAAGCCATTTTTATACAGAAAAAAGTATAGAAAATAATATAGTCAAACATCAAATAGTTAAATCCTTTAGTAAACTCGATAATAGATGGTATAACAGTCTTTTTGTCATAATTTTCACATTTTTTCAAACTCCGTAACCATATGAGCTTAGTTGATGATCATTAATCTTTCTTTTCGCCCTTATATAAACCTTTCTACTTATTTATAATCTCATAATCACTGCAAGAGTTTTGAAACTTAGATGATATGATTTACATCATTAAATCTATCTTATGTCATTTGCAATGCAGAACATAAGTTAAAAGTTCTTAAATATTTAAATTATTATTTTTCTATACAAAAATCATATAGAGATAATTATCTTAATAATTTATGACTGTGGAAATAAAAATTTTATTTATAACGATTAAATATCACGTTATAATTCCCAAGATTATTTTTTATAAGAAACAAGGACTCATCTAAAAATCAAGTTAGCTAGCATTATCTGTAATCTTAGTATTGGTTATTAATGTAAATCAATGTGTATGCAAACAAAGGATTTTACGACACTAAGTATAATTTTTTTATCTTTTAGACTCTTTGGAGCAATATGGCTCACCTAATTGGTACGTTAATTTGCTCTACAAGATCACGCTGAGCTCAATATTATAACAACCCGTATTATGCAAGATTTGCTTGATTATGCAGAATCCATGAACTACACTATCCAGTAAAACTAGAATGTTTCGTCGTTGTCTTGCTCTTTCTCGTCACTATTCAATTTTCTTGATTATTCTTTCCCACGCTAGTCCTCACCCTCACAGATTAAAAATTCACCTACAATGCTAATTACATTGTTCGACATTTGACTATATAAATTTCATTCTATTTCAATAACAAAATTAGACGTTATAGGGTTTTTTTTTTCAATTTAATATTCGTATCTTTATTTTAACTCAATACTCGTTCTAATTACTTTTGGAGTTCTTTGACTATTATACTCTAGTTTTAATGTTTGATTTAGACTTTAAAAAAATCCAATTAATTTTTTAGGTTTCGTTGTTACCAAGAATATCAATTAAAACTGATTTACTGAACAAATATTTAATCATAAAAAATATTAGTATTTAATTTGTTGATTATAATAATTAAATACAATATTTTGGTAAGCATTTATATTGATGATTAAAAATGAACTTGTTATACTATTACATTTCATTTTTCTATTTTAATCAAATGTTAAATTTAAATTAAAAAGAAAACACTATAACCATGTATTGTATTAAATCTTGAATTATAAAAAAAAATGAACAAAGCTCAAAAAATTCATGTATAAAAGAAATAAAAAAAATAAAATTCTAATGAATAAAGAAACAATTCAATATTGTGTCACAGACTTGGATAAAAAACGTAACTTGTCGTTCTGTTGTATGAAGTCATAGAAATATTGACCCCAAGGATATACACATTTAAGATTTTTTTGCACCGCGCCTCTTTATCCTCGGTCATTATGGTAACCACAAAAGAATATAAGGGATTTGCATATATCATGAAGAGGAGTTGATACACGGGAACTTGGGATAGAGTTAAAGTTGTATCGTGTTGTTCTGTGTATCACAGTGTGTGGTTCACAGGATTGTATTGAAATGGCAACTCATAAACAATGCATTGCATAACTCGGGCAGTGGAGTAGTAACATGAGGATTGACACAAGCGTGACACGAGAGAGCATATATAGATGGGAGGGATATGATGACGATGAAGAGAAAGAGAGAATAAGCAGTTGACTTGTGATTTCTTATATATGCTACACTTGCTCTTATAACCATGTGTATGTACAGATACTATGAGCGTGGGACTTTGAAAACTCTTTCCACACCCTAAACAATGAGACAGTATTTTTTTTTGCTATTTTTCCGTGTTATGTGAAACAATTAATACTATTAATTTAATTAACATATATTTGATTTTTTGAATTTTTATTCTATTCGTAGGATGGAGTTTTGAATTTTTTATTTATTGAATTGGATTTGATTTTGTGGTCTTTGAGAAACTTTTGTCGACATCTCTATACTCAATCAGATATCATTGGATTTACTTTTGTTACAACTGTTTCCACTACGAGATCGGTGGAACCTTTGGGAACCTGATCATTATTGTAAAAAAGATCTCCTACATCCCTCAAATAAGTATCACGAGAAACTGCTCTCTCAGAACCGCTCCAGATTCTATTTTAAATGGCAGACTTGTAAATCTTACGGAATCAAGATCTTGCAAAATATTCTGTCGATTATTATAATATTTCCTGATAAATGATGTACTTTTTTCTTGTCAATCTGTGAGAAACCTGACAAAACTAATCAATTATTTTATCGATTTACATTTATTGTACGTCCATTCTTTGGAGCTTTAATAATTTTATATTTTTTTTTGAAGAATTTTTTAATTTCTTTATGGAAGATAGAAAAAATTAATTTAAATTTATAATAGAAGTCAATAGAACTGAAATCTTTCAAAAAATTAAATCCATCTTGTGATTAATGGGAAAAATTTAATTTACAATATTTATAATTGAACACTTTGAATATTTATAAAGAATTTAATTTAAAACATCGATAAGAAATATTGCACCAGATTTGAAAGAATGATTGTTGAAATTGTACTCAAGTTTAATGAAGAATCTATTTATGTTTGTTTTTTCGTTTTTTTAATTTATCGAAAAATTTTAGAGATATTCTTTGAGAATTTTGCTTTCGACTGAAAATTTCATGTAAAATAAAATTTAGTTTGAGCAAAGCTTATCACTTTTAGAAAAATATTTCTGGTTTAGAATGTAAAAGCATTTTAAAAATTTTTATGTAATAAAATACAAATAAAAAAAGTTTAAGTATTCTTCTATAAAATTCAATTCATATTTATTCCTATACAAAGAGAAAATGTTTTCCTTGTCTTAAATTAATTGTAAAATATTATAAAGGACTACTATCAATGGAATTCTATGAGATAGAAAAAAATTTTATATTAAAAAAATTCCATCAGGTAAATGAATAGGAAAGTCATGTTAATTTGATATATGACAAGCTAAAAGACAGTAAATAAAGATAAAAAATGAATAACGAGTTGAAAAAAATGCTCGAAAAAGCGTAAATTTGGATGACTTTCGCAAAGTTCTTATTAAATGAATATATTTTGTCTTAATAGTAGAGTCATTATTATACTTCTTAATTCTATTTTTATTTCAAAAGTTGATGCTACGCGGACGAACGCGTGCGACTCTTGTGGCGACGTCAGTAAAACGCAAAGATGTTTACGAAACTCCATTACCACACGTGTGTTGGAGTTGTAATAAATGGCTATACGCAAGCCCGTAGTTCCGCCGATGTATCGGTGAAATGCTAGGATGTCATGCCTGTCGTCCTGTGACCATGCGGACATTCCAACCACCTTCAGGACAAAATCCACCACGGAAGTTCTTTTTGCCATCATTCCATGAAAATATTATATTACACAACTTTTCCCGAAAACTTTCCTAATCACCCAAGCTAGAATTAAAGTCACAGTGTGTGGATTAACATCAACGTTACATCAATAAGACATATATTCAACTAGTAATCAGTAAATGATTATTTTTATTTAAATTATTACTTTCTCTTACCGTCGATTTGTCAATTGATCATTTTTAAGTAAATATATAAATTTAGTCGAATATTGATAAAGAAGAATAATAATTTAATAATGAATCATAATTTGAATTAATATAAAATGTTGTTAACACAATTATTATTTGTTTTGCACAATTTAAAATATTCTGATTGAGTCTCTTTAATGTTTGTTGAACATTGGGGAAAATGTAGTTATTACTATCAAATTTCGAATAACTTTTTATACAAATTTATTTATATATTTTAATTTGTGGACTGAAAAATTTAATTTATTTTACTAAAAAATCTTATTATGATGGAATAACATTTTTAATTAAATAGTTTATATTTAACGGATGAGCGATACATTTAAAACTTTGTTCCCTTCGGCCACAAATTGTTTGATTTTTTTAAAAAAAAATCTTTTTGTATAAAATATCCTCTAACTACACTTGAAAAAAAAAAATCTCAACAATATGTTGATAAATTTACAGAAAAGTTTTTGTCTGTAAAGCAGAGTAAAAAATAATTTATACCTTTGAACTATTTATAAATGATACAAATTTTATGCAACATGAGAAAGTTTGAGTCACAATTGTAAAAATGTCTTTCAACAAAGTATTCCACTGAATATCTGTCAGTTCATTGAAAGAAATTTATTCTGCTTTTAACTTAAATATGCGTTCTTGTTTAACGATGATTTTTGGTGAGAGGAGAAAGACAGCAAAAGTGCATGAAACCTTGAGAAGTTACCGCGGGATGTTAATAGTAGGAGGAATACACTGGTGTTTTTAAGCCGGAACGGTACTTAACTAGGTGGGAGATGTATATAAAAACATCAGAGAGGGATGATGACTATCAGTACCTTGTCGTTCGTACTTGAAATACACAACCCATCAACTGCTCATTTAATCACGATGATTAAGGTACGCGTGTGTTATTGTGTACTTGTTGGTGATTTATTATTCAATTTTTATTTTATCATTCTATAAAATACTCTATTTTATAAGGATAATTGAAATTTTATTGAAATAACAAGTGTAAATTAATGCAATTGCCTTGTTAAGATTCAATAACTAATTAACTCTTTAATTGCAGACATTATCATAACAAATAGATCTATTCATATTTTTGTAGTAAAATTATCAAAAAATTAATTAAACCAAATTTAATTGAAAAAGGTTTAGATGAAAAAATGTCTAGTTCTTTATGAAATTTAATTATAAAAGGATCAAAGTGATTGAAATATTTTTTGTTAATTAAATTAATAGGGAAAGTGACCAAGACTTATTATTAACACATCATTCTATGTCTTTTTTCAAGGCCTGAAGAATAAAAAGACTCTACGACGAAAGTACATACAATATTCTATACCTCTATAGATGAGGAAGTGCGTTCTTAATGTCTCATACAGTTGTATATACTTTCCCATTTTTTCTTGTTCACTTTCGCATCAATTTTCTATGTTGAATTTTCAATAAATCAATCACAAGAAAAAATTGAACATCCATAAAATCCCGAGAAAAATTTATTTTCCAATAAACCAGGAAAACATTTCACTACTGATTAAATATTAGATATAACTAGTAGTAATTAATAATTGATATTTCATTTTGTTTTATAAATTCCAGATATTGAGTTTATTACTAGCATCAGGGGTGTGTAATGCAGTGTTAATTGGAGATAATAGCGCACACGGGAACTATCCAGAGTATGCTCATTATGAAGGGTTAAGTAACGAGTATGAAGGACATCACATTCTCCCTACTGTATCTGTACCAATTCATTCAGTATCAGCTGCACCCTTTCATGCTGAGCCTCATCACGACATTCATCCTCACCATCATCCAATCGAGCACCACGATCATCATCACGACCATGATTACTACGTAAATATGAAATCTTTTATTTGATTGCAATTATCTTATTATCTTGAGCTATTTTGCTATTCTGTTTAAATAATATAATTTTATATTCATAGAGAAGCATCTTTTTTTCCAAATAATTATCATTAAATATTGATTTAAATAAAATAAAATGATGAATAGAGTGATTAAGTTTGTCAGTAAAAAAGTAATTGATTAATATTGTGCAGTATTATTGGTTTAATAATAAAATGTATTTTTCCCTTGTTCAAGTCTCATCCAAAATACACATTCAATTATGGAGTTCACGATCCTCACACTGGTGACGTAAAAACCCAGCATGAAGTTCGTGATGGTGATGTTGTTCACGGTTCATACAGTGTTAATGAGCCTGATGGTAGTGTTAGGATAGTTGAATACACAGCGGATGATCACAATGGCTTTAATGCTGTAGTGAAAAAGGTTGAACCTTCTTTACATCCTGCACCCATTCACGTTGCCAAATACGTCACAGCTGCACCCGATTATTATGGATATGAATTTGATAAACACCATATTTAGATAATTATTGTTTTATAAAAAAATTATATTTATAATTTATGCATACTCATGTATATTTTTTTAATTGTATTTTGTTTCTTAATGTGTTCATCAACTATTGTATAAGAAAATTTATAAATAAAATGAATGATTGATATTGTAAAAAGAATCGACAATAAAAAACAAAAAAAACAGAAATGAAATTCATAGTTAAATAATTTTTTTATTGTAATTTCAGTAATTAAAATAAATGATAATAAAATGAAATAATTATATTTCAATATATTTTTAGCTGTTAAATATTATTATAATTATAAGTGATCTATTGAAGATTAAATCGAAATACAACTGTAAAATATCTCATGAATAAAATTACCTCATAATTATATAAAGAAAATTTAAAAATTTTAAATTTCTGTAATTGTATTTTATCGGTTAATTAATTAAAAGTAAATTTGACCCATAATAAAAGAGATAAAAATGAAAAACTGTTACTTCACATTTTTTTTATTAAAAAAATTTCTCATTTCTTGTTGTTCAAAAAGACAAATGTCTATGTTTATTATAGATGCTTTTACATAACATTCGTTACGAAAGTCACTCAAAAAGTAACATACATATAATAAACATTGTCACGTACATGATCGTGAGACAGAGGAGTCATAAAAAACAACGTAGATGTATGAATAAATTAATGGTTGATCTAATTGATAGTGATTGATATAAGCGATTATTTAGTTTAATTAACAGCTAATTACAAACTAAGCTTCTCTCCTTAACTTTTACTAGAGAAAAAGGAAGCACTTGCCGGGAAATAAGGTTTAAATAAAGGCAGCAAGTGAGTAATTCATGAAAAGTCATTCAAAGTTAGAAAAAAAAGCTCGAGAAACCGAATGAGAATAAATGAAACTGAGTGCTAAGGAAGAAAAAGTCATTCCATATTCATAACATTATTGTTTAGCACTTAGACTTTGTTAAATGTAGTATAATACTAAGTAGTTTTCACTAACTAGAATCTTCCTCGATGACATGGAACTTATTTTTATTCGTTTATGATCATTTAAGATTATATTGTGTTGTGGTAATGAACCTGCAATAATTTCATCTATCATGAGAGAATTAAAACAGAAGAAATTAAATAACATGAATCTAATTGCATATTTTTTAAGTTTACAAACAATCACTTGTAAACATGAGCATTATCTTAATTAAACATTTCATTTTATATATTCCGTTATTATAAAAAAAATCTGATGAATATTTCATGAATCATGATTTTCATTTACAAAAATATATTTCCAAAATAAATACAATAAATAGATTCCAGTCGTTGAAAAAAAACAAAATTGATATTCGTAGTGTATACATAAAAGTATCATATTCAGTTAAAAATAATTATTTACGGTAAAAGTATTTTGTTATCAACAGTACATTTATTTTGCTGAGAAAAATAGTTAAAACTGTAATAATATTGTTGTTTTTAAAAAGTTGAAAAGAAAATTGGTCATAAATTCTATAAATTGAAAAGAATTTTTAAAAAATGGATTACAGAAAAAAATTTCAACCTAAAAAATGTAAAAAAATTATAGAAATTGCATTGTATTTTTGAACAAATATAAATTTAGATGCAAAAAAATGTTTCTCCCATTTAATTGTTGATAATGAATTAAGCAATTATTCATGCATGAGCGAATAAAATATAAACTTGGCCCAAACAATTACTTTCATTTACATGCATTTACTTTTTCAACTGTTTCATTGATAAGTGAAGGTAATTAAATACTCCAAAAAGGTCTATTGTATTTTGGAAAAACATTAAATCCAGGTCACGTCCTTGCAATTTTGAAATACTTAATGTTCTAGACACTGATAGTCACTCTACTGTGACCAATTTTTCTGACTATAAATTTTGCCTGAATTCAGATGTCAATTATTAGTCATTATCTAGACTCTTAATAGCTAACAGTAGTCAACATGTTGAAGGTACAGATAAATAAATTCAAAATTTTTAAACCATTACTTTACTTTAATAATAAAATATTTATGTAATAAAGTTTTTAAAAGTATTGTAAATTGCTGTATTAATGAAATTTTAATTTATTCTAGTTTGTAACTATCTTTACAATTTTACTTGCTGGTAGTCAAGCTGTACCAGTTGAAGATTATGATAATATCTACGATGAAAGTATTTATGAGAACCATGAACCTGCAGTTTATCATCCAATTAATTACCCCGGTTTGTACTCAGGATATGGATACGGTTACCCACACTATGATTACTACGTAAGTTTTATTTATTTATTTTTTTTTTTTTTCATTTAATAACTTCAACAAGATTATCAAGTTCTCTAGCTTATTCTTGAACAATATTATGAGAATTATAAGCTCAAGAACTTCTTAAAAACGAATTTTCGTTTCAATTAATTTAGTTAGTGATGTGATGAATAATAATCTATGAATTACTAACAAAGGATTTAATTATTTTCTCCTTTAAGAAATACCCTCAATACGCGTTTAATTATGGAGTGAATGATCCCCACACCGGAGATGTAAAATCTCAACAGGAAGTACGTGATGGAGACGTAGTCAAAGGATCTTATACTATAAACGAACCTGATGGAACTATTCGAGTAGTTGAATACACTGCCGACGACCATAGTGGATTCAATGCAGTTGTCAAGAAGATTGGACATGCAATTCATCCGGTTCCTACTTCCAAATATGAAACTATACCCATTGCACATGTTGGTCATCATAACTATGACTATCATTACTAATTATTAGTTCTATCAAATATTCAATTTAATTTATAAATATATAGATATACTCTAAATGTTAAAAATTATTCAATGCAAAATTTTAATATTTTATAAAATTAATAAATGTAATAAGAATATATTTTGTTTTCGTATTTACCAAAAAATGTACATAAAGTAGATATTGTTGTTGAATATATACTCACCAATCACAAGTGTAACTGATGAATAATAAAATTTAAAACCAATTTCTTTATGAATTTTTTGAAAAATCATTAAATCAAATAAATTAATTAATTAATCAATTCATTTGAAATTATTCTTATTTGAATGGATTGAAAAAAATGAATCAATGATATTATCTAATAACTTCATTGAGAAATAATTATGAATATAAAAGTCATCAAACTAATTGATGATATAACTTTTACGACTGTTTACAGTTAGATAAAAACACGTGATAGCTTGGAATCTGATAAAACAATGTCTACAACAAGATCTAAATCTTAATCAAATTATCAATAAGCTATTGATTCTAAGTATCTAATTAATCTATCATTCAATAAATTTGTTTGTCAATAATACTATTCTCCGTCAATTTTTCCCGAGATCTTAATCAATGAAGCAGCGCGAGATTAAAATCTTGCTTCACTGGAGAAACCGTTTTTTTCTTAAATAACTTCTGTGTAACAGATGAACTTAAAAAAGCCTAATGATTATAACTGAACCATTAATATAAAAAAAATTGTGTCACTATTAGTCAGTAATAAGTTAGAATAAATATGACCTAATTTGAATGGATAAATGAATCATGTGTAAAAAGATGTTATAACTGTTCTAATTTACTGGATTCTTGATTACTACCTATTTAAGTGAGTCACACTAATCGACATTCTATTGATCATCACCTTGGAACCACCCATCGGGCGTAACGAGATCCTTTGCGCTAGTTCACGTCAAACCCATTAGAATTTCTTGTCATCATAGAACTTTGTATTTCTTTCTGAATTTTTTTTTGTCTTCACCTTACTTTTTTTGCTTGTTGGTGCTTAATTCTAGCATTCTCTCACCTATCTACCTTATAATTGGCCTTAATGTTGGAAGACTTTCGCCTACATTCGGTAACTAACTCCAAGTATTCGACGGTTGTGAAAAAAATAAAATGAGATTACAAATAAACGAGACCTTGAATTACACAATTGAATGAGTACTACTTACGATTAGATGGGGAGTCAAACAACGTGTACTGTAACACTGTTATTCTGATTCTTGTTTCGACTATAAAAGACTCACGCACCAACTGCAAAAGTATCAGTTGTTCATTTTTACACTTCTCAGACACATCTCAAGTTTTAAATACTTTTTTAAAATGTTTATGGTAAATTATAATTATTTAATTATTGTTTTATATAAATTAAAATTAACAACGCATATTTTAAATTGTCTACGAAAATGTGGTAGCTATTTTCAGATTAATTTTAAAAAAAGAAAAAAATTTTCTTGCAGATTTTAGTAGTTGTAGCTTTAGCAGTTGCTACAGAAGCCACTTATATTGATCATGGTGAACATTTGAACTCTCATCTTGGATACGGATCTCTCTATGACCATGGTGGTATCTCTCACGGAGCATTTGTTGCTCCAGCTATCCCCAAAGTCGCATATGGTCTCTATCCCCACAGTTATGAGAGTTACGGAACTTATGGATATGGTCTAGATCATCATGATTCTTATGTAAGTTGTTTAAATGTATTACTAAAAAGTTTTCTTTGACTTCACAATATCTCCATAACAATAAAAAAATTTATTCCATCTTTCAAACTTGCCAAGAAAAAAAAACTTGAAGAATCTATCACCCAAGGGTCTTGACAAAACGATTCATCAACTTCAATTTGTCTTTCTTTTTAGGCACCAGCTAAATACTCATACAATTATGGAGTCAACGACCCCCATACTGGAGATGTTAAAAGCCATCAAGAAGTACGAGAAGGTGATGTAGTTAAAGGATCTTACAGCCTTAATGAACCTGACGGCACAATCAGAGTCGTTGAATACACAGCCGACCCAAAAAATGGCTTCAATGCAGTCGTCAAAAAAATTGGCCACGCTATTCACCCTGAACCTGTTCCTGTAGTTAAATATGTTGCGCCACATGTCTACCCGACACATCATGGACATGAATATATTAAATACTAGTTCTAATACCTGACATATTGCGTATAATACTCTACTTATGTCAATGACCGAATAAAATAATTGGATAATTATAATTAATGATTCTTGTTTTTCGATTTAATATTTTTTAATAAGCTCACAAAACTGGTGATTATATTAAAAATTATGAATAGCCTTTGAATTAACAAAAAAAAGTATTCACTTACCGTTGATTCGTTAAATAACTTGTGGGCGATAATTCTAGTACTTTCAAACATATCTTTCCCTGGACCTGACGCAAAGCACATCTCGTTTTTCCCAGGACATGTGTATTGAGCTGAACATTCGTTGCCGGAAAATTCGCATTTAGGTCCACGAGTGTTGGGAGAAACATCACCAAGGTTACTAGAGGCAAACGCAGCTACAAATTCACCCTAATGAAAAGATACAATAAAGAATATTATATTTAGAACACTAGGCAGATGTCTCTTAAAATTGAAGCAAGTTAATTCTTTTCACTGAATGTGAACGTTAATAATAATCATCAATAAAAGGATTTATTAAAAATATCAAGATTTGATCACATCAAAATGATCGTTAAAATTCTACTATTACATATAAGAATTATTTGCTTCAATTCATTATTACATTCTATTTTATAAAGAGCTTATTTTTTTCTCTTATTTACCTGACCTACTAATGCATCTTTATTCATCATTTTTTCGAATAATACTGCAGCGTACCCAACATTATCACTAGACACGAGTTTATTTGTATTGTTCATACTTGTAGGATGTACAGCAAACCAATTAATAATACCTAAAGGTCGACCGTCTGCAGCAATAAATTGTAATTGGGTCATATTTTTGTCAACATCATATTTATATCTAAAATTTGTAAAAATATAATTGTGAAATATAGTATATATATATATATATTAAAATTGACTAGATTTTAATGTTGATTTGTTTGATGTAATTACTTGTTTCTTTCAGATTGAGGATTATTTAAATATGCCATTGGACTTCGATTTATGTTAGCATCTAAAACTTCCCCATGATCGATAAAAAGTTTTCCAGGCACAATTGAATCGTGAGCTCGTTCTATACTCTAAATAAAAAATAAAAAAGAAATATTTTGCATCATTGAATTGAATAGAAATTATTAAAATAAAAGAAATATAGAAGAGTCACTCAATATTATTGAGTCAATTGTATTTTTTTTAAACTTTTTAATAGAAATTTCGAACTTTACCAGTAATAACGTTATTATTATAAATTATATTACCGTCGTGATTCCATTGATTAGAGCTGTAAAACTTTGTTTGATGAACCCAAAAGTTGTGAGATCAAAGAGCATATATAAATTATATCCTCCAGGGCTCGAGTGAGTATGTGTTGCGCTTATCATGACATTTTCTTCAGTATATAAATTTCCAAATTTATCTCGAAGCCTACGAATTACCTACAAAAACATTTAAAGAGATATACATCAAATACGAATTTTATATTAATGTTAATTAATTCAATATTTTTAATTAACTTACAGCAGCACGAACATCATGACCGATCATTGCACTTTCTACACTGACAAAAACGAATCTTTCATTGCCATCATCAATAATGAAACTTCTTGCATAAGTACGTAGATGAAGACCCTCTCCTTTTTGATCAATTTTTGCATATCCCATCTAAAAAAAAGAAAAATATTTGTATTAAGCGAAAACATTATTTAACAATAACTCTATTATTAGACAATATTGTTTTTATAAATTCTATGACTCGAACGTAATTATTGTATACTTACAAAGACAATTTCTGCAACCGGCCCAGTAACATCCGCTCGTCCTACTCCAATATTGTAAGATGCCAAAGTCATTTGAGAGGTAATTGAAATAAAAAATAAAAGAAAAAAGAGGGCACGAAGCCCAATGGTATAACAATATGAATCCATTCACTCCTCAGTACGTATTCTGTAATAAATGATAATATATTGTTCAGTATTGAGTAAATTAGCTTTAAAATCAATTAACTCTAGAAACGGTAATTATAATACAAAAAGTATATCTTTTTGTATTCAGTTGCTACGCATAACTGACTTATTAATCTGTTTATATTTATCTGTATTATTTGAAACGATTGTATTAATCTACTTCATCTGAGATGTAGCCAGGAGTTAATTAAGATAACAGTAAGAATAATTAAAATTAATATAGAGATATTAAATGATAATAAAATTATTCATTATTATGCAACTGAAAGCTCTCTTATTAAATAATCTTTTGAATGATGTTGAAATTAAAAGAGAAAAAAGAATTTGCAAAAATTATCACTTTTTAATGTCGTAATGTAATCTTTAAGATTTCTACTTTCACTTTTAATTTAATAAATAACAACACTTTTTATTAAAATAATTAATACATAAACAAATTGTAAACCGTTAAATGTCGCTTTTTAATACAATTATAACAAAGTGACAATTTAAATAGTTTTAACAACTTCTATAACTATGAACATAACAGAAAATATCTCTGAGTGACTATTATTAATGAATTTTAAGTGAAATCACGAAATAAATTTTAGTTAGAAAGCATTGTTTTCCGCTTCAGTAGTTTCAAACGTGTTTCATTCATAGCTCTATATACTTGCACTAATATTTTCACCTGTTGATATCAGCAGATTCTATCGTCACACCTGTTACTTGAACCAGAATCTAAAAGATATAAAATATCTTCTACTAATAAAAAAATAAAAGAACGGATGAAAAATCTTATCTCAAAAATGGACGCATAGCATAATATAGCTGCTGACTAATATCATTTAGAGTCATATTTATCACAACGAGAGAATAAAGACTCAAGAACAAAGGCACGAATAATAATTGAATTACTTATCACTAGTGTCTTTTATTCAATCGACAGATTATATAGCTTCAAAAAAAAAAACTTGAATACTAAAATAATAACTTAATTATCTGTATTTCACTTGAACTGATAATGAACATTATTTTCAAGAGAAAACCAAAAATGATGTAGATTGAACAGATGAAAAAGATAAACTGGATAGTTCTCGTAAAGGTTCTTCTCCCTCTCTTCACACTGAATGCTTACTTTTCTTCTTCTCTTTTTTCTCTTTCTGCATCTGCAAGCGTTTCAATTCCTCAATGATGCTGATGATACACGTGGTCAACTCTCTCTCTACTCAAGTTAACTATACATAAAGTTTGAGCTAAACTAAAGATAAGGAACTAAGTTGCCAGTGGACACGTACGCCCTTCACTTGCTAGTCATGTTCCATTCGCCAATATATTCAGGGTCACTCACATCTTTTCGCTAAACCGGAAGACCATGGAAGAGCGTATCCTGACTTCAGATCTATTCATTGATGTTGATTATCATGAATTGTAATTCAACTACACAATTAATTGTTGGTGGTATTAAAATTTGCAATGTTATATCTTCTTTGTTGATATCATATGTGATTTTAAATGTAATAAAATAGTGACTTATGTTTTCCTTGACTTAAATGCATGCTCTCATTGCTGTGATAGGCAATTTCGTAATTCACATTCCATGTAGTAGTTGCGAATTTCGAAAACCTAGAGGGAATCCACTTAATCCAATTTTTTTTTCTTTTTCGTATCCGTAATTTGATTCATTAATGTTATAGACAGAAAATTCATTTTGTAGTTTCACATTTTGCTTCATCCTCTTCCTTTTCTGAACTTAAATCTTCAGTAATAGCTGAATCACTGCAATTATTGAACATTTTTTTATATTCTCTTTTTTTTTTATTGAACTTTATAATTTTTAAATAATGAATAATCGATTTTTAAGTATCTTGTTTGAAGAAAAATTGAAAAAACTATTAGAAGTTCTTGAAGAGTTGTTCATAAGCCACTGATGTCACTTTCAATTGCTGCGAACTAGCGGTTCTTTAATGTCTGTTGGAGAAAGTAAGAGAGGAAGAGAGACCTTGCATAACATTATAACCATCATTTTGCTAAGTTACTAAAGTAAAACAACTATAAAGTAGATCGCACATTCAGTGATTTCGAAATTCATGGGAATTCATTCACAGAATTGGTTTCAATTCATAATTAAAAGCATTTTTGACAAGAATGCGTAAAACAGGTTATTGAAAAAAAATATGCTTGATTGGCATAAATAAAATGTTTGACAATGCGTTCAATGAGTCGTTCACCTGAAATTATTTTGTCGACAAGTTCTAAAACTTCTCATTTTCAATCATATTAATAACTGCTGACGATCCTAAATTAATAATACTTGAGCAATTTAAAGTTGGAAATTACTTGCATACAAAATTCATTACTTTGTATTTAGCAGTAGAAGCATTAACAAGTGCTGTTAATAATTTTCCATTGTATCCATTTTTATTAAATATTTACTTAACTAGTTATTTTAATTGATCTCAAAATCATTTTCAATTTAACTGTCGCCTATTGTTTATTGTAGTTACTACGATTTTTGACAAAACGAATACATAATACAAATAAAATGAAGAATGCTAAGAATTCTGAAACTCCGGTGGACAATAATGACAGTGAATCCGTTTACATTCCGATGAAAAAGAAATTTAATAAAATTTTTTCTATTTTAGAACGAAAAAAACTTTTTTATGAGATTTGTGCTATTTTTGGTGTTATTGCAATCATTTTCTTACTCTGGTGTTTGGGTTGTGGTGATTATATATTTTACACTGAATGTATGTATTTTAATTTTTTTTTTTACTAACTATTTATAAATTTTAAACATTTTCTTTCAATATTTTACGACCACATTGTTTGTACAATATTTTTTAAAAAACGAATAAATGTGAATTTTTTCAAAGTTTATTTAATTTTAAAAAGTAATAAAACTCTTCTATTTTTCTTAAACATTCTGTAGTAAAAGAGATAAACTTGGATTATATTTAATAACATTAAAAAAAAAAATTGAATTACAATACTTCACTGAAAAAAGTAATTCAGTAATTACTCAAGATCATGTTTTTTTCAGATTCTAATATAAAAAAAACACCAGCTGAAGCAAAGTTTCTAGACACTTCCAAAGAACTACCAACACTAATGAGCTACGAAACTAACATGGATACAAAATGGGAAAGATTTAAACAAGAATATTATGACGGTTTGTTAGATGATTCAAAGTATCGTTTAAAACGTGATGAATCGAGAGTTCTTGAGACGATTAATGAGGTCGACCCAACAATAGCAAATCACGAACGAATAACAAAACAAAGAATAGAAGTTGATACAGAAATAAATAATTGTAAAGCACGTTGGAAATATTGTACAAATATTATAAATTCGTTAAATTCACAAGCCAAAACTGCCAGTGATGCAATTGAAAGTTTAAAACAAACGATCGAAACAATGAAACCTAACTCAGAAAATCCGTCGATTGAAGAATTATATGAATGTTTGGTATGCGAGAGCGCAAGAAAAAGTGACATTAAGAAGATGGATGATAGAGGGTCCGGTGGTTCTCGCCCTTACAAAAATTCTAAAGGATCAAGAAATCAAAATGTAAATCATGTAGTCAATGTATTTACAAATGATAAACCTATTGAAGGTATTTCTAAAGTAGAATTACCTACGTCTAATGGAAATATTCAGAGGGCAGTATTGATATCCAAGTCTAATACAAGTAAGATTCAAGATGGTGCAAAAATAACTCAAGTTATCAAAAATAGAACTGTTATAGAAAGATCAGAAGATTCAGATGAGCCAGTTAAGTTTTATATTCCTTTTATACAACATCAAGGGAACAATAAAAAAAATAATCATAATCCAAATGATTATTCAAATAGAATGACCGTTAGAGATACTACTTCTTATAATGATCAAAAACGTAATGAATTGATGAGAAATAATTTTAATGCAAACAATCCTCCATTCTATCAACAAAAAATCAAGTCAAACTCTAAAATATTCAATGAAGCACAAATGTCACAGCCAGAACCAAGTAATCCATCAAATCCAGCGATAATACCAACAGCGGAAAACACACAATCTAGCCAGCAACTTCGATTGACTCCTGTGGTACCATTGATACCTTATCCTCTTTGTTATTACGGTGCAGTGGCTCCAGCTCAAGTTCCTATGAAACCTGAACAATTTCTATTTCCTACTGAGACTGGAAACTATTATTTACCACCTGCTACAGGATTTACTAATCCCATAGCTCCAAGTCCCTTTGGAAATACAGATTTAAATCAACGACCATTAACTGGTCCTTTTCAACCATCTGCATATTCATCAGGTTATCCTGTTGTACCTCCTCAAGTTCCTAACAATTATTTTGGTGAGCAGAGAGTAGGACCAACAGGTCCTGGCAATCTATTTCCTGGATATGGATATCCTAGATCTCATTCACCTCCTCTGTATCCTTGTCCTTATGTAACTATGCCAACTTTTCAATTTCCTTTAGTCCCTGGTGTATCCGATCTACAGCGTATGGAAGACTCACCTATGGGTTTTCGAAATAGTCTCGGACAACCGCTGGAACAGCCTTCCTTTAGAGGAAGTACTTGGAGAGAAAGTAGTAACAGCTCAGCACAAAGTAATATATATATATATTTTTTTTAAATAAAAAAACTTGATAATTTAAACTAAAATTAAAATGAATATTTTTTGTATGTAGATTCGCAATTAGAGTGTAAACCGAACTATTTTAAATGCCTTGATAACAGCCTTTGTATTCCAATATTTCAACGTTGTGACGGTAATGTTGATTGTCCTGACGTCAGTGATGAAAATTCCTGCTCATGCAAAGATCGGATTACTAGAGATAAACTTTGTGACGGATATTTTGATTGTCCTAAAGGTGAAGATGAACTTGGTTGTTTCGGTGAGTATTTTGATTTCATATCAATCGGAAATTATTTTTAATTAAGCAAGTAAAGAAGAAACCTAGATTTATAGGTGGCGTTAGCAAACAGTATATACTTTAAAGTATGATGTTCCCATTTTTATCGACATTTTTTAGGCGTGAATTTTTTAAATTGTAAAATCAATACTTTCTTAAAACAAGAATTATTTTAATCAATTTTATAAATTTACCTTTTTCAGGATGTGGTAACGACTCTTTTAGTTGTCAAGACTGGACAAAAAAGAATCCCCATGGCAGTTGCGTTCAATTATCTGAAAGATGTGACGGTGTACAGCATTGTCCAAATTCAAAAGATGAAACTGATTGTAGTATACTTACTCAATCTTTTATTGAAAACCAAGACGTAAGAATCTTTTCTTTCATTATTATTTTATCTTTCATATTCTAACTGATAAGAAATCATTATCTAACTGATTTAGCTATTTACTATTGGATATTCTTCTGGTTATCTCTTCAAAAATTGGCGTGGAAAATGGTATCCAGTATGTTCTCCAACAATGGCATGGGCTATTGAATCTTGTGCATCAGAAGTAGGAACTTCTAGTAAGCGAACACCAATAGTAACTGTCGAGTCTATCGTTCGAGGTCATACTCAAGATTCCTACTTGACTATGAAACCATCAGGGCAAATAGAAATCGTTCCAGAATGTTCTGATAAAGTTGTATTTGTCAAATGTCCTCCAATTCCATGTGGAACTCGAGTTCTTGTTAAAGAAGGATCTTTCAGACCATACGGAGTATATGAAGATACTTTAGTGGCTTCTCAGCAAACTGAAAATGTTACACTTAATACAACGTTAAGTAACTCTAGCAATATCACAGATGTGATTCACCATAAAAATGTTGATGGGCGAAGTATGGATTCACGTATTGTAGGAGGTCGTGCAAGTCAACCACAAGCTTGGCCTTTCTTGGTAGCAATTTATAGAGATGGATATTTCAAATGCGGTGGAGTTATTGTTAATGAACAATGGATTTCAACCGCAGCACACTGTGTAGAAGGGTAATAAAATTAGTGTTGTTATTCAAGAATCTTTTAAATTTGATAAATTAAAAAAATCTTAATACATTGTATACAAAGAAGTACAAAGACCTTCTGAATTGATTATTTACCAAAGAAATTATTTCAGGCATCAAAACCATTATTACCAGGTTTTCGCAGGTTTACTTCGACGATTCTCATTTTCACCGATGGCTCAAATTCGTCAAGCAAAGTCTATCATACCTCATCATGAATACAAAGAATATAATATGCTCAATGACTTAGCATTAATCCAATTAGATGAAGGTCTAAGATTTAACCGTTGGATCCGCGCGGCTTGTCTTCCACAACCTCAATGGGGAAATCAACCAACTGCTGGAGACAAATGTACCGCCATTGGTTGGGGAGCAACTCATGAGCATGGACCTGATCGTTAGTTTTTTTTAAAATTAAAAAACATTAAATACAGCTATAAAAACCATTTATAGACCATAAATATAACTTTTTTATCAACTCACTCTTTAATGATTATAGCTGATCATCTGAGAGATGTCGAAGTACCTGTGTTAGCGCAATGTAAACGTCCTACTGATCATTATGAAGGTGTAGTGTGTGCTGGATTGCCAGATGGTGGCAAAGATGCTTGCCAAGGAGATAGTGGTGGTCCCCTCATGTGCAAAGTTCAGAAAACTGACACTCAGTGGTATGTAGCAGGAATTGTAAGTCATGGAATAGGCTGTGCACTTCCCAATGAACCAGGAGCTTACACTCGAGTTAGCCATTATTTTCATTGGATTAATGAAACTATCCGTAAGCATTTTTGCTAATTAAAGATAATAGTAAACCTGAAAAAAATGTTCAAAATAATTTCGAATGATCAATAAGAAATACCTTTCATTATAAATTAATTTCTCCTTGAAAAATCTTTAACATAGTTTTTTTCTAACTAAAGATCGAGATCATCCTCCTTTGGGATCAGAAACTTTATCAGATTGCCCAGGCTTTAAATGTTCGGGGCATCAAGGAAAATGTCTTCCTCTCTCTCGACGATGTGACAAGAATGTAGACTGTTTAGATGCTGAAGATGAACTTAATTGTGAAAATGTACAACAACCAACTCCAATATTCTTCAGAGGATCATCTAATGAACCAGCTTATGAACATCCAGAAATTAATGATAACGTTCAAAATCAAATGAATGACCCACAATCTGCTCATGGATCTGAGAATGACGATGTCATGAAGATTGATGTAGTAGAATCAATGACGTCAAGATTCATTGAAGCAACCACTGAAATGACTGAACTAACTGAAGCGGTTACTGAACACTCGGAAATATCAGTAACATCTCAAGTCATTGATACGACTCAATCATACCCTGACAGTCTCGATGAGCCATTACAATTCATTTGCTCTCGGTATGAAACTTGAAAATAATCCTAGAAAAAATTATTCAAGAGAAATATGAATAGAATAATAAAGAAAAAGTGTTACATCTCTTTCTTTTTCTTAGATTAACACAAGCTATTCCGATAACTGGAAGGTGTAATAAAGTCATAGAGTGTGAAGATGGAACAGATGAAGCGGAATGTAGTTGCAAAGATTTTCTAGTTAAATTACATCCTTCATCAATTTGTGACGGAAGAATTGACTGTGCTGATGAGAGTGATGAAACCAATTGCAGTAAATATTTCTTCTAGATTTCATGTTTACCTCAATTTTTTTTTGTTTGATTCATTTGATTTATTCAGTTGATTATTATTTTATTGATACATTCACATTCTGTTCATTCATTATATAGACTTCTGTGAAGAGAATCAATTCACTTGTACCCGAAGCGGAACTTGCATTCCTCAGAGTAAAAGATGTGATAAAATTAATGATTGTCCATTGAACGAAGATGAATTAGACTGCTGTAAGTATTGCAGTATAACATTAAATGATTATAATTATTAATTAATATATAAATTCATCTAACAGATGCTTTAACTGATAGTACTTATATCGGAACTGACTTTAATGGATATTCTACTTTGAAATATAAAGGAATAGTTACAAATTTAACAAATCAAGAATGGAGACCAGTTTGTTATGATATTCATAATACTGAGCTCAAAAATAAAAATTATTTAGACAGCTTTTGTCAACATTTGGGATTCAGGTAAAAACACTAAACCATAAAGAAACTCAAGTCATTATTGTATGTAATAATTATTTTTGGAATATTTTAGAGAGCATAAAGCATTTAATTTACGTCAAATAAAACATTCACCTCTAAAAGTCGAGTCTAAACTTCGTTATGCTGATGATTTTGTTGACGAATTAGCATTACAAATCACTAATTCAGAAACAAATAAAGAAGAATTATGTTACGGATTAAATATCCAATGTGAACTGGTTTTCAATCATAGTGTTGAAACTTTTGCTATTAAAGATGCAATTTCTCAAAATCAAACTTATTTATGGCCTTGGGAAGCAGCAATCTTCGTAGATGGTCATTATCATTGTCCAGCAATTCTTTTGAACTACGATTGGGCACTATCCAGTTCAAGATGTACAAGAAATATTGATTTAAGGAAAAATTATACGATTGTTTTGGTTGGCTTATCTTTAACTTATAAATATGTAGACGGACCTGATCAACATATAACTCAAGTACAGAATATTCAGAACTTGGCCCAATTGGAACTTTCAATGTTACGGATTGGATTGAAACAAATTTCTAGATATGTTCAACCAATATTTTTCGACAGAAAGTAAGTTTTCTTTTGAATTGAATAATTCATTGATAAAAACTTCTTTCAATTTGTTTTTTTAGATTTTACCCGGCGACATCTGATGATGAATGTGTAGCAATTGGTACCGATACAAAATTAAACACTAAAATGACATTTCTTCAGACAGTTCTTAACGACTGTCCCCCTTGTCATCGATGTTTTAAAAACAAAATCATAGAAGAATGTCCGGTAAATAAAATTTAAAAAAATTGAGTTATAAAGAAATTGTTTTCAATGAAATCATTTAAAGAATGAATATTACGGAACGTTACTCGAATATTTCAGAAAAATGAAACTACCGAGGATTGGAGCGGTACTGTTACATGTCGAGGGCCTAATGGATGGTATCCTGCTGCGATTTTCCATGAAAAAGATATTTTCTGTGAATACCATACTGTTCAATCTTTAACGAGTATTGATTATATGTATGCCCACCTGATGGAATCTACAGGTAGGTTAATTGAAAAATAACAACTTAATATGTACCACCAGCTAATTTGATATACCTGAATGATAAATTATTTTAAAAATTTGTTTTATAAAACAGAAGGATCTTCATACATACCAGTTGATCCTCCATTCTGTGATGGGAAACGATGCTCACTAGGCAATTGTGTAACTTGGGATAGAGTTTGTGATGGAATTCAAGACTGCCGAGATGGTAGTGATGAAAGTATTACGATCTGTAATGAAAAACAAGGTACTTGTGAATACTTTGATAACGTTTCATGCAGAATACTTTTTCATTTTTTTTTTTAACAATATTTTATCGACCTTAATAAAATAAAAAATTAAATAATAAATATCTTTAAGAATTAATTAACTATAATTAATTGCAGGATGTGGAGTGTCAGAAATGCAATGCAAAAATGGCATGTGTATACCAAAAGAAAAATATTGTAATAAACATGCTGATTGTCCTGACGGATCTGATGAACCAGCTGAATGTAATTGTGCTGCATACTTAGAATTAGCTCATCCTAAACGTCTTTGTGATAACATTCGTGACTGTTATGATAAATCTGATGAAAATCCTGATATGTGTCTCTGCCAAGACATCAGCTTCAAGTGTTCAAACAGGTTTAAATTCTAATAAAACTTTAAAGAATATTATTTTTCTTTTATAGCATTTTAATTATATTATTCATTTATAATCTATAAATTTTTTTTTAAGTACCAACTTATATGGCGATATTTTCTGCATATCATACGAATTTGTTTGCGACGGTGAAAAAGATTGTCCTAACGGCGAGGACGAGATAGATTGTAGAACTGTAAGAGGAACTCTAAAAGATCCGTAAGCATATCAACTATGCATACTTAATTACATAAATTTATATTGAATATTTTAATGATAATCACTTCAATCTATTTTACAGTCAAGGCACAGGTGAAGTTCTTCGTCGTTCTTACGGTGTGTGGCATTCAGAATGTTTCTCGGCACCCATTGAAACTGATTCTGAAGCCAATGATCTCTGTAAATCTATGGGCTATTCAAACGGTACTATATTAAATTCTCTGAAATCTAATGAATATGGTCCGGGCACCGAACTTCATAGAGAGAATTTTTATATAGTTGTATTTAATGAGCACATGTATATGGGTCTCAGAGACAATAAACCTCTTGTAAACATTGTTCCTCGTTCGGAAAATTGCCACAGGGCTTTTGTTCAATGTTTATGAAAATTATAAAGCATATAAACATAATCCAAATCATTAATTAAGTAATTAATTAAAAATTATCAATGACGATTGTTAGGTGTTTTTATAGCAGTAAATCAATGATTTTATATGTAGGTTTTTTTTTTACTAATTTCGTTAAATCTAATCTATTTTGATAGACATGAATTTATCTTTTTTATACTGATAATTATAAAATACCTATTAAATATAAAAAATTGAAAAAAAAATTCAAAAGTGTACTCTATTTCTTTTTTAATCAAAATTTAATTTGTTTTCTCTCACCTTATAGTTTAGAATTGAAAAGTGTTAATTCAAATAGAGTTAGTTAATAAGTGAATGACCTGGAATTCAGTGAATTTACACATTTATTCAAGTCTCCTCATCGTAAATACATAACTGCATCAGCATGAATTAGTCACCTGAGAATGTAAACGGTATGGAGCACAAGTTACATGGCAGATCTAAGGGAGAGGCTAAAGGAAAGATTTAGCCAGCGGCACACACCACAACAGCAGTTTACCTTCAACGGTAGCGGCCTCATTCGCCTGCATTCCTTCGTCTTCTCTCTTTTACTCTCCTTCTCCACACCTCTTTTCGTTCTGATCTAGTATTAATTATTATATTTTTTCCAACAATTTATTCCAATAATGATCAATCCCTGAAACAAATAAATTATTATTTCATATTTGATCCATAAAGAAAAAAAATCTCCCATCTTAAACAGATCTTATCTTAATGAAGAAAGATTGTAATTTTTTTAATTCTATAACTTGAAAATAATTACAGTTATATAATATTTTATTTCCTTCGTTAATGTTACCTTCAATTAAAAAAAGACGATTTTAAGAAATGTAGTAAAATATTATAACAATGAATTTTTTGTAGATTTTTTATAATAAATTAGCCAATAATTTTCATTCCTTACTATTATATAATGATGGAAATACTATTAAAGCCGTCAAGTATAATTTTGTGTCCAAGAAGTACCGTTGATTTCAGTACGTGCTTCAGTGGCTATCGGTTTTAAAAAAAAGTGGACAAGATATTTTACATGCAACAACGTAAAGATAACTTGCAACTAGAATAAAAATCAGTTAGTTCTTATCTAATTTTCCTGTTACAAATTCTTCTTCTTTTTCAACAGCTCATAAAACATTGTTTTGCATTGAAAACTCAAAACTATTCTCTCCTAAACATCAATCTCCTTCATCAACAACAAAAGTATTTTCATTATTTAAAAAACTTCTATATAATACTCAATCATCTTATAAAAAGTTATATTATGATTTACCAATAAGATATCGATCAAAACGCATTGCTATTGAAATCTCTGTGGCAAGTACATAATAATAAATAACTGTAGTATAGACAGCTTTTTGTCGACAACATCAAATAGAGAAAACAAAAAAGGAACGGAAGAAATTTGAAAAAGTAAAGTGCCAAGTAACGAAGCTGATAGTTTTATTAGCCACGATGACTATACCGTTACGCTTGGTAGCTTCCTGCCGACTATCAGTATACGGCCTACACCGTCATCCCTGTTAGTCAGTTTCTGCATACTTATATCATTTCAAGTCGCCCATGTATGATGACCATCATGCTTGGTAATTCAATGAGGACGAAGAATTTGTCCGGTGCTCAAATTCGTACCATGCTCAAACAATTCCATTAAAGTCATTCAATGGTCTAAGATTGACGTATGACGTGATAGCCCGATGACCCAACGAGCATATCTGATTACTCAACCATACTCCGGAAGATGTATGAGTAGAATAAATCAATTAATAAATAATCCTATAGTTCAGATGTACAGTAAACGATTGATTCTAACAAATGATGTGTTCAGTTATCTAGTAGATTATTAGTATTGTTTTGTTTTGTTCAGTTTTAAATGGTCATCTTATGATAGTTAAAAACAAGATTAATATACATCGCGTGTTACACGAGAAAAAAGTCAGAAAACCACTACCGAGAGAATCGTTGAGTTGAACGCCTTAGAGTGCAACAGACCCGATAACTGCTAACGGAACGTACTTGCACACCTTCGTTGAAGATTTTTATTAAGCCTATTGCCAACAGAACATAAGATTAAGAAAATAATAAATACAGATAGCAAAACAGGAATAGCAAAAATACAGATTTTTACCATAACAAACATAGTATTAGCCATTAAATGGAAGGTTATAATATTCCGCTTCTAAATTACTAGGAGTTAACAAATATTCAACAGACCTAATACATTTATGTATATATTAAGGATACATTTCTATTACCACTAGTTGAATTCAAGTTTGATCATTTCGCAGAAGTCAAAAGAAAGTGAAAAAATAGATAATTATTAGATGAGTTTCTTTAAATTAGATAAGTACTGATTGATTTTTTCAAAATATTTAAAAATGAGATAACGTTGAATTTAATTGAATGTATTAATTCAATTTTTATGAAGTAGACTTCATAGAGGCTTTAATTCTTGTTAATAAAGTATTTTCATTTAATCCTCTGCGAGATAGTATCAGAATAATTTTTCATAATTATATAGAAATGAAATAAAGAGGATACATATTCATGAATGACTTTATGCTATTTTTAGAGTTAAAATGCGTATGCGAGTTTAATTGAAAAAAGTACCTGAATCATCCGTATTGATGGTAATAGAAGAATGATAGTTCTTATCCTCTCATTGATCTCTCCAAGATTTTCAACAAATCTCTAACTTGAATAGTTACTCATTGCAATAAAATTTTCCTTTTTCCTTTTTTGAGCATCTTCCTGCTGAGATTCTCAGAATAGCATCGTATTATCTATAATAATAAAAGTAAGTATTTTTATAACAGAAAAAATAGTGAACTTTATTTAAAAGCAAAAAACCTTCAAATGAAAATAAGAAATAACTGGTCACTGTTACCAGTATCTCTCAAGCATTTCTTGATCTCTAAAATGCATACCAACCCTCAAGTTCCGCCCGTTTCTCTTGGCCGGCGCCGGGGAACCGAGTCAAGCCGATTTCTGCCGAGAGTCTACCTTTTCTTCCACCTCTGTCTCACCTATTTCTTCTTCTTAAACGTTTTCCTTTCTTTCTCTCTCCCGCTGCCTCTCTCTTTCTCTTGTAATATACAGCATGTAAGACAGCCTTCGCCATCGTTCACCTGGGCTTGGCTCAACTCAAGTTCTCAGTTTCAAATCGTCGGGCCGGAGGAGAAGAGCTCCGTGACCCTGAAGTTAGTTTACCCGTCTTTATGTTAAAACGCTAATCACTAAGTCTTTCGCTGCTGGGTTTAATAAAATAGACTTTTTTTTAAGTGTTAGAAGGTGGTTATCATCAGTGAATTATTAAGGAAAAATTAATTCACTTTTTCAAATTAACTAATTCGTTGAAAGTGTTCATGTACCTCATTGTAAGGACTATTTCTTGAGCAGGAGGTGAACGTACCGGCAAATGTGAGTCTTTATATATTTTTATGTTGATAATAAAACATCAAAAAAATAGTCTGAAGAACATCTTGTGAATAAATTAATTTTTGGAGGAAGACTGTCATTTAATGTTCTTCTAAATGTTTATCTAGAGAGAAAAAATACAATTCTTCTTTGAAAATTGTTCCACCCACACTTTCTTAGTTCTTCTTTTGTGTCGAATTCGCAAACCAAGGACGGGGATGTAAATGACATGAATTATTGTGAAAAGAAAGGTGGAGGTTGGCTTTTATAAAACAGAAAAGGAAGTCTAGAGATGTGAATGTACTACCACAATCTCTTAGTAGTCTCTCTTCAGACTTCAGCTTTGGAGTATAGCATATAAGAGAGTGTAGAAAATAGTCTTTACTCTTTTGTATAAATTGATGTGGTATTTGGGTTTGTGGTATGCCTTCAGCTTTTACACTAAAATATTCAGGTAGACGATTAACAGATGCACGCAATGATCATCGACCGGATGAGTCTCCAAATTTTCTACTCTTCTCAATGATCAAGTGTATCTAACTAAGAAAATATTTAGAGAAATTAATGAAGTACTTAAGATTAACTGATGAAAATTACAAATGTTCTCAATTTCAACATGATAAAACCTTTTAACTTATTTAGATGGCTATAGGTGTCTTCTCTTATCACTTTCCATGGTAACGGTTGACAGAAAAAATATGTTAATTACGTCTTAGATTTTTTTCACATATTTTTATATCCAACAGCGATTTGTAGGCTTGTCCCGGTCGACGAACTCCATCAGAGAGTGGAGTAAAAGCGAAGCACGCACGATCGGTCACGCTGTAGATCTCCACTTGTTGAAGGTTCTCCATGAAATTTTACGTTTAGTCTTTGCATTCGTACTTGATATTCCACCTATAACGTGAGAAATATAGTTTATGTTAATGATGTAACTTTTTTTTACAGTCAACAAGAATTATTTAAAAGAAAATCTTTCAACCAGAAAACTTATTATTATTATTTCTGTAACTGTTCATACCAAGACCTTTTGACTCCAAAAAGTGAGAGATAATTTCTTGTAGCTATGAATAATTATTCAACTAGTTCAATAATAAGAAAAACTCTTCGAACTTATTCAAACAAAAACGCCTAATTTAAATTATCAAGAAGCTGTAACCTTTAACTATTAGATGTTACAAATGACTTGAATTGTCACTAGAATATTTTTCTTGTCATAGAATAGAAATAAAACATGGTTTCAGTTAAAAAATAATTTCAATTTCACTGAAATAAAACTTATCATGCACGTAAAGTTCCAAAAATGGTAACAATTATGAATCCAAGTTCATTCAGTCAAGACCAGAATTTTTCTCGCATTAATCTCATAAAATTTCTCTATCTGCTTTCTCTTAGTGACTAAAAATCCGGTTATACAAATAAAACGAATCGTCTAGTCGCAAGACTAGCTCTTAACTGTCTAAACACGGTACAATATCATCTGTATAAGTGTAAAAAATTCACAAACTCATATAAATAGTATAAAAGTCTATATTAGTTGATTTATTGTCAGATAAATAGGGAAACATGATAAAATAATATAAACAATTTAGATTTAAAAAATGGTTAATTTAATTATATTGGAATCTTTTTAACGGTAGAAAAATTAATTGGTGCAAAAAGTGCATATAATCATAAGAATATACGTTATATATAATTTAATCAGAGTAATCGATGACTCTTGGGCACGGAAGAAAGTTAGAATTAAGTACAGTTAAACGATATGCAATTAACGGCGGTCTTTTGTTATGAGTATACATTTATTCTCGTGCACCAGGGTATTAACACTACAATTAACGAGAGCGTTACTTTTCTATGCGAAATCCAGGCCAATAATAATTTTTAATCACGCGAAAATTATTGTTATTATTTTTCCTCTACTCATCGTTATTAGTAGAAATGAATGCACCTGATCTATGAATGAAAACTGATTTATCATAATACTCATTAATTTTTTGTATCAGTTTTTATCAATGATGGAGTTATTTTGATTTTAATGTGATAAAATGCTATTGAAACGATAATTCCTTTCTTGATGAATAGGTAGACTTTACTAGAAAAACTTGCTTGATCGTCAATCTTAGAATGTTAGAACTAGTTGAGCCTGATTATATCTTGGATGTCAAATGATTGATCTGATATAGAAAGCTTCAAAAACTATTCATTTTTTTAACCTTCGTTTAAAATGTTTACAATATATTGATCTATATAGCACTTACTACCTCCCACTAATTATATAGTAATGCTAAGTACAGTTATTACTGAAAACCTTAGACCACGAAGAAAAGTCATTAGCTAATCTAACTATACATTAGATTCATAAATTATATACATCATTATGATAAATATGAGCAGTACTCGACTTGGTAATATTTTAATTGAGTAATCTCTAACACTATTAAAAAAATGTAGTTATAAATTTTTACAAAAAATATTGTTATGGTTTTCTCATTGAACAAATTATTCAATGAGTAAATTTAATTATTAGTTAAACTTAGAAAAAAAAATACAATCTTTCTTACCTACATGTATTTTATGGGATTGAAAACTTGATAACTTTTTTGTTGAAAAAATTAGTGAAGTAACTGTTATTTGGGAGGCCGTTACAGAAATATTTTCTTTTAATCGATTAATTCACAGTTTCATCATCGTCGTAAGTCATCACGTGAAACCCTTGCACTCTTATTTTATTCCAACACATGGTACATATATGTATGTGCAAGTTGTACAACTCCATATTCCTGGTCACTCTTATGAAGCTTGTTCAACGAAGACATACAATATCATCAAGTATCCTTCTTCCTCCGTCACATTGAGCTTTCATTCACATTACGTACATCAACCATCTGGATCGAATTCACAATTATATTATATATTAATGAATTACACTATTCTATAATATAAATAAGTTGGTAAAAATAATGCAATCTAAGATAACACTCAACAAAAAAATGATTAGCATGAAATTGAAAAAAATTAAAATACGCAATAATAATCAGAAATGTAGAAATAAATAATATAATATTTTAGTTGTAGAGAATATGTAAATGATTGCATTATTATAGACCATACGCATATAATACATACTTATAAAGTAGCATGGTGATCGATTTGTTCATGGCTCCATTGAATATCAATAATTCCAACGAGAATGAAAGACAAGGTAAAGACGCACCGTTAGTTGTTTCAATGCAGGAAGAAATATATTTCTACCTCTGGAATCCGTTTATTCTTTTGAGTCGTGTTATATATGCATACAAACATATCCAACTAATTACATTGCAATCTGGGTTAAACTTGCTTGATTGCTTTTCATCTGGTTATTATCGTGATCTTGTAAAATACCTCATAAATAATAAACATCTTTCCAATAACTTTATTCTATTACTAGGTTTAATATTATTTTTTAACTTCAATTAAACTTTTAGTTCTGTGAAGTTTTCATTATTTTCACAGATGATAAAATTAATGGATCTAATCCGGCGTTATTCTGAACGATTTAATAAAAGAGGAGAGGGGGAAAGAATATTGATATACGATGCGCTAATTGGTTATATTTACTACGCACTTGTTATCATATTCATTCTTATATTTGAATATTTCTTTATTTCAACTGGATTTATTTAGTGAAATTAATATAAAAAAATTATTAATAGTTTTTGATATACATTTGTATATGAAATGATTGTTTACCTGACAGAAAATAAAGTAATTAAGTCAATTAAAAAAATAAGAGGGAAGAGCTGAGATTGGTGAATAAGATGCGTAATACAATGCGCAGTAACAAAATCCGGAAATAAAAATTCAAATATTTAACACTATTATTACAGATATTTCTGACCTAAAATTTCTTATGATTGTATATAATCATATTTATTGTTAAATATAAAAAATTTTAAAAGGTTATTAGTGACTTAAAAATGATTTCATAATAACAATGAAAGGTTTTGGCCATCTTTGATTAGTTATTCATTTTTTCCAAAGTGAAAGTCAATATTTGATTCATTGAATCAAATGTTTCAATCGTGAGAAAAAAAATGAAAAAACTTGAATAAACAAGTTGAATGGATTGAAATAGAGGGAAGCTTGTAAAATATAGTTCAGTCGGTTTTGCGAATCCGGAAGTAGAATTATCACAGCTGCGTAATCACCGTTGTTTGGCCTACTAAGTGAGAGCTTACTCAGAGTGTAAGTATTATCTACACAATGTACATCTATACATGTATATAAAAGGTATACTCATCGTATTCTCCATGCTGCACACCGTCCAAACGTTGATTATATGGGTTTATATACGTATGTATATTACCTTCTCACTTAATTTATTGTAATGTCTACGAGTACCGACTCTCTTAACCGAGAATGTGATGAGAAGTCATTGTTCGCTTTTTATACAACCGTTATTAGCCGTAGGCTAACGGACTGTCCAAATACACTTTCTAGTGTCGGATTTGACTCATCATTTTTGTATTTTTGTGACTTCTTGAAAAGTCTCGTGTCTTTCATCTATTCTCATAATTAAATATTTATATATTTACAGTAAATAATTAGTAAAATATCTTACCGGTGTAGAGAAAAAAGAAATTCATTAATTTACTTCTAATTTTCTCTCATTTTTGAACAAACAAAAAACTCTCTCAATTATCCAGTTTGATTAATAGCTTTTTAAAACTTTCATAAAAATAAAAATAAATGTTCTTAATGTAAATAATTAGAAACAAATTAATTCGAGCCATGTGAACTTATTATCACATTTCCTTTTTATTCCAATTTTATTAATAAATATCGCACTTTGAACTGATCTTGTACTTAATATTTATCATGAAGTGGATAAATCGATCACTTTTCTATAACAGTAAATGGTTTATATCATCTCGTAAATTAGCATAAATTCTTTATCCAATAAATCAAATCACTTGACCTGATGTAGGGTAGATTATAGAGCACGGAAGTAAACATGTATACACAAAACTAAGAGACTTTGCGATAAATACCAACATCACACAAGTCATACCGGTTTTCCATGGTTGATGTCAGACACAAGATGAACCAAGTCAAGGGAAACTTGATACATGTTTTTTGTTCTGTACGTGTGACGCTTCAAAGTCATTTGGTTACCGTTATTTTCCATTTTCAAGTTATTTTCTTTTTGATAAATTGAAATAATCACGTAATCATTAATTGCGTTAATGGTATGCATAGATAATTAGAGAAAAATTTAATCACTTAATAAATTCCAAGATTTGTTGGTTTATGGAGTCATTCCCACGAATTTTTGATGTCTTCCATTCATTCTTGATCATTTTCCATGAAGTATTAATAATTTATGTAACTACCATCTGACAAAATTCACTCCAATGAATATTCTGGCACCTGGGAAAATTAAAAACATGTAAGAACAAACATAATTCTTAGTGCTAATTAAATAATAACATGGGGTATTGCGAAAATGTAATTTGAAATGGGCGACAAAGCTAATCGTATCGCTGTTGATGGGCAACTTTCGAGATCAACGACAATTATATTCTTTCTTTTAAAGCTTCCCACGGACTGAATTATTCTGATATTACATGGGGAAACAATCTATGACTTGAGCCACTATCTTGCGTCACTATTGTTGCGTACAATGAAATTACTACATATAGATTATAACAAGTTTACCCACCTATCTTTTATTCTCTGATATAAAAATGTTCATTCCTACGCTTAATCAATTACATATACATGTAGGAACATCAACATTTCACTTTTCCTTATTAGAATAAATTGTAAAATATCATTAGCAATTAAAACACACCATTTTCATCATTGGACCTGTAAAATTCTAATGCCATAGTGTTGATAGCAACTTCTATTTGACTATAAATTATATGATTTTGTTGATCACTTTCCGTTATAAGCCGTGCTATTAGTATAGGTAAGATTATTTTAAAATTCACATATACACATGATCAGAAACCGTAAGGAATTTATGTTAACCGGATGAGAAATGGCTAATCGATTGGCGTGGCTCATAAATTAACTAAGGCTATGGAACATTACATTCCTAGATCTTTTTGTTTTATTTTTTTTTCAAAATTTTCCGTTTGTTCAAGCAACACCTGAAAAGAAGAAAATTGAATGGTATGACTCCACAAAAAATTTTGCCCATACTACAACTTTATGATACAAAAGCTTGTTCTCTAGATGAGTCATCAATTCTATTTATTTATAGCACAAGTAAAAAAAAAGTGTACACCAAAACCTTTTTATTTTTCATATATATCAAAACGTCGTAAATAATTTTAGAGTCCAAAGCAAAAAGAATGAAACACGTTTTCTTAAATTACTGTCGAACGGTCCAAAAGGCCTGAAGATGAGACGATAGTGATTATTATACAACAGCAGGGATGACGGACTAGCGGTGCATTCGACCCTGCAACTCGACCTGTTCGCCTCTATCATTCTTTTGATGAAAAAAAAGTCTTTGGACCGTCCCACAATAATCTTAAGAATTCCTATTAAAACTTTCTCATAGCGTAGAAATGATGTTCTATACTTTATAAACATAACTATAAGCTTAATAAATTCTCATGTAGACACCTTAAATAGATTTAATTGGTGTTAATTATTTTATCATTTTCAAAGTAATTTACAATATTTTTCTCTTTTTTTTGTTGCAGAAAAATGTTAATAAGAGCAGTGGCGATCATTTGGGTCGCCGTACTCTTGTGCCATCTTCAAATAGTTTCCACTCAGGTAAGAATTTCTAGTTAAATAATTAATAAACATTTAACATTTACTAAAAGTCATTTATGAATAATGAATAGCAATGAACTTTTATTTAGTAATATTCATCAGAAGTGATGGAAATTTATTTTAAAAATATTCGAAAAAATTCCTTGTATAAAATTAATTCATTAAAGAAAATCCTCTTTAATAGTTATTTTGAATCAACGGATTAAAAATGCACTTAAAAAAATATTTTTTTACCTTTTCCGTATGTTGAGAAATCCTAACTCAAGCACAGGCAGATGAAATAATCGACATACCATCTAAATTCTTATATGTAAAAGTAGCAGTTGTAAAGTGTTTTAAGCCGTTTCTTAATGCAAGCATATTTTCATATACGCGGGAGTGCATAAAACTACATGCCACGCGGTGAAAGCGAGACTCCGTGTATTACACATACACATGTTATTCGCAAGACTTGGCCGGAAATATAATATTCCACACCAAAGATCTTTATTCTTCACCAAACACTATAATTTAGTTAGAACAAAAATAATAAACTATCATATACTTTTATGTATACTTATCTTGATACTGATTAAGTACTATAATAATACTAGCTTCAGTAAAAATGAAAAAACTTAAAAAGCAAAAAGATTGATAGAAACTGAAAGCAAAATAGATAATTTGTTACATTTTCCTGTCTTTCGTATCTACGTGCAACTACCATACCTTATTTTTATCGAGGGAACGTAATACTACCGTTGGTTTTCTGGGATTGTATTTTGCGACCACACTTGTGCGTGTGCACAAGAGCTCGATCTCGTTGGAATGCATCAACAGTTATATATTACCACATATTATCAACTTCTTGTTTAACTTTTGAAACTGTTCTCAGGATATTGCCCAAACTTTTGCATCCATTTATTATAGAAGTACAACAATAATTAATAGATCACTGAATAAATTTTTTATAATTCATCTATTATGTAATAAATATAAGAATAATTTACCATTTATTAAGTGGCTTTATTCATTTAAAATTTTTTTTTGTTACAGGTTACCAATATTTTCACCTGTCCAAATGGTAAGTCGTTATTTCTCACTCTACAAATATTTTATGCCCTTCCTATTCTATAGTTTTCCTGTCCATTGTGAAAAGGTACCTGAGCTCTACTTACTCCCCTAGTCAGGTAGCTTCCTCTGCTCCAAAACCCTAGCCAACAGGTGTATATATATTTTCAAGAAAGCTGAGAAAACTTCCCATGCATTTTTAAGTTCAAACTGTGAAGAAGATAGGGCGTATTAAATCTCTGTAAAATAAGCTGTTGGAAAATTTTTTTGTCTCTTGAGAGCAAGTTTAAAGATTCTTCGAATTGATAGATTTTATCCTTCCTGTTGGTTATTTATTTGTCTGAAATTTTCCGAATAATGTTAAAAAGAAATGAAGATTCTACTTAATTGAATTATAGGGTAGATAATAGAACGCGTTTGAAGTAAATTGAAAACAATGATGATGAATATAATGAGAATATTGCATTTGAAGAAAGAGGAACTGAAAAGTAGGAAATGTAATGGAGCCACGTTAAGTTTAACGAGGCTGAGAGTACGTCAAGAAGCGGACACAGTCGACTAGCGAGTCAGCTAAACTTACTCGGATCTAACGGCAAAAAACAGTATCTTCGCGCTGCTGTAGCAACCTACATAATTGCAACTTGTTGGTAACACTACCAAGAAAAGTAGAACAAAGTTGTTAAGAGCACGAGAATTAGAAAAACACATTTCTCCTATTGTAATAATTATAACACCGTGATAATTTTGCGTGAGATGATATTTAAATGACTCATATTTCTGAAGATTCAGAAGAAAGGAATGAAGAATAAAAATTCTCTTCCCAAATGGTAGGATAAAGTTCTTGTTTTCATGTAGAATCAGAAACTAGCTTAAAACAGCATCTATTATATGTTCAGTAGAATTTTGCCACATCAATTCCGCGTCATCACTCTGTCCTAAAAATATACAATTCATTTTTCTCATCAGTATCAAAGCACTTCAAGTCTCATCAATCTTTTTATCCTCATCATCATCATTAAGATTACGTCGGATCTGAAACAGAAATTACATCTGAGTTAAATGGATTCGTGATTTTCTATTGAAGATTTTAAAAATGACTATAAAGCACAGCTATTTAATAGCAAAAGAAATAATAGAAGTGATAAATTAACATTGGAAAATTTTTACTTGATTACTAATATGAAGAAAAAATAAAGAAAGAATAAGATAGAAATGTTGATGTTGTAGAACGCAGCTTATGCATTATATCCAGTTGACCTTTCAGGCAAAGTAAAAGTCCTCAAGATGTAAATGCAGAAATCAACTGATTACGTAATCAAATTATTAAGTTTACACTGACGATAAGAAAAAATGATTATACTTAAAATCTTCATTTTCATACGAGTTTCACTTTATAATAATTGATCAAGTAAACATCATCTTTATAACAGCTGATTAAAAGATAAATGCTCGGAAGAAGCATTTCAATAAAATTAATCTCTCAAGTCAATTTTCCAGCACGGATTACTTACTTTCCTGATGATTATAATATCGGAATTGTTTCTTCCGTTATTGGACACATTTAGGCCGGATAAACTCCTTAATTGTGTTATTAATCTAACGGGTTTAATACCGCTTAAATTATAATGTACAAGTAGTCTTCTGAAGTTTCCGTAAGTGTTGAAGTTTTTTAGTTCTTCCAAATTTCATGTAATTATTGTAGAGTGTTCTACGAAATTGCAAAAAGAAAAAAGATTAATAGTATTTTCACTAAAAGAAAAGTTTTTTTAATTATAATACTGACCACGACATTTTAGATTATCTAGTTAAAAAGTAAAAATTCTTACACAAATTCTACTAGTGTGACAACGATTTCACTGAAAAAAATCACTGGTATTAATTTGTCAAGCCGAGCATTTATTAGGTTAACGTGCCGATAACCCCTTTGCGTGGATAGAGAAAGATGTCGAAGTTGAAATCGGCGTTTCACCTCCTCAATTCCGTTTACATGTGAGACGTAAGCTTCTGCAAAGTATTTTTCCATCTCTGTTGTACATTGGCAACAATCTTGGAGGCATCGACTCTCGCTTTGTGTGTTGATCGTTGACTTCTTGTGTGCTTGTACTAAAAACGATTGAGGTCGAGTCGGTTAACTCTTATAAATTTACAAACCAACTGCTATTAATAATGAATATTAACATTGTTATATATCCGACAGCATTATACTTACAGAAAAGAATCGATCACTAGCTTTTCCACTTTTTAGCCTTTTCTCTTCACATCAATTCCATAGTCTTGTCCAGAATATTAACATTCCACCATTTCTTTTCTGTTTCTATAACCTCGTTTTCTTCATTGATATTAATATCACATTTACCTCACGCAGGTTGGGAGCTGAAAGGAATACATTGCTACAAATTTTTCAACATCAAACATTCTTGGGAAAAGGCGGCTGAACTATGTCGAAGGTTAGTTTAGATATTAATCATCTCTAGAATTATCTTATAGAAGATGTAACGAGTTATCTAATAACTTTGAATGATAATAAACAACAGTAAATTACACAAAGGATTTTTTTAATTAGGTATGGAAGCGAGTTGATGGTCATCGAGTCCTACAGCGAAAACAACATGTCTGCCAGTATGGTAGGAAAAAATCTAGATAGGTACTGGCTAGGTCTAGCTTCTCTCGATGATTTAAGGACGAATACACTAGAGTCAGCTGCGGGAATGCTTGTTTCTCAATATGCAGGTAAAGTATTCTTCAATAAAGTGTAACAGTAATTGTTTTAACCCTGGACATGATCGAAATCCTTTTAGCGATAAAATAAAGAAATCTCCAAGGATGCATTCTTATTTATATAGAAAAGATATAAAAGGAGTAATACTCTTTTCAGCTTTTTTTTCAGAAGATATAAAAAATAATTTTTTTATTGTGAGAAAATAAGAGAAAATAAGAAGTTTTTTTTTATAGATATTTAATTATATCATGTCGAGATGTTAATTGGTAGATTAATTTTTTATTGACTCATCATACGTATAATTTTATTTATTTATAAATTTTACACATGAACACAAATGAATGTGTCATAGCATCGAGGTCGCAGATACACGGAACTAGCTCTAATATAATATGACTCTCGACAGTAAGAAGACACACTTTTCTCATTTAACAATGACTTGAGACTTAGATAAGATTCACGCAGGCTTGAAATAATTCCGGAAATTTACATAACTAGATTACTGTAACTTTGTGAAATATTTAATGATCTTGTAGATTATTTCCACTATTAGGTCATCAAAAAAAGATGCTAAATTAAATTTTGATATACTTTTTAGGATTTTGGGCTAAGAGGCAACCTGATCCAAATTATGGAGAATGTGTAGATTTTGCTATCTCTGATGATCAGCAACAATCTTGGGAACTCACAACCTGTGAGTCTTTATTACCATTTATGTGTCGAGCTAACGCTTGTCCGGCAGGTAAAAAATATTTTTCTTTTTTTTTCTATCGACCTTCCAAACGATTGATGTAAGGTGTAGTAAAATGAATTTTTTTTTTCCAAGGATCGTTTCATTGTTCAAATGGAAAGTGTATCAACTCTGCTTTTAAATGTGACAGACAAGATGACTGTGGAGATTCTTCTGATGAAATAGATTGCCCAAATAATTGCCAATACTATATGGCAAGTAGTGGCGACGTGGTTGAGAGTCCCAATTATCCCCATAAGTATACTCCTTTGAGTAACTGTAAATGGACACTTGAAGGACCTCAAGGCCACAATATATTACTCCAATTCCAAGAATTTGAAACAGAGAAGAGTTTTGATATTGTACAAATTTTAGTTGGAGGAAGAACTGAAGAAAAATCTGTAAATCTCGCAACTTTATCAGGAAAAGAAGAATTAAGTAATAAACTTTTTGTTTCGGCAAGTAACTTCATGATAATTAAATTCAGTACTGACGGATCAGTAGAAAGGAAAGGATTTAGAGCATCTTGGAAAACAGAACCACAAACATGTGGTGGAATGTTGCGAGCTACACCTCAGGGACAAGTTTTAACGTCTCCAGGATATCCTCAAAACTATCCTGGTGGTCTAGAATGTCTCTACATCATCCAAGCACAACCTGGAAGAATAATTTCTTTAGAAATCGAATCATTAGACTTGGAAATGAATAGAGATTATATTTTAGTGAGAGATGGCGAGTCTCCAATGAGTAAACCAATTGCTCGTCTTACTGGAAAAACTGAGGACAATCCTACGGTGATTATGTCTACAAGTAATAATTTATATCTGTATTTCAAGACATCCTTGGGCGATTCTCGCAGAGGATTCAGTATTCGTTACACTCAAGGTTGTAAAGCCACGATAATAGCACTCAATGGAACAGTTCACTCCCCTTCTTACGGTCTGAATGATTATCCTAACAACCAAGAGTGTTTCTACAGAGTAAAAAATCCTAAAGGAAGCGCACTCTCTCTTAAATTTACCAATTTTAATGTTCACAATACTGATTTCGTTCAAGTATACGACGGATCCAATACTAATGGACTCAGATTGCATTCTGGCGATGGTTTTACATCAAATACTCGTCCTAAAATTACTTTAACTGCTGAAAGTGGAGAAATGCTCATCAGATTTGTTTCGGATGCTCTCAGAAGTGCTAATGGATGGCAAGCAACATTTTCTGCAGATTGTCCACACATTTTACCTGGTGAAGGGGCACTTGCAAGTAGTAGAGATACAGCTTTTGGCACCGTTATCACATTCTCATGCCCTCTAGGTCAAGAGTTCGCAACAGGGAAACCGAAAATTACTACTGAGTGTCTTCCAGGTGGTAATTGGTCAGTTACGTACATTCCTAAATGTCAAGAAGTCTATTGTGGTCCAGTTCCTCAAATAGATAATGGGTTCTCTATTGGTTCGACTAATGTAACATACCGAGGACTCGCTACTTATCAATGTTATGCAGGTTTTGCCTTCGCCTCTGGAAGGCCAATTGAAAAAATATCTTGCTTGGCAGATGGTAGATGGGAAAAGAAACCTTCGTGTTTAGCATCTCAATGTGCTCCACTTCCCGAAGCACCAAATGCTAACATTACAATTCTGAATGGTGGAGGAAGAAGTTATGGAACTATTGTCAGATTTGAGTGTGAGCCTGGATATGTGAGAAGTGGACACCCAGTTATTTTATGCATGTCTAACGGTACCTGGTCCGATAATGTTCCTGTATGTTCTCGAGCTAAATGTCCGATTCTACCTACGCTTAAAAATGGCTTTGTAGTTGATAATTCTAAAGAATATTACTTCGGAGATGAAGCAAGAGTTCAATGTAACCGTGGATATAAATTAACAGGATCTAACATAATTACCTGTGGAGCAGACCAGCGATTCGAAAATGTTCCATCTTGTGAAGACATTAATGAATGTGCATCAAGTCAATGTGATTTAGCTTCAACGGAATGTGTAAATAGTCCTGGAGCTTTCTCTTGTAAATGTAAACCAGGATTCTCGCCTACAATGGAGTGTCGACCAATCGGAGACTTAGGACTTATTAATGGAGGTATTCCGGACGAATCTATCACAGTCTCTAGTTCTGAAAATGGATACTTTAAAACTGGAGTGCGTTTAAATAGCGGTGATGGCTGGTGTGGGAATAATATTGAACCTGGAACGAATTGGGTTATGGTTGACATGAAAGCTCCTGCAATTATTAAAGGATTTAGAACCCAAGTTGTTGCTAGAACTGATGGAAATATTGCCTTCACTTCTGCAGTTCGTATTCAGTACACTGATGATCTCACTGACGCCTTTAGAGATTATACAAATCCTGATGGTACTCCAGTAGAATTTAGAATTTTAGAAGCTACTCTATCAGTTTTGAATCTTCCAGTACCAATCGAAGCTCGTTATATTAAATTCCGTATTCAAGATTACATTGGAGCACCTTGTATCAAATTAGAAATCATGGGATGCACGAGACTAGAATGTACTGACATTAATGAATGTGCTATCAATAACGGAGGATGTCATCAAAAATGTATTAACAGTCCTGGAAGCTTTTCCTGTATGTGTAGTACTGGATATGAACTTTACAAAGGTAATGGAACAGCTGGATTCCTTATTGGTAGATCAGAATCAGGAGAAAGGGATGGAGACTTATATCAGAGAAACAAAACATGTGTCCCTGTTATGTGCCCTGCTTTAACAGCTCCTGAAAATGGAAAATTAATGTCAACAAAAGATCAATTCCACTTTGGAGATGTTGTTAGATTCCAATGTAACTTTGGTTATGTTATGCATGGATCAGCAGCCGTTATGTGTACATCCATTGGCATTTGGAATGGAACAGTTCCTGAATGTCAGTTTGCTAAATGCGTTTCTCTTCCTGATGATAAAAATGAAGGACTATCAGTGATCAGAAGTGATGAGACAAGTGTTTTAGTACCTTTTGGACAAAATGTTACATTAAAATGTGGAAATACTGGTCGTTATTTGAGGAATACAGTTACTTCAAACTTCAGACAATGTGTCTATGATCCTAAACCAGGTCTACCGGATTATTGGCTATCGGGATATCAACCAGCATGCCCTCGAGTAGATTGTGGTAAACCTTTACCCACTCCAGGAGCTGAATATGGTCGATATGCAGATACTAAATATCAATCATCATTTTTCTTCGGTTGTCAAGATACTTTCAAACTTGGTGGACAAACGAATCGTCATGACAATGTTGTTCGTTGTCAAGCTAACGGAGTATGGGACTTTGGTGATTTAAGATGTGAAGGACCAGTCTGCGAAGATCCCGGAAGACCTAGTGATGGTTACCAAATGTCTAGAAGCTATGAGCAAGGCTCTGAAGTTCAATTTGGTTGTAATCGACCAGGATATATTTTAATCAATCCTCGGCCAATAGTTTGTGTTAGAGAGCCTGAATGTAAAGTAGTTAGACCTCTTGGAATTGCTTCTGGACGAGTTCCAGATTCTGCCATTAATGCGACAACTGATAGACCTCTTTATGAAGCTAGACATGTGAGATTAAATTCTGTAACTGGTTGGTGTGGTCAGCCAGAAGCTTTCACATATGTCAGTGTTAATCTTGGCAAAGTTTATAGAGTCAAAGCTATTTTAGTTAAAGGAGTCGTTACTAATGATGTCGTTGGACGACCTACAGAAGTAAGATTCTTTTATAAACAATCGGAAAATCAAAATTATGAAGTTTATTTCCCTAACTTCAATCTTACTATGAGAGATCCTGGAAATTATGGAGAGCTCGCTATGATTACTTTACCTAAATCAATTAAAGCAAGATATGTTATTCTAGGAATTGTTAGTTATTTGAAGGCTCCTTGTCTAAAATTCGAATTAATGGGTTGTGAAGAACCTGAAGTCGAACCTCTTCTTGGATACGATTATGGTTTCTCTCCTTGTGTTGACAACGAGCCTCCAGTCTTCCAAAATTGTCCTCAACAACCAATAATGGTTCAAAAAGGTCCTAACGGTGAATTGTTGCCAGTCAATTTTACAGAGCCTACTGCTATTGATAATAGTGGAAGTATTGCAAGATTAGATGTAGAACCGAGAAGCTTCAAGACACCTATAATGATTTTTGAAGATACTGTAGTAAAATATGTAGCTTTTGACTATGATGGAAATGTGGCAATTTGTGAAATAAATATTACCGTACCTGATGTGACTCCACCAAGACTCAGTTGTCCTCAAAGTTATGTTATTGAATTAGTTGATCGCCAAGACAGCTATACAGTTAATTTCAATGAAACTCGAAGAAGAATTAATACCACAGATGCTTCAGGTCCAGTGAGAGTAACATTCATACCAGAAAAAGCAGTTATTCCTATTGGTGGATTTGAAAATGTCACAGTTTATGCAACAGATTCTAGTGGAAATCGAGCTTCTTGCCATTTCCAAGTTTCTGTTCAAGCTACTCCATGTGTAGATTGGGAGCTTAAACCTCCTGCAAATGGAGCTCTAAAATGTGTACCAGGTGATAAAGCTCTTCAATGTATCGCCACTTGTCGATCAGGTTTTAGATTTACAGATGGTGCACCTGCAAAAACATTTACTTGTGATAGTGTTAGACACTGGACACCTACATCCGTTGTACCAGATTGTGTTTCTGAAAATACTCAGCAAGCTGATTATCATGTAGTTGCTTCAGTAACTTATCGAGCTCATGGAGCTGTATCAAGAAATTGTCTTCCTCAATATCAAGATTTGATGGCTCAATACTATTCGAGATTGAACAATATTTTAACTCAACGTTGCTCAGCAGTTAATGTAAATATGAATGTCTCTTTCATTCGATCAATGCCATTATTACTCGATGAAAATCTTCTTAAGATGGACTTTGTTCTTGCTATTGTACCAGCAGTTCGTCAATCACAATTATACGATCTTTGTGGATCGACTCTTAATCTCATTTTTGATCTCTCCGTACCTCATGCCAGTGCAGTAATTGAGCCACTTTTGAATGTATCAGCTATTGGTAACCAATGTTCACCTCTTCGAGCTCTTCGATCATCCATCAGTCGAGGATTTACTTGCAGTATCGGTGAGGTGCTAAATATGGATACCAATGATGTCCCAAGATGTCTCCATTGTCCAGCAGGTACTTTTGCAGGAGAAAAACAAAAACAATGTACAGTTTGTCCCAAAGGATTTTACCAAAATAGTGATCGTCAAGGGGCATGTTTACGTTGTCCATTTGGAACATATACTAAAGAAGCAGGTTCTAAGAGTATCGATGATTGTATTCCAGTCTGTGGATATGGAACTTACTCACCAACTGGTTTAGTACCTTGTCTAGAATGTCCAAGAAATAGTTACACTGGAGAACCGCCTATTGATGGTTATAAAGACTGTCAAACATGTCCAGCAGGTACATTTACTTACCAACCAGCAGCACCGGGTAAGGATCGCTGTCGTGCTAAATGCTCTCCTGGAATGTACTCAGATACTGGATTGGCACCTTGTGCACCATGTCCTAAAAACTTTTATCAAGACCGCTATGGCGCCACAACTTGTACAGAATGTCCTGATGATACTTTCACTGATGATTCTAAATCTACTGGTCGAGAAGCCTGTAAGAGTATAACTTCTAATAGTGCCATTTGTCAACATGGTGGAACTCCCGTTGCAATGGGCCATGGAGTTCAATGCTTATGTCCAGCTGGATTCTCTGGACGTCGATGTGAAATTGACATTGATGAATGTGCTTCTCAACCTTGTTACAATGGAGCTTCTTGTGTTGATCTTCCTCAAGGCTATAGATGTCAATGTCCTCCAGGATACTTTGGAATTAATTGTCAAGAAGAAAAATCAGATTGCTCTAATAATACTTGTCCAGAACGAGCTATGTGCAAAGATGAACCTGGATACAATAATTATACATGTCTTTGTAGGTCTGGGTACACTGGAGTCAATTGTGACATTACAATAAATCCATGTACTGCTGGTGGAAATCCATGTCATAACGGTGCTACTTGTGTAGCTCTTCAACAAGGTCGATACAAATGCGATTGTCTTCCAGGTTGGGAAGGTCAAAGCTGTGAAATAAATACTGATGATTGTGCAGAAAGACCATGTCTTCTTGGAGCTAATTGTACTGACTTAGTCGCTGATTTCTCCTGTGACTGTCCTCCTGGCTTTACTGGCAAACGTTGTCACGAAAAAATTGACCTTTGCTCCGGAAATCCTTGTCTTAATGGTATTTGTGTTGATAAACTTTTCCATCACGAGTGTATTTGCCACCCGGGTTGGACTGGTGCTGCCTGTGAAACAAATATCAATGAATGTGCTAGTAAACCTTGTCAGAATAATGGTCAATGTCTTGATCAAATAGCTGGATATACTTGTACTTGTGAGCCAGGTTATACTGGTCAACAGTGCCAACATACTATTGATGATTGTGCTTCAGATCCTTGTCAAAACGGAGCAACATGTGTCGATCAACTTGAAGGATTCGTTTGCAAATGTAGGCCTGGTTTTGTAGGTCTACAGTGTGAAGCTGAAATTGATGAATGTCTTAGTGATCCTTGCAACCCAGTAGGGACAGATCGTTGTGTGGATCTTGATAATAAATTTTTATGTCATTGCAGAGAAGGTTATACCGGTTCTGTTTGTGAGATTAACATCAATGACTGCGCCTCAAGTCCTTGTCTCAACGGTGCTACTTGTAGAGATGAAGTTGGAGACTTTAAATGTATTTGTCCTGATGGATGGGCTGGCACTCGATGCGAACAGGATGTAGGAATGTGTTTGAATAAACCGTGTCAGAATGACGCAGCTTGTGTTGATCTTTTCTTAGACTACTTCTGTGTGTGCCCATCAGGGACGGACGGTAAGCAATGTGAAACAGCGCCTGAGAGATGTATTGGCAATCCTTGTATGCATAATGGAAGATGTCAAGATTTTGGATCAGGTCTTAATTGTACTTGTCCTGATGATTACACTGGAATTGGTTGTCAATATGAATATGACGCTTGCCAAGCAGGTGCTTGTAAAAACGGAGCTACTTGTACAGACAATGGTCTTGGATTTACTTGTACTTGTCCTCCAGGATATACTGGTAAAACATGTGAAGAAGATATCATCGATTGTAAAGAGAACTCTTGTCCTCCATCTGCAACTTGTATTGATTTGACTGGCAAATTCTTCTGTCAGTGTCCATTTAATTTAACTGGTGATGATTGCAGAAAATCTATTCAAGTAGATTATGATCTCTACTTTACTGATCCAACAAGAAGTAGCGCAGCACAAGTCATTCCGTTCTTTACTGGAATTCAAAAGAGCTTGACCATTGCTATGTGGGTTCAATTCACTCAAAAAGATGAAGCTGGAACTTTCTTCACACTTTATGCTGTTTCTTCACCTCACGTTCCCACAAATCGAAGACCAATGATACAAGCTCATAGCAACGGAGTTCAGGTTTCACTTTTCCACGATCTTCAAGATGTTTATCTTCCATTTAGGGAATATGCTACCATTAATGATGGACAGTGGCATCACGTAGCTGTTGTTTGGAATGGAGAAAATAGTGGAGAATTAATTCTTATTACTGAAGGATTAATTGCTAGTAAAACTGAAGGCTATGGAAGTGGAAGAACTCTTCCTCCATATGCTTGGGCAGTTTTGGGTAAACCACCAAGTGAAAACTCTAAAGGATATACTGACTCTGGCTTCCAAGGACAAATAACGAAAGTTCAAGTTTGGTCTCGTGCTTTACATGTCACTAATGAAATCCAAAAACAAGTCCGAGATTGTCGAACTGAACCAGTTTTATATCAAGGTCTTGTTCTTACTTGGGCTGGTTATGATGAAATTATTGGAGGTGTTGAAAGAGTTGTACCATCTCACTGCGGTCAACGAGTTTGTCCTCCAGGATATGGCGGTACCAAATGTCAACAGCTAGAAGCAGATAAAATTCCTCCGAAAGTCGAACATTGTCCTGGAGATCTCTGGGTCATCGCTAAAAATGGGTCATCAATCGTTACTTGGGATGAACCCCACTTCTCTGATAATGTTGGAGTAGTGAAAATTCAAGAAAAGAGTGGGCATCGATCAGGACAAACTCTACTCTGGGGAACTTATGATATCAGCTATGTCGCTTATGATCAAGCAGGAAACTCTGCTACTTGTAGTTTTAAAGTCTATGTTCTTGCTGATTTCTGTCCTGAACTTGCTGATCCTATTGGCGGAACTCAACAATGTAAGGACTGGGGATCAGGAGGACAATTCAAAGTGTGCGAGATTTCATGTAATTCTGGATTGAGATTTTCTCAAGAAATTCCCAAGTTCTATACCTGCGGAGCTGAAGGTTTCTGGAGACCAACTATTGATCCTAACTTACCAGTTGTCTATCCTGCTTGTACTGCTGCTACTCCAGCTCAAAGAGTCTTTAGAATAAAGATGAATTTCCCTACATCAGTACTATGTAATGAGGCTGGACAAACTGTGCTAAAACAAAAAGTTCGCAGTGCTGTTAATTCTCTTAATAGAGATTGGAACTTCTGTTCTTACTCTCTTGAAGGTAAATAAAAATAAATAAAAATCTCCTAATTAAATTCGATAAATATTAAAGATTGATGACAATTATTAATAAATAAAATTTCATTAGGTACTCGAGAATGTAAAAACTTAGATATCGATGTCCAATGTGATCACAGAATTCGAACTGCTCGGGAAGTTAATGAAGAGGATGGTGGAACATACACAATTTCAGCTGCAGTACCTGCAGAACCGTAAGTTGCTCTATATGAAATGTATTAAAATAATTAAAATTAAAGTTCTTTCATTAACATAAAATAATCCGCGAAAATTACAAACATAAATATGAATAAAATTATTTTACTTATTAGAACAAGACATGCACGCCAAGGAAGTGATACCTACGAAGTGGAGATTGCATTCCCAGCAATAAAGTAAGAGTTCCCCCTTGTTCGCGAGAATATTCATGTAGTTAGCTCATGAAATTGTTTACATAATCACATTATTAAGACTCATATTTCTCATAAAATTAATTAATTGCTATTTTATAATATTCAACTAAAGCTTGCACGTAATACATACTAACTTTTTTATGTTTTGTGTTAAACAATAGTCAGTAAAAAGGGAAACCAATGAATTCATCATAGGAGCATCAGCATTAATTATTAATTTACTCTCGTGCTTAACAAGTATTTTAAGATTATTCGTCAAATAATTGCTATATCTAATAGGATAATTGTTAAAGGCATAGGAACAAGAAGAAACAAAAATAACATGGTGGCTTATGTTATCTAATGATGCCAGCGAATAACGGCTGTATATATGAACTCATAACAACTGTATTTAATTTTCTCGCAACATTATTGAGTTTATTTTCTAATGATTGAACTTTGTTTTACAGTGATCCTATTCAAAATACCAACTCCAATGAACGTGCAACCGTCCAAAGCCTTTTGGAGAAGCTTATCTTAGAAGAAGATCAATTCGATGTTCATGATATCTTACCAAACACAGTTCCTGATCCTGCTTCATTGACTTTGGAGTCTGATTATGCCTGTCCAGTTGGTCAAGTCGTAATGGCACCCGACTGTGGTAAAATTTTATTTCTAAGATTGAGTATATTGAAACATTTTAGTAGATGTAATTTAATGAATAATATTTATATTGTTAGTACCTTGTGCTGTTGGAAGCTATTACGATGAATCAACCAAAAAATGTGAAGCCTGCCCAATTGGAACGTACCAAAGCGAATCAGGTCAATTAAAATGCAGCAGTTGTCCAGTGATTGCTGGTCGATCAAGTGTGACAATTGGACCTGGTGCTCGAAGTGCAGCTGATTGTAAGGAACGGTGCCCAGCAGGAAAGTATTATGACGATGTTGCGGGCTTGTGTAAGAGTTGTGGTCATGGATTCTATCAACCGAATGAAGGAAGCTTCTCTTGTTTACTTTGTGGTCTTGGAAAAACCACAAGAACAGCTGAGGCTGTGTCTCATGAAGAATGCAGAGATGAATGTGGATCAGGTCAGCAGTTAGCAGTGGAAGGAAAATGCGAGCCTTGTCCTAAAGGAACTTATAGAACCCAGGGAGTTCAAGCTGCTTGTCAAGCTTGTCCTCTTGGAAGAACTACCCCCAATATGGGTTCAGCTGCTATTGAAGAATGCTCTCTTCCAGTTTGTGAACCTGGAACTCATTTAAATGGAACTCTAAATGAATGCATACCTTGTAAAAAAGGAACATATCAATCAGAACCTCAACAAACCTTCTGTATTCCTTGTCCACCTAATACTAGCACCAAAGGACCTGCTGCTACCAGCAAAGCTGAATGTACTAATCCATGTGAAATGAGTGGAGAAGAAATGCATTGTGACGCCAATGCTTATTGCTTGCTCATCCCTGAAACCAGTGAATTTAAATGTGAATGCAAGCCAGGATATAATGGAACTGGAACTGTTTGTACAGACGTTTGTACAAATTACTGTGACAATGAAGGAGTTTGTATAAAGGATTCTCGAGGTCAACCTTCTTGTAGATGTAGCGGTAGTTTCACGGGCAAACATTGTACAGAAAAGTCAGAATTCTTTTACGTGATTGGAGGTGTTGCTGGTGGAGTTATTCTCATTATTTTCATAGTATTATTGGTTTGGATGATTTGCGTTCGAGCTTCAAAGAAAAGAGAACCTAAAAAGATGATTACTCCAGCTACAGATCAAAATGGATCCCAAGTTAACTTTTATTATGGTGCTCCTACTCCTTATGCTGAATCCATTGCTCCTTCTCATCACAGTACTTATGCACATTATTATGATGATGAAGAGGATGGATGGGAAATGCCAAATTTTTATAATGAGACTTACATGAAAGGTCAATAATTTTTTTTATATTTACTGGTTTATTTGTTTTAGAAGAATGATTATAGATAATAATTTTATAATTTAATATTTACAGAAAGTCTACATAATGGAGGTAAAATGAATAGTTTAGCGCGTTCTAATGCTAGCATTTATGGTACGAAAGATGATCTTTATGATAGACTGAAACGTCACGCTTATCCGGGAAAGAAAGGTAAGTAATTACATCAAAGAAAATCAGCCTGACGGACTCAAAATATATTATCGTGAAAAATTATAGCATAAATAATAAAAATAATCACCATCTCACGAACAACCAAAGTTTCACTTAAAATTTCTAATTTCTGTGACTCATAAAAATGTCATTCTATTTTTTTTTTTGAGACCGTCAAATATTCTACTATTGATGATATTTAAAAAAATCTGCCAATTTTATCATAAGAAATTTAATTATGGTTCCAGACAAGAGTGACAGTGACAGCGAGGGTCAGTGACCACCGAAGATATTTACGTTCTCTTATACTGATGAATAATATATTTATTGGTTAATAATAGGATGTACAAAGTTTACGAATCTCAGGAGAATTTAATTAAGGGAATGGAATTTACCAGTCAACAAAAAACAATATGGAATGCTATAAATAAACATGACTTGGTAGTCCTGAAACAATGATAACTATTTTTATAGTTAACGTCAGTCTACTTAAATGCAAAATCATTAAAATACATATTCAAAACTTTCTCCTGAACTCTGAAAGTCAATCGAATATCTTCAATATGTAGTAAAGAGTGTGCGTATGTGTGATTGTAATTTTTGTATTTAAATAACAACTATTTTCTTTTAATTTAGAAATAAATTCTTTTTTACTTAAATCAGAATTTTAATAAGTGTGACAGTGGAATGTATGTCTGAATGTATTAATTATAATTATTTTGATTAAATAGACTCCATAAAAAATTTTTATATTATATAAAATTGTTATTATAAATATGTATCTGTTTTTTGTAATATACTTACAAATAAGCAAAACAATTATTTTTAAATAATTGTGATAGAAATAATTAAAAAATGATATTAAAATAAAGTTATTTTAAACTTTGTATAATACATTATGACTATTAATACATGTTCTACAGATTAGAAATTACTCCTACTTTTTAATCAATACTTTTGCAATTACAGTCAGCTAACTAAACAAAAGTAAATAATTCTGTAAAATATAGATTTATAATTAACGACTATTATTTATAATAAATATAATAAATATTCCATTTTTAATCGGTTGTTTTAATGATAAGTCATTTATTAAAATGATTAATAAATGTTTTTTAATTGCCATTAAGTTGCTATAAATTAACATCAAGGTTCTAGTACCAATTTAATACTCGTTATTTTAGAAATGTCTCTTTGATGTTTTTTAAAAAATTCCAATGTTCAGTGCAACAAAGTTAAAGTTAATAATAGTGTTAAATGCGCAATTTTCAAATGAGTACTTATTATCAGAAATAAGGTTTTATATAATTTAGGTTTATGTAACTCGTACATTACAATGACTAACAGTGTTCAGATATAGGTATCTAAGCCATGCTATGGTTAAAATTCTTCCAAATTATAAATATTCTATTGAGAAACACATTATATAATTTTTACTTAAGATCACCAGACTTCAATAATTTAGCAAAAGTTATCAATACACATCTGTTATTTAGATTCAGTTAAAAATAATATTCTTCTAATAGATAAAAAAAATACAATTCTGTATATCTCTATTATCATTGTAAGGAATTTTATATTTTATCAATAATACAATTAAGTCAATAATCTAATAGTAGCTTCACTTTTTATCTATTAATTCTAGAAATAATGAAACTTTAACTGATGCATAAAAATTTTGACGTTGAATAATCAACAAATTTACGTTGTTTATTACTCTCATAAATTTAGTTGGCAAAAATGTATCTCACGCAACTTTCATCTATCTTACATCTTTCAAGTTTAAGTCTCGTGATGAACAAATCATCTCTTTTTCTACCTTCTGGGATTTCCACGAATTTCTTGAATTGGGGCTATAATAAAAAAATAAGATAAAGCCGGATTTGACTTTCTCTGTAAGAGCAACAGAGAATGTAAGGTACGAATAAGTAGTTAATCAGGTTGTTGTCCGAACTATCCACTCATATGACGTGTCTTTTTTGCCCACGTGATTTCATTTTCCGCACATTCGATTGGTTTTATATGACGTCAATTAAATCTCTATTGGTTGAGAATGACGTACACACCGTTTGAATATTCTGCGCAGCCGAACATCTGCTCCAAACGTCTCGTGACGTCCGCGAGTGAACTTCTCAGAATCGCATTTTGTTCACGACCGCCGAAGTTGTTGAACGTGTGGACGAGCTTTGTTAGAATCAGGTGTGGAAATAAAAGTAACAACGCAATCTAAAAATTTGAATAATTCAAGTGATTTGTGCTCACGTTTTTATCCGCTCCAAGTGGCAAAATCCCCATTACCTATTGATTTTGGGAGGGTAAGTTAAATCTTCGTTCTAGTCTTTTACGTAATCACTGACATTCCAAAAAATTCCAATCCATGTCTTCATACGTTGATGCAAACAAAGAAAACTCAGGTTATTTTAAAAACTTCGAATGTTCTCGACAATACATTTCTTGTGGAATTTTATTGTCAAAATAGCATTTAAACAATGTAGAATATTTTTTTACATTCAAACATATTGAAAGAAAGTGCTATTTCATTCTGCAGCAGTATTCACTTAGTACAATATGCCATGTATTATTTAGACATATACATATATACATGTAATGATAATTTTGACACGCAAGCGTGTGCAGTTTGTTGATTAACAATCATATTTTTATAGCCGCCAGTCTTTTTGTTCAATCGTTGTCTTCGGCATATCTCATTAGAGGTTAAATGGAAAATCTTGTTAAATTTATTCCTTACACTATCATGACGCAAGTTGATAATATGATAAGACTGAAAAAAGAGTTATGGGAACACTAAATTCCTTACGTAATCGTTGATACGTAGAAAATGTAATTTTACAGAAAAATACGTTTTATCCGAGCTAAATCGAACAGCAAGCAAAAATATATTAAATAGTCCTCTTCATAATGGATCTCATTTAATTTAGATGAACTGATAAAAATGAGCTATTGAACGTATTACTTTAATCATTAATGTTGTTAAAAGTATTCTGCTATGTATTGTTAAGATAACTTTTGATAATAGAAGATAAAAATTGAAATTTCTATATGCGCAGTCATTTAAAGAAAGGAATTATGTTAATTTTATACCTATATATAATATAAATATATCAGTTGACTCATATAATTGTATTGTAATGTTTTATCATATTTTCAGGCATTCAAAATCCCTCCCGTTCAAGAGCGTTCAACGGCCAGCAACATTACCTTTGATCAAGGCAGCGAATTTAACGTAAGTCAAATTAAAAACATGACTGATGTTTATTTGTAGCTATAAATTAATTATGAAATTCAAAGTCAAGTGGAAGAAGACCAAATATTGATATTACGTCATGATTTTGTTTAAATATTGAATAAGCAGTAAAGTTATATTTAGTTTAGAGTAAATCTTTAGTCAAAAGATGAAGTCAAATTTTCAAGAAAAAAGTATTTTAACGTTATAATTTAATTTTGAATTATTACGTGATTTAAAAATTTTCTACTGAAGCATAACAACATAAATCTGTTATGTATTTTTGGCCACCTGAATGATTTCAGCGTTACGAATATGGTGGTCACAAGTTGGTACAGCATCTTACATAACTAAGTTTCTATCTCTTTCCACTTGATGATGAAATTGATTTTGATCAAATAAAATCATGTATTTTTCATTTTAGCTGCATTTGACTCCAGGCACTGATCTATTCCAGGTAACTGAACCATGCAACCATCTGAAAAAGCTGTCATCTGTTTCTCATGGCGTGAAATCTCGGCCGCCATCGTCGGATCCAACATGCGTCAAAACGACACCGCTTTTGAGCCCGACGATGGAGAAGAATCTGATGGAGACGTGGAGTACTCTGGAGTCCAAACCACTCTTCAACAACGAAGAGGATTCAACAGCTTTTATTACATGGGAGGAGAATTATCAGGATCTAAGTGGATGGTGCATGGATCCATTCCAGGGCCATTGCACACTTCCTGCAGGTGAATCTAAGACCACTAAAATTTCAGGTAAATATTAACTATTAATTTTCTTAGTATCAAGAGAAAAGAAAAGAGACTATTTATATAGTCATTTTTAGGCATGAAAATTGAGGATACGGATAAGTCGATTGAGACAAAGGGGGGCGTAAAAGATTTAGGACCAACTCCTGAAAGGGCATTTATTTCTACGGCAGAAAAAATGCCATTAAATAACAATCAAACAGTTCTATTACTTGATGATAAACAGGAGTTAATTGGGGGGACCATAGACGTACCTGAAACGTGGCTGGATTTACCACAATCTTCCATAGCTCTTCAAACAAACGAGTGGATACAACTCGTCGATAACAACGAAGTAAACGAACCTCTTCAACGAGTTTCAAAAGTAGAAAAAATAGAAACAAAGTATGCAGATCAACAAGATAATTGGGATGTAATTAAGACTCTTGACAACACCGACTCAGATGATTTTGATCTTCTGTCTTACTTATGTGATGTAAGAAATTCTTTCGATATGACAATGCAATATTAAATTCATTACTAATACAAATTAAAGTAATTTTAAATGTTAAAATATTTTTTTCAATTTATAGGATAATATGCAGTCGCCTGAAAGCATATCAACAGATTCTACTGATCCTTTACAAGCATCTACGAGCTTAAAGAGTTCAGAACATAAGTCAGCAGTAACTATGCGACTTAGAAGTAATCGACGATTCACAAACAAATCAGAAACAATTACATCGTCAACAATTACATCATCAGAACTATTAGAAAACGAAGAAAAACCTATTTCATCCAGAACTTCTACTAGATCAACACGAGGAGTTAATTTAAAAGTAAAAAAAGATATGAAAATAGCTCATCGCGGTAAAAAACGAGAATATGAAAGTGATTCAGATCAATCGGATGTCAGTTATCGAGAGTCACGAAAGAAAAATAATGAAGCTTCACGAAAGTCTCGAATGAATAAAAAAGCTAAAGAACTAGAAATGATGTCTAAAGCGGTTATACTTGAAAAAGACAACAGAATATTAAAATTAAAAGTAGAAGAGATGGAAAAAATGGTAACTACTCTTAGAGCTGCTATACTCAAATCTGCATTGAAGAAAAAATTTTAATTATTTACTAAGTTCTATATATTAATATCTACCCGTGAAAAATATAATAGATAAAGTTATATATGTTTTGTTTTATCTACTATCTACTTGTGTTATCTACTATAACAGGCAGAGGTGATAGTTGTTTTAGAAACGAAAAATCGATATTTTTTATAAAAATATGTGACGGATGAGGGATATCTATACATATTCTTTAAAAATGCTTTAAAAAATGGCGCTAAAAAATTATTTTTGTTATTCTTATATAGAATACAGCACTATTTGCTTCACTATAATTATCCAAAATAATAATGAAATCAAAAAAAAATTGTGACACATCAATTTATCACTTATACCCTATAGTGTGTCTATTTTATTATATAAGATTCTTAAGATGTATTTAATTATGCAATTTTTTTTATATTTTATTCTTCAGTTGTAATATTATTAATACAACATACAAATGTATTTCAAGGATTCTTGAAATAAATGCATGAAGATTCATTTACCACTTAACTAAGTAAACTGGTTTATTTATTCTTTACATCCTGTTGATTTATGAGAATATTTTTTTACTTTTTATTCGAAGAAGATTTTTTCAAAACTCTAATTATGTTCAATTATTTATTGGTTGAACAAAAACAATAGCAAGTTTAAATATTCAATTGTTTTTCAATACAAAACTGAATGTTATGTTTTATTTATATGTGTTTTCTTTAAATTAATTTTATACAATAACCAATTAAAATTTTTGTGAATATGTTGTTGGATTCTGATAGTATGTCTGACAAAGAACTTAATGCAGTAATCTCAGTAAGTGCAATTTTTATTCAATTAAAACAAATTTATTATTGTGAATTAGTAAATTAATAAGAATAACGAATGGTTTCAAGAATCATCGAAAGAAATTGGATAACATGGAAGCATTAGGCAAATTTATGACTCGTAAAATTAAACAAAACTTTGATACAATTAGTCAAAAAGATTCATCACCTTCGAACTCCAGTAGACGTGAACACTGGAATGATAACTCATTCACGGATGAAAGTTTGAATTTGAGTAATAGAAACTTAGATTGGAAAGGCAGCCCTCTATACAGCATGCCCAACTCTAGTCAAGCCTCTTGTAGCATTCTTTATTCTAAGATTTATCCAGATAACGTTAATGTTCAGAAAAAAAATTTAATATTTAATCTAGAAGTAGAGAAAAATAAAAAATACAATGGTGAAGAAAAAAAGTGTTTGTTATATAGAATACGGAATCGACTTGCTTACTTTCAAGCTTCTCAGGGAATTTCGGATGATCAATATACCTTTGCTACTCTTATAAAAAATATGGGACAAATAACAGCCAAATCATTATTGGCACTTTTTTATTTTATCATCAACGTGATTCCTATGACATTGGTAATTAGGTTTAATTACAAAATAGTTTAATTTACATGAGCTGCAAGAAATAAAAATTAATCTCAATTAATTTATGAAATCCAAGATGGAATTAAATGTTATTAGTTTAAAGTTTCAATTTTAACATTAACGAGTATAGTTTTTTTTACAGATTCTTCTATATATCCTGAGATTTATCTTAGATAAAGTAATAGACATTAAACAGATGAAAGATCGTCAGCAAATAGCTGTACAAACAATGTTTTTGGGCTTACAACTTTCATTCATTTATCTTTGTCTTTCCTTTATTTTTGGAATAATTTGGCTGCCAACTTTTCAAATTGTTATGAAAATTATATCAAGCTGCTTAATTAATCCTACATATAATTGAAAATCACAATAAAAACAAACTAAACTAAAATTATTAATACATAAATAAATGCATATACATATTATGAGTATTTATAGCTTGTCCTATTTTTTAAATAAATGATTTATTTTAGTAATAGTTTGTGTTATCTTTGAAAATTTTGTTAATTCGTGAGTATTCATCAATTTACAGTGAGTAAATAGATTTTTTTTAAGAAAAAGAATAATCAATTTATTATTGATTCTCTTTTTATTTAATTAAAAAATAGAATAAAATTTTTAAAAAATTAATAAACATTTACGGCAGATATTAAAAGAACAAAAACTAGAAGAAGCTGCGAAATCTTCCTTGTAGGAGCTGATGACCAACCACACTCAATATCTTGTTTGAGAGCTTTCATAATTGACATATTATTTTTATTAGAACAGAAACTTTCCCTTAAATCATCATCCCAACCATTATCCCAGCAGCTGTGTTCATTTTCTTCATCACGTTCAAAATTGTAATGATGAAGAGGAAAAGTATTACTGCATCTGTCTTCTTGATATTGTCGATGCTTCCTTTGCCAACCTTCAATCCACCTTAAAAAAAATGTATGAAGAATAGGATAATATTAATAACTACTTTACAAACATTGTAAATTAATTTAATTAATATTAGTTTTTCAACAATTGAATTTTATTCAATTTATTGTAAGTTTAGACAGAATTAATCTAATTCAATGTCTACATTGAAGACTTTTAAAAAAAATAAGAAGCTTACCCAATATCACAATCACAGTTAACGTAGCTTCCGGCCATTCGTAGTCGCATTAGAAATCTTTTGTCTGCAACTCCAGGCTTATGACCATTTGATGGATTCTCCAGAGTTTTAATGTCATTATCATGAAGGTCTATTGTAATATTTCGAACTGTTCTTGCATTTTCGAATATTTCATCGGGTACTCGTCCTACTGAAGTATTATGAAGTTCAAAATGAAGATGAGGACTTCTTATTCCCTATTAAAAATTTTTCATTATTATTTTTATAACTGAACAAATTGAAAAATTTGAAAACTTTAATCTACTTACTTGCAGAATATCTGAATTGAGAGATTTCAAATTTCTGCCAGTAAAAGTAAAATTGTATAACTTCACAGGGAATACTCCTTTCATTTGCTTTTCAAGTGTAGTTTCATTATCCACATCTATCACGAGATCTCTCAAACCATGATTATGTTGCAAGAGACTTGGGAAATTAAAGTTTTTAATGCCTGTATAAGCTGTTATAGCCAATGATTGAAGTTTTGATGCTTTACAAAATGCTCCATTCTGAAAAGAAAAAACAGTAATTTCTATAATATTTTTTACTTCCGGAACAATTCTATGAAATAAAAAAAGCTTATCTATTCAATTGCTTACTTCAAACGTTGACAGAGGTAATCTTCTAATATCTAATTCCACAAGACTATCGGCAGACCCCAAGAAACTGGTGTTGGTAACAGACGTAATGGGATTATAAGCAAGGTTGAATGATTTCAACTCAAGTAATGTGTGGGTAATAAGAGGAACAACAGTTAAATCATTATGACTGAGATCAAGATGGTGAAGAGATGAAAGATTTGATGCTAATTCCGCTGGAATTGTTGCGAGCTCATTATTTGATAAGTAAAGATTTCTCAAAAGACGGAATGGAAGTTCTGGAACTGTTAGAAGTGAAATATTGCTGAGTCCTAAAGTCATCAAAGAATCTTCTAATCCATAAAATGTTCTTCCTCTATTTTCTAAGATCAACTGCTTATTGTGACTTAAATCTAGGTCAATTAGGTGTGGGAGATCAGCAAATACTCCGTCATCTAATCGAACTAGACGGTTGTAGGATAAGTCCAGATCAGTTAAACTCTATAGAATAAAAGAATTAAATGAATTAAAAAATAGTATTGACGTCAATTATTTTTGTAAGTAATTTACTGCATACTTACTTTAAATTTAGAAATAGCATCAGCATTATTGATACTAGAAAGCATATTCCAAGCCATATTTAGCACTGAAACGGATCCAGCGGCTATTGGAGTCATAGTTTTGGTTGGCAGACGCATAAATTGATTATGAGATAGATCTAGTATTTCAATATTGGCATCAGTAAACATGTTATCTGGTAGCGTACGAAGTTTATTAAAAGACAAGTCCAAGATTCGAAGTTTTTTTAAAGATTTTAATGACTCTGCAGGAATATCCATGATATCGTTGTGAGATAGTAGTAGAACTTGGATATTTTTGGTGTTTCTGAAGCAGTCATAGTCGATTTCTATGATATCATTGTATCGTAAGTCTAGCCATTGAAGGTGTGGAAGATTTCCAAAGATCGTTTGCGTTATATTTCCGATTTCATTGTGTGAGAAATATAAATGAGTCAATGAATATTCAACTGGCCGGAAATAAAACTTTGCTATGTCAGTTATATTGTTATGGCTCAAGTCAAGGACTTTGATATTTGATTGAAGAGCACCACCCATATTATAGTATACTAAAGAATAAAAAAAATAATTAAAATGAAGAAATGAATGTAAATAAATTAATGTAAAAGCGAATAATCATACATGTTGATGTTGGGGCAGTGTTAGAGCTATTAAGCTGTAAACTCTTGATTTCATTGTGACTGGCGTTCACTTTAAACGAGGCCAAAGTTCCAACTTGGTCAAACCAGCCGAAGTCGAATTCATCCATTTTATTGTACGACAAATCTAGAAATTCTAGATCTGGTAAATTTTGGAAAGCCTCATCTACAATATTTTTAATGTTATTCCCTCTTAAGTTTAAATACTTTAAACGATTCATATTCATAAATGCTCTCCTTTCAATTCTTTCGATTTTATTGTCTTTTAAGTTAAGAAAAGACATGGATGCCAAATCGACAAATGTGTGAGTTTGAAGATTACCAATATGATTGAAAGCAAAGTCAACTTCTTCAAGAATAGAATGAATATCTCCCTATAATTTTTATTCAGTAAATTCTACGTAACAGTTTGTTGTGATAAAAATTTTTATCTAAATATTCACCTGAAAAGTTCCTTTGCGAATGTCACCAATTTCATTATCTTGGAGTTCAATTCTCTTGATCCTCTTCAGGAAATGAAACGACGTATCAGGCATTGAACGAATTTTATTATTACTTAAATCAAGATATTGAAGATTTGTTAAAGCTCTGAAAGGTTTATTAGGCAATTCACTCATAGAACTGGAAAGCCCGTGTGCGAGTTTCAGGGTCATTAAAGATTGTCCAACTTCAGAAAACGCTTCATCATCAATTGATGATATAGAATTCTCCGAAAAATCCATGTATTTAATTCCTCGAACATGTGTAAAAGCATGACTTTTAATAGAATTCAAATTACTCTGAGTGATATGGAGTTCTTTTACGTCAATTCCAAATTCTAGAAAATCATCGGCTGAAAGAGTATCTTGAGACAATTTTGATAATGACAAGTATCTAAGATTGCGCATTTGTCGAAGATCTTGAAGAGAAACAGGGCCGTTTCCTTTACCACTCAAATCCAAGTTATATAATGAATATTGAAATCCAGTAAATGCTTCCGCTAGAATTAATTTTATTGTTTTTCATATAATTATCAATACCATTTTTAAAACAATAACTGAGAAGTAAAATAAGTCTTCATACCTGGTGAAAAATTAATTATTTTATTGTCACGAAAAATCAAAGTTCTTAAAAAGTCGAATTCTTGAAAAATATGACTTTGTAATGAAGTAATATTATTTCCTGATAAGTCGAGAAGTTCTAACGAAGATTCTAGGCCTTTCAATGAAGCTGAATTAATTTCCATAATGTCACAATCAGTTAAATAAAGCTCTCTAATTTTTGAATCTCTAAAAGCACCTTCCTAAAAAATATCAATATGGAATTAGAAATTATAAAAATTATAACAAACAAAGGAAGTAGAAAATAAAAGTTTATACTTCAATTTCTATCAGCGGATTTCCACTCAAGTAAGTTTTATTAACTTTAAAAAAATGTTGGAAAGATCCAGGCTGAAGAGTTGTAATTTGATTCCAGTCAAGACGTAAAGTATCCAATGAAATTTGAATTCCACGTATTTCAGGTTCTGTCAGGGGCTGAATTATCTGAGAAATTCTATTGTGGCTGAGATCAAGCACTTTCATGTGTTTTAATGTTGATAATTGGCTGTATGGAATAGCTGTAAGTTGATTCCCGTTAAGATAGAAGTAGGAAAGGTGTGCCATTCCATCTCTAAATACCGAAGGATCAATATCTCTAAGACTGTTATCACGTAAATCAAGGATCTCTAGATACGTAAGACCAGAGAATGCATCTGCTGGAAGTTTGTCGATGTGATTTTTCCCTAATCGCAGTGTATGAAGAGAATTTTCCAGACCTCTCCAATTATCAGCTTCAATTACTGATATTTCATTACCTATAAAAAATTTAAGTTCCAGTAAACAAACATTTTTTTCGTATTATATTATTTTTTGATTGTTGACAATTACCAGTCAAATCCAAAATTTTCAATTTTTGTAAATGCCGAAATGATTTACTCGGAACTTTAACTAATTGGTTATATGGTAACTCGAGTTCCCATAGCGATCTTTCAAGCCCTAGAAAAGCTTCGTCTGGAATATCTGCCAGAGGATTATATCGAATCTGAAGATTATACAGGCCTAGATAACAAAAGATAAAAAAACAAATACGATTAACGGAGATGTAGATATTAATATCATGCAAAGAGGAGAACTATCAATTCTAATAAAGCTTATATGACAATAAATCTATTTGGCACACTTACCTGTATTCATTAAAAATTGAGGCTGCAACTGTCGTAGTCCATTATTGCCTAGTTGAAGAATGAACACTTTGGACGAATTAATTGGTTGAGGTATTCTAGGCATAGGAACATTCTCACAGTTCACTATTCCAAGGTCAGGAACTGCTTTAGAACAAGTACACAAAGGATTGAAGAAACACGGCGGGTATTGAACTGGTAACTCGTGCATCCTGACCATTGATGCCCAAAACATCAACACTAGGGTGAGAATCATCATGATGTAACCCATTCTAATGAACGCAAACAGGTTCTGAAATGTTTAAAAAGATAGTTATTTAAAAGATATCAACGAACTATGGTGAATTGATATGATGATTATGATATTTGATAATTGCTAATGAATTTGAAAATTAATGAAAAATATTTACCATTCTGTTCTTGATGGAAATAGACGCTTTAAAAAGAGAGATGCGTCTAATAGACTGAATGGCTGTAGGCTTTTTTCTTTCCGCTCGTGACTACAGTCCAAATCATGGGGCTTCATGAATACTCAAGCAGTTTTGGTGCTTCTCTTTACACGATTATATTCTAGAAAATACTTCCAACAACTCTTATATTTTATATTTTATTAGCATTCAGTTGTAAAAATAGTATAATATACTACATTATTGTCTGCATTCAATCTGGTGTATCTATTGTGATTCATGAATTTTAAAACCAATAAAAAAGTCCTAAAAATATTTTTTAAAGTTGTGAAATATTATTTTAGGATTGCATTTGAGTTGAACACATTTTATTTATTAAAAAAAATTTATAAATTATGTGACAACTATTGTTAGAAGCAAATTCGAAAGCATAAAAAAACAATATGACTTGAACAATTCAAGGTTTTCAGAAAGCTCAAATGTCAATAGATGCAAATACGCAAATGATTGCATAATAATTCGTAATTTATTCAACAAACAATAAAAAAACATGAAATTATTTGAACTTTCATGGCTTAAATTAGCATAATGAATTTATGGATGAATAAAATTTATATTGAATAAAACTTCTGTTAATTAAATATTCAATTTGGAACTCATTTTAACGGGAACAATAAGATGTAATGAACGGAAATTAACATATTCATGACATAAATTTTTCATGAATAATTATTCCTATTCGTAATTAAGAATTAATAATTCGTAATTAATAATCAATAGCACCAATTTTATTATTACAATTTAAATTGATTAAATACAAAAAATTTTTCGCAAAAGCGTTATATTATTTATTAAAGTTACAATAACACTTATTCATCTTTATAAATTTGTAAGTTTTGATTTATGTATATTTGATATCATTAACACACCAATTTGGTAGATTTAATATAAATCATCAATTCGTCATTCATTCATTCTTTTTTCTTGGTGGTCTTTCAGTCGGATAGAAAAAATATTTGGAATAGTATTAATATAACAACACTAAATATTCTATAATATAAACATAATAGTAATATAACTATTATTATTTGTTTCATTAATTAATTAATAAAAAATTATAATAATCGACTGTTGCAGTCTAATGACGCCTGGTCAGGTCCTAGGTATGTCGGAGTTTTAGGAACTCTGGCCATGACAATTATGACAAGTCAATTTATGAAATAATTATAATAATAATAATAATTATTATCATTTGAATAAAATATAATATTACTAGAAAAAAATATTTATTTGTAGAGAATGAAAATAAATATTTTCTTTATAGCGTTTTCTTTGTAATTCCATTATGATTTGTTTCTCGATCTACAATATTTGTAGAATTTGTATCACATGTCAATTGTTCTTTTGAATTATTGTTTACAGTACTATTTCCTTTTTTTGTAACAGACTTTGTCGGTATCAATGGCGCAAAGATAATAATTGCCAATGCCATTAAATGTGGAATCAGGTACATTGATCTAAAAAAAATGTCGTTAAATATTTTTTTCTCCAATTTTTATTAATGTTGTAATTATATTTAAGATCTGTACTTTCGGCTTGACCTCAATAAGATTACCTACCTTCATTTCCCCGTGAATCAGCTCTAACCCTATCGTGTGAGCCAGAAAATGACACCCAAAACTTTTTTCCTTTCTTTTTATTGTAGGCTAATCAGCTCGCACTCCTCCGAGCATTCATTAGTATAATCAAACAAAGGCGAGAATTCCTCATGTGTTCTTGTATGCTTATGGAGTAGTGAACAACGTGGTAGAAGGGGTAAGAAATCAGTGGTAGGGAGTTCAAATGCATTAAGGTAACTAAGCAATTTTTTTCGATTGTAGTCCGATTGTATGCTATTTTTTGGCGAGTAGTGTGGATCAGTGCTAACGTTGGTGTAACGTTCGAGAAGAAATAATTAGTTTTCTTTTTACTTTCTGTTGTGAACTAAGCTACAAAATATTGTTCCGTTTTAAAGTGTAACTTTTAAAAGGTAAGATATTTTTTTAGTTTGCTTGAAGTTAGATGAGTCTCCTGTTAAAGAGCCGTTTTGGTTCATGAGCCGCAGCTGTAGACAGGGCAGCTGCTTCCTTTATCACGATGTACGAGCTCCTGAAAGAGTCGGCGGGTTCAGATGACCAGGACAGATCAGTTGAAGCTACTGGCTCAGGAAATTCTTTTAAATAGGTGGTTAAACTAGAAATCAGTCAATCTGTCTAGAAAGGATCTGTTTGATGGGATTTAATCCAACAGCAATCAGTCTTTCAGAAAAGCTGTATTGTAACTCTAAGTTAGAGCTTTTAAACTGGGCTTTTTGCAGAGCTTTTATTAGTCCTCTGTCGATCATTAATAGATGAAAGGCCCAGTCAGAGATATTTCAAGTGGCATTGCCACCAGTTAAAAATTTTTTTATTTCTCGAAAAGATGCAGACTTTCAGCTTGGGCTGAGAGAGGCCTCTGAGAATAAGTATCACCTGTTAGGTTCGAAAAGAGCATTTGGAGATCCAGTTAGTGATACTCCTTCAAGAGGAACATCTAAGATGCATCAGAGGAAGGTTATGGATTCCACTTAAACGGTCACCAGATTCTGGAGAAATGATCAGAGGAACAAAAGAAGTGGCACGTAAAACCAAAATAATTGTTCACGATTTTATTAGCAATCTAGAGCCTCACGAAAAATTAAAAGGTTCAAACGTGATAATCCAATCCAACCACAGAACAATCAATGCCTTCAGCATAAGATAAGTAGTAAAGCTGGCCTGGATATTCTTACTACCATACTTGATGTCGAAAGTCTCATAATACCTCAATTCAGCAGAAGAAATATTTTTAGTGGTGTCTCCACAATGACAAAACAAAACCATTTGGAGATCAGACTTCAAAAGCAGATGTGTAGCAGTTCTGTTCCAGTTATGGAACCTGAGAAGCCATTTGATAGATCTAGCAACGAGCCGGCCTCTTCAGAAAGATACAAGCTGGAGTAAAAGTGAGTGGAAAAATCGGAGAATAGTTCACGTGATGTATCGTTAAGAGTCTTGGATTGATTCAAATATTTCACTTACTAATTTAATGCTAGAATTTTAATATGTTTATTTTCTAAGTTATTTTTGAGAAAAGAAAAGTTTTTGTTTTAGGTGTTTTTAATTTATATGTCATCTGATTCTTTTTCTGTGCTTCAGTGTTTTACTAAAAGTTCCGAATTTTTAAAATGTTTATTTTTCTTTGAATGGATCAATTTTTTGTGGCAAGAAAAGAAAATGTTTGTTCTATGTTTTCCCTGGTACAGAAGTCATTTTCTTTAGTAGTGGTCATAGTATGCCGAATGGTGCTGGTAGGTTCTAAACACTTCTCATGAACCTCATATCAGGCCTTATAAGGCCTATTTGTCACCTAGATCGGTGTTGATAAATACTTGGAGGAATATGAGCTCGTCACTACATCATAAGAAGAGTGGGGGGTAGGGTCTTATTTTCTGGCTCACGTGATAGGTAAATCAAGGTAAGTAATTTCATAGAGATCAAGCCGAAGGCACAGAGCTGAAATAACCGTTTTCCTTCTTTTGTGATAGAAAACGGATATTGTAGTTGCTCAATAATAACAATGTATGATGTTTATGGATACTTTCATGCTTATTAACTTCGGTAATTATTGGTTGTGCAATTAACAAAGTGATTATAGATAAAATGATAAATATGAGCATTGAACTTCTCGAATACTTACTTATATATTCTAACACTTGCTGTAAACTCTAATAATGCGAAGGTAAATGCGAGGTAGGTCATACTAATGCGGGTTGCCACAAAAGTCAGCACATCGTAGATGAAAGAGTTATCCGCTGAAGTAACAAAAAGCGGACGGATTTTCCGACGACCCTGATGACATAATTTATAAAATTTATTTTCATATCAATTTAAAGATGTTTTTTTTGTTTATTAATAAAATGAAAAAACAAAAAAAAAACATAAATATTCTTAAATATTTATGATTTTAAAATAAAGAATTGATGAAAAAAAATCAGAATTACTTAATAGAATATTATGCAATCGACTAGTTTTTACCCGAGTTGCAATTAAAAATTAATAAAAATATTCACAATAAAAAAAATATATTCTAGAGTTGCCATTAACAAGTACTATTTAATTATTAATAGTAACTTAATATTTTTTCTTCACTAAACATTGATAAAAATAATTCAATATTGTTGAAGATAGTTTATAACAACAATCTGCACTCGATAATAATAAAATAATTATACTAAATATAACAATGTATCATTATAAACAATTTAATATTATGGAAATAATTTTCTTGTCATTACTAACTATTAGACATTATTTTAAATCATCAATGTTGATAAAACTAATTAAAAATGCAGATAAAATAATATATTATGATAAAAAAGAATGTTTAATGATTATTAATAATAAGTAATTACTTGTTATAATATTTGATTATTTCTAACAGTATAATTTTATTTTTAATACAATTATTTCATTACTGTCAAGTGAAGATTGTTGCAATGAACTATTTTTAATATTGATTAATTATTTTAAATAATATCCCCTGTAAAGAATCATAAGATTTTTCTATCACTATTTGGTGACCGTTATTGGTATCTTTTGAGTCTACTATTTCCCTTTTTATCTTTTAATTAATATTTAATAATAATATTTAACTGCTATTAACGATAATATATTATTTAATTAATTCAATAACTATACTGAATGAAGACAAAATTTTTTTTTAAAATAAAGTATTGAAAGCAGATTCAGCAGTTAAAATAAAATTTTTCAGGGGGTTCAGTAGAAAAATATAGATTTTGACAGGATTCACTAGTAAAGTAAAGAAAAATTATAACTCAGGTTATTATCATTTTAGATATCCGTGCGTTATTCTAAATTTTAAGCAGGTTCTTAAAAATTTCTCGTGTTTTTCTTTAACAAACCTACAGTTGGCAATTGATGAGTTATCGTTTAGAAAACCATGCGGTATAGTCATAGTTATCCCACACGTGTAATAAAAATTTTTTTTTCCATATTATCCGTTTAAACGATATTTTTGGATTAGATGTAATTATTTTTTATAAGCTTATTACTTACAATTCTTGCAGCATATGTGAATAAGGCTCCAGTAGCAAAAGTGAGGTAGTATCCAGGGTAGAACCCATGCCAGATGGAAGAAAGAGCAAACGTTAAAAGAAGTTTATAATTGTTCACTCTTTCATAAACAATTTCACGCAGCCATTTAGTGGTCCCTTTGTTCCAAGCTGCCGTAGCATCTTTTAAATTTGTAGATAATTCAAATGTGAAATAATCAACATTCGAAGTACCATCCCATCGGGGTTGTCCATGGTCATCAAGACCATTGAATCCCATTCCAGAATTGTTACAAATTGCATCGGCAAATAACCATGCATAATAATATCTAGCTCTAACAAAGAATAATACAATTGACAAATACACTAATTTATATATGATTCCAGTGTTTTCTATGAAGTCGCTCTCTTTGACACGTTCTAATGGAAACATAGGAATTAAAGAGATAAATAGAACACCACATATCAAAGTTTGGAGGATTTTGTTTATAACTGCTTTTGTTGGAGATGGTTCAATAACATTAACTTGGTTTGAAGCATCATCGTTGAACCCCTGCAAAAAATAAAGTAATTATAAATTATTAAATATTTCTAAATTTTTGACTTAATAGTTTAATGTAAATTCAAGAAATAATTACAGATAAATGATTGTGTCCTTTGAAATGATTTCCATGAATATAATCAATATAATCACAATAAACAACAGCTGGACCCGCCAATAATGTTTGGAACTGGAAGATAAAGGCAAAATATTCTAATGCTGATGGTATTACTTTTATAGCATGTCGTTTTTGCAGTGGTGTTAAGTCTTCTTCTCGTCGAGCAATTCCATCATGAATGTTGAATGCAGTGCTGGTTACTTTCTGAGTGATCACCATTAATGGACCTTGAAAAAATCATTTTGTCATATCTATACAATAATTAATTTCATGAATATATTACCTGTTATGTCCAAAGTATAGTATCCATAGGTATACATGATTCGGTAAATATGAATAAATGAAAGATAGCCAAGTGCTAAGACAAGAACTATCCTGAAAAATAGGAGAATAATTAAATATTATCACAATTTTTTTAAATTAGTTATTACAATGTACTTAGACAAAGTATTCACCGATGTATGTATCGTGGATCTTGAGTTCGTATTACGATGTAACATAATGCCGGAAGTCCTGCCAAATGAAGAGCCTGCCTGAAATAATAGATTATATATTTTTAATAAGGAGTAATTTGATGATGTTCATTAATCTAATAAGAAAAAAAAACTCACCAGCCGAAGCAAAAATAACCAAGCGAGAGACCTACAATGAGGCCAAAAGAATGTCGAACAACAGGACCGACTTCTTGTGGTTTGAAGTAGATTCTCAGAATTCCAGCAAGAAATAGAGAAGTAAATTGACTTATCACAAAGTTCACCTGATGAATGTAAGTAATATTTACTTTAGAAAATAAAATGTAATTATAGTCTATTAGTTTAATTACTATAATTATCTTGTAAATCACAGCTTTAATGACAATACTACTAATAAATAATATAACGTTTAATGTGATTTTAACGAGTTTATTGAAATAATTCATAAATTAATAATACAGTTTACCAATTATCTTAATAATTTTTTAAACACAAAAACATTTAGTAAAAAAATTAATATTCGGTAGTGAGTTCTTCTTCTCCTTCTCCATCAGCATCTCGACGGAATCTCATTCCAAAAGTAGCTCCAACATTAGGATTAAAATGACCACCAGGACCTTGCTGAACTCCGCCATGTGCTCTCAAAAATGTATTTGGGTTTGGCTTCCATTCGTATTTAGCACCACCTTGAGGGTAAAAGTGTCTGAAATCTGGAGATGATACTCCACCAAAAGCTTCCAATTTAGATTTATCATTGCCAAATATTCTCTGGTTATAATCCAATTGAAGTGAAGGTTTTTCATGTTCTGGTTTCATCACGGAAGCTTCGACAGATCCTTGAGGAGAACGCCGGAATCTGTAGATCTAATAAAAAAAGAGGAATTGATAAGAGTGATAATCAAATGTTGATAAAAGTGACATTGTAAATGTAGTAACTTACCGGTGGATACCTTGGTCGTGGATTGAATGGTGGAGTCGTTGGAATTGGAAATATTGGATGGATTGGGATTGGTCTTCTCAATGGATTATTAAATTCATTGTAAGGATCTGCTACAACATAACAGACTGCTGCGACCAGCATGAATAATATTTTAAATGATGCTTGCATTTCGGATGATTTAGTAAGCTAAAAATTTTATGAAAATTAAAATATTAATTATTTAATAGAAATTTAATGATTTTTCAAATTTATAATTATTTTTGATTAAATTTTTGGTATCTACTTACTTCTTGTAGTTTATCTTCCTATTGGAAATACTTGAAGACTTATGATGCTTGTGAAGCATATTGGTTAGCTTTTATACTCAATTTTGTAAAGGAAAGTTCTTAGAAGTTATACTTTTCTTTCTTTCTTTCTTCTTTTCATTTTGATCCGGGGAATCCTCATCGTTCAACTTTTCTTTTATTCTCGAATTTATTCGATCAGAATGATTTGCATAATGCATCATAATTTTTTGTTTGTACACGACAGATAATATTACACAGGGAGTCCCCTAACAATGTATCAACTACACACTAACTTACATATATGATTATGATGAAGAAGTGGGGAATATCAACAGATGAGTCGAATCTCTCCTTCTATAAATTCTCGTTCAACCGTTGTTCAGTATTTCATTCGTTCGCATAATAATACCGAAGTAAGATAGAGTGAACTTGACATTAGGCTTGTCAAGATCTGATCTATTAAGTGATAGTTATTAGCTACAAGATATTGTCAATTAAAAAAAAGTTTTTAACTTTTTTTTTTTATTTCTTGCAAAAATAAAATTATCTATTAAAATAGAAGAAAATACTCAAGTATTGTATTTTTTTTTTATTTTTATTAAAGTGCACGTGTGAATGTCAACAAGTGAGGAAGTTATAGTAGAATAAAATCATGAAAAAAAAATTAAAAATAACTACACTACGCTCAAGTTATTTTAATGCATATTTTACTTATTAAAGATCACGTAATTACTTCAGCTCTATGCTTCAATTCTTTATCTTGTAATAAAGATATATTTAAATAAAATCAGCCTCAAATACTCTTGTGAAGTACTTGAGCATTTATCAATTATTAGTACTCATTAACCACGTGTGTGAACTTTATGAATTTTACGCTAACTATAATGATATTTGCCATCAAAATTCCCCGTGAATATGTAGTTAAATAAATAAATTATTAGAGTGGGTGTAAGGTTCTCTCATTTATTATTTGATTTGCGTGGGATGAGAATAAGTTTAGATTTTTAATAATTAAAAAGGATAGTGGGATTATTGGAAATATTATTATTATTATCATTCAAATAACAATCTTATAGTTAATAGTTTCTTTTATCTAATCAAAAGATAGTTTCTTGATAAAGATCTGATTCAATTATTTTTATTATAATTATTATTCGAAGTTAATTTAAAAAATGTTTTTAATCACTTCAAAGATTTAAAAAAATAAAAATATACTACAAATAAATCAAATTTTTTCGAAAAAGAAATTTATAATTTCAGTTTAGGAATTTATATTGTAAATGAAATACAAAAAAAATAATAAATCACTTCATGTATTATTATTACTCATAGAGTAAAAATATATACTCCATATGTAAATAAGCATTTCAGATAAAAAATACTACAAATGAAAAAAAATCTCAATATCATCTTTGTTGTTTCAATGGAGCATTAACCTTATCATTCATAAACACTACGTTAATAATTAATCTGTCTGTTAAGTCACGATTAAAACATACATTCCCATGAATTTCTCAGTAGGAGAAATTTTCGTTCATTTAAATGAAAGCATAGGCAACAGGTTTCCAACCTTTCTTCCCATGTTATTCAATTAATTCAAATACTAACAAATATTGAATTATTTGCACATAATAAAAATTGAAAGACGTAATAATTAATTTAAAAGTGCGTTTAAATAAATATAATAAAACCCATAATATTAAATAAAAAATAATTAAAAATCATCAACAAATTAATAACATACCTGATCAACGGGTATACCCGTCTGATCTGAAACCCAATCAAATATGTGTGAACCAGAGTAATACAAATCCTCATTCACTGCCATTATTACAATCTTGTCTCACGTTCTTCAACGTACTGACGCGAGGATGTCGGCATCAAGTCACTATTATATACGGACCATGCGATGCTAGAATACATTTGGTCGAATGAAAAAGGCAGAAAAAGATAGAGAGCAGCACACAATTCAGGGACGCAGTATCCTATTCAGAGCCCCAGTAGTTATAAACGGAGCAATAAGCACTGGCCTATAGGTTTAGATATTATTTCCATCTTCTTATTAGTCTCTTATCCTTTTGCTAAGTCACGTAAGAATTTTATTTCATTTGTGACAAAGTTCAGCTTTAATCAAAAATTTATTCATTCATTTTTGTCATAAATATTCACAGATGTAGGTGTAAATGTTGTTAACTATATTTATCATCATACTTCAAATTAATTCTTATGTCATTTATTTGTTACTTTTGTATACCTATATACATTTATGAAATTTTAATAATTTTTCTATTTTTTAAAATAAAAATTACACCTTTAAAAGTTTGATTTTCAACGTAAGAAATTTTATCCCCTTAGTTTTCTTATAGTGAATGCAGTCCTGTCTTTTATTTTGTTTACCTTTTTGGAGTACTTGCAATGACTCTAAATTACAATTGAGATTTTAAATGTTATAAAGTAGTATCTTTTTTCATCATTCATTTTTCGCTGGTATTTATTTAAAACTTAAAGTACTGTATTGAATGCATTAATATTCAATGATATTTTACTTATTGTATTTTTAAAAATAAATTATATTCCGTAATAGAAAAATATACATACTTTTACACATTATAAATATAAGAAAGCAACTGTTTTTTTCTATATAAATTTCTTTCAGCTATAAGTTAGAACATTTATAAATGTAATTTTAATTTATTTTCTTGATTTGACAAAAAAGTGCAGGTTATAATTGTAAAAACTACTTGCTTTACTAAATTTGGTTTGAAATTGTTTTATATAATAACGGTAACTAATCTAGCAACAATATGCTAGTATTAGGAGCATAACGGCCATTTTACATCATTAGTCGAGTATGTAGCTTTTTAAAAATTTTTTCAAAATATTAATACAATAAATACAGCTCTAAAGATGGAAATACGAGTACTTGACGTTTTGAATTACAATTTTTCAAACTGAAGCAAGACAAGATCATTGTTAACAGATATAATAACATACCACAATGTTTTTATTTTAATTAAATTTTTTCTATACTTTTGTAATTTATATACCTATGGTTGAGTGAATTCAACAATGAATATTGCATTCTAAAAAGCTTGTCAAAATGTGCAATCGTACATTAATGATTAACAATAAATTAATTTATATTCATTTAGCTTAGAATATTTTATTGCTCATTTTTTCCTCATTAGTAAAACTAATTAATTCTCTCATTTATATGTGCAGTAACTTAGTAAAAAAATGATTTTAAATAAATGTTATTGTTAAAAGGTGACTTTAAAAAATTTTTTTCGTCATTAATATTTATTAGTAAATAATCTCAATAATTTTATCTCACACCGATGACTTGAATTTTTTAAAGGTCCGAATAATCTGGATCAATCTAGTTCAAAGAAGCTATATAATGGATCCATACATTACGTTTTTCAACTGTATTTCTCACTTCAACACTATTTACACATACACAAATACATGTGCATGCATACAATGTATATAAAATGTAAGAGAAACGAAACGTGACAAAAGGTCTATGTCAAATTATGTGTAAGTTAAATTTATTCATTTAAAAAAGTCAGTTACTCGTTACCATGTTAATTAAATAATCAAATAATAATATTAATTTAAAATTTCAATTGCTCTCACAATAAACCTTTCAAGAAATAAAAATAAGTCTGTAATCTTAATCCATTCATTTCTGAACGTCAGATGAAACGTAAAAATTCACAGAAAATTGTTAGAAAATAAATAATAATTCCTTCATTGTTGAGTGCACATGATAATCATTGTTTCAAATGAAGAGTCTGACTACATGTATTTTCTGTCTAACAATAAATAACACAAACATGCAAATATAATAATGATTTTGCTATTAATAAAATTATATGTAATAAAACAAACTATTTTTTTATGTAATTCGTCTGAACAATAAATTGTTTATATATCTGATAATCATTATTAAGTAATTTGATAAATTGTTACAAATTTTTAAGATATTTTTTTCAATTACTTATTTAATCTATAAAATAACTATGGAAAAATATTTGTTTTTAAATAAAATATTCAACTATTTTTCATGTTCTTTATCATCTGATATACATTTTTATTTCAACTATGTATAATACTATCAAGAATACGCGCAAATTCACGTACGCGACAAGTATTTATTATATCTGTTGTTATATCTGTTATAATTATAAACAAGTAATCTAGTATTATTTAAATATAATTATATTAAGATTTAAAGCATCATTTATATCACATTTAACGATAAAAAAAATAACTGACTTAATATACACATATGTATATCTATTGCACAATTGATGAAAATTTGTTCTGAATACCACTGACAAATTTATTATTGCCAAAAATATTTATATGTACACATCTATCATCACATGCTGATCAATTTTTTTTATCTGTGCAATATCTTATCGATATTATTTGATTTCAATTGAAGATAAATTTTATAATTTAATAATTAGATTCATTTCTGTCATTCATTAGCTCTAATCACAATCTTATAAAGCTCCAAATTTTGTTTTCATCCAAAAGTTATCTCTTTTGGAGTTTTATATTTATTTAAATTGTTTTTAATTTAAAATTTTAAAAATTAAGTAAATTTCATACTTTACTTGATTGTTATTTTGTATAGTTTCAGCTTAAATCCAAGTAATTCTGATAACACAGCCGAAAGTGCAGAAAGTAGAACCACTTTGGTTATTGTGTACAAATAAGGATTGGCAGAAAGACCAGAAATTTTAAAAGGACTTTCCAGTTCCTGAAATAAATACATAAGTTATTTGATATTAAACAATTAATAAATTGTTTGATGATAAATTAATTTATTTAAGAAATATTTCCTTGTTAGCTACCTTGATCAAATCAGCAGCTAATTTTAGCACACTATTAGCGACCATGAGTTCATCCTTTTTATGAGGCTTTTGCTCTATTTGTAGATAAAGATTGATTTGCTCAGTTATCAATACAGATAAATTTCTATATTTTTTATTAATTTTTGTACCAAGTGTCATAAATCTTAGAATATAGATTCCGAGAGCAAAGCTCCAAAACAGTGCTTCTATATTGTATCTTGAATGAAGACTCTCTAAATCCTACAATAAATATTGTTTATTTTTCAAAATCTTTTCTCCTCGCAAGATTTAAAGTTTAAAACATTATTCGAAATAATCACCTTTATTAATTCTAAACTAACGAATGATAATAGAAGTAATGTTATTAAAAATACAGCCGAAACTATTACATCAACAGATCTTTGTGGACCTCTTCTCTATAACAAGAATAAAATTATTAACGAGTAAAAACTTTAAGCATTTTTTATTCGATTATTTTTTACCTTGAGATATGACCTAACACTCAACCAAGTTTTAATATTTCTAACTTTATTTAGCCTGAAATGAGGCAAATCCGATTTTCGTGCTCGCCTGGAAGAAGTTAAGTGGGAAAATAATTTAGCATACAGTAATCTTTGTTTGAATGTTCTTTCAGCTACAGCAAGAAGGAAGAAAAGTAAACATGAAAGAATTAATCTTTCAAATGATAAAATTAAAATCACACTCCTTTCCCTGAAAAACAAACATTACTTATAACATTTATTTCATCAGTAATTGAAATATTAAAGTATATTAGATTATTTGTTACCATAAAGTCGTTCCAAATGAGACGTCGATAACTTTACAAAAAAATTCAGAATATGTATCATAACCAACTTGAGCTATGTCATTTACTAAAGTCGACCCTGTAGAATTATTGGTTCCATCAAATGATAAATGATTACTTAGTCTTCTTATAGCTGGTATCACAGCCAACACAATCGAGAGTATAAGTCCCCCATAAAAATAATCCATGGTTTCCGGCATGGTTTCAGCTCTGGCTATTATTGCTGAGCTAATATCTAACACTGACAATTCAGCTTTTTTTATGTCTCGACGTGTCCAAATTGTGCATGATACTGAAAAATATAATAGTAGAATAAAACATTGCCAAACAAATGATGGCTTGATGGAAAAAATTACTAACCACGATCTGAAGTATTACAAGCAGAGTTTAATAAAATTGATGGAGGTAATTCTAACTCCCATGAGAACGGGTGTTCCACAAATTCTCCATAATTAAAATTACCATCACTATTTGCTTGAGATTCATTTAGATCAGAACTACAAATAATTTTTAATTAAAAAAAGTATCTAATTAATTTTCAGATACATTATTTTTCTTATTAGTTAATCAATTACAGCATCAATTATTTACCTATAACTACATTCATCACTATTAGTAGTCACACCCATCCACTCAGTCGCTGACGTTGTAGCTTCAGTCAATTGCTGCGTTCCAGTTTCTTCACATTCACCCTCTTCCTCACTTTCAAATTGCCGCATTCTTTCAATTGATTTGGTTGATAAGCCATTGCTCTAAAATTTATGATAACATATAATTAATAATCAATACATCCTTTTATTACTTGCTTCATGTAAAAGTTCATATACTTAACTTATATTTACTAACAAAACGAATAAATAGAGTTTTTAGTACTATAATCTAAAAGCCTTAAGCTCTACTTAGGTGAAAATAATATTTTTAAAGCACTAATTGAATCAATAAAGCTTAGAGTGTACTAGCTTACTACTTAATAGAAACTTAACTATCGTAATATAATTGAATAAAAGAATAATAATTAAGTCAAGAAAAATCGATCAAATCGTGTACATACCGAAATGCTGTTTGATGGTTTTTTCAAGTCAATGTCAGTTTTCCTCGAGATCTCTGCTACTGTTTAAAATATGAAAAATGACAATTTACTAATAACATGAATGATATTCTTCCATTTTAGCATCATCACGAATAATCATGCACCTCAGATACAGAAAATGCTCCAGTATTTTTTTTCAGGATGAAATCGTTAATGACAATTGCCTGATCATGGGTGATCAGATTCAGATGTGATCTAAGTGAAGAGAACAAACCTGGAGCTATGTTTTGTGAATTATCGCTTGAATAAGTTATTAGACGTTCTTCGCTATTCGCTGATGTCACACATTTTGATTTGTCATTCTCATTTTTAATGCGTTCAGAATTTGTACGGTCATTGTCACTTAAAACATTACTATTGAGACTTTCGAAACCATCATCCTCCTGATGAATATTATCGTCATTCCTACCATTTACTACTGCATCACCTGCTAATAATGCCATCTAATGAATTATAAATCATGCTTAATAGTATAATAAATCAACGCTTATCTTAATTAGATGATGTATACCACAAAAAAGTAGTTTCACTTTGAATTATTATTTTTCATCGTGAAATACATCATGTCTATTTGTACTTCTAATTTTTTGAAATATTCTATTAAATCTACTACATTTTAAAAAATAAGACGATTTTCACTTACATAATAAATTATCATTTTTAACAGAAGTTTGAATGGGTGATGTACCCAAAGAATTTTTATCAATCTTTAGTTCGTCAAATGAAGCCTGAGAAGGTATATCTTCAAGCTGAAATAATATTTTTGTCTTATTAATCCTACTCTGGATATTTGATCTTGAAATTTTAACGATAAATTAAATACGTACTTGAACTTTACTTTCTACTAGCGGTGTATCAATACAAACTTTTTTAGCAAATCTCACTGATGGTGGCACATTGGCGTATATTTTAACATTTTCATTAATAGTATCTTGTGGATTTTTTATATCCGATGAAACACGAGTATTTCTTCGAGGCCTCAATTTTCCAGGACGATTTCGCTCATTTCGGGATCTTCTTATTCTTGATTTATTACGTCCAGGGGTTATCGTAGGTCCTGAATTAGTTGATACTATTTGTGAATGAACGATGCAAAGAAAAAACATCATTGCAACTGGCATTAATATCTCAGCCAGTGAAACAATCTATTAAAAATGAATGAATAATACATCAACTTGTATTTTTAATGACTTAAACAATACTTAATTAAGTTTATGGAAAAATGAATTACATCAGACTCGTTAAACTCAGCAGCTCCAACATAAAGACAAATATTAAAAATCTGTAAACAATAAAGGAGACAAAATAATGAAAAAATTCTCGAAGTTGTTTGTTGAATCCACCAATTTTTATACAACGGTAATAGTAATAGTCTTTTTACTGCCAGCCATGTAACTGTACTTAACCCGTGCTTAGGTTTTGCCTTAGGAAAAGAAGAGCCTATAAAAATATTTCATGTATTGATAAATCAATTTATCTAATGATTAATATTTTTTTGTCATAAAATATTGTAATAAATACCTCTGACAAGATCCACATCAATAAATTCTGTTTTTAATTTAGCAGTTCTCATTGGCACATTATTTAAGCCTCCAAAAATTCTTTGCTCAACTGTTTTTTCCCATTGTTGTTTATCATACGTTCCTATTTTTTTATAATACCTAATTTAATAGTAACATTATTGCATTAATTCATCAACTTCTTTCCTTATTCTTCTTTAACAATTAAAATGATAATATATACGTACCAATAAATTAAATCATTTAATCCCATTCTCAATTAATGAATTATTTTTTATTAAAGATGCTTATTTATCAGACTAAACTTGAAATAACTCACTAAATATTTATTTCTAATTTTTTTTTTCACTCTCTAACACCACGCTTTCGTTTCCAGAATATGCTTTTATAATGTATTGATGCGTCAACGTATTGTGGATATTTAGAAAAGCAAATGGTTTGATATTTTGTTAAAATAAAACTGTTATATACCAATATCATAACTTAACAATGGATAAAATAGTATTGGATAAAATTCCGGCACTATGATTGCCTCGTGGAGGCCAGCTGTTCACTGATTAGAAAAAATGTTTTGTTATGTTCTCTCTACTCTAAATGAATTTGCACCCATACCTTCAGATTTTTTCTAATATTCTGACGTGACGTCGTTCCTAACACTTGAACTTTTTTTAGTGTGAGTGTTTTACCAAGTGCACATGTAGCATTAATGTACAGGATGACACTCACACATGCAGCAACATTTATTGATGTTGTACATTTGTATGTGTACATCAATACATACCATACGACATGTATATATATATTTATATACACAACACACTGCAATATAAACTTCGCGCGAAATTCGAATCAAATATTCAAAAAATATCTAATGAATGTTTCTTTTGAAGACAATAATTATTTTCAAAATTTAATTATACATTTTATAAATTATTTCTTAAATTTATATACACTAAATTACTAATTACTAATACGTAATGATTGAACGAATCACTAAAAACTATAATTACAATAATTAACTATAATAATACAATACAAATAAAATGTCTATTTAAAACAACAAAAAAAGTGTTACACACTTTATATCTCATTTAATTCATTACTTTAATGTATATAAAAAAAACATAAAAAAAATCTATTCATTTAAATTATTGAATAAAATTGTTTTTAAAGAAAAAAAACGACAATAAAAAAATATAAATATTGAATACTTAATTTACTTGAAAACAAAAATTATTAAATTCAACTTATTTATTTGTCAAAACAACTGATAACCATATGATCATGATCATCAAAGTAAAAATTTGTCATTTTACTCTCCATTGCGCGAACGCGCAGCATCCGAATGGATCGATAAGGGTTGAGAGATTATATCTGAGATTTGAAGCCATTTAGCTTGTGACTGCCTTAAAAGAATGACATAATTCGTAAATATTTATATCAGTGTGAATTAATTCATTTAACCACACCCAAAATGATTTTACATTTTTTATTATCTTGAAGAAATCATCATTTTTATGGTATTTTTCTAAACACGTAAGTAATATTAATTTATTATTATCATTAATTGAGTATCGATTATGATATAAAATTTTTTTAAACGCAGAACTCATGATTACATGATGAATATCATCATGAATCAATTAAGAAAGCTAATATGCTTCTTCTTCATCTTCTTAATTACCCCAAAATCATCAGATGCTATTGCTGATAATCCCATTACTTACAAAATTGGTGGCGTTCTGTCTAATAATGTTAGTCAGGAGCACTTCAAACAAACTATTGAGGTAAACAAATTCCAAACATAACTGTCATTAATTATATTCTTGTTGTTAATAGTAGAATAAGTATTTTATTGTTAATTGATCTTTTATAGAGATTAAACTTCGATCTCCAATATGTAAACCGTGGAGTTGTATATTATTATACAGTTATTGGAATGGATTCCAATCCCATTCGAACAGCTCTAAGTGTCTGTAAATCTCTTATTGCTGATGGAGTTTACGCCGTTGTTGTATCTCATCCTTTGACTGGTGATTTATCTCCAGCTGCAGTCTCTTATACTAGTGGATTTTATCATATTCCAGTTATTGGTATTTCTTCGAGAGATTCTGCATTTTCTGATAAGGTACATCTATTTTTACTTTTATTCTAATTTAATAAATTTCTTTCAATAACAATAGTTTGATTATTTTTCAGAACATTCATGTATCTTTTCTAAGGACAGTTCCACCATACTCTCATCAAGCAGATGTCTGGGTAGAGCTTTTAAAGCATTTCAGTTATATGAAGGTGATCTTCATTCACAGTTCAGACACAGATGGTCGGGCGCTTCTCGGACGATTTCAAACAACATCCCAGAGCCTTGAGGACGACGTGGAGATCAAAGTACATGTGGGTTGGACACTCTACTTGGCACGCATCAGCAGTGCATAATCCGTGGCCCCTTGAGTCCTGAATTGTTAGACTATGCACGCTTCTCTCTAGATCAACCAAATTAAACTATCTCAAGGATTTTCTTCAAAACAAATGCCATCTTTTTCACCAGCTCTCTCTTCTTCTGTTCAAACAGGACACTAAACGTCTTCCTGAAATGAAACGCACAAATCTATAGCTATATATTATGAAGAAATTCTTATCGTTGTCTTGATTGTACATACCTTGCACGGCAATAGCGAGTGTTTTTTACCTTTTCGAATCTCTCCAAAAATTCATGCAGTTTTTTGTTTTCTAATCTATCATTATTTCAGCTTTATGTACGTATAATTGCTCAGATAATCATACAAATACGTAAGTATTTCATTACTGTCTAAGAAATTCATCCGTACGACCAACCATAAAAATTAGATATAAAAGTGTGTTTTAATGTAGAGGAATGTTATGTATGATGTGCATGGTATGTATTTATATGGAAAATTAAAAAAAAAGAATTATTTACTTGGTTATTATAATTGTTGTGATTACAGTTGAACTTTTTTTATTCAGGTGGAGTCTGTTATTGAATTTGAGCCAGGCCTTCAAACTTTCCACAATCAACTATTGGAAATGAAGAGCGCTCAGGCTAGAGTATGTCTGATGTATGCCAGGTATTTATTTTTTTATAAGTTAATATTTTATTTTCACCAAACTCAAAATCATCACACTGATAAATATGATCCAATATACATGAAAAATTTATGCAACAGCCAAAAAGATGCAGAAGTGATCTTTCGAGATGCAGCAACCTTGAACATGACTGGTGCTGGTTACGCTTGGATTGTTACTGAGCAAGCATTGGATGCTCCAAATGTACCTGAAGGACTTCTGGGTTTAAAACTTATCAATTCTACAGATGAGAAAGCTCATATAACTGATAGTTTGTTAGTATCATCAATAATATTAAAATAATTTTTTCATTGAATTGAAATTCAAATAAATATGTAATTCAACTTATCTGTACTAGGTATGTTCTTGTTTCTGCTTTACGTGAAATGAACGAAACCAAAGTAATAACTCATGCTCCAAAAGATTGTGACAACTCGGGATCAATTTGGGAAACTGGAAAAGAATTATTTGGATTTATTAAAAAGCAAGTTTTAGTAAAAGGAGCAACTGGAAGAGTTGCTTTTGATGATAATGGTGATAGAATATTTGCAGAGTATGACATCATCAATATTAGAGAAGATGGAAAAAAAGTATCAGTTGGGCAATATGTCTATTCACGTGTAAGATTTTTATACTTTATAAATAATTAATTATCGTAAACTGTTTATTTGATAATAATTATTTTTTAGGAAACACAAAAAATGAAATTAAAAGTAAATGAATCAGAAGTAATATGGCCAGGTCGAACTCAAACTAAACCTGTAGGATTCATGATTCCAACTCACTTAAAAGTATTGACAATTGAAGAGAAACCTTTCGTTTACGTTCGTTCTACAGAAGATGAATGTGCTCAAGATGAAATACCTTGTCCTCACTTCAATGCTACCGATAACAACAGTAAATATAAATCATTTAGATTTAAAATAAATTAAGAAATTTCATTAATGATTTTTTCTACTTTTTAACAGGATCTTATTGATGTTAATTCATGTTTTATAAATTTTTTCAGTCACTCGGAAGTATTGTTGCAAAGGCTACTGCATCGATTTACTCAAGCAGCTCTCGAAGAATATTAATTTTACTTACAGTCTAGCTCTTTCTCCTGATGGTCAATTCGGCAGTTATGTGACAAAAGATAGTAAGAACTTTCATAGAATATTTCAATGAAATACTAATGTTATAAAATTAATATAAAAATAATATGATCATACATAAATTTTGATTTATAGCTGGAGGAAAAAAAGAATGGACTGGTTTGATTGGTGAATTAGTAAATGAAAGAGCTGATATGATTGTTGCTCCTTTGACAATAAATCCTGAACGAGCTGAATTTATTGAATTTAGTAAACCTTTTAAATATCAGGGTATAACTATCCTAGAAAAAAAGGTATACTTGTCAATTTTTTATAAATAAAAAAATAGAAAAAACCTAGATATACGTTGTATATTACATAAAACTGTATTTATTACAGCCATCTAGATCATCAACGTTGGTGTCTTTCCTTCAACCTTTCAGCAACACTCTTTGGATCCTGGTGATGGTGTCGGTGCACGTGGTGGCGCTTGTCCTGTACCTCCTCGACCGGTTTTCACCTTTCGGGAGGTTCAAGCTGGCTAACACTGACGGTACCGAAGAGGATGCTCTGAATCTTTCCAGCGCCGTCTGGTTCGCCTGGGGTGTGCTGCTGAATAGCGGAATTGGAGAAGGCACTCCAAGAAGTTTTTCGGCTCGAGTATTAGGCATGGTTTGGGCCGGTTTTGCTATGATCATTGTTGCTTCTTACACTGCCAATTTAGCTGCTTTTCTCGTGTTAGAAAGACCAAAAACTAAATTAACTGGCATTAATGATGCACGAGTACGTAAATCTTTTATATATTTTTTTTATTAAATGGAAATTTCTAATTGAATATAATAAAATTTATAATTTTATTTTGTTAATCAATGAAGCTGAGAAACACTATGGAAAATCTAACCTGTGCCACTGTAAAAGGATCTGCAGTAGACATGTACTTCAGAAGACAAGTAGAATTATCAAATATGTATCGTACAATGGAAGCAAATAATTATGATACTGTAGAAGAAGCAATACGAGATGTTAAAATTGGCAAACTCATGGCTTTTATCTGGGATAGTTCTCGATTGGAATTTGAAGCTGCCAAGGATTGTGAATTAGTTACTGCCGGAGAGTTATTTGGACGGTCTGGATATGGAATAGGTTTACAAAAAGGATCTCCATGGGCTGATGCTGTTACTTTGGCTATTTTGGATTTTCATGAAAGTAAGTAACTTCTCAAAGCACAAAAATCTGTTGGTTAAAAAAATAATTCATTGATAGTAAAAAGATGATTGAAAAATTAATACTCTCTTAACTAATTTTATTTCAGTTGGATTTATGGAAGATTTAGATAAACATTGGATATTTCAAAGAGATGTTCAACAATGTGAACAATTTGAAAAAACTCCAAATACATTAGGCTTAGAAAATATGGCTGGAGTATTTATTCTTGTGGCAATTGGTATAGTTGGAGGAGTTGGTTTAATAATAATAGAAATGGCTTATAAAAAGCATCAAATAAAAAAACAGAAGAAGTTGGAATTGGTAAGACATGCTGCTGAAAAGTGGCGTAATTTAACAGAAAAACGCAGAACTTTGCGTGCTACAATGCCATCCCAGCGGAGAATTCAAAGCAATGGTTTGAATGATCCAGCAACAGTCAGTTTAACTGTTGATTCAATGACACGATCAAGTCTACCACCACGAAGCCCAGGAAGAGCTTGGCCAGGAGACAGTGATATTCGACAACGTGCAATGAGTCGGGGAGAAGACATGAGATTATCACCTGCAGCATATTCAGTTGATGTTTCCCATCTGGTTGTTTAAAATATATATTAATTGACTAAAGAATAAAATTAAAAAAAACCTTTGTAAAATGCTTGTGCTGAGAAATATTTATGGTGCTCTTAGAGTAAATGTTGTAATGTTGTTATCATTTTTGTTACAATTGAAAGTATTATAGGAGATTACAACTAAAACAAAAAGTAAGAGATATGTTATGTATCTTACATTCTAGTGGAGTAAATAAAAATTATGGTGGATAATGGATAAGTTAAATTAACTTATAACTTTATATATGGTAAATTTGTAATTGAAAAAATTAATATAAGTGTCTTGATTATTCCTCTTTATTCTTCGCTTCTTCCTCCTGCATGATTTTCTCAATATAAGTTGATGACATTTAGTTATAAATATTTTTTAAATCAAAATCATATAAAAGTTTACAATTTTACCTTCCCGAGTTTAAAAAAGAATATTATTATTTCTTCAATAAATTCATTTTACTCCTCCAAGAAGAAATACTGTCCAGCACGTTTCTGTTCCAAATCCTGTAAAATGATTTGTTTTAAGATAAGCTTCAGTACTGAATATTAGCATGATATATTTAATTTAATTTATGAGTGATACCTTCACAGATTGACTCTTGTTAATTCGCGGTCGGAAATTATTTGGATCTCTTCTAAAAGTGATTCCAAGTAGTTCCAAAAATCTATTCATTCCATTTAACAATGATTGAGGGCTATGTGCTGTTGTAGATATCGACGGTGTACCAGAGAATACAATGACACGATCAGCTAAATAGGTAGCCATTATAAAATCGTGCTCCACAACGAATCCAGTTTTTTTAGCGTGTAAAATAAACCTAGAACATTTGATAGATTAATTATTATTTATGCATTTACTCAACAAAAGTAAATTGTATTAACTATATTTACCGTTTAATGACTTTAGCAGCGACTAGACGTTGTTCTGAGTCCAAATAAGCAGAAGGCTCGTCAATTAAATAAACATCTGCAGGCTTTCCAAGACAAAGTGCCATAGCAACACGTTGCAATTCTCCTCCAGACAAATTTTGTACCTCTTGATCCATGATATCATCAATTTTCAAAGGTTTCATTACATCCGTAATAAATTGAGGATGAACATAAGCATCACGAATTTTTTCGTGTAACAATTGTCTTACAATTCCTTGAGATTTAGGACTAATTTTTTGCGGCTTATAACTGATGTGTAACATAGGTATACACTCAGCCCCCTCATCAGGGGGTAGGTTACCTGCTAACATTCTAATAAATGTTGTTTTTCCGGTACCATTCTCTCCAAGAAGTACTAAGATTTCTGAATCAGTAAATTGACCTTTTTCAACATTTAGTTTAAATGTTCCCATAGTTTTTGTCATGGCAGGATATTCATAATGGTTCATTCGTTTGACTTCTTCTTCAGTCGCAGACTCGGCAACTTTAAAAACCAATGATTCTTCACGGAAACGAAGATTTTCCGTAGGGACAAATCCATCAAGGAATATATTAATACCTTCACGTACGGAGAAAGGCATAGTTACGACTCCATAAGCTCCAGGAACTCCATATAAACAACATATAAAATCTGACAAATAATCTAAGACAGATAAATCGTGTTCTACGACAATAATAAATTTGTCGGGATGTATCAAAGATCGTATAGTTACGGCAGCATTTAAGCGTTGTTTTACGTCTAAATAAGATGATGGCTCATCAAACATAAAAATGTCTCCATCCTGAATGCATACCATTGCACACGCAAATCGTTGTAGTTCTCCTCCAGATAAAGCTTCAATTCCACGATCTCGAATGTGTGTTAAATCAAGCATTCTACAAATTTCCATCTGCTTGTCACATTCATCTTTTTTATCTAAAAGTTGCTGAACTGTTCCTTTGACAGCCTTAGGAATTTGATCCACATATTGCGGCTTAATCAAAGCTTTCAAATCATCTTCAAGAATTTTCGTAAAATAGTTTTGTAATTCACTACCCCTGAAGTGACTTAAAATTTCCGTCCAATCAGGAGGATCATTAAAACGACCCAAATTTGGCTTTTGTTTGCCAGCCAATATTTTCAATGCAGTTGATTTACCAATTCCATTTGTTCCTACTAATCCTAGGACTTCTCCTGGACGTGGAATGGGTAATCTATGAAGCTTGAAAGAGTTTTTCGAATATCTGTGCGTTGTTTCTTTTTCCAAATTGCTTGGAAGATTGATAATTGATATGGCTTCAAATGGACATTTCTAGAAAAGGAATCGAGTTACGTGAATTAAATAAAAAATTAATCAAACAAAAAGCATAATAACAGTAGGAGTATTAACTGATTAACTTACTTTGACACAAATACCACATCCAATGCACAGTTCTTCGGATATCGAAGCTATTTTGCTGTTTGAAGTAACTTCTATACATAGTTTACCCATCCTCACAACTGGACAAGATCTTTTACATTCTTGTCTACATCTTTTCGGTTTGCATTTATCTGAGTTGACTATGGCAATTCTAGTCAACTTATCAGTTTCTTCCATGGACTTTTTAGGAGGCATGGTTGTGCTTTTGCAGGTTTAATTTCTGTTAATAGAATAATGGTATTATAGTAAATACAGCTATTGAGAATTCATCATGAATATTGTACTGATTTTACATAAATTAGATCACTAATTTCATGAGTTGGAATGTCTCATTACATTTTAATTTATCTCAATTAATACAGACAGATGGTACGCCTTAACCTTACTCTTTAAGTCTACAGCATGTTCTAACCATATGCCAATATAATATTAAGCTTATTAAATGCAAAAAGTTAAAAAAATAAATCGATAATCATTCAGAGTAAACGATGTAAAATCCAAAGTAATATTTTTATCAGAAATTACCTGTCAAATAAAGAAAAACGTGGAGAAGTCCGAAGCATAGGTACCATAACCTATGACTTAAAGAATCTCTCAGCGTGTTGTAGATCTAACTATAATATATGACAACTATCTGAGCGCCGCAGTGGTCAAAAAAAGAACTAATCATCAAAGAGTCGGCAAAATTGTTTTACCGACAATAATCTAATTTATCGAGCGACCTCCAACTTATGTTTGCAACAATTTTTCTTTTTGTGTTGTTTTTTCGTTTTCCATTCGCATAATGTTGGAGTGGTTAAAATAAAATTATCTTTTATTGGTCAGCAGACTTGTTCGGACTTTCCTTTGTTAAGATGTGATGTTCATAAGAGTCACATACAGATTTTTCCTTTTTTATTTTCAAAACATTCCTTTGTAAATAACAACTAACTGTATTTTGATAAATTCTACGCATGTGCAATAGATTCTTAATCGAAGCGTGTACAGGGAAATTAATTCTAAACGAATAATATTTAGATGTATTGTAAATGTTCTATTTTTTTATTTTCTAAAATTTTATGTGTATTTACTTCATTCTAAAATGAAGTGGTCAAGAAATTTTTTATTGAATTTTGTATTTGTTATTTTTTTACGGTCTGGTGAGTAAATAATCATTTTAATATAAATTATCCATGAGAAAGTTTTGAAATATGCTAGTTATTATTTCAACATTAATCTATGTTTTTTAGAAAATTTTTTTAATAGTATATATTGAATTTTTAATTTTTTTTAGACTCAACAGTGGCTCAGACAACTGATGAAGAAGAGTACAATGGAAAATATTTGGGAAAATTAAATTCATATCATCATCAAGTATCTGGTGACGTTTATGCCGTTGACAGTTATACACTTTTACTCACTTCCTTTAATTATGATGGATTTGGAACAGACACTTTTTTCTGGGCCGGAGCATCTAATCGTCCAGGCCCTCAGGGTTTTATCGTTCCAGATGAATGGGGAAAGTCAGTAAAAATTTATTTCCTCTATTTTTTATATCAGGTTTTAGTATTAATAAGAACATTTTTCGTTTTCAGGACTAACATTCTTGAACGCTATTTTAACAAAGACTTTACTTTGACACTGCCTGATAATAAAACAATAACAGATATTAAATGGTTTGCCATTTACGATTTAGCCAGTCAAAATACATTTGGTGATGTTTATATTCCGGAAGAATTTGAACCACCAGCTCCACAAACCATATCTCAATTGACAACACGATCCCATGGAGTAACATCAGAATCGATCATTATTTTAGATGCTAAAACTATTCGTATTCCCAAATTCCGATATAATGGTAAAGGAAATGATACATATTTTTGGGTTGGTCCTGGACCTCAACCATCTAGTAAAGGATTCAAAGTATCTGATGAATATGGATAGTGAGTAACAAAATTAATATATTTAATTATCTATCTAATATCCAGATCATGGAATTGTTTATTTAAAATTTTTTATTCTAATAGTATGGATTCTCTTCGAGAGTATAAAGGCGAAGATGTAACTATTCAACTACCAGGGGAACTTACTGTATTCAGTATCGATTGGTTAAGTATTTTTGATCTTGCAACAAGAAGTAATTTCGGATCTGTAATAATACCAGATGGATTGAATGTTCCTCCATCGTTAGTTAAGGTAAAAAAGAAATTCAAATAAACAGAATAACGCAATTCCGTTTTAGATACGTTTAAAATTAATTTATGTGTGCTCTGTCTAGGTAATAAAATATACGAAACCTTTGCCAAATTGTTTGCAATTGCACAAAAATTATCAAGTCAGTTGGGAAATTTTTGGACCACAAATAACAATACAATTGTCTGGTCAAGTTGGTAAGAATTATTGATGTAAACACAATTTTGATAAAAAGCCAACATTCATGCAGTTCTAAAAAATGACTATTGCGTTTATGTTAAGCTGAGGATGACTATATGGCATTTGGATTATCTGGATCAAATACTAGGAGTCAGATGGAGGGTGCTGATGTTGCAGTAGCATACATGGATGGCGCACGAGGATATGCTATAGATTACAATATTACAGCGAAGGCGCCATGTGGAAAAACACTTGGACAGTATAAAGGTGTATGTAGAGATGAATTAGTTGGTGGGTTAGAGAATAATCAGCTCTACACTGCTGTTAGAGAAAATGGTATTAACATAATAACATATAGAAGGACTTTAATATCATGTAAGAGAAACATTTTAAATATCTATTATTAAAAAAAATTACAAAAATATTATTATCAATAATTTCAATATCATAGCTGATTCAGGAGATCAAGAATATCCTACAGATCGTGAAGTTTACATTATTTGGGCTCTAGGAAAACTTGATGAAAATAAAGAACCTGGATTTCATGATTTTTATCCCAAGTCTAATATTAAAATTAAATTTCATCGTCAAGAACCAGAAAACACATGTGTTGATTTCACAGAAGTAAATAAAAAACTGATAGAACCTTGGGAAAAAACTGATATATTTGATCGAAGTATTAGAATATTCAAAGCAACGATAGGTCCATCAGGAGGAAGAAGAGGATATCAAGGTATTACTGGCCAGACATCAACTGGTCTTGCTTGGTATATCAATGGTCAACTTATTCCTGAACTATATCTACGTCGAGACTTGACATACAGTTTTCGTGTTTACGGTGGTAATAATCCACACAGCCCTAATTATTATCATCCATTCATCATTACGGACGAACCTCATGGCGGTTATGACCGACTTAGTGATGGTGCTCAAAGTCAAGTAAAAGTTTTAGCTGGAGTAGAATTTACCAGAAGAGGAAGGCCTCGACCTACTGCTGTTGGACCACTTTGTTTGGGTAACCATACAGATAGAGATCGAAGATTAGACGACGATTTTTTGACTTTCAAAAAGTTCAATCGAACTCTTTCACATACTTGTGAACCAGGTAAAGATCGTCCACTATATTGAATTTATTTTTAAATTAAGTTATTTACATATGTTGTTTATTTTAGGTGAGGGGGGTATTCTAGAAGTTACTCCAAATTCTAGTTGGCCTGACATTGTTTACTACAACTCATTTACGCATGCCAATATGGGATGGAAAATTCATGTTGTTGACGTCTACAATAGAGTTAATGTAAATAAAGCTACAATTTCACTTAATTCTAATTGGCTTACCAGTATATTAATTATACTGTGGTATCTTTTATAGACTGCATAAATTTTATCTATTTAAAATGCTCAATTTCATAAAAAGTATTTATTGAGTAATTATTATATATTATGAAAATTAATACTGATAGTACTGGTGTTTATACATAAAGGTACTCAGAACTGACGCCGTCCGTAAGTAAATGTACTTACAAATATACACTCTCTATTAAACAGAGATATTTGAGGTATGACAATTACTTGATCATAAGTAATTTTTCACATGAATTATATAGGTGTATCAAATTTATTTTATCAATTAATATAAATATAGGAATATGAATAAAACTATTTATGAATAAAAAACATGATTTATTTAATAATTATTATCTATCGTCATATTAAATAATGTGAATGATATATTAACAAAAAAAATAATACTTCAATTATTTTTTAATATTATTGTAATATATTTTGACATTAAGTATTTTAGTATGTATTTGTTTATTTCTATAATTATGAAATACTAAAAAACATTTTTCATTTTTTCAACATTCCGTACTGTAAAAAATTCGAACATTTCGTAAACTCTGCAAAATAGTTACAAGAGAGTATAAACATTAAAATTCAATTTTTCATAATTAGAAAGATAAGATAATATTAAAATGTTAAAGTTATTCACTTACAAATTTATTTTATTCATTCTGAGTGAAGTTCTAAAAATTCATGTAATGCAATTGGTAATTCATCACATGGAATATTATATTTGAATATTGTTTGAGCTGCAAAACAACGAAGTGTCATGTAATTAACGAGATTTATTGTATTATATGGATTTGATGATATCATTTGAGCTGGTGTTTCCCCAGCTCTATTTGGAGTATCTAGATGAGCTCCATAGTCCAATAAGAGTTCAATCAGCTGAAATATATAATTTATTACTAAAAAGTGTTTTTAAATGATTGGAAATGATTATGAAAAATACTTACTGGATTAATAAAGTTACTAGCAGTGCTTGCAATATGAAGTGGTGTTGAGCGAGATTCATTTTTTGCATTCACATCAGCTCCACATTCTAAAAGAGTTTTTACTACTTCAACGTGTGGAAAAATGACCTAAAAATCAAGAATAAATTGATTAATAAATCAAATTATTTATGTGAAAATTATAAAATACCTGAGTTACATCAGTGGTCAAATAGCTAGATGTTATTACATTGAAACTGGATACACATAGATGTAAAAGAGTATCATCAGTTGAAGCTAATTTGGGGTTTTGTTTGACCAATTTACAAATAAGTCGATGAGTCTCCTCTTTTCGTTCTTTCGTTGTTGCTTTCCTTACTAATAAATAAATCAAATGTGTTACACATTTTACTATTCTATCATAGCTGTCCTGTTGTCTCTGAAAAATTGGACGTATCTAGAAGCAAAAAAATATTCATAAATATTATATGTATAGAAATTGTTTTTTTGTAAATAATATACCTCAAGTAATTGTCGAGCTTCAGGAAGTTGATTTGTTAATAATGTAAATACTGCAACAACATCACTAAACCTCGGTTCCTCTTTATCCTCATTAAAATCAATATAATCATTCAAATCAACCATAATTCTTACTAGAGCTTGAGCAGTGAAACATGTGTCTGTAAAAAGGATCTAAAATTATAAACAAATCTATTAATCGGTTGTTGACTCATGCTTGAAAATTCGCTATTTAATCAGTTAATGAAAAAAATATAGATTATTTATAGTTACTTACTGAATCATTGTCAACTCTAATCTCCAACGCTCGCCGCCATAAATCAATACAGAATTGATACCTATAAATAAGATTATTTCAATATATTTAGTGTATTTTCTATCTTACACAGTGTTACAGTGTAATATACAAGATTCTATTATGTTATAAAAATATACCTTAAAGCATCAAGAAACGTTGCTCCACGATACATAAGTCTGTAGAGAACATCTCTATGATATTCACCCAAAATACGTTCACAAATCAACAAACTTTGTATTCTAATAGTATCTAAATCTAATGCAGTTGAATTCAATTCTTCAAGCGTCGAAAACTCCACAAGATTTCTATATGTATCTCTCTTTGATATCACAGGTCTTTTAGGTAGTGGTTGACCATTAACTAAATTTGAATTTCGGATCATCATTGCCTTTCGCCAATATTTTAAAGCTGTTTGCATATCATTATGTTCATCGAAAAATGTTGATCCCATCAACTCGTTTGCATCAGCCAATTGCTCTGGACTATAGGATATGTTTTCAACTGAGAAATATAAAATAGATAAGTTATGAATACTTAATTGTTTAAAAGAACTGTCTTTCAATTTATTCGATTTTTATTTACCTAAATAATTAAATATTTGTGTAGCTCCTTTAAGACAAGCAGTTTTTAAAGCATCATCATTAGATATAGATTTCCAATGAGGATCGGCATTATTTTCAAGAAGTAATTTCATTGTTTCAAATCTATGTTCTTGAATTGCATAATGTAAGGCAGTTTTATTTTGAACGTCTATTGCATTAACATCGGCACCATTACTTAACAGGAATTTACACAATTCAACGCTTTGAACTGAATTTATCAGACACGTACCACCGTTATCATTAGCTATAGTTATATCCGCTCCATTTTCAACTAAATACTTTACAATATCTGTAAAAGCATAATTAATTGACAATAATTAATAATCATAAACTGTATCAATTATAATTTGAAGTCAAAAAAATGATCCACTTACCCAAGTAAGTCATAAAGCATGCAGATCTGACAGGAGTTGATCCTGTGTCAGAAACTGCATTAACGTCAGCTCCATGAGATACGAGACATTTTAATACAGGTAATTTCCCAGAAATTGCAGCACACCATAAAGGTGTAACAACATGGAGTGATCTGTCATCAGGTACTTCATAAATTCCTCGTTGTTCAATATCAGCATCGCAAACAGTAATGAGGTATTGAACTATTTCTACATGACCTCTTCTACATGCAATGAACAGTGGTGCACAATCATCTTTTATTCTACTAACTATTTCTTTCCTTTGATCCTTTTTTAATTTTTCCAACCTTGTTCTCATTGAGTATGACAACCTCGCTCCAGGTGCTCTGAATTTACATTCTTTGATTAGATCTTCAAACAATTGATCCAAATGATTTTCTGCTGATGGTTGTTGATCGCTCATTGTCTTTGTCTTATCCTTTATAAAAGTAACTATTAGTCTACAAACAAAAGAAATGATAAAAAAATGAGTTACTAAGGAATTTTGAAGGAAATGATCATGGTATTGAATAATCTAAATACCTTTTCAATTAAAATAACATCAGTGTAAAATGATAGAATGTAATTGGCGTTAGCCAGGCAGTTTAGGAAAGCTTTATTGTTTTCGTTTTATTTCGTTTTCACAACACAATGATCGTACACTTCTGATGATTTTAATTACTGAAATATTCTTCACAAATAATTGATATTCTAAAAATCTGCACAAAATACTCCAATTTTCATTACACTGTTGAATAAAAATAATGATGTTGCCTCGAAAATTATAATAAAAATAAAAATATGTGCTGTATTACTATATACCGCCTGACTGAATTATTTGTTGATTTTGCACCTGCACTGATAGAAATGTAAGAGCATGAGTTGTTGATCGCACTGTATAGTAAACAACACACTAACGTACTCCAATACAATTGCGACTTTTTTTGTTATTTCTTGCTCAAATCGCTATATGATTCATTGCTAGCACATTTAGCATAATATGATTAACAAAGATGGCGTATTAACTTTATGTGCCAAGCATGTACATATTGTTAATGATCAAAAAACTGAATAAAATCATTTTTTCGTACATTCTTTCTCTGTGCTCCATCAGAATAAACATCGATGAAACACGAAACTTCTCGAACGACTACGAATAAGTTCAAAGCGCGCTCTTTTTGAAATTATTTCCATTCCAACAGTAAATTATTAATATTGAAGTATTAGCTTAATAATCAAAGGATTATGCAATAAACCATGGGTAATTTCTATGAATAATTTTCATGCTTGTAGAGTATTTGAGTAAAAGTATTTAAAATACTTTACTCAAATACTCTTAGAGTATTGGTATTTGTATTTGAAATACTTTTGGATGAAAGTATTTATTATTTGTATTTAAATACAAAATTTTCTTGATTTCATTTGATTTTGCAAATACTTTTTCAAATATTTTTGATGATATTTTTTAATTTGAAAACGATTTATATCTAATTCAACTCATCAGAATATATAATGATGTATAAATTGTTAAGAAAGTTGTTATAATAATTGTAATAATGCAAATATGTTTTCCGATAAAAAATCTCAAGCCGAGTATTTGTATTTGTATTTAAATACTTTTAAACAAGTATTTTTTACAAGTATATATTTGCTTAAAAATATTTCTTTTAATTAGCTAAGCCAAGTATTTGTATTTGTATTTAAATACTCTACAAAATAAGAATATTTGTATTTAAATACTTTTCAGAAGATATTTTTTACAAGTCTGATAATTTTTAATCATTACGAAATAATGTATTGATTTTTCTTATGTACATATACAAGAAATAAATGAAACATAATTAGTCATGGAAAATTATTTGAAAAAAAATGTATCTTGGAATAAAAAGTTGAGAAATTGAAAAGTGAGAAGAAATTTTATTTTATTTAAAATAGTAATGAAATAATTGAAATGGAATTATTGCAATAATGTTTCTTATAATTAATAAGTCATATTTGGTTATAATTATTTTTTATAATTCTCTTATCATTGATTAAAAATATAAAAAATTTCATTCCAGCAGATGTTTAGAATAATGAATAGATGTTCCTCTGGTTTTATTATCAACATGTAAATAACCATCTCTTACAATGATACAGATGGTCACCAATAATAGTTAACTGTAAATCTATCAATTCTGTATTTTTCATTGTAACAAATAACACGGTGAGACTGCAAACTTGAACAAGAAAGCTAGACATGTGATTTGAAGCTGATTATTGGTGATTTGATTTTCCAAAGCTATACCATAAACCCTAGAATATACCAACTCATTCATATATAAGTGGTATAACTACATGAATCATGTGGAAAGATCCAAATACAGATATAGTATAAAGTCGCAGAACTGAAACACAAAAAAGGTTTGAAGGAAATAAAGGACCAAGCTGAAGGATGAGAGGAAAAAAGAGAGCATAATTTATTGTTATACATGTCCTTCAGTGAATTGCAAAGGTGTACCGACCATCATGACAATAGCATTAAGGGATATTCCACTCACCCGGAATCCTTGTCAACTATCCTTCCACTTCAAAAGTTACCGGCTTCAATGTGTTTATTTAGTTAACGTCAAATTTACTCCAAAAAAATCTGAGTCTACTGACATTGCGGTACTTTTCATGGCTTGTCTGCACCTATTTGTATTAGGGAAATCCACTCGATTGGCGTGCCAAGGCGTGGCTCGTGATCCCATTGTGTTATTTGACTTTTCACCTATTATAGTACTTGGCTTTCACTGTAGCTCGCCATTCTTATAGATTTTTTCTCGACGAGTGCAGCTTCTGATTTAAAACATTCAACAAGCTGGTCGTTTCTATTGTGTCCAAACTACTTGAAATAATACACTCATGGACTATGCTCTACGTCTTAATCTGTGGCCACATTTCATGAATGATACATTTGCAGATTCATAAAGAATCATGAAGGCCATCCAGGACAATAACATTCCTAACAATTCTGACACGTGCAAAATTTATTAGTATTTTTTGTTATTTCTTCTAAGAAGTAAATTCAAGTCTTAGGAAATATTTTTAAAATATATACAATATTTAAATACTTGATGCCAAATTAAAAATTGGAACTCCAGTGATTTGTATTTATTCATGAGACATTTGCAATTATTACATGTTATTTATAAAGATTAAATACATTAGTAAATGGAAAAAATATTTTATTACCAAATCATATATTTTAAAACAATTATATTACCTGCTTCAGTAAATTTTTGTGCATTGATATTATTGAATGAAAAATTTAATTATAAAAATTTTTTTATATCAATGACTCCACTGATTATAATTATTTTTTGTTGTTATCATGATTATATAAAGTTTTAAATGATTTTAGACCACAGAAAAAGCCAATAGAAAAAATTTGCTAAAGATTCATCTTTAATTTTCTACGGTTTTCGACACGTTTACAATAGATATACATACATAGGCTATTCTAAATAAAATTAAATACAGCGTAAAGTATCTCATCTATCTAGCACATAAGAGGTTTAATATTCTTATACTTTTGTGTTTATTTATTCACTTATAACTGACATCTTATTTACTAAAGTATTTGAAAAGATCAAAACCAAGGCACGTTGTGTGTCTAATTGGAATTAGTTCTAGATATCTTAAACTTATGGTGGTTGGTGGTACCATTTATTATATAAATATTCTGTCAGCTCTTTGTACACAAAATACTTTTCCTGCAACTGAAATTATCAAAGGTTTAAATTTTTATAACTGCAATGGATAATAATTATAGCAGAATATTTACAATCGTAATAAAATGTCAAAGTTATTTATTATGAAACTACATAATTATTAGTCATGAATTTTATTGTTTAATAAAGGCAATTTGGTTTAATCACAGATATGATTTCAATTAAACCTTAACTTTCTAATCTTATAATAAAATATTTCTAGCTTTATTTTCAGGCATAAATATTTTATATATTTACCCCTAAATCTCAGGTATATCTTTAAATCCCTTTTATGAATGATATTTAGAAACAGTGAGATACCTGTATAATGAACAAGATCAATTTGTAGCTAATTCCTGTAAAAGCAAATAGTTGCTAATACACTTGTCTCTGTGATAATTCTATTCTTAATATATGCAAATGTGTCTGATCTTTATTAATTGATATCTGCATTGAATCTGACCGTAGGTCAACTCACAAAGTTTATGAAGATAAATTATAGTAGCATAGATATTTAAACATTGTCCTTAAAAAATAAATTTATGGAAACAAGTATTGTATCCATGTACATAGTATGTCATTTCATTTGATTGATTGCAGACCTAAAAATCAGGAATACTAAAAAATTGATGATCCATCTTGAGAGGACAATCCAAGATTCATTATAGATCTAGACACATTTAAACATAAATATCTTTTATGAAAATGACAAACATTTATAAATTTTATGAATAAATAGATGTATTATGTATTTATAAAGTACCACCCACAGTTATAAAGTTTTTTTTTATTAATGATTAAATAAAAAAGTACAACAATAAAGTAACTTTGGTGTTCTTGAATCCTCAAAGGAGGAGTCAGAAACTTCAATATAAAATTTCATTACAGAACAACATTTATAGAGTTTTAAACAAGACTAAAAAGTTTAAATAAAATGAATTACGAGAAGTGTAGATGAAGGACATGTAGTGATAAATTTTATTTTTAATTTTTAAATAGTTTAAATAATTTTGTCAATAAATAAACAAATAGATAACAGGCATGAATAATTAAAGACAGAAAATTATTAATTTACCAAAAAATAAAAAAAAGAAACTGATATAAAGAATTGTGTTAAATAAAACCCTTATGCTTTACAGTAGTCAGTATCTACCATTGACCCTACTGCAAGATTTGATGTCCACGCCCTGTAAGCATAGCCCCCGCATAGCACGCTTTGCCCTGACTAAAAGTTACGCTGTATATATACCACCTATATGCCAGTTCCTTTTTACACATTGTAAAGCCTCACTCCGCGGTATCGATGCATAACCCCTAGTCTGCCCTAGAGTACCCTAACAATACCCCTGAAGCACCCCTAGAATATCCCTGCAATATCTATTGAATTGAGGCGCGCTGGTCCTCACCACGTACAATACATACATAGTTTCCCATAAGTCATTGCATCCTTGTTTTTTTTCTTTTCACTTTTCGGGGTTGCTGCGCTTTTAAGACCCACCCTCGAAAAACTCATCCAGTGCAACCACACGCTGTTGACGCCCCTCTTATGGCAGGACTAAATTTTATTATGTTCCTTCCAACCGAATAAACCCATCCATGGTGAAGTCACGTACATGTAACTTATTTTTACTGCAGCTTAATCATTTTTCAAATTAATTAACAAATCAAATTTATCTTTCAATCTGCACATTTTTTCATTCCTTAATTTACACTTTAAGTTGTTATAGAACATGATTTGGAGTGAATTTATGTAAAAATCATTGAAGCAAAATAAATTTGAGAGAAAGAAAGACACACGAAATGACTCTGTGAGGCTGTAAAAAGATTCACCCAAGGTGCGACCACAATAAAACATCAGCCAACAATGTGCTCACACCAACCACAAAACACTGGTGTTATATACGAATTTATAAAAGCGTAGGATGAAATGCTTGGTTGTTCGTCAACGAGAAATGTACGTTTAATTGTTGAAAACTAAGATATGGTGCTTATATGCTATGACGTTTGACATGGTTCAAGGGTAGGAGCGCGTGCATAGCTTCTTGATCGGTATGGGTTTTCCCAATGTTTCGGCACGGGCCATCTGGTCCTTCACTTGTAAAGATATATGTGTAAGCCATTTCATATTGTACATATATCTCTACTCTTCTTTTCTATGTCATGCCGGCTTTGTAGCCATGATCATTCACGTGGAAATGCATTCTTTGATTAATGGACAACGTAGATGATGTGGTTTTGGGAAAAAGTCAACGAAGATTTCCTTTGCCACTGTTGTAATTATGGCTGGACAGCTTTATATGTACATACTCCTTTCTTAGATATGTTTCTTTCATAAGTACATGGTTGAAACCTTTTTATAATATAGAATGAATAATTTAATGCTGATTTTACTCATTTAAAACTAGACTTTTCTAAGCTCAAATCACCTGAAATTTTTCTCATCAAATTGTGCATTTTTTTTATTTTTTCATTTAAAAGATATTTGTAAGTGTTGAAAAAAATGGTATACACGGTAGAAAACAAAGTTTGATAGTCTCAGTTCAAAAAGGATTGCTTAACAAATTCTTTTCTAGTGAAAGGCCCAAGAGGTTCGCCATTACTAGGCAATTATTACTGAACTTACACTGTCAAACTTTGTTTTTCACCCTGCACACAATTTTTCTTAATATTTATAAATATTTTTTATATGAAAAAATCAAATAAAGAATGTAGAGTTTGATGAGACAAATTTAAGCTTAGAAAAGCTCAGTCTTAAAAATAAAAATTAAGACAATAACTTGAAAATGAATTGAAATGTTATCATAAAATTTTAATATGTCAATGGTCAGTTTTCAGCAAAAATGGCACAATACACCGAGAAAAAAACTGTTGGAGTTTATAACAAAATTCAATCATTACTTTAGTTTATAATACATTACAATAAATATTCTCACAGTTATATATATGATAAGTAAGTCTTTTAATAATGATGGAACTACGTCTTAGACTAAGTTTATATTACTCTCATAAATGTTTATATTATTATTTTTGAAGATAATATTTAGGACTGATTTGAAGATTATTATGTAGACTAATAATAAATAAAGTACTAGTGATGTTAGTTCATAAGAGTCTTTCAGTCTGTTAGGACATACTTTTGAATCTTGATTTAACTCAATAAAGAAAGATAAAATATAATTTAAAATAAGTTTATTTATTCATAATAATAATAAATATCCTTAGCCTAATTTTCCAACAAAACCAATATAAAAATTACCTTGTTATGCAGGGTAATCGTGATACACTGCATGAAAAAATTAAAATGTTCTTTGCGGGATGGTAAAATTAATCCTGGAAATAGTGTGATTTTCCGTACGATCTCGTGAAAATCGTTATTTTGCAGGATAAGTTTTACGATCTTGTTGGGTAAATTTTATATTTTTGGTGCAGTGTGTCACGTTTACACTGCACAGCTGGATAATTTTTACTTTATCCTTCTTATCGTATAACAATATAAAAAAAATAAATAATAATTAATTATTTGTTATTATTCAACATAATATTATTATGAATAGCTTTTTATTATTACCTATTAACTTCCATGATGATCTTCGTGGTACATAAATGTTTTGAATTTCATAAATATTGATAATATGTGAATACTAAAACTTTTGGAAGAAATAATTTTTTCATTGTAAAATTCAACTAAATTTTTTTAATCAATGATAGAAAAATTTGTGACAATAAATTTTTCTTAATCACGCTATTCGAGTTAACAAAGAAAATGTTTTTTAAGCTTATTGCAGATTTTTAAAAAGTGTATTGTTTAGGCAAACAAAAAGCAGTAAAAAAACGTATATTAAATATTTTATCCATTAGGATTGGTAAGAATAAAATCACTCAATGAATTAGTTTTTGGAATTTGGCAAATATTTGTATATTAAAAGTTTCATTTTTTCTTATTTTTAATAAATTAATTCTAAGAAATGTTCTTCTCTCGAAAAATATTAAATATTTTTTTCCTAATCAAAAATAACATTTTACTTATTATTAAAACGATTTGACCTCTATATTAAAATAAACAGTTTTATATTATTGAAAATATTAAAATGAATAACTATTTTTCAAAAGAAACTTTACATGTCGTTATTTTTCGTAGTATTTTCAAACTTTTTTAAAATTCATTAATACCTGAAACAATGATAATAAGCCTTAGTGGGAGTAGAGTCGAAGGGGCCTACCCCTAAGGTGGCCCACCCCAACTCACTCCAGTCATCAACTACAAACTTACTTCACCAAATCAGTGATGCCCCAATCATAGGGTAAGAGGAGGGGCACAACCCCTACCAAAAGGACGAGGGTTCGACTGCTATATAAAGTCTTGTTTTCTCAAATCTTCTTCAGAAAGTGGCCATATGTACCTACGGTGCCCTTTGTGAAGTTTTCAGTGTTGTATTGGACATTCTTGTGCCGTGTCAGAAAAAATTTACTGTCAATATGCATAATAAAAATCGTGACAAGTACTTCCGTCCGTGGAATACCGAAACGGATACGTTAAAATTGCCATCACCTTTATCAACTGGAATGTCAACAAGGACTGATTGCCTCAACTGTACAAGTGAAGAAGAAAACGAACGTTCTCCATCGCCGATCATTGAGGATTTTCCGTCAACTGGAAACCTGGATCGGCTGTCAAACTTCGTCATGAGTGCGACTCAAGAGCCCAATTTCAATTCTTGGTCTTGTAATTCAGACAATGGTGAAAAGTGTGACCATTTAAAGAGATTAAATACTGATAGTACTTCATCAGTATCCGACGCATCTCAGGAGTCAACGTCACCACCGTCGGCACACCTTGCGTCATTGCCAGCACTTTCTCCAACTAGTTATTGGTCTTCAATAATGAATAATTCTGCTATGACTCAAGATATGATGTCTTTGAATTATACGGAATTGTATCGGCATTTCAGTTCAATACATGTACCATCGAATTATTTGCAAAATATGGAAGAAGCTGTTAAGTTGCTGCAGGAACAAGATGCAGCAAAACAAATGAAGAAGCTGAGGCCTAAAAAATTCCGTTGCGAATATTGTGACGTCGCATTCAGCAACAACGGACAACTTAAAGGTCACATTAGAATTCATACTGGTAAGTTTGAATGTCCAATGTTGCTTATGCACACCGAAGTATGTTAAAGATGACATCACCCATTTGATTAACATTGTTACCATTTATAACACATTTAAAAATGTATCAGAAATTACTACAGTGTGAATCAAATGGGCGACGTCATTTTGAACATACTTTGGTGTGCAAAAACAACACTTGTTTGACAATCAAAATTTGCAGTGTAGTTAAACCGAATCCTATCAGACTTATATATTAAAATGTTTATATTGTCTATTACAGGGGAACGACCATTTAAATGCGACTTCGAAAACTGCGGAAAAAGCTTCACTCGTAACGAAGAATTGACAAGACACAAGAGGATTCATACTGGAGACAGACCGCACGTATGTCACTTTTGTCCTAAACGTTTTGGACGCAAAGATCATTTGAAGAAGCATGTGAAGACCCACTTTCTTCGTACAGGATCATTTGGATTTGACGAATCGACTTCGGCATTTAATATCTTTAGGCGACAATCAGGATCATTATTACCTGTGACGTCGCCTTTGTCAACGCTCGCAGCGCCAACATTTGCACCACCAATGATGCCGTTGTCACCATCGATGATTTCATCACCAACTTTGATGTCATCATCATTGCAATCACAGTTTTTTCCACCACCAACAATGATTCCTTCATCGTCATTTCAGTCGACAATGCCGATTATTTCAACACCAACAGCGGTACCAAAAGCAACTCGGCTAGAAGCATCACAATCATCATTAATCTCTGAATCATCAGCAATGATGTTGCCATCAGAGCTTTCATCTTTACCAAGTCCAGATCTTCCATCATTACCAGAGTCACCATGTCCTAAACATTCTGCAGTATCACCATCTTTAACAGAATCTGCAATAAATCACCAGGTGAATAGATCATCAACAATCAATGCTTCGAACGTCAGACTAACTCAATGGACATGGTAATCAAATTGTATTGAGTCATTTTTAAAATAATAGATTTCTATGTAATAGATAAATTCATATCATTCGTACTCCATGATGTATTAACTGACCACTGTACTTGAACTCGAATAGTTATTGTTCACTCTTGTCTAGGACTTTTCAAAATTTGTACTAAATATAAAAAAAAATCCATATTTTTTATAAATGTTTTATCCAAAGTAAATGAATATTTTTATAAATGTATTGATGAAAATTAATGAATGAAAATTTTCATAAATACGTTATATAATGTAGAGAGTACTAATGTTAATATAAAAGTTGTTCGTGGCAATCCATATAATTTGTAAATACAAATGTAAATATTATATTTTGAGAAAAAATGTGTATGTATCAAAGATATTTAATATAGAAAATGTAAAAATTTTAAAGTGTAAATACTTCAAGCAAAGTTTCTACAAAATACATAAAATTTTTATATTCATTTCAGAACAAATAAATCTGAAGTTATTATTCTAAAACCTGATTCATTGAAACGTGATAAAGAACACTTATCCATGTTATTTATTTTACTATACATATGTAGAGGATCAGGTGTTGAACATTTAAGGCGTCTCGAGCGGAAAAATATACATAGATATATAAAAGTATATGAACTTTTGCGCACTAATTTTAGGCAAATAAATAAATTAAATAAGGAAATATCGACAGGAAAATATTCGCGCAACAACAGTCTATGTAATGAAACGAGATGAGGACGATATTTTGTTTATTCTTCAACCAATCGTCCTTATCTCGTTTCATTACATAGACTGTTGTTGTGCGAATATTTTCCTGTCGATATTTTCTTATTTAATTTATTTATTTGTCTAAAATTAGTGCGCAAAAGTTCATATACTTTTATATATCTATGTATATTTTTCCGCTCGAGACGCCTTAAAATTAAAAAAAATTAGCTACGTTTGTAATATGTTTAACATAAGTAACTTAATTTTTTTTAATTACACTGAAAAAAATTTTTTGCTATTATGACCATACGTCTCGCTGTCAGAATGAAACACTCTCAGCTAACCTAAGTTTAGTTACTTCGTTTTGCTATCGTAACAGTACTCGGATAGTTACGGTTTATTTCTGTCTTCACACTACTGTTTTGTTGTCAGAGCTAAACAGCATATCGTTACAGCTCTGTTGTTGTTTAGCTCTGAGAGACAAACGTTTCGTTCTAACAACCATACAAGTGGATTGTCTGACAAATTCTATAGTTATTTTCTTTTTTCAGGAAAACATATTGTTATAATGACTATAATATAGAGTTGGTTTAACTATGAATATTAGCAAAACAGAGTATTGCTGTTATAGGGATTCATTTCGATTCAATTATCGAAATGTTTGGCTCTTATCACGATCCGCATTGCTCGGTTAACAAGACACATCTGAAAATACTTTGTTTCGCCGTGATAGAAAAAATTTGTTTCCAGTGTTCAATTAAGAATTTGACTAGTCTACTTCAAAGATTCGAAATTAACTTATTTATTAGTTCTTCCCTTATTAAAATTAATTTTACTCTCCTAAACTGAATCAGTAAAAACTACCGCGAATCAGTGAATATCCAGTGATAGGATTGGCACTGGCAATCAGTGAATATTCACTGATGCGTAGTAGTTTACACTGATTTAATTTAAGAGATTATAATCTTGGAAAGATAAAAAACAAATTTAAATAATAAATAAATTTTCATCTAACAAGAAATTCTAATAATGAATTTATGAATTCATCTTTGAAAAATAACTCAAGATTAAAAAAAAAATTTATCCTTTATAGAGTCTCTAGAGCTTTGAAGAATGACAAAATTATAACTTGTGATTCTTATAAAGATCTAAAAATAAAATTCATTTTATTCAAGCGAAATTATAATTTCAAAGTCAAATTTTTTGTTGTTTTTTCTTTTATAAATTTTTTTTACTTTTTATCGTTATATTGAACTTGCTTTGAGTTTAATCAACAGTTCATTGCAAATAGTTGTATCTTTATTATTTAATAAAAATAAAAGTTTAGTAATATCTTTTGAATTTTTGATAACTTTTGAGTAATTTTCACCTGTTTTTAGTACACAAATAGTGATGTGCCAAATCATTATATCACCACCAAGTAGATTTTTCGGTATGTGCATATATTAAATTTATTGTAATGCAATAATATGTAGAGAAGAAAACAGGATGCATCCCGTAGCCACCATTTTCCTGTCGATTAAATCAAACATGGCGTCGGTTTGTTACTACTTTTCGTTCCCCTTTTGATGTGACCAACCCTTAAAGTACTAGCAGTCAGGGGTTGCGAACGTGCATTCCCCCTGTCAATTATGCGACACACACCGTTTGCGAAAGAGGGGCTGTATTATTTTGCTTCGGTTTCTACGCGTTTACCACAAGCCCATATAAGATTTTTTTCACCCTGACACTCGTATCGAAGGGAGATTCTGAGGGTTTGCTTATAAATGTTATGGTCGATTTTGCGGTGGGTCGTATATTCAAGGAAAAAAAGTTGATAGCACATCGATTAGTATTGAATAAACGTTACGAATATATTCATACACAATACGAATGTATTGAAATATACGCATAGGATAATTTCATGTGAGTATAAATAATAGGATAGTGAAGAATTGGTGACCCTGCTGAGACATTGGTGAATTCCTCGCTGACATCTTTCTAGGGTCCAATAGAAACTGTCAGTTACCATGAGTATTAAAGTTTGAATTAAATTTGAATCTTTAACATAAATATTAAAATCTATTTTTTGTTTTCAGTTAAATTATACTTCAATTATCTTTGCTAATTTAAGAGTTGAGGAAAATTAAATTCACTTCTAAATCAAACTATATAGATTTGAAGAAAGTATTCAAAAAGTATTTCATGATTTATTTAACAAGAATACGAATGAAAAATAAATTTTTAGACCAAAACTGTACACATAAATATACCGTTAGTGAATATTTTGCCACCTATGGATGCAACATAAAAGCCATTTTATAGATTGAATGAATAGAAAAGAACTCCTGGTGTGCGTTGACGTATGTTGATCTATCGATAGAATGATACTCGATAGGATTCATGACTACTTAGATACAATATATTTACACTGTAAATATTACCCGAGGCTTATTGACACTTCTAATGTAACAAATTAAAATTATTTTATATTTACTAAACATTTATAAAAAAATCATGGATATTAAAATAACGTGATATCTATGTAGAACTGGTGATAATAATTTTTATTTTTTTTTAGGTACTTTCTTTTTAGGATAAGCAATTTCTACTTCAATATTTCTTCTATTTTGTTTTTGATCTTTAATTGAATCTGATTTAATTCGTTGAATTTTCATCATGTATGAATTATGATCATCTTCACTACCATAATGGTGTGTCACCTGATGATTAGGTCCTAACCCATCCATATGAGGAAGAACTTTGATCCTACCATCATTCTCAAAATCTTGGTCATCAGTTATTACAGAAGATTTATAGTGAGGATTATTATCATAATTAAATTCGAATTTAGGGCTGATCTGAAAGGTCAGTTGATTATCACCAACCCCGATAATTTTTGTAGCTGGAGGTTGAGATTGGAACCCAGTCGATGTTGATACAGAATTTTTACAGTAGCACGGTGGATCATAATTATCAGGTGTATTTGTTTTTTTTTCAAATTTTATCAAAAGTTCATTGCCAATTACTTTTGCTCCGATTTCTCTGTAATACCTTGACGAATGTGGAACTGCTTTTAATTGCAAGCATCCACATGCTGAAAGGTTGTGTAATTTATTCATGATTGATAACAGAACGTTGGTGATTTATGAAAGAGTGATGGATTTTTAACATTATTTTACGTAACATCGATAAACACAGATCTAAATGTTTGTTCATACCTGAATGATTGTTTTCTTGCATTGAAATTTTATAATCGTAAATAATGATTTCCAAATAATAATTCTAATTCATTTCCATGAAATTTTTCACCAGATTAACATGATTGACAACATGATAGTCATTTTTTTTTTATCAACAAATAAAATTAGGTTAATAGTTTTTTTAGGCTCATAAATTTTTGGTAATTTTAAAAATATTTTTAATAAAAATCAATTTTTTTATTAATAACAAGTGATATGATATTAAATAAATCTGATTATAATCAATTAAAAGAAAAAAAATCATTGAATTTTTTATGTGAAAATGCATTGAATACTAATTTTTCTCACGTTGAATATTTAGAGCCATGTAGATGTACTAATAGTTTCAAAAGAGTAAAAAGAAATGATCAGAATGAGGAGAAAAAGTCTATAGTACATTTTATTCAATTCTATAATATAAAATTAAATCATTTAATCAATCTATTTTATCGTTCACTTTGAAAATTTATTTATAGAAAAATAATTCTTCTTAAATTGTAGGTCACTTCAACTATAAAAAATATAAAACAACCTTACAAAGAAATAAATGTAGACATAAACAATAATCGATTAGCCTTGAGAATCCAAAGATATTCAGTAATAGATCAAGAGAAATATGATCCACCTTGCGAATGCATTGAAGAAGCTTTAGATGATCCACTGGAAAAATCATCATTAAGCAAAATGAATGAAAACATTACTCCAAAACCAGAAAAATTATTATTCGAAGTTGCTCTACCCACTGATGATCCAAAATTAAATGACAGACTTCAACTAACCACTAAAAGTGCCCATTTACCAGAAAATGCAGAAACAGATCAACCTCAAAGTGCATATATTTTGCGAATTAGAAGAAGAGCTGAAACAAGAGACAAAAAAAGAGAAAATATTGATTTAGAATTTCGAATACCTTGATACTTTATTATCATCTGGACCAATTGAGTCCAAAAAAAATGTTAATAAATTTTGATTACTGTTACTGAAGAAGTAACAAAATCGTGAAGAATCAAAACACATCAAAATATGGTTTTTTGAAAAATTGAATGTTTTAATTGGATACTGTAGTTGATCAAAAATTTCTCACGACAAGTTTAAATTCACACAATAAGAATAATAATAATAATAACAAGAAGTTTTAGAAGTCAGTCAGGTGCCAATAAATATGAATGGACAATAACACTATATGCTTACAGGTCATTCATTCTTTTTCGTAGACACCCGCCCACAATACAGGCCCGTTTTTGACTCATAAAAGTAGGAGTGACATCCACATAATAAGAATGAGAAAAACGAGAAGCAGGACGACTGTCTTGAATAACGTAAGTTCACAACATGAGAAAAAAAATAATAATAACAGTAAAAAAAAATGGTTATGATACTATAACAATTAATTACAACATCATTCATTAATATTATTACAAGTGACTTTTCTTATAATTCACACTCGATACAAAATATGATCAATTGAACCGATACTAGGAACGATTACTCGACAATAATTTATTTTTATACTTTAGATTTATGATGTTATAATGTTCCTAGTTTAGGTCACTTTTAGCTGGTCAGGAAGTCAGTAGTAATGGTACATAATTGTAGTAATATTGATCAAATAATACTTAGATGCTAACAAAATTATTTGTAACATTTTCAAAAGAATTCATAAACAGACAGAGAATTTACTAGTATGTATTGTTTATGATAGCTATAAAACAATTTAAGATAATGAAGAAATTTTCTTGTATAATTATCATTTATTTTAATATCCTTTGACGAAGGTTTTATGTAAGATTATTTATACGGTCAAGGAGGTGTGATTATTCCATTAAATTAAAAAAATTAGAAACATCCGTATAAACAAGAGAACGTATTATACAAATGTTATCCAAAAATTAAAAGTATTATTCTTTCCATTCAATTTAATTTTCTCTATAATTTAGATAAAAATTTTCAACATTCTCAACTCTTGGAGGTTCCTTAATTTTATTCATACTGACAATGTGATAGAGATCACTAACCTAATCTTTAATGATTAAACTATCATTACATTATTAATTACACCATCACTATTTGATGATGAATAATTAACAAAATAAATTAACAATAAAAACAATTCATAATGAATTATTGAAAATTCATCTTTTAAGTTTTAAATATTAATATTATTCGTAACAATATCTCTTTAAACTAAAACAAAAATATTATCGCAAAATATTGTTTAATTAAAATGATTGAATAAAATTTCTGTTGATAGGTACATCGTTTCTGATGTCATTTTTTGAAAAATATGAAACATACGTCAAATGTGTTTTTCAAGACTATAACGATAAATTATAGATAGAACTTGGACTAAGACTTAGAATAATTGAATATTAATAAAATATACAAGGTTATGAATATAATAAATAATATAGTATTGTCAAAAATATTCGATCCATCAAATCACATTGCAAATAATAAAAGTTATTCATCATAAGAATATCAATACATATTCAATAATTTAAAATCAATATAATATATATTCTACAACAGCAATTCTTTAATGTCATTTGATAAGACACAGAAGTATGTGTGTATTACACATGAGTACTATACATCATCTATATTAATCCATGCCAATACACACCGGCTGATAACAAGCATGACTTATGATATACATCTACCGGACATGCGTATATTTATCTAAAACTAATTTTGTCACTTGAATGAAAAAATGACGTAAATAAAGGTGTAATTTATGATCATCATGAGAGAATGAGTTCTGTATATAAACAGTTAGATTGTTGTGGAAAGCATCAGACATCGGTTTCTCTTCAAGCATTCCGATTGCAAATAATCATTACGATAATCACGATGGCTAAAATGTCACAGTTTTCTTTTGTATCTTTTGCATTAATTGTATTCGCTACATGGGTTAATGCTGATAATTGCTATCCTGATTCATGCAATGGACAAATGCATACTATGTGTCTTTACCGAGTAAGTTGATCATTTAATAAACAATGCATTTTATATAAATAAAAAAAATTAACATTATTCATTTAAATTTACAAAAATATTTATTTATTTATTTTTTTCATCAAAACAGTCGCCCCAACCTGCTCCAACCTGTAATGAAGTCCAATCAGCCAAATTAACTCCAGCCGAAGAACGAGAAATTTTGGATGCTCACAACAAACTCCGAGCTCTTGTAGCAGCTGGAAGAGAAACCCGTGGGATCAGTGGACCTCAACCTGCTGGTAACATTCCAAGTTTGAAATGGGACCCAGAGCTGGCTAAAATTGCACAAAGATGGGCCAATCAATGTAGCTTTGGTCATGACAAATGCAGAAATATTCGTAAGTATTAAAGAGATAATTCAGTAACCATGAATTATTTTATTAAATTCAAGTTTCTAAGCTTCATCAACGTCTGTCGTTTCTTGTAGCAAAATACAATGTTGGACAGAATGTTGCCACAAGATCTCGCACTGATGGCCACCGTGCTAAATTGTCTGAGCTTGTTCAGGATTGGTACGAAGAAGTTAAAGACTTTAGCAACCGATCAGTCCCTAAATTTCAATGGCAATCATGGCCCCAAATTGGTCATTACACCCAACTTGTATGGGGTAAAACCACTTCTGTTGGATGTGGTGCTATCAGGTATAAGGATTCTGAAGGATGGTACACTACTTACTTGGTCTGTAACTATGGTCCTAGTGGAAATTGGATTGGCGAACCAATATACCAAACAAGATATTAAATTCAAACTTCTTTAATCCTAGATGTGCTCATAGACATAAGTATTATGAGGTATATAACGTCTAGGTATTTGTAGACATCTGGAAAAACTTGACTTTCTGAAAATTTTAAAAATAATTTCTTCACCTGCCCATCTTCAATACTATAATTATTTGTATGAACATAAATAAATAAATAAAAATATTTGATAAATGAAAAAATTTGTCATTCTTCAACAATATAGGATTGGTAATCAATTTTATAAATTGCTGTGTCCAGTTTTGATTAAAGTGACATATATTTTATTTATATATGTGTCAAGTATATTTATAGATATATTGTCACTGTCCGGTAAAAATTCTCTTTGCTCTTTCTTCTGTAGATGATTGAATCACGCCATGACGTTGTGTTGTATAGTACCGGATACCCTGCAGAGTAGCTCTCTGCTACTTCTCAGTGTCCTCTTCCTGTTGATGTGCCATTTAGCACCATTTTAAATTGATTTTATTTATTATGACATGTAACACCTGACAAGAGGACGTTTCCCCTATTTTCTTCTCATCGATTGCATAATTTTTTACGGTTGGAAAATACATTTTTCATTAATCCCACACAACTCTAAACTGTAAATAAATTATTGTTGAATTAAACAATAATTAATTTCATTAAAAAAAATAAAATGTCAATATTTACAATAATTTAATGGTATACTATTTAATACTTTTATGTTCTCTTTATTGTTATCTATTTATCTATCATTTGACGTGAATGTGTATTTGTATAGTGAGCATTACATGTTAAAAAAACAGTTTAGACTTGTTTTATTACGTCTTAGAAGTTTTCTTCAAGACTCACTCTTCTTAATTTTTATTGAATTATCAATACGATTATATTTTCCTCTTTCATAGAAATAATGATACTGAGGTGTGATTCGTATATAATAAGATGAGATCGGTAAAAGATTCTTTCGAATGCTGTGTATGATGTTTCATATATTATTAGTAACTTTTCAGTTGATCAAAGAAATTTCACGTTCATTGAAAGCACACTATTTAAAAGTTTACTGAAAGAAGTCCCCCTGAACTTGTCCAACTAAAGGCCATTGAAAAATCCAAATTGTTTCGTTCCGGTGGACTCAATGAAATGCCTTCGAATATCCTGCTGAGCCTTTTGACTTTTGAATAAAATCAGTATAACGTTAATGGCTCCTCATGTCCTGTTGTCTGCATACATAAGATAGAAACCGAAAAGGCGATAAATGGGTTTGGCAGAATCCTCTTGGGATTTGATGTAAGATCATTATTTGCAATGATTAGCCCTGTCTCATTCATTTTCTGCTGCATTTGCTGATGTAAACTTTCGTTGAAAGGATCAATAAATTCACTGTGTCACTCGACTCATCATTTTGGCATAAATTATTTTTCTTTTATGAATGTGTTTAAAAATTGAAGATGTAGGTGTGAAAGTGTGCGAACAAACAAGACATCAGTTGCTTCATGGTCGAAGATTTGAAATATAGGAATAGTTATTGTGAACATTTGGATATTTTTTGTGTATCTTGTTGAAGATTTTTTTAAATGTATAAGGAGAGAATTTTTTCACTAAATGTACTATCGAAAAAAAATATTTTTACTTCTAAATTTCGAAACGTGGACTTGTAACTTTTTGCTCTTACATTTAGTGAAAAAATTATCTCCGTGTACTGTGATAGAGATTGATTGTAGTGAAATCAGACATGATATGAAATACAAACATTTGTTATCTGAATGAAAAAGAAACATTTTAAAATTTTTGATAATAACTATTGATTATTTTGAAATGAAAAATGTCAAATAATTCTGGTAAAAATTAAAAAACATCCGCTTTCGTGATTCTCGTGAGTCGTGAGATATTTAGAAATTTTCATGCTTGATAAAAAATGCACAATAGATTCAACAATTTTGAAAAAAACCTGCGGTTTGGAAGAAAAATTTAATGAGAAATCCTGTCATAGGTATTGTGCGTAAACGTGGGAGCTTTGGATTATAAAAATTTTATAAAGTGTAATCGTGTAGATATTATTAAAGTTATAAAGTAAAATACAATGGAGGTTCAATCTATAAATTAAAAATTAGACATACTACCGATTCATATGATAAATACCATAATATAACACTGGTAGAAATCATAGAGCAGTAGGTGGGCCTTATAGCTTCTCAATAAAGGCACTTTTTATTTTTTGAAAAAAATGCCTGAACTATTATTCTATTGAGTAAATAAGAATGGAACGACAAGTGACAAGCGATGATACTTAACATGATATAGTGTAAAAAAGAATTATTGAGAGAATTTGAGATTCAATATATTTCAGCAAAAAAAAAGATTGACAAATAAATATTCTTCGCATCATTTAATTTTTTGATAAGAAATCATTCGATTGATTTATCAACTATCATAATTTATGGTTAATAATTAATAATTCACAAGTATTTCATTTCAACTTGGTCTTATAGCAAAATTTTATCTTGATTAGATGAGTATGTTATTAAAATAGGTCATCTTGAGGAGCTTTGAATCAAATAATTGCTCCAAAACGGTCATCATTAAGTCCAATATTGTTGTTGCGACTTTTTGATTCTATTTATTTATTGTTATCATTATTAGACAAGTTGACCATTCAATGTATTAAAAGTTCCTTTCACATAACTCAGTCTCCCAACTTTCGAGACATCCTAGTGAGCAAGAATCATCACTTTACCTTTTCATCAATACCTACTATATATTATATTCGGTATAAATAGACATTGCAGTTCTACCAGTATTTCACATAATATATAATAGCTTCCTGAATAATACCTTAATATTTCAATAAGTTGATAAATTAAATAAGTTGCTGTCTAAGGAAATAATTTGTCAGCTAATCATTAATTAAAAAGAACGATTTCATCACCAACTGACATACATACAACTTTGTATGAAAGACCATTGTATAATTATATTATCTAGGTCCTTTAAAGAATTACGCAAAAAAATTGTCATTAAAATGAATTTTATTTTGAAGTTGGAGCAGATAAATTAATGTCAATCATCAGGATGCAGTTGGAATTGCTTAAAGATCGAATTGGTAAAAAAAAATTGGAAAGATTACAAAATCTAAATCACAGTCAAACATAAACGCATGTTACATATAAGGGTAATTGTAGAAAAAATTATTGCTTGAATGCACACATTCTTTACGTGTGAGTGCATGTAAGTTATTTACACGAAGTGGGAGCGTAAAAGAACTTGTTGAGTAAAGAGTTTGTCAGAGTTGAATAAGCCTTTCTCTAATGAAAAGAAAATTGGATTTGACTTCAGTTGAAAAAAGTAGAGTGAAAAGTAATCAAGTTTTGTGTAACGAAATTTGTTAATTAATTACATCCTTAATGATTAACCATTTTTCATTTATTATTTTCATCATTGCATTTAAAAGGTTCTGATTAAATTACAAAACAAGGTACGTAATATCTAATTATTGATCATTTTATGTGAGAATTTATTGAAAGTTCTGTATAAACTGGAATAGATTTAACACAAAATTGATTTTCTCATCAATTCTTTTGTGTCAGAATAAATAAAAAATGAATTGTGTATTTATAGGTCATCTCAAACATGAATAATTTTCAAAGATAAACATGTTAGGCACATATGTGTATATACAAAATGATTTATTGTTTTCATACCTTAGATTTTAACATATCCAGGTGCTGATAAAATTTAAATGATAATCAATACAGGTATTGATGATAGTACAAATTTTTAAAAATGACATTGTTACCACCAACTCTAATTCAACAGAAAAAAATAGATGAAGAAATCCCACCTGATCTAGAAATGAGAAAAAAAGATATTGAAGCTTTACGTCAATGGTTATCGAAACAACCTCATCTTCCCCAACATATTGGTAAAGGATTGTTTTAGATGTTGTGGTTATTTTTTAAAGTCAATATTATTATTTGTAATGAAATTTGAAACTTTTGTTGACTTTCATAGATGATGAAAGGCTAGAGCATTTTTTATTTGGATGTAAAAATAGTTTGGAGAGATGTAAAGTGATTCTGGAAAGATATTTTACTGCCAGAACACTTCTTGGAGAATTTTTCCACTCACGAGATCCTTGCGGGCAGGATATTCAAGATTGTTGTGACGCAATGTGAGTTATATCACCTGGATTATTACAGTTATTTTAACTTTACCTCTGTTTTGAATTTATGCATTTTTATGATTAGTAAAATTCATTTGTCATCTTTCAATGTGAGGTACATATAAATTTGAAAGGAATTGGAGTAGATATATGGATAGAATATAATACTATATTCTTTGCTTTAATGTCTGACAGAAAATTCCTATTCATCAAATAAAACATGTATTTCATTCTCAACCCTTACTTTACATTCAACATATAAACATTATCAAATGCATTTTAATTGTAGAGAATATTTCGTCCTGCCATCGTTGACAGATGAAGGTCACAGAGTCACGATTCTCCGAATTAAAGATAAGAACATCGATAAATTCTCTATTCAAACAATTACCAAACGCATTCTCATGGTAATGGATTTGAGATTAGTGGAAGAGTCATGTCTATCAAATTACATGATACTAGATCTTGAGGTACTCATCATCATTATCTTCAATTTTATTGAAGACTAAACATTGAATTGACTAAAACATTTTTTGGTTCATAAATTAATAAGTCTATCAATTAATTTATTTAATGAATATGCTTCCTTTCAAGGGATGGAGTGCTGGACATTTTGCCAAATGCACTCCAACTCATACAATTGTGAGAAAAGCTATGCTAGCAGTTCAAGACAGCATGCCTTTACGATTGTATCAAGTGCATTTTCTCAATGCTCCAAAATTCATCAATAATATTATTAATATTTTTTATCCATTGTTGAAACCCAAGCTTATTAGCAAAGTTAGTAGTTTAATTATTTATTACAATTCTTTGCATTTATTACATATCATTTAAAATTGAAATTAATACTTTATTTATTCAAAAAATTAATTACTTTTGTTCATTGATTTTTTGATTTGATGAATTATTTAACAATTATTTCATTAACTAAATAGTTGAAGAATTTACAATGTTTACTTAAATAGTTTCAAGTTCATACTGGCAATGGTGAAGAACTTCACAAACACATTAATAAAGACATATTACCAAATGAGTGGGGTGGAATGGCTGGAACATTTCAAGAATTAAATGGTACGTATAGATATATAATTGCAAAGTTGTAGATTATGTTGTCACTACAAAAATAAAAAATCAATAATATTCATTTATTTATAGATGCATGGAGACGGAAGATTGAAAGAAATAGAGATTGGTTTCTACGTGAAGAAAAACTATGCAAGACAGATGAAACAATGAGATTACCAGCATTTTCATCAGTACTTGCTACTTCTGAGCTCAATGGAATTCAGGGTTCTTTTCGACAGCTTAATATTGATTAAAGGCATAATAAGCAGCTTTACATATTTTTTAAATACTAATATGCTTCCATGTATACAGAAATAATAGGTCAATGTCATATACAGTTTAAAAAATTCATTATCATTATAAATAATTATCAATATTATACTGCTGTTATCGTGATGAATTATAAATATATATTTCACTCCAATGAATAATAATTTAGATGGATATGCAAATGTTGTTAGAGATATTTAAAAATGAAAAATAGATTAAAAATTTTTCTAGAATTGAATTATGTAGTAAAATATACTTTGGGATTAATAAAAAATAATGGCATGTTATTTAGTTATTTGAAAAAAAAATGTAAATTAACAGTTAGCATCAATATTGAACTTGTTTAAATTGACTTTTATTCTTCAATCCTTTCCCAACATTCACATTCTGTATCCATGCATCTACATTCACCAAGAAATACACGTTAACATGCTGGATTGATTTTTCGGTGACCTACGTCATAGAGCAACTTAGCATGCGCAGAAATTCTACTTAAAAGAGTTGAAATTTATTTAATTCTAAGAATTTTATTTTCCTTGCTATTATGAGTTTATAATTTACGTGTATTCTATTTTAAGTCTCATTCCAATTATCAACCATCTGATGTTCTTTATTGTTTAACCGAAAGAAACAGCCAACTAAAAAATCATCAGAAATAGCTTAACGATGCGCTATCAATGATAATAACATGTAGGAATGTTGATAGTAGTTGTTGATTATTAAATCATAAAATAGGTATGACTCAAAGCTGCGATAAAAAGATGTTTGAATAGTGCAGCAATTGAATATCTGCAATAGCAGCAGTAGGGTGTCAAGAGGGAAAAGTGGAGAGTACAGGTCGTGGTGGTGGGATAGATAATGGCTATAGGTTTGAGCTAGTCGGGTGTAAGCGGGGTAAGTTGGGTTGGTTGTCATAGCAGGGTCATAGCGAGTTCATTCAGTAGCATGCTTGCTAGATAGAAGTTCAGAAACCGGCTGTATTGCTATAATATGCTGAAGAACTAAACTGATTGAGAAACATGTGATCAAGTGAATAATTTTTTATCTATTCGCTTGTATATTTAACAACAATAAAAGTGCTATTAATACAAACTTAAAAGTCATTGTGAAGTAATAATCTTTACTAAACATTCAATAATACTCTGATTAGTCATCAGCTCCACATTTACTTAATCTCTGCTACATTGAATATTTTTTGCAAAATTTGCAATTGGTTATTGACATGATTAAGCTTTTTTAATCATCAAATTTTTCCGCATCTTCTTTCTTATTGTGTATTTTAATTGAGTTTAAATTGTTTTATCATCTAACTTATCAAGTGGAATGGTTAATGTTGATTGACATGACACACTTGACATTGTTCTTGTTTTCGATCCGTGACAACGGTTCCTAATCGACTAATTGTACCAAGTGCAGCTTACTCGTATATATGTACACTCTTATCTATATCTGTACGCGTATAGACTACATAATAAAAGCTTGAAAATGTCACGGATATCAGCTATAAGATTTAGGGTGTGGTTAGTATAAAAATTTCTACATGATCAAATGTGTGATAGAAAAAATCATCCAAATAAGAAAACTAGGTGATCAATTAAGTTGCTTGTACAATAGCAACCGCATGGCAGTTATTATTACGTTACATAATGTGCTACTGATGCTATTGCCACTGCTATACTACACTGTCAGTTACAAGTTGTTATACATCACACCATACACGTAAAACATTAATGCTACTGCAAACACACATATCTAAAATTACTGTTTATTTATTTATTTTTTTACAAGTTTTTTTTTTTTTATCAAACTTAAACTTGTAGTTATTTGTTATTTACTTGGTTTGCGTTTACACATCAGTTTAACCTCGCATATATAAAGACAATAGACGTTACATGTCGTGACGCAATCAGTATAGATTTATTTTTTCAACTAGCCCAATAATAAGCTTTGTAATTGACTATTGACTTTATTGAATCATCTACATATATATGCTCACAAGCAATATGTATATACACGTAATTCACGTATGTGCATGTGTACAAGTATTCGTGAAGGCAATCTAAAATATCTTAATGATTTTAATGATGTTATAACACGCTCTCTTTGTACATTGATTTAGACATAAAATATTGGAGGTCAGGTTATATTAAAATTGGCTAAGATGAATAATGATGCCGTTTTATTCTTTTTCAAGATCGAATGACCACGTGTGGGGACGCTGAAGGAGATTCTGAAGAAGCTGATAAAGTCAACCAGAGTAATGCAAAACAAGTAAGGTGGTGTATAAACAAATATTGGGGATAAAATAGAAGAAAAAGAAGTGACAAATTAAATAATCCCAATCAGCAGCTTCAATCATTGGAACGGTTAGGAGTAATAATAAATTGAAACTGCATCGAACCGAACTGTGTACCGGATTATTGGATGAAAGGAAGTGATTGCCGGTGATGGACAATGAACAGCCACATCAGGAGCTGGTCAAGTGCGTCGTTGTGGGAGATACTGCAGTCGGCAAAACCAGGCTGATATGTGCACGAGCTTGCAACAAGCACGTTTCTCTTTCGCAATTACTCACCACTCATGTACCTACGGTCTGGGCCATCGACCAGTACCGAATATACAAGGATGTAAGCCGCGATACATTGTATAGACTGTTTCATTCCTTCAAAATGTGCCTCGTTTCTCAATCCCATCCTTGGCATATTCTTTCCTATTTAATCCTTCTTCATCTTATTCTTCTACTGCTCTACCCTCCATGACATTTTTTAACTCCTCGCTAAATCCTATTTGCTCTTATTAAATATCATTATTGAATGCCTAAATGAACCTATGTATACCTATTTCGTTACAATGGCCCTCGCGCCACGATTTTCCTCGGCATGGGCCTCGTGTTCCAGGTCCTTGAGCGCTCGTGGGAGGTTGTGGATAATGTAAATGTTTCTCTTCGGCTTTGGGATACCTTTGGAGATCATGAGAAAGACAGAAGATTTGCTTATGGAAGGTGAATTATTTATTAGCTCTCTGTTGACATTATTTTTTACCAATGCCTTCAGCCATCTAGATCTTTAAAAGTGACTTTATATTAGTTCACTTTGTATAGAATTTTAAAAGATGTTGAGTTACTTTTTCAACATTCTGCTATGTGTACTCTATATATAGATCTTGATAGTTGATGGATGAATTTTTCAAGTGTTGATATTTTGTGATTGTAATTAATATTTAATATTTTCAGGTCGGATGTCGTGTTACTGTGTTTCTCCATTACAAATCCAGTGTCCTTACGGAATTGTAAGGCTATGTGGTATCCAGAGATAAGACGGTTTTGTCCACAGACGCCAGTTATTTTGGTTGGATGTAAAAATGATCTGCGGTATATGTACAGAGATGAAACATATCTCAGTTACTTTCGAGATAAAAGCCCATTTGTCAGGTAATTGATCAATAAAAAAAAATCATTCAAAAAGACAACTTGATAAGTGTTGAATGTGATTACTGTGTTTAGAGCGACAAGAAAAAGTGACCTAGTGATGCCAGACCAAGCACGAGCAGTTGCCAGAGAATTGGGAGTTCATTATTATGAGGCAAGCGTCTTCACGTATTATGGCGTGAATGAAGTATTTGAAAATTCCATTCGTGCCGCTCTTATTGCTCGTAGACAGCAACGATTTTGGATGACAAATTTAAAAAGAGTTCAGAGACCATTGTTACAAGCACCATTTTGTCCGCCCAAACCGATACCACCAGAAGTACGTCTTGCTGCAAGCACTTATGAAGAAAACATGAAAACACTCTGGACACGTCCAGTACATACTGACGTGACTCTCATCGTTGGTACCTGCTCATTTTCAGCACATCGGTGTCTTTTAGCTGCTGCATCACAAACATTCTATAAACTATTTTCGATGGAACTTTCTCATGAGCTTACGCCAAGAAGTTCCAGCGAGTCAAGCATGGTTATACATTTTTGATATTTTCTTTTTATTATTTTAACTTATGACATATTTATTTGATAGGTTAATTGTTTGATTTTCTAACAGGTAAGCACCTTTGGTGAAGCTACTGTTGGGGATTTTAATGATGATACTGAGTGCCTCATCAGAATAGATCAAGTCAAACCAGCCAAGTATGTTATTATCTATTCGATAGGGATATTGATTATTGTTATTCAATTGAAAATAATATAATCAAGATAATAAATATTCTCATAGGGTATGGGAACAATTAAAAAGACGATCAAGCTTTCAAGTATTACCAACAATGGATCAAAGAAAAACGGCTGGCACAACTAGAGAATTAAATCATCCTGCATTTTCAAATATTCGTATTACTTTAGTAAGCATTAGTATATAATTATTAACTTAATAAAACAAAAACAATAACCATTAAAAATTTGTATGGAAAATAATTTTTGAATTTTAGGCTGAAAATACAAATGGCATTCAGCAGCCAATAACTGTAGTTACACTGTCAAAGCTCATTACTTCTCAAGCAATGCAACAATGTCTTCAATTTATATATACTGGAAGTTTAGATAAACGTTATCATGATTTACAAGTAAGTATTAAATGAAAAATTAATTATTTAATTATATAAAATATCATCAATATATTTTTGTTTTATTTTTTTAGACAGCCCCTATAGGATTATTGTTGGTGAGTAGCTTAATGAATTTATTACATTCATGAAACACATTGAAATTTTTTATTAAAATTAATAAATTGATTCATAGGAAATTAGACAAGCTGCTGAATTTCTTGAACTGCCACAATTACTCATGGTTCTTCAGAGTATTCAATCAAGATCACAATTTATTAATAGTGATCTCAATAATCAATATAAACAAGTTGTAAGACAGCGACTAGAAGATATTTGTTTAGAACAAGGTAATGATAATTATGATACAAGAAAAACTATGATTAATTATATTACATTAATAAAATTAATAAAATTTAAATTTCCCACAGGATTATTTACAGATGTTGCGTTCGAGTTAGATGATGGAAATATACCAGCACACAGAGCTATCCTTACTGCAAGATGTGATATGATGAAAGCAATGTTTTCTGGAGATTTTCGTGAAAGTAGTGCTAAAGTTGTAAGTATTTATATTACCAAATCTCATTAAAGTTTCTAATAAAAAATTAAATCTACAGATAGTATTCCCTGGTGTACGAGAATACACATTCCATAAATTACTGTGCTATTTCTATACGGACAAAGTACCAGCAATATCTTCAGCACGGTGTTTAAATCTTTTGGAATTAGCAAATAGATTATGTCTCCCGCGTCTTGTCAATCTTGTAGAAAGTAGGGTTATTGAAGATTTAGAAAGGCTATCGCAAAATGATGGCAATGAGGCTGTGGAAATTTGCCTCAGGTTACTAGAACCTTGTAAATTACATAATGCTGATCAGCTGGCTGATTGGTGTATGAATCATTTATGTGTTAACTATAATAAACTTTGTAAAATGTCACCAAGAAGTGTTAAACTTTTGCATCCAGAAAATCAAGAATATTTGAACGAGCATCGTTGGCCACCAGTTTGGTAATTATATCTGTTTATAACTCTCAGGAAAAATTTGTTAAAACCACCTTCATTAACATTTATTATCTTCGCTACAGGTATCTAAAAGATTACGACTATTACCAGAAATGTTTAGCTGAACAAAATAAGGAAAATAAACCAACATTGAAGCGAAATCGCAATCAGTCAGGATGCTTGTGTTTTTCTGGATCAACCAAAACAAGAAAAGAAGATAATGTCCAAGATAAAGCAACAGCTGAACGACCTCTCTTTGAAACATCAAATGAGTTAGGAGAAGTTGTATGACAAGAACAAAGCGGCATAAGCCGCTCAATCAGATTTATTCTGATATTACCTGTACTAATCGTATTTATCTGCACTATTTTTACTATTTTGATACTGCTACAGATTTATACTTAAATATCTAATAATGCCATTAAAATGAATATGATAATAATAATATAATGAGAATATTGATAATAACAGTGATAGTATCAATAATTTTAAGTGTAATAATACTTGAAAAACAAGAATGCTTAGGAGGAATAAAAGAATAACAGGCGAAATTTGATTGAAAGCGATAAATTAATTAATTGTCAACTATTGCATGCATTGCATTTAAAATATTGAATATTTTCTCTTTTTATCTTATTCAAGACTTGCATATTTTTGTCTTACTTTGTTTTATTACTGCTCATTTTTAATCATTTTTTTGTATGTAAACAACTTTATTCAAATATTTGGAATATGTGGGAGTATTTATACTAGTAAAGTATCAACTTATTGATTAATGATGAATTGACTATGTGAATTAAATTTAGAAGCATCCAATGTATATAAATTTAATATTATATTATTGCAAATTATTGTCTAGTCACATTAATTAATTAATAATGCGGTGAATAAATTTACAATAATTTTTCAATACGTCTTTTACGTTGTTTTTGAATTGAAAATTTATGTGTATTTTAAGTGACTCTACCAAAAGTATTATTTTTCAGTAATAAAATCTATATATGCATAAAATCATTGACAAATATTTGGTATTTTCGGAGATGATGAAAAAAAGTCATATCAATAATGAGTAGAAGAAAGAATATTAAGAAATTTGAATTAGAGTAGATGATGAAATCCAACTAAATGAATGTTAAGATAACAAAATTTAGCAAAGATGAAAAAATTTTATCACTGTCCAATATTTGAAAAAATTGACGCATGAATACATATAACTTAATCTAAGATCAATCGTTGAATCATTTATTATATGTGAATTTTTTATTATCAATCAAAGTATATGTGTATGTATATTTAAAGTATATGTACACAGAAAAAATTTGTTAGATATTTTTTACAAACACAAAAATTGTAATTAACTACTGATTATGCATCTATTCGTCAACATTACAAAGAAGCCATATCATTTTAGCTTGAAGAATTCATGCATTTATTGTATATTTATCGAAAAACAGCGAAAAAATGAATAAATTTGTAGCTAATAAGTAGATAAAAATAAGAAAAAAAGCAATAACTTGAAAAGTATTGTACACTTTTTCGGATTCTAAAATCTAATTTTTCAGTGAATTTTTTGCACACTTCAACAACACTGTTGTATTTATATGTACTTAAATATAAAAAATTCCATTATGTTTTAAAAAAAGAAAATTGACAATCTTAACAAAAAAAAAATCAAGAAATTTTTAAAGCTAATAATTCATTATTGGGTACTATCTCAGGCATATGACATACTGTATATATGCTAATGTTATCATAAACATTCAAAATAATTACAAAATATTTATCTTTTATTTAATCACATAAATATACTGTAGTGTTTACTTCTAAGCAATTGTATCGTATGAAATGTTGTACAAGTGAAAATAATTTATTATTGATAAAGCATAAAAATATCGTTATTTATTAACGAAAATCTATAGCTATGCTTTATAAATAATTAATAATCATTAATAACTATTTTCATTGATTCTTGAAATCCATTATTAGAAAAATATTTTAATTTCTTAAAAAAAAACATAATTAATATATTTCACTGATAAATTTACCTTATCATTAACAGTATTAAATTAAAGTGGTGATGCTAGAAAGCGAACTGCTTCTTTGATTTCATCATATAAATCTTTGTAATCTGGGTGTTCTTTAATAAGTACCATCAAACTGCCTCTTTTAACACCCATTGCTGTGCCAATGTCTTGTTTCGATGGAACATAACAATATGGTATTTCTTTATCTTCGCAGACAATTGGCAAATGGCACATTATTTCGATAGGATAGACATCTCCAGCGAATATAACGATTCTAGAATCAATATTTAATAATATGATAAGCTATGAAAATATTATTAAACATTTTGTAACTTAATTTTTTTATTTATTGTAATTTACATACCCTGTCTCTCCTTTTCTCAAGTGTTTCTGAACATCTTTAAGTCCATTTCTTAAATAAGATTTTTGTTTAGAGGCTGAAATCATTGACACCACATTGTTATTCACATTACTTAATCAAGATGATAAATAACTAACAAAGTATAAATAAATTTTTTTAATTACCTTTCTTAATACATTTATAAATTTTTTTGGTAAGTTTTTTTGGAGCCATAGGCATTGCAATTGAATTGCAATTTTGTAATTTCTCTTCATAACTGATGTCTTTTCCACTGTCAACCTCAGTAGAGTCGGCACCTTCTTCTTTTATGTTTGTTATCTCACCCATTTTATTATACTTGGTATTTATAATATATCAATAAAATAAATTATTGACAATTTAAGCTATACTAGAGTGTGCGTGCAAATATTTTACCTATTTAATTTATAATAAAGTAAATAAAATTTATATCGAGACACGTGGTGAAATAAACAATCTTTCCAAGTGCGTAGGTTAAACTAAGCGATTCAAGCGCTGTATTGGATACTGCATTGCATGCTTAGTCGGTAAAAAATATTTTCATATTACCGACTAATGGTGGCAAAGACCGGGAAATTTAGAATAGTAAAAAAATTAACTCGAACTGTAACTCGAAATAAATCGTAATATAAAAAGATTTGTTGAAATGATAAAACCAAAATTAAGTTTTCAAATATATTCTCATAAATCACAATAAAATACTATGGCAGAATTCATATTATTATATTAAATAAAATAGCAAACGTAAATATTAACTTCAAAATCTATTAGTGTTTATCTACCGTGCGCATGCACTCCAAACACAGAAATAAATTTAAATAAAATGGAAATTTATTTTTTTATCAATTTTATACTATGAAATATACGTTACCTATTTTATTCTTTGTATTATAAATCTATTAGTGATCTATGAAGTATACAAATACCTTATATGTGTTATATTTATACTGTATACAATAAAATAAAAGTAATCATAATGATAACAATGATAATAATTATAATTACAATATTATTAATAGCCATAATATTTGTATCTCAATTTAAAATAATAAAAATTTCCAATGACTGTTATAAATACAATGAGTAGGAAAAATATTCGAGCCGAAAAATCACTAATGATGGTCTGGAAGAGAACATGTCTTCTAAGAACTTTTATAAAAATTCATCAATTTATTTAGATTTATAGTTTTCTTTTCGTTACTTTATGATTAAAATCTCTCTTAACACCAGGAAAAGAAAGGACTTTTATTTTGGAAGCGCTGTGTAAATGTATCCGAGAATGAGAATAATTTTGGTGCTCCATTCCCTTTGGCTCTAAAATAACAATAAATCGATTATTTATTTAATATATAAATATCTTCATTTTTTATTTGCTAAATGAACATTAATGTAAACATACTTTTCAACAATCACAGCGGGCATTTGTACCAATTGAACTGGACTCTTAGAATCTTTAAGTGCTTGTTGAAGGTTCAAAATTTGTCCTCTCATAACACTCATTTGTCTGTCGAAGTTATGTCTATCAAATCCTCTGTCTTGCTATGAAAATTATAATAAATTATTCATCAAAGTTAAAAAAGAAAAAATGAATTATGTAATAACTTCAAATATAAATAGATAAGATAAGAAATAATACCTTGAATAATTGATATAAATCATCACAGAGGTCTTGTACAAAATTTTGATCTGATAATTGAGGTAAAACAAGTTCTCGAGTGATTTCACTAAAGGGAAGTTTTGCTTGACTTAGCCATGCCCAATGATATGGATATGCCCTCCAAGAGTCTGGATGTTTAAAAGGGAATGCTAAACCATTATCTATTGCAGCAATTTTTACTTCACCATTTTCTGGAGAACTTTTTGCTAACTCTGGATCATATTTTATTAACCAGTTATCATTCCCTAGAAAAAAAAATCATCTTGTAAGACTTGTGAATACAAATCAATTTTTTCTCAGTTGTTCTTTTTTTGCTTATGACGTATGAATAATTTTTATACATTAAGACGCTTATATCATGTATATATAAAATCTTGTATGAGTAACAGCAGATTATTATAAGGAATTTCAAGTCTTTTTAGATTAAAATGTTACTAGAGAAATTATTTTTAAAAAATATCTATTGAAGCAACTAAGAATACCTCGATCTGTATTTCTTATGATGTAATCAAGAATAACAAGTCGTTCAAACTGTAGTTGAAAATCTCTTGCGAGTTTAGTGGGAAGTGGATCACTCTCCCATCTTCTAAGCCAATAATCCGCATCTTTATATCCGTCCATGAACAATTGAAACGATCCAACTTTAGGTGCTAATCCAAGTCGTTTAAATTGTGAGCCAACCGCAGGAAATTGGTCCATTATAGCTTGCTTCATTCGCGCTTTTTGTCTGTCAATTCTTGGATAATTGAATGTTTTACTAACAAGTTTCACAACCCGAGTTTTTGGAACTACACCTAGTCCCAATTTACGGTCTACCAAACTTGCACCAGCTTCGCTAAGGTAGCCCTGATTTGGAATTAAACAACTGCGGCCAAAACAACATGGGCAGCATAATTTATGCATCCATTTAGTCCATTTGGGGTTCAGTCTTCCATATGGCTCTTCGTCTTTAGGTTTAAATACACCGACTATTTTCTGAAATAATGAAAAAAACGTGAACATGAAAATATAATCTACAGATAAGTTATAATTTTATTTACAAAACATAAGTTAATCGTAAGAAAGTTTATAATAATACTAGTCGACTAAATTAATTTATTATTGTTTTAAATTAGACTTTTTAATTTTCTCATTGAAAGCAATTGTCATCATTTTATATTCTATGGACTTTGACTTTTTCCTTCTCCCACCCATAGAAATACTCTTACCCCTGAAGGATTTTTAACAAAATAACTCCCACTGGAGCCTTGATAAATTCTCTCTGGAAAAATACCATTGTCTATCGCACACTCTGCTTGCCATACAATTTCAGAGAATTGTGGATCGTCTGAAAAATATCCAATAACAGGTTTGATAAAATATACTGTCATTTTTATTTCTCATATAAACGTAATCATTGATAAAAAAAAAATAACCTGGAAATCTATTAAATGTAACATCCAGTTCAAGACGACCAAGGAGAGGCTGGCTCTCCCGGTCGATTCCTGGAGAATCAATGGTTACGTTGATGTCGTTGCTAGAGTTTGGAGCAAATTCAACTTCAGGCAAAAGTTCGGCCAAATCTTCGTTGCACTGAAGGATAAGAGAAGGCTTAACAGATTGTAATTGCAATAGCGATGGTGTTGAGAGATCCACCAAAGCATCAGTTTCCACCACTGCTGCTGATGAACTAGTGCTATTCTGGCTTTGGTACTCTCGATAAGGCACGTGGAGCTGCCGTTGTTCTGAGTCGCTCATCACAGACAGATTTTTTTAAAATTAACGACCGGAGTATTTTTCTTCTACTCCGATCTAACGTGTATTTGTTCTTGTCAATAAAAACTGACCCAAGAGATTAAGTCTGACGACATTGCACCACCTGTCATCACTGCACACTTGAAGTTTTGGATTACCAATTAATTTTCATTTAAATTTAACAGACTGTTGTTTGTAGTTGTTCGTTAAGTACTATTAAACATTGAATATTGATTATCGATTTAAAATTAAAAAGAAAAATGCAGTGACATTAATGTAGACACTTAACCAACCAACTAAAAAATATCAACCGTCATCTTTAAGTCGGATACTTAATACAGCTGATCCAATTATTGAAACAACTGAGACCTCTACTGGCCATTTCAAAGACTTTTTCAATATATTCGCATGACGTTCTCTTGATTCTATCATTTCAGGTTGTGCAGTCTACTTTTACAGCCATTTTATATGTATTGATAATGTGCGTTAACCGCGACGTAATATTGTTTACATAAAATTTTGTAATTTATTTACTGAATTTTTCACTGAGTGATTAAAATAAGTGTATTAATTGGATAAGTAGTGAGTATTATTATAAAAAAATAATTTATCATTTATACCTGTTTGTGAGTTTAGTTTTTGTTACAAAAATGAATACAACAATTGAGATTCATTGGGACCACAATTGAACAAGGTAAATTATTTCTAATGATTAATATTCTTTTATACCAATTAAGATATTTAAAAATAATAGATAATTTTTCGTGATTATATTTTAGATATGAAGAAAAGAACAAATAGAGAACAAAGTTATTTAATTTATAAAAAACAAAAATGTTGACTACTACTGGATTAATGGCATCAAGTGGCTCTGGTCTTCCTAGTCCTGCTCATGAGTCTCCAGACGATAATTTAAATAAGTTTACCTCATTTTTGCACAGTGTTGCTGGGTATGTAGATATCGAATTAGACACTGTTTTGCAAGATCATTGTTATGCTAGACCATGGAATTGGAGGCCAGAAAATATTTATGTAAAGCCAGTAAAAAAAATTTTCTTTGCTCCTGATCAAGAAGTATCGGGGTAATTATTGCTATTAATTATTTCGTGATCATTTTGATGCTTAGAAATAATTAAATACATTACTTTAATAGAAATCAACAAAGTGAGGATGATGAAATCGATGTAGAACATTGTGACATGACAAATGAAGTATCTTTGCCGTATGACTTGACAAAGTTATGTCAAGGTATGGAAGAATCTCAGAAACTGGCAAGTTTTGCTAGACCAGATGATGAAAATGCTGATGACTGGGGAGAAAAAATCGAGAAAACTTTTTTCACAGGCTTACAAAAAAAAATTTTCGCTCGTGTGCTTCATGTCTTGAGTACTGAAAGGTTAACTAGGCTAGCAAAAGTGAATTGCTCTACAGAACCTATTTATCGAAGGATATCTACAGATTCTTCAACACAAAAATTTAGGGAGATTTTAGCCTCAGCTGGATGGGATTTAAGTATAAGCCAGTGGTTACATGGGTTACTCTTAGAAAATCTTCCCCGAGAATATCTCGTAATTTATTTGGACATTCTTCAAACATTACGTGCAAAAGTTCCTCAACTTATTGAAAAAATGATAACTGTTCAACCGAATGCGATGGTGAAACTGGGAACAATACCAGCAGAGTCACTAGGAGCTGTTCTCAAAAGGTCCTGGGATCCTATAGCATCGTGTTTGAATTCAAATCGCCCAAAAAAATTACCAGGGAACCCAGTGATTATTGTAGCACCATCAGGTGTTGGTACCAGTATTTCATCTCGTCAACACAAATGGATTACGCAATTAGGTTCACTTGGTACAGTTGTCACGATTCACTCGCATGTGGGATTGTCAGCAAATAGAATGACCATGATGGCATGTATGGAGCAATTAGTACAAGCAACTAGAGCAAAAATTCAGGACGTGAGAAGTGATTTTCCAGGAAGGCCAATAATTCTTATTGGGTTTAATACTGGGGCAGCTTTAACTTGTCAGGTTGCTCAAATGGAACATGTAACTGCTGTAGTGTGTCTAGGGTTTCCTTTTACTACAGCTGAAGGTAACAGAGGTACTCCTGACGATACTTTATTGGACATACGATGTCCTATACTATTTGTCGTTGGTCAAAACGCTAAATTAACTAGAACAGATGATATTGAGGACATCAGAGAAAAATTATTGGTAGAAAGTAGCTTAGTAGTTGTGGGAACTGCGGATGATTATTTGAGAATTTCCACAACTAAAAAAATATCTGATGGAATTACCCAAAGTATGGTAGATAGATGCATCCTAGATGAAATTGCTGACTTTGTGGCGGGTATAATTTTGCAACCATATCCTTTACCCTTGAGACCTGTTGGATTTTACAACCTTGAAAAAGCTAATAAAAGAGAGCAGAGAAAGAGAAAAAACTCACCGACTAATTTGATGGGGGATGAGTTGAATTTTCTCAATGCTCAGAAAAAATCTCGTCCAACTACTCCAGTTGATAGAGTCACTTTAACGACGAATCAAACGTCGCAAAATTTATCAAAATCTAATATAATTAACCAGACAACACTTACTAAAATAAGGGGAACAAATATTATTAATCAAACTCCTGTACAAAGAAGGAGATCTAAAACTGTTAATATTCAAAAGACCGGTATTGTGGATCAGTCAACACCAATTAAACAACTAGTTCAGGTAAAATTAGTCATATGTTTTCATTATTTTTTTTCTCTTTTTTCAAAGAAATTTGATTGATATATTTTGATGATTTCAGGGAAATTCTACGGCTTCTAATGGTGGACTCACATTGAATATCGGCTCTCTAGCGAGTTTAGGTTCTGGTGGGCCAATAAAATTGGGTCCATACTCAACATCTCAAAGTTCAAACATGCAAGTGAAATCTAACACTTCTATAAAACAGCCTGTCAGTTTAACAAATGTATCTAAGATGATACATTCTAATAATCTATCTAATTTACCTGGAAAAATTAAGACTGTTTCACCAAACACTAAAATATTTAATAAAACTCTGGCAATAAATAATAAAAATGCTGTTGCCAGTAATAGAACTATATCAAGTAATAATTATAAAAGTATGAATATTCAAGAAAAATCTGGGGACGCAAAACTTGTTACAGTTTTAGCTACTTCTGGAAATCAAGTTCGTGTTTCTACTCCAACTTTATCAGGTATTTACTAATAACTAATTATAAGTTAGCTATCACATCAAGAATAACTGATGAAGCATATTTTAATTCGTGATTATGACTTTTTGCTGAATTTTATTTTTATTTCAGTCATTCAAAATAAATCGATGGTAAACTCGTCATCTCATTTAACGGCATTGCTTCACAGTAGGAAAAGTGCAAATGACGGTGGAAATAATTCTGAGGCTTCTGGTATAGCTACTTCAACTGGGTTACATTCAAATGAATCATCTAGCATGAATTCTACCGCAGTTATTACGTCAACGACGACGGCAAAAGGTAGAACATTATTACCTAGTTAGGTATTAAACAGTTCTCGGTAGAATTTGAATTAGTATTAATCATTTTTGATACTTTACCTAGAAGAGTTGTTAAACATCCACTATCTATTTGTATAAAATTAACATTATGATGTTTAGAACTGACAATCACTGACCAAAAATACTTTATACTATATTTTTTAAAATTATTGCACGATTACCGTCATAAAAAATTTTTTACATCTTTTTGTTTAGAAATATAAAATCAATGATTACCAATTTCATTTATAAAATGCATTAAAATGAATTCAACTTTATTATTGGAATTATCTATCAATTACGTAATAGTTGATTATATATAGTACTGTAAATATAGATACAAAAAAGTAATTTGATAAAAAATTTTCAATTCAATTTTTTTAAATTACATAATTTCTATAAGCTACCGTTGTCTTAGCAAAAGAGAATGACTGTGTATTTAAACAAACTTCATAGGTTTATATTTTGTGTTAAATAAATCTTTTTTTTCGGCGTATCGGATTAATTTCATCTTTGAACCCATTTCCTTTTCCACTCTTTCCTTTGTATGTTATTTATATAATAATTGATTAACCTTCTAAAAAGTTGATTTCATTTATTATCGACGTTAATATATATTTTTTGAATACATACAAGTATTTCAAATGTATCATAACCCATTGTTATAGCTATGGAGAGTACCAGACATGCCATGAATGCTGATTCATCCAATACGATTAGTGTTACCAGAATATCTGAAAATACAGCAAATTCGGATCAATTACCAACGTTTACAATCAATGAAAATACTGGTAACCCAATTACACTTGTACCCTGGTTAAGTAAGACTAATAACTGCCAAAAAATATCTCAAACCACACCTAAAATAACAATTAACCAGAAAAATCAATGGAAAGAACAGCAATCATCATCAACAATTCTTAATGACAATTCTTCAATTGACTTAGATGATGAACTAGGGAATATATTGGATATTCCAATTATTTTTGCTAAAGATGACGATAATTTAAATATTATTGAAAAAACTCCTTCATTGTCTCTAACGAGTGCCAGTGATGTCTGTCAACAAAATGTTCCACCGAAAGTTGTTCCCACAACCACGAAGGTTGTTTTACTTAGTAACAAAGAGGGGAAGGTTTACTGTCCTCCGACTAAAGTGCATGCCAAGATTAGTGAGCAAACATTGATACAACCAAATACTTCATCTGAAAATGGAAATCTAATTCAACGAGTACGAGCACAAAATTCATTAGTCTCTAACTGGAATAATGGATCATCAAAAAACGTTTCAAGATCAACAAACCCAACAATTAAATACACTAAAATAATATTGTCTAAACGAAGTTCTGACGTTCCAAATTCTTCTAATGATCCAGTTATTTTAAAAAAAAATACATCTAAACGTTCGTCCTACCAAGTTATTACAGACAATAAAAATCAACAATTAACTACATTGCCTGTTAAAATTATTTCTAAGTGGCAGAAATATAGTGTTGAAGATACTTATAATGCTCAAGATATTATTGAAACTAAAGATGATATAACATTTAATGATTTATTAGAATATGATTCTAAATCTATTGAAAAAGATGAATATTAAAAATATTAAAAAAATTTTGAAGCTCTTCTATCATTGATTCATATATATATTATATTACTCAATTAGAATACATTGTTATTTTTCCTGATAAATTTACTATTTCAAACCGATAAAATTGTATGACAAAATTCATCATCTTTTTACATGCTGCATTATGATTTTATCATAGATTCCAACTTATTAAGATTTAAGGAATGTTTGTTTTTGACCATAATTATTTATAAAAAGTGATGAATAATGGATAATAAATTATTTTTAAAATATTCACTTACATTCGATTTAATTTAATAACCGATCTCCGTTCGTAGACGTAAACATGATATATATTTTTCTACTCAGCTCTGGCCCCAACTTCCTAGCTGTTGTTAATGGACCTGCTGCCCTTTTGATCTAAAAATAAATATGTTAAATTTTATCTCTATTTATCGGAATTCAATTTTTTTAAACAATCATAAGAATAATCAATACCATGATATCTTTTAAAAGAAGTTCTCCTTCCATTTCGGAGCAGTTTTCATATGCCTACATCAAAATGAGAATATAATAATTAATTTTATTCGTTTTTGAATAATTAATTAATTTAGATGAAAAAATTAATGAAAATAATGACCCTCATTAATTGTTGAGGACTAGGATATTCAGCACATATAGATTGAGCTATTGGTAAAGTAACAGAATTGAAGCTGCACAGATGTTTCGTCCAAAGCATCTTCAATCCATAGCCATCTCGATCAACTTTAATAGTTTGTCTATTTTCACCAGCAGCATAAAAATTCAATTGTTCATTTACTCGTTCTCTAGTTATGAGTTTATATGGAATCTCAGCGATTGATTTAGTATACTGATAAATTAATAAACTCATTTCAACTGATGAGTCAATAAGTCTAGTATTGCATTCAACAAAAATTTGTATCTTAACAAGACATTTATCAAATTCTTTTCTAGATATTTTGGGATAATTTTTAATATTATCATACATTTTATTGCATATTTTCTTTTTATTCCTACTTTTATGATATTCAAAATATCCATTTATTCCATAAATGATCAGACTTAGACTTTTTTCAGTCATTTGATCAGATAGTGATGTTACAGCTGCTACGAATGACTCATCATGTATATGTTGAACAACTTTTTCCCAACTCCAGATAATTAATACATGTTTATCTCGTTCTCTTCTTATCACTGTATGGACTTTATTATCATCATCAATGGAATCTTCTTCAGTAATTCTTGTCCATTCTATACTATTTGGAGTAGGTAATGATTTTGTACAACATTTAACATATGAAGACTCCAACATTGCTATTGTTTCAGAAAAAAAATCACAATCTTTTAGATCATCATCTATATCAGCTTCTATAAATCTCATGCATTCTCCAGGTTGAATATTTTTTATGCGTTTTTTTGCCAGAGCCAATTGAAGTTTTTCTCTAGTAGCCTCCTTCTTTGCTCTAACCTTATCTTCATCAATAATTTTTGTAGCTTTTCTTTTCGTTTTACGTTTAGATATTGGAGATGCTGACATCGTTTCCGGATTTTTATCATTACTATCAAACAGCGTAACACATTTTTCTGGTGAATTATCACGAATATTTTTCAAATTCTCATATTGATGATTGGACTGATAATTATCATTAATCTTTGGTGATATATTAAAATTACTTGCACAATATTCATCCATAAATTCAACGGATTTTAAATATTCAACATTTTCGTTAGACGAATCCATTGTTAATGCATTCAAGAACATTCACTAACTAAAATAATAAGACATTGTTTTTGTAATGTCCCTTTGGAATTCGGAGAAGAGATTGGTTAATACTAATAATGTGCAGCACTTGTTCAGAACATGTGCTTACTCCCCATACAGTGTATAATAGCGGAGGTTATGAATGTATAGGAAGACACACACACACATTGATATACTAACGTTAGATTACCATCATAAAATTCTCTGTTAATTTTTATGTAAATTGTATATATATGCAAATGCGTTTTCCACAGATATAATTTATGATGAATTTTTATATTATTTAATAATAGTTGGACCACAATAAAAGTTGAACATACTATCTTCGTAATATATTGGATTTGGAGCTGTGTTAATTACCCTTATATCGTAACAATGGTTAACTACTCAAAAATGAGGTTATTGTAGAAGGTTTTAAAATATTTATTTCATTAAGACATAACTTTTAGTGAATGTTATAAAATATACGGGTTTTACGTATCTATTTTTTCACATAATTTTTGTTCTTTTAATACCTCAAAAAAGAATAAAAGTATTCCAACTTTCAATTAGTACTAAAATTAAATACAAAGAATAAAAGAAGTAAACAGGAAAAAGGGAATAAACAGTTAAAAATTATCACGAATTATATATGATATTTTTTCGTGTTTACAAAAAAAAAAAAGACAATGGCAAAAATGACTTGTTTAACAAATCAATTATTTTCAATAATCTTGAGCAAATTATATGAGAGTGATTCAAGTTGGAAGCTGAAGAAGCTTGGTACATGAGATTATTGTCGCGATGACCGTTGACCCCGTGGTGATGTACAATCGTGTTAGATAATAGACAGTCTAAATAACTTGGTTAAACTTACGGCGTAAAGAGTAACAAGTCAACGACAGCAATACGTATTAATGTATCAATGTTACATTTTTTTTATCACATTATCAACTTGAAAGATCTTTTTTTCCTAAGGTAACACTTCATTCACACGTAATTTGTACCACTTTTTTTAATTGACGAGAAATTACTCTTTTTTAGCAACTACAGGAAATCCTAATAAGTATTATTACGTCTCTAGAAACACAAGTACTAACACTTCAAAATTACCTATTTTTCTATTATTCTGCCTAGGAATAATTTCATCAACAAGTTTTATCTTTCCTATTGATTTTCTAACATGTTATTTTTATCCAAGTAATGAATATAAAGTTGTAGTTAAGTATGATGTATTATTAATTGTACCAATCTAATGAGTGTCATATTAACGAGCTTTAAATTAAATGTAACCAATTGAGAGGGTGATTTTTTGTAACAACTATTATATTTCTATTAGTTTAGGAACAATAAAAAGAGGGGAATGGAAGAAATACTGCTCCAAAAATGGGTATATAGTGGTGGGTCTATTGTAATGAAAAATAATAACCTTAAAAGAGCATTGCATATAGGGTTGTAAAAGAGAGAAATATGTTCATGCGTTCATTACGTATGAAATAAATTCATATCTTTTGAATTGTAAAGCTTATTATAGCAGTAGAATAATAGAATTTCTCGAGAATTATTCAAAAAGTGCATACAGAAAAAAATCATCATTTTTATTTCAATTTAAGATATACAGTCTTTTTACGTACATCATATGCTTTTTGTACTATGTAATAATTTAATTCAATTTTTATGTCATTATTGAGATAAAATTTAATTACTTCATCTTGTATATTACGACAACATATATATTAATTATATTTAATAATAATTATTGAGTATAAATAAGTTGGATAAAAATTATCGAGAGTTTAAGAAAATTATTAATCAAAAAATTAAATATACATACTCTATAATCTTTACTCATACTTCTTTTTTGAATGAAATGTAGAAGTAATCTGAAATTTCAATGTATACTTAATAATCTTTATTTAGTGACTGTTTCTCGAGTAAAATTTGAAACTTCTTCAATAAAAAAAGTATGTTATTTTCCGCCTTTCTGACCTTTATCAAATCAAAATTCTACTGTCGAGAGACAAAGTACACTTCTAGCTAGTTTATTCAGCTTTGTAACGTTGTATGAGTAAGCTCTTGACCCTTTGTGATTGAATTATTCCAAAAAAGACCAATGATATCTGTTTGCTTAAAGTGAAACTCTATATTTATACGAAAAATAACAAAGTCGTTTCCTTTTAATATGTATGGTAGGCTTCTTCTGAGGGTAACTATCTCACAAATGTCAATGATAACTTTAACTATGTTGTCCTAAGATTGTTTATTTTAATTTCTTTTTTCTTTGTTACTATCATTATGGTAACAATAATATTATTTATTATTTTGAATAATGAAATTGATTATTGTGATCAACGGGTATGATACGTTCAATTACCCTTTATCGTGCTGTCCTTCGAAGTTATTTATTCAATTTCTAATATATCAAAGTATCTTTTTAAAAAATATCTCATTTTTTCAAACTGCTTTTGCGAAACAACAGTGACTATATCATTGAATAAATCATCATGATAGTTACAAATACAACTCATCAAATATCAATGTCACATTTTACTCATTGAGATAATTGCAATTAATAATAAAAATATTCATCACACATTTTGAAAAAAACTTTCACATTTTACATAATAAATAAAATTGCATGTAAAAATCTTAATTTAATTGAAACGAGTAAGAAAATAATCATGAGTAAGCTCTTATCTTCGTTCACATACGGGGCAGGATTACGCAGTTATTCCGATGTCCATCGAGGTTGACAGGGCCTGATCTTGTTGTTGAAGCTAGAAATGAGGGAGGGAGGTGAAGATGACATCGCCTCTAAAGTATCAAGGGAGAAGTGGAAGGAGAGTTGACGAGAGCATAAAAGCACTGGAGGAAGAAATGCAATGCTGTTAGATTCTGAGAACCCGTTGCTTTGAGTCGAATTTATTTGTGAGATAGTGTGACATTGAAGAAATTATCATGAGACATCCACCCCGGCATTTGTCCGCGGGTTCTTTCATCGCGGCTTTTCTTCTGCTGTTTGCACCTTCCTTGCGGGCAGGTAAGTGATAGCTTTTATGCTAATGACTATATCATTGAATTTTCAACTTAAATTAAGTCAAAAAGTTTTTTACTCATTCTCGTTAGATAATTTAATGATAAGAGATATGATTTTTTAAAAACTTTGTTTTAAAAGTTCATTTTAATAGGTAATTTGAAATTAGTCTGATTGAAAATTAAATTTTTTTTTTTTACATAAGGTTTATATATTTAAATGTATATACGTATATAAGTATGTATATATAATGAACTCGCCGCCTGTATGATTGAAATGATTACTGCTCTACCGGATAGGGCGCATTTGACCGGACATTTGGTAAATTGATCCTGATGTACATCATCGCAACTCTCCGCATAAAATAGATTTGATATCACGAGGTCTTGGGGACTTTTAGAAATTTTTCATCTCATAACAATATCCAATTGCTACTGTTATCTATTTATTACATTATTAAATGAGATTTTGGTTCAATTATCATAATATTGTATCAATTATATTATTTACTTTTTAAATTAATTTAGTCTTTGATGGATACGATCAGTTTTGATCTTAGTATTGATATGTATGGATATAGATGTTGAGAAAAATTAAACAATATAAGAAATTTAATTCAAAGGTTGAATCTTACATAAGCTATGAACATGTCTTATTTTTCTATCGTTTGATTTTCGTGGAATCACGAAGAGAAGAGAGATAATGAAAGAGATACGTTGTATCATACTTGGTGAATTATGACTACTTAAGAGGGGTAGATAAACATATCTATACACATTAAAGATGTCCATATGTGTGTATCTTTTTTTGACTTTAAGATTTGGCGTTATTAAAAAAATTGTCGTGCTACGAACTTGTAATACGACATAATGTACCATCTACCGACTAAGGTCAATAAAATGTGATATCTTAAGGCACATTAAGGGTAAACTTGCTATGTATTGGCTATATACGTCATAGGTCAAATGACTCAATGCTCTTTAGAACCACAAGATTATCTCTCGACAAATGATATGTTGTTTATAAAATTTCCAGTAATAAATTAATTCTTTGATTCAATGTTCATTATGATGAAAATCCGATATTTCCATTTCTTTCCACAAATATTGCTTCAATAAACAAAGCTTAATTAAAAACGATTTTATTTTTTTTTTCAGAACAATGTATGACTGGCTGCCATGGAAGTAAGTAAATTTATTTTTATTATTCAATTAGAAGATTTTTTAATTGAAAAAAATTTAGTAATTAGTTTAGAGAATGTATTTTTTGATAAAAAAAAAATATTAATAAATAATATTTCAATCAGTGGGAACAAGTGGAGGTTATACACCTGGACATACATACATATACGAATTTGAGGGAAAAGCTGTAACGTCTCTGAGTGCGGCTGAATCCGATTCAACAATAAAGCTTAATGCACTGGTTGAATTAGCTGTAAAGCCGGATTGCATTCATCAATTAAAATTGAAGAATGTCCGACTAAATGGATCAGTAAGTTTATAATATTAATCAGTTAATTGACGAAAATCTCAAAAGGATACACTTTATAGTATTGTTTACTCATCATTTGTATTACCTTTTTAGCCTACACCACAAAAGGATATTGAACAACATGCCTTACAATTCAATTACCACAATGGACACATTGATACGAGTCTCTGTGCTGAACCTCAAGACTCTCAGACATCACTTAACATTAAGAGAGCTATTATTTCAATGTTCCAATCTGCTGTAATGCAAGAAAATGGGGTTACATCCCATCGTGAGACTGATATTTTTGGCAGTTGTCAAACGGACTTTGAATTTAAAACCAAGGGTGATTCGGTCGTAGTTAATAAACGCAGAAATTTGGGAAGATGTTCATATCGTGAAAGTATGAGACATGCTATCGTCCATGCTGCTTATGATGAATCGTCTGACTTGAAATCATCTCCGGTGCTTGACTCTGATATGAAAATGGAGCAAGTTTTCAAAAAAGGTGTTCTCAATAATGCTGAATCTACAGAAACATATAAATATAGTCCTTTCTCAGCTACAGAATCTGGAGCCAAGACTGTCGTTCATTCTACTCTCACTCTCAAAACAGACAAACCAGATTCAAGCCCGAATGCAGCAGTTTCTGTACCAAAGTCATTGGTTTTTGAACCTCCTTGTCCATTAACTGACTCTTCGGCCGATGCTATCACCAAAGCACTCAAAGCGGTTAAACAGGAAACAGAATCTCAAACAGTCAAAGAGCATGCAGCCGAGAAGTTTGGAGACTTAATCAAAGTATTACGTAAGAGTACAAAGAATCATATTCTCAATGTTTGGCGTAAAGTCAAGTCGGGAGCAGATGGATTTGATAAAAATGCTGATGCTAAGACTTTCCTTGATGCTTTATGTCGTGCTGGAAGTGGAGAAGCTGCAGAAGTAATGGTAGAATTAATTAAAAATAAGGAAATTAGTGGTCTCCAGCTAATGGCTTATTATGCTAGTCTTGCACTCATCGATCATGTTAATCTGCCAGCAGTTACTGCAGTTACATCACTTCTCGATTTACCTAATGTACCTCGAATTGGTTATATGGGAATTGGACGTGTTATTGGAAAGTACTGTCAACATCACGATTGTCAAAATGCTGCTGAAATAAAAACAGCTTTGAGTAAAATCGCATCAAAAATCGGTAATGGAAAATCTAATATTCGTGAAGAAGAAAATATTATGATTGGTGCAATGAAAGCTCTTCGTAATGCTAATTATCTCGACGATGAAACAATAGATAAGTTGATTGCTATTGTTAAAGATAAATCAGTTCACAACCGAGTTCGAGTAGCTGCAGTCGAAGCTCTTACTGCCAAATGTTCAATGAAATGGAAAAAACCAATGATTGAAGTATTTGGAGACAAGGAAGAAGACAGTGAAATAAGAATCAAAACTTATCTAAGTTTAGTTGAATGTGCATGCCCACAAACTGTTAACATGATGAAAGAAAAAATTGACGCTGAGACAGTTAATCAAGTCGGCTCTTTTGTAACAACTCATTTAAGAAATTTGCGAGCTAGTACAGATCCAAGCAAGCAAAACGCCAAGAGGCTTTTCGCAGAAGTCAGACCTCGTACTAAGTTCCCTGAGGACTTCCGTAAGTTTTCGTTCAATCGAGAATTCTCATACAATATTGATACCTTTGGTATTGGATCCGTTGTCGAACAAAATGTAATTTACAGTCAGAAAAGCTTTGTTCCACGTTCAATGAGCTTGAACCTCACTACTGAACTCTTTGGACGCTCTTTTAATTTCTTAGAGATTGATGTTCGTAGTGAAAATGTTGACAGACTCATTGAACATTATTTTGGTCCAAAGGGATTTTTTAGAAATAAAGAGTTACCACAGTTAATATCAGAAGGTGATAAAACTTTCAAAGATATGTATGCTCGTGTGAATGAACATCTTGGAAAAACTACACGTGGTCGTCGCAGTACTATTAATCCAGCCGAGCTTGCTCAATTCGCTAAAAATGCCAAGCCTAAAGATACAGAAGTTGATGAAGACGTAGACATTGATCTTTCAATCAGAATGTATGGAGTTGAGTTGGCCTACATTGATCTCCGAGACAAGAGTTCAGGTTTCAATCCAACGCATGCTGTTGATAGGATATTTGACTTCATTGATCGTGCATTTGACAAAGTCAAGAACTTTGATTATAGCACATCTAATCATATTCACTTTATGGAGTTAGATCTTGTTTATCCAACTGGTACAGGTTTTCCATTATCTATAGGAATCGAAGGAAATGCTGTGACTCATATCAAAGCTAATGGCAAGCTTGATATCCCAGCAATTATGAAAGATCCAAATAATGCAATGGTTAAAATTGGTTTTGAACCAAGCGCTAATATTGCTGTTGTTACGAACTTTGCTATAGAGCCATTTGGTAATAAAGCAGGAATTAAAATGATCAGCCGCATGCATACAGCTACCGGATCAGAATTGACTGTCAAGATGTTGAATGGTAAAGGTATTGATATTAACTTTGGAATACCAAAAAAGAAGCAAGAGATCATTAGTGTATCGAGTGAGGTTCTATTTGTCGATAACAAAGGACAAACACACTCACCCAAGTTCCCCAATGGCAAAGAGCATTCTGATTGCTTTGATCAATTTTCCACTATTCTCGGACTAACAGTTTGCGGTCATTTCTCCTACCCTTATGATACTATTGAATCCGTTCGTAACCGAGCTATGTACCCACTAAGTGGACCTGCTAAGTTCGCTATTAGTGTGGAAAACAATGATGCAACAAGTTATCATCTCAGAGCTCACTTAGATACATCTAAAGATGATGAAAAATCATTTGAACTTTTATTTGATACTCCCAATAGTAAAACTAATAGGAAAATAGCATTAAATGTTGATGCTGCTTATAAACCTGAAGAAAAATTTGTTGAAGCTAAATTCGATTCTCCATTTAAAAAAATTGCAGGAAAAATTTCATTACAAAATACTGACAAGAAAAAAACACTTGCTGTATCTCTGGATCATGACATTGATCATTATTATGGAACTATCGGCCTTATAGCAGATGGAAATAAATACAAGCCTATATTGGAATATAAGGTACCAGAACATATTGAAAAATTAGCAGGTGGAAAAGGATCTAAAGGAGGAAATGCTGCGTATAAAATGGAAGGTGATATTGCAGTTGCTGATAGCGGTGATGGTAAAAAGTATACCTTCGACAAAGTAACTCTATTAGCCTCAGATAAAAAATTACTTAGTATAGATGGTTATGTGCAGACTAAACCTAATGGTTTGTTGGTTGACGCTGCTGTTTCTCATAATGAAGAAAATGTAAAGATCAAATTTGATGGCAAAAAACTTAACGATGGTTTCGATGTTAACATAGCTGCAATACCATCTAAAGATCCTACTATTGGTTTTAAATTAATGTGGCATTACGATCGATCAAACGGTTTAATTGATAACAACTTTGTTTTCATCTATGGCCCAGATCTTGAATCTAAAACTAATCGATTTACATTCATTGATAAACTATCCTATGAGAAGAATGAACGGCCAACTCATCCTTACGAGTACTTAAATTCAATAAAAACTAAAACTGAAATCACTTGGCCAGCGCAAGAAGTATTAGTTAAACTTGAAAATCATGTTGCACAAACTGGTTTCGAAAGTGAATTTAATATTCAATACGGTAAATTCAAAATTGGATCTGATGTTGAAATCGAGGTTGAACAAGGAGCACCACATAATTGGGAAGTTGAATGGGATGCTTATATAATGGACAGTAAATTGGCAGTTGGTGCTAAACACAAGAAATTGTCAGACCACAAGAGGAAATTTGAGGGCAAGCTTGAGTTTCCTGGGGCTAAGTATGAGGTTGATACTACTGTAGACTATCAAGTGGATACTCATCGTAAATACATCCAATTTAGTAGTGACATGAAAATCAATGGAAAGAATTTGAAAGTAAATTACGGTCTTGATGCTAATCCTCAACAAATTAAAAGCGATGCCATCATTAGTTTGAATAACGCTAAATACCTTGACTTCCTCTTAAAAATTCAACGAGCCAATAATCCTAATGGAAAGCTCAACTTGAACATGAAGAATATTGTGGCTGTCACTGGACAATTCAATTATCAAAACGGCAAAGGAGACGCTTCAGTTGATGTGGACTTCCCTAAATTGGACCGTAAGATGAAAGGAACCGGTCAATTGACTGTAACTGGACCCAAACACGTTGGAGAAGTTGAAATACTTCTTAATGCCGACAAAGATCCAAGCAAACGAATTAAATTTACAACTGATTCAGAAGTAAAGAAGAATTTCATCAATTCCAAAAATGTCATTGAAATCTTATCACATAAATTTGAAGTCAATGGCAAAGGAACTGTTGAAGAGAAAGGACCTGGAAAGAATGCATACAAAGGAGAGGCAGACATAACTTTGCCCAATGGACGTTATTTCAATTTCAAAGGACAACAAGATATCAGTCGTCAAAATGATCAAACTGAAGCATATGGTAATTACGAATTATCTGATCATTCAAAAAAAGACGCTCCAGGCCGTAAAATAAATTACAAATATGACATGGCCGTTACACAACCTAAGAAAGAAGAATTTGGAACTAAGCACGAGTTAAACTTTGTTAATACTGATGGAAAAGATTTACAACTCTTGGTCGCATCTAGACACATGGCCGACAAGACTAAGCCTGATTTTAAAAAATGTGAATTGAAAACATCTGCAAAGGGTGCTTATTTGCCACGACCATTTGATCTCTTATTTAGCATGAACTACAACAAGAAAAATGATAATGTTGTAGGAATAAATGGATTTTGGGATCTAGAATCATCGTTAGGCAGTGATTTATCTGTTAAAGGATCAGGTAAATTCGAAGATGGTGGTGATGGTACTAAGCCTCATTATTCTGAATTAGATGTAGCATTTGTTTTTCCATCTGAAAAATTACGTAATCTTAAATATCATGAGGCAATAACTTTTAAGACACCTGATGTTCACGGAGAGTTGTATTACAAGGACGAAGCTGCATTAACTTATAATGACGATAAGACAATTAAAGCAGCAATTGAAACTAAACAGACTAAGTCAGAATCCGGAAAAGTTAAAGATGGAACAACAAAGATTTCGTTAAATTTACTCAGTTATCCTCAATTAACATTAGAATCTTCTCATAAACATGACGCAACAGCTGAAATGAAAAAGAGTTCTGGAAAATTAGCTATTAGCTATGGAGATAAAAAAGTCGCTAGTGAAATCGACGCTTCATATTTACCAGATTTATCACAAATAAATATGGTAGCAAAAGCAACAACACCTTTGGAAAAATATCATTCTGTTAACTTTGGACTTGTTCATAAGCACAATAAAGAAGGATTTTGGGAAAATGATATCTCTTTGACTGCTGATGACAAGAAGTATGAAATGAAGAGTGAATTCGAGATGAATCCTTCCGTTCATCGTGCGCATGTCGTCTTTGCTTGTCCTGATGGAAAGACTGAGCTTCTTGCCAAAGTTAACAAACTTAGTGAAACTGAATATAAAGGTAAACTTTATTCAGTGTTCTTATTTAAAATAATTTTAGTATTCAAATTCCTTTAACAAATAATAATACTTATATATAATTAAAGAATTTACAAATCTTTGTGATTAAATGACTTTTTTTAATCAGGTGAATGGAAAATTGACTCACCTAAAGGATTTGCTCATGCGGATGGACACGTTAAGATGGACAGTGTTGACAACTTCATGATTGAGACGAATTTCGATAGTGACAAGATCAAACATCGTAAGATTCATGCAACAATTAGCACGGCGCCTGCAGTCAAGACTGGAAAGAGAATCGTTTTGACAGTGACTAGCGATGGAAAGAATATTATTACTGGAAGGTATGTTTTAAATTATCTTTCTCACTGTCAAATCAATAAATTATTCGCTTGTTGCAGTACGAATTATAGTAAACGGGATGAAGCTGGAAAGATCATTGTTGAAGGAAACGGTAATTTGAAAATTGGAGAAAATACAAGGAGTTCAAAGTTTACTTATTCGCGCAAGCAATTGACACGAGAGAACGATGGAGAAACTGGTGTTGCTATTTTGTTGAATGCCAACTTTGGTCCTTCAGCAGTTGTTGGGGAACTCAAGCTCTCAGACAAAGAAGTACTAGTATTTAATAGCTACTGTGAGCAGAGCAAAGATTGTGCTCACTTCAAATTGCAATCCAATGTCGATACTAATCGTGAGTAATTAAATGTAGCTTTCAGGAAATAATTTTAAAAGTTTCAAATATAAACAAAATTTTTTTAAATTTAAAATCTTGTAAAAAATACAGTAAAGTTTACATTTTCCATAAAAATTTCAGAGAAAACTCCTATTGACCATCAAATAACTGTCGAAGTCGACCTCAAGAAATTCAATGTACCTGTCGAGTTTGGTTTGAAAACCAATACAAAGTATCAAGCCAAAGAAATGACATTTGATCATGCTGCCAACTTATATCTACATACTTCTAAAGATAAAACTCAATATTCATCTAAAATATACATGCATCCTAAAGAGTCGGCTATCATATTGACACTACCAAGCCGCGAATTAGCTTTGATCGCAGCTGTTGATGTTCCGAAAAATAAATTCCCAATGGGTCCATATAAAATTGATATTTCTGCTTACTTAGATCGTAAAAATCATCCTAATGATAAAACTAGCTTTGTTGCTAATGGTGATCTTAATGTAGAGAAAAATGCATTCTCTATCGCTGGTGAATCTCGATTCATTTATCCAACACAGACGAAGGTCAGTAATTTTTTGTATTTTATTTTTTTATCATAAATTCATTAATTGAAGTTTTTTTTATTAATTTGAAGCTCAAATGCAATAAATTAAATCAATCAAACTTAATATATATCCGAAGATACTATTTGAAGTCATTTTAATAATTTTTTTTTCATAGGATATGGTCATTAAGGGTAAGCTCGCTTATGGTGGAGACAATTTACTCGATGCTAATGTTGACATTGACGTTTTTGCAAAAAAGCCTCAGAAGATTACCATAGTTACACGGTTAGTGAAAAACAGTATTCCAAAAGGTTACAATATCACTGGGGATATTGAGATTACTAGCCGCGGACAGCAACTGAAAGTTGACATCGATCAGCACCTAACACTCTCTCCAACTGATATTGGCTTCGGATCTATGATGGCATACACAGACCAGAATCAAAAACCAAAGAGTATGGGTGTGTTATTTTCTCTTAATGCGGTTGAAGCTCATCTGCTTGTTCAAGCTCCAACTAGAACTGTAATGAAAGTCGATTCAAAGATGAAGTCAACATTCGAAACAGCATCAAAGAATTCTATTGAATTAAATTCTGAAGTTGTTATATTAGACAATCCGCCTGTGGTTATTTTATTGGAAGCACGCGATTTCAACAGATTTAAATATCAAAGCTACAGAAAGGATAAACCTGACACGAAATTCGTAGCTGATGGACACTTGGTGATTGGACAAGTAGCTGAATTCCACGCTGATGCTTACAAGAATGGTGAAAAGAAACCAATGTTTAATATTGGAGTTTATTTGGATGAAAGCCGATTCCTCAAACCTACTTTTGGCTATAACAAAGACAATGTCGCTTACATGATTGATTTCTACCGTGAACGCATTGTTAAACATCTAGAACAGATGAAACAAGCTGCTAAAGAAGTAGCTGATGAAGCAAATGTTGAGTTTAAAGATCTTTATGAACATTTGAAAAAAGCTCAGCCTAACTGGAAACCCATTATTGATTATTATGAAGCAGAGCTTGAAAAATTGAAACAAGAATTAAATGCCGACACGACAATCAAAGAAATCCAAGCAACTTTAAATAAAGTATTTGGTGGATTTGTTACAGCTCTTACTGACGTTGTCAACCAATTGAGTAAACGTATGGTAGAACTGAACAAACAATTACATGAAATTGGAGAAAAAATAATGCATGCTGTGAAAGCTACTTATCCTAAATTAAAAGAATCATTCGATAAAGTAGCACATGCTGTTATAGAAATTACTGATGCAGCTAGTAAACTTGTTGCAACTTATATTAAAGCTATTCTTGACATTCTTAATCAACATCAGAAAGAAATTAAAGAACTTATTTCTGTAGTTAGTGAACTTATTCATGATATAGCTAAAGTATTCCTTAAGGCATACGGTGAAATTGAAAACGAAGTGAAAAACTTCATTAAGCTTTTCACTGGACAGGTTCAAGCGTTACCAATTTACGAAATCATGAAAGAAAAATACCAAGAACTTTCTAATTTCAAAGTACCCGATACTATTTTAGTGCCAATTGAAGAAGCTTTTATTCAACTAAAACGAGTACTTCCTACCGAAGAACTTCGAGAATTCTTCACTGTTACGTATAATTACATCATGAAACACCTTAAACATCAGAAGATTGACGACGGTGCTGAAATTAAAAACATTTACAACCATGCGATCGATGCAATTCACTCTATTATTGAATTATTGAGGAATCGAGGTGGCGCTGAACAATTTTACGGGCTATTTGACATGAAACTGCCTACTGGTTTTGGAAATTTGAAGGATCTGCCTGGTATTCCGGTTTTGAGAGTGTCTATTATTAATCTTCTCAGAAATAATGAGCTTCCATCGATTACTGACTTGTATTATGCTTACCGACCTACTCATTATGCATCTGACATCATTCCACCATTCAGTAAAATTGGAGTTGTTGTCGAGGGAGGTCATTTCTTTACCTACGATGGTCGTCATCTTACCATGCCTGGTACTTGCGATTATGTTTTGGCTCAAGATACACGCGATGGCAATTTCTCTGTTGTTGGCAGCTTTAACAATGGAAAACTTATCAGTATCACTATCGTTGCTCCGGGAGAAAGCATCACGCTCAAATCTAATGGCAATGTAAGTAGATTTATACTTGTTAAAAAAAAAAAGAAAATATTACTGTCTTTATGATTTTAGCTTTTTATTCTTCAATTTAATTTTTAAAATAAAATCAATTAAAAATATTATAAGTTTTGTTTTACAGTTGTTTTTTGTTGTTATTGTATTACAGAAAATAATAGAATTTTTTCCCTTCACAGATCTTGGTAAACGACAAAGCTGCAGAATATCCCGCAAGCACAGCAAATCTTCATGCATTCCTTACTCCTCCTATTGTCAATGTCAAATCCGACTACGGTATTCATGTAGCTTGTAGTCATAAAGCTCCGATGATTTGTAGTGTTCGTGTATCTGGTTTCTATCACGGAAGACTGCGTGGACTCTTTGGTGATGCAAATAATGAACCTTATGATGATTTCACTTTGCCTTCAGGCCATGTAAATACTCTTTTCTTGTTAACAAATCCAATTGAAACAGATATAATCTCATTAATTTTTAAATAGAACCAACAGATATTAATGAGTTAAAATTGAAAATTAAATTTTAATAACAATATCATAATAATCAGTAAACCGTAATAGAAATTATGTCAATTAGTTTTCGTAATTTATTGAGCAATTATTCGATTTACTTTAATTTCTATAAATTTCAATTAGATCTTTAATAGATGTAATTATCATAAATAAATAGGAAAAAAAATGAGTGATAAATATTTAATTCCACATTATTTTTTACAGATTACTGAAAAGGAATCAGAGTTCGGAAATGCATACAGATTAAATTCAGGATGTGCTGAAGCACCAACAGCAGATCATCAAAATCACCAACGAAATCCAACGTGTACTGAATATTTCACCGGAAGCTCTTCTATGAGCTCCTGCTTTAATTATGTAAATCCGACAATATACCGTCAAGCCTGTGACCACGCTACAAGTGCGGGAACCCCACGAGCCACTTGCTTGATGTCCGCTGCTTACGTCGCAGCATGCCGTCATCAACGAGTTTATATTTCAATTCCCTCTGCTTGTGGTAGCTGTAAACTCGGAAAAGATGAAATTGCCATCGGAGATTCATTTAGTGTAAAAATCCCCAAGAAGGAAGCAGACGTCATCTTTGTCGTCGAACAAGATTCGAAAAACGAAAAGATATTTAAAGAGCTCATAACTCCACTTATTTCAGAACTTAAAAATGAATTAGCTCATCATGGAATTACGTAAATATTTTTTTTAAATCTTTGTTTAAAGACGTAACATTAAAGTTTATAATTATGGTAAACTATATAGATAATTTTTGAATTTTATTCAAGGGATGTACGTATTGGCCTAATTGGTTACGCTGATAATATGAAATGGCCTCAACATTACACAACTGGTGGAAGCATGAATATTGATGGTGAAGTTAAAAATATGAACTTCAGCCCAAGCTCTCCTTTAATCAGTTTGAAGGAAGCCAAAGAAGGAGACACTCAAACAAGACTTAAGTTTGCTAAACAAAGGCTGGATGTTGAGTTAGGAACATTCAAACTTACTGATGCTTATGAAGAAGCTGTTCGTTATCCATTCCGTACTGGCGCAGCTAAAATTGTAGTTGGAGTAATTGCTAATCCTTGTGAGAAGAGCCCTCTTCCACTTTCAGTGAGTGATTTAATTCGATTTGAATATTATAAATCCTGATGCAAGCGAGTGTATTCATCGTCAAATATTGATTGAATTTATTTTGTTTAGCTTCAACAATTGAGACTCTTTATGGGAGAGAAAGTCTATCGAGATTTAGGACTGACTTACTATCATGTTGGATATCTGAAAGACATTTTAGTATCTGGTAAACCGCAGAAAAATATTGTGGGCTACGATGCTGATGCGGGCTATACATTCAGTGACAAAAAGAAGCCATTGGAAGGCAGCATTGATAAAAATAACTTAGTCCTCAGTAGCAATGATGTGTGTGCTGGTTTCGCACTTAGTGTACGTATAAATTTTAATCATCATTATTTCATATATGCTATATAAATGAAAATAAATATTTTTGTTCTTCTTTATTTGATTGAACTAGTCGGGAGGTGCTGCATTCAGCTCTAACCACTTCTTAGACGCTAAACAAAACCAGAAAAAACAATTCATTTCAATTATGGCTCGAAGACTAGCTGAGGGAATTACGGAGGTGGAATTGAATGAAGATTGTGTGTGTAAACAACAGCGTGGACTTGATGGACATGCCAATTGTAAAATTGTTGGTCGTAAAGAGAAAGGACACACTAAAAATGGTGCTAAGGGTTGAGTATCTGTAAAAGTGAACATTTAACTTTTGATTATTAAATATTACTAGATATTGTGCTGCGCTAAGAAATATTTTTTATTAAATTAAAAATCCCCTGTACGATACTATATATGTAATTCAAATGTGAATATCTAATAAATACATGTATCTAGTAAATGATGTATGTAGTACTTCACTTGTTTAATAAAACAAACCTTTAAAAAATTATTTTTTTGTATAAATTATCATTTAGACAAAAATATTCATGTTTGGTTTTTTTCAAAATGATCAATTATCTGAAGTTGGTGAAATTTCCAATAGAATTACTAACACCTATATGGTTAATCAAGGTATACAGGTAGTATATTTTTCTCATACAATAAATATTCTTGATACTTTTTCAATAGATGAACAAAGATATGAACGGAGCCAATCTGAAATCACAGAAAGACAATTTCCGAGATTTATGTTACCTCAATTTTACATGACTCGTATGTCAGAAACAATTGGAAAATGGACATTTATAAAACTGGTAATAAAAAAATTCATGTCAAATAATAGCAACAATTTATTCTGATCTTAGAAATAGATTTTTTTTTAAATATTAAAGACATTGGAGATTGAAATTTTAAATTTTTAAAAGGTTACAATTTTAATTGATATTCTTAAATGATAATTGACAATTTTCAATTTTAAATATATTTTTTTAAAATAACCCAAACTTATATTAAAAAGTTAAGAATAAATTTGGTTTATTGATTATTAATAAAAGATGTTTCACCAGAAAAAAAAATTAGCTTCAGAATCAGGACAAGCAATAAGACAAACGATAGCAAATATAGCTGAGCTAGTAGTAGATCCCAAGAGAATCATAGAAGCAATGAGATTAAAAATCGTTGAACAGTTACCACCATTTCTACTGTCAAATGATCCTCACATAAGGGAAAACACTGCAATCGTTTATGCAGCTATAGCACGTCATGCGGTTGGAAGACAAGCCATTACTAACAATCCTACGATAATCAATAGTCTTATAAAGGGGCTGGATGACCCTATAATTGATGTTCGTTTAAGAATGGGTGACGTCATGGAAATATTATGTCATGATTATTTCGGTAATTTTGATCAATGACCAACTTTTATCTTCATCATTAAACTTGTGTCTTAATAAATAATCAAATCAATTAAGCTGCGAAAACTTTGGTTGAATCGTATGGATTTTTGGATATTATCGCTACCAGATTGAAAAGAGAACAAAAAAAGATGTTGGTAAGAGAAAAAATACAATATTACTACCAGATGCTTGACTATTTATGTCAGATAATTTATCTTCACAGCCTTGAAGTGTTACTTCTAGCTAAGTCTAACGTAGATCATGCTATAGAATTGGGACTGATTAAAATACTTTTAAGTCTTCTTCAAAGAGCGGACAAAGAAGTGACGGGGAAAATTCTCGCGTGTTTAGCAATTCTGTGTCAAGAAGGTTTAGAGAACTGGAGTTCAGCAGACATTGAAAACGTTTTGTCTAATCTTGAGACTTATTTGAATGATGAATCAGTTACGTAAAATATTCAATGGAATTTGTCTTTTACAATCATTGATTCTAGTAATTCTTTATTTATTTAATTCATCATATAATGTACCTCACTTTAGTCATTTTAGAAATGATTAAAAAAAGATTAATAACTTATATTTAATGATAAAATTTATCATTATCAACGCTTCTGTTTTTTTAATTATATTTAGAGTGTTAAAATCCACTGAATAACGACTGATTGTTCTGCCACAGTTCAATTTAATTTTAACGAGTCAGATAAATATTTATACCCACATATACAAATATATACATCAAATTACACGTGTCTCTATTACAGAAAGAAGTTAATGAAAAAGCAGTAAATCTTCTCAGTTTTATCACTGTTACTGAATGTGGAAAAATCCATGGTTTCATTTTCATTGATAGATTATTGGAGTTGGCAAATAATTATCAAAGTCGCGAATGTTGTGTAATGTCAATAAAGGTACGAAAATTTAGTTATCAATAAGAAAATTATCAGTGCATAGGAAATTACTTGCAGTATTGATTTTGCAGGCTTTGACTAACATTGCAGAAGTACCGAAGGGCAGACAGAAATTGCTAGATCATTCAAAGTTTATCGAACAAATCAATACACATAACAGTAGAACATTAAAACGGCATAAACAAATCTTACTTGAAGTCATACACCGAAATTAATAATCTAGATGTTTATTGATTTTTAGCTTCCTTAAACCAGTCATTAATCTTTCATTAATAAAGCCATTTAGAACGTGATTAATGAAATACACATTTTGTATCTTACTTCGGCCCTGATGATCAATAAATGATGATATTCATTACCAACTGGTAATTGTTTTATTATTGATAGTGTTGAATAATACTTTTATTTAGTTTCATACTGCATTTATCATGGCATCATCAATTTAATGAAGAATAATGTATCTTAATTGATATATTTCAATGAATCAATACTCTAAATTTAAACTTTTCATTAAGTTGGTAAAAATAGTATTATTGTTTATTTCTCAGCAGGTTTTTCGTTATAAATATATATGTATAATCTGACCCAAATACATATCAAATTAATTAAATAGTAAATATAAATCTTTCATCCTAGATGATGACATCTTCTTTATATCAATGGAGATATTTAATAGAATCTGTCAAAGAATATAATTTCAGTGGTATATTAAATTTATCGACAGGTATAAATCCATGATTTATAAAGAAAAAATGTTGATATTCAATTCATTGTTTATATAAAAGGCTTACTCATAATTATAATCAGTAATATGGTTCATAAAATTGCCAAGAAATTCATCAGTTGATCGATAGAAATTATTGGATAACTTTGATGAAGTCAATGTTTGCATTTATTTTTCAATGTAAATCCGTCATAGTTAAATTCTAATAAAACAAATATTAATGACGTAAAGGATAATGGTCAGTAGAGAAATTCCCTTTACTCAGAAAAAGTATTTATTTACGAATAAACTATTAGCCATCAAGAGAATTAAAAATGTCAAAAGTTCATAACATGTCTGTCAAGTCATTTAACATCAATGACAATTTTCAATTAGGGATTCGTTGCACATGAGAAACAATGTATTCAATGAAACTCTTGCATTAGTAAAAATGTTCAACACTATAATGAAAGTAATAAAAGATAGATTAATGTATGGTGCAATATGTAATAAAAATGTAAAAAGACAATACATACCTGAAGGCTGAAGTAAATTTTCATGTATAAAACTCGGTTGAGACACTTCGTCTTATATTACATGTAAATCATTTCATTATAATGGTAATTTTTTATAGGTAATAGAAAATAGTGTCTTTCATTATTTTTCAACAACTCAACAAGTGATGAATGATGCTGGAGAAGTAGAGGGGCAGAACACGTGGTAAACTTGATGAATATAAGCATCGGGAAAATCCAAAAGCCCTGGGAACTTCCCATTCCTATTGATAAATAATTTCGTCGTTTTTTCCTAAGTTATTGTTGCATGACAATGAACTGTCACCACAAAAACTGTTTATTATTTAGTATATCAACAGCTTCGATACATTTATTGATCGCTATTTCTATTGTTGAATAAATTATGAAGATTAATTACAGGGTTATCAATTATTTTATAAACACGTTAAGATAAATTATATAGGATTGTTAATCAAGATGAAAAAAATTTATTATTAAAATAGCAATTGATAGATATACGATTTATGGTTATGATAAATTTTTTCACTTACATGTTAACAATAGTCAATAAACAGGTTAATCACTTTTAATTTTTAATAATAATAGATTAAACAGATTAGAATCAGGATGTGTCTAAATGCTGCTTCATTGTCACTGGTGGGGACAAGAACGCGGTAAATACAAGAGCGAGTTCATACCGTGAGTCAGTTGCTTCGCGATACTCTTTAGTTGAATACGTCTTGTCGCTTAGCATAACGGTAAACGCAGCTGTGTATTGATTTTACTTTTCTGCATTCCTTTATGTATTTTCAAGATCATCGTAAAACTTTTTAATATCCACTTTGTATATTCTATTTATTTATTTACTTGATTAAATAAACAAATAAAAACTATTTACATAGATAATAACACAAGTGTGGAATAAAAAAAAAGGTTAGTAACAGAATTATACATGAATATTAATAATAAAAAAACTGCGATTTGAATGCGAGATTGAACAAGAATGCTGCTCAGTACAGGACTTTAATTTAATATTCTAGGTTGACCTTGCTCGCTTTTTTTATTCTATTTAATGGTTTTATGAAATAATTATAGTATGTAGTTTTTTTTATTATAAACAATTAAATGTAATTTTTTTCTTCAATTTTAACATACATTGAATTCTGTTTTTATCCAATGCATTTTGTCATCATTATTATTATCATGAGACAAAGAATTTGCTTTTGATTTATACGATGACACTTTTAATACTACGAGGTCTAGCTTACCTTGTAAAAGATGACTATGTAATATAAATGCATCGTAAAAAACTATAAATAAAAAATAAATACATTTGATTCTATGTTTTTCCAGGTTTTAGGGATGAAGGTCATCGGATTATTATTCTTTTTGTTGGTTCACGCTCGGTCGCAACTCATATTCCCAGACGAATATGAGCCAACACAATCTCTTCCAATAAGTCCTACACGAAATCGTTATCCATTCCCCACGTTAAATTATCCTCTTACTTCCTCCGCTCCTTTCGGCGTGCCTGGTCCTCACTACAACCGACCGAATTCGTTTAATTATGCAACTACAAAAACATCAGTTCCACCATTACAAGATATTGCTGTTAACAATGAAGATAAATATTGGACAAATCATGTAAGTTATTTTTTTCATTTCCTTTGTGATAATTGCATAATTAGTTGATAGTTAATTATTTTCTATGTACTTTTCTTGTAATCAATTAATTTAAGTAGACGATTAGATTGCATTGCGTAACTGATAATGATTGCTTTTTTGATTTCTTAGGTAAATAATATCCTTTCTCAAGGAATTACTCGGTTTGCTCTACATTTGGACCGTGCTATTGGGAGAAACCAAGGAAGAACTTCTGTCGACCGTGACAATGTCATATTTTCTCCATTAAATATTGCTAGCGCATTAGCAGTAGTTCTTCTTGGTTCTGCAGGAAAAACTTTTGAGGAAACTGCAAAAATCCTCGGACTTGAAGCAGGAATTGACATATCCGGACATTCAGAAATTGTACATCAAATGTTTGGTATCTTGTTGAATTCAATTAATTTAAAGTCCCAAGCATCTGGCATTCCACGTAGTCCTGAAGTTGTTGTTGCTGGAGGCATTTTCGTCCAAGAGGGATATCCTATACGTCCAGAGTTTTCATCTATTGCTAGAAATAATTACAAAAATGATATTATCAGTGTAGACTTTCAAAATCAGCAGAAAGCTGCACAAAATTTAATAAATAACTGGGTAAAGTCTAGAACAAAAGACAAAATAAGTAACATTCTGCAGGATGCACCTCGGACAGATACTAAAGTTATTCTTGCATCAGCACTTTACTTTAATGGCGAATGGCATCAGCATTTTGTTGACACCGCTACAAAAAGGTATGTAAATGTATTATTGATATAGAAAGCTTTTAAGATGCTGATGGGAATTTTTTATTGTAGAAAACCATTTTTCCTCGCTTCGGGCCAAAGTGTTATTATTGATATGATGTATAATGGAGGCCCGTTTCCGTTTTATGAAGACAAACAATTGGGAGTAAAAATCCTTGGGCTACCATATAAAAGCAGTGATCCTGATGCGGTGAGTTATGCAATATTCAGATTATTTATATTTCTTACATTCAAGATATTTTTTGGAAGAGAAAGTTCCGTTTCAAAAATCAGTTTCGTATACTCTACCTAATTTTGGCTCTATAACACTCTCGAATACTTAAAAAAAAACGTTCAAACAATATTTGCGTGGATGTATGAATGTCTGTAAATGACCATTACTTGGCACATTGCCTATACTAATTGACGAATATTTTTTAAATTTTAATGTTTAGAATCTTTTCATCTAAATCTTTATTACTGATTTTTTTTTGCTGAGAATAGCAAAGAGTTGAAAGAAAAGATCAAACCCACCCACTTTTTTATTTGAAATTTTAAATCAATATATCTTTTTTTTGTTTATAGATAAAATTAAAACCAGACGGTTCATATCAGTTTGAAACAACAATGTATGTATTATTGCCAACTTCATCAGAGGGAGATGCTCTGGGTGAATTAGAATCTAAATTGTATCCAGCGGCTATCAATTCATTAATCAACAATATGAAGAACGAAACTTGTATAATTGCGATGCCCAAGATGAAACTTTCAAGCACATTGAGCTTAAACACTGCTCTCCAGTCACTTGGACTTACTTCTCTCTTCACTCCAGGAGTTGCAAATCTAGGATTATTGTCTCCTGGCGTGAACGTTACGAACTCTGATGATTTCATTTTCTCAAGAATCAATGCTGAAAAGAGCACCACACCAAGCGCCACGCCACGAAAGGATTTCAGCGACCGAAAAGGTTATTTCAGGTACGAAGATTCAGTTGGTGGATATTCCGTCCAACAATGGAATAATGGTTTTTATCTCGAAAAAATTCGTAGAGCCAACCGTAAAAAGAGGGAAACATTAGAAGGTACAAAGAATAGAGCAGTGGAGAGTGATCGTTATTCCTACACAATATCCAACCGAAATAAAGATCAACTAGAGACGATTGGTCTAGGGGAGAATAAATATAGCCTTCAGCCATCTCAACGTAATAAAAGACAAGGTCGTCCCATTGATGACGACTTCGTGAGGTTTATTGAGTCTAAAAAGTTTCCATCTTCTGGACTTGATGCTTTAAGAAACAGTCCAAACTTAGCCAATCCTGGTTTGTATGCATCAGATGTTCTCCATAAAGTAGAAATAGATATTACGGAAACAGGAACGGTCGCAGCTTCGGCTACCGGAATCATTCTTCGAAGGTCCGGTGATCAAAAGAGATTCATAGCTAATCGACCATTTATATTCTTTATTAGGCATGACCCCTCTAACTTAATTCTATTCTGGGGTACTGTGAATAAACCTACCCCTAATTATACATAAAATTTATTGTAAATAATTACAGTTTATCAATATTTATATTTTTTACGACACAGATTAATTCTATGATTATTTTATTAAATCCAAAGTTTAATCTCATTTGTCTTAAATATTGATAAGGAGTATTTGTTTCAAATGTATCACATGTATGACATTGCTTTTATAGAACCCTTCAAGTGTATATATGATAACTCAGAACATTTTTCAACGATTAATGGGTTTCCGGTTTTATGTATGCCGTACCACCGTAGTTTCATTTCTACCTCAGAAGTATGAAATAAATCCATATTTCAGACTTCATATTCTATTGTAATAATAATAGTAATATTTTTTAAAAGCTTCACAGGCATTAATATTTTTTTTTCCTATGAGCTTTTTAGCCGTAAGGAGTTAACCCTGATTTCTACTATTTTATAACATATTAATCATTTTTTTCCTAGTTGAATGATTCAGCAAGAATTTTGATTTATTGATTTTTAACAGTAGTATCTTCACCTTCCGTCAGAAAAACATAGTATGACATCTACTTGGGGGGTCACTTAAAAGAATAATCTTTAAGAGGCTCATACCAAAGCAAATCAATACTGGTGAATTTTTGATCACATTGTTTTCAGTTTTAATAATATTAAAATAGATAATGAGTGTGGAAATCCTATTGAAGTAACTTAAGCCCATATTAATTAATGTATTGATAACTTTTTGCAAGACTGAGCAGTGTTTATGTCTAATCAAACAAAATATTTATTAATCTTGTTTGTGTCTATAATACTTAAGTATATATTTCATAAGACAGTATGTATTTAATAAAAATAAAATTTCAATTACAAATTTTATCATAGTTATATTATTCATTATTTCATTATTATCATTATAATTATTATTTATTTACATAAAATTATTTTTAACATATTAACTTATTAACTATTGAATTAATGATAATTATTACATTTAAGTTTTAAACAACTTCACATTTCATCAGAATCACTTGGTCGTGCAAGGTTAAAGTCTAAAACTTCGTCAGATGTTAAGAAACGTACATCGCTGTCTTCGGAAAGAACAGACCCATTACTTTTTCCTGAACCTCTTTTGTACGACTTTCTACGCTTAAAAACAACAATGACCACTGTTGTAGCAATAGCTATGGCAGCTATTAAGACTACAATAATACTAATTATTTCAGGAATTCCAAGAGTTTGTGCAGAATGTAGCTGTTGAACATGTTCAACTAAAACTTGTGATTCTGATGAAATTTTAGGATAGAGAGTAGTAGTCTTCATAGTTGGTTTATCTGTTGTGAGAAGGTTTGCTTTTGTAACAAATGGTGTCTCGACATGTATTACTTTATTAGTAGCTGTTCTACGTTGCATGATTGTTGTGAGTTTTGATGTTGATTTAGTGATCGTCGTCGGTGATTTCCAGGGAGAATTAGTTACATATGGGTCAATATCATCTTTAGGCTCTATTCGAGCATGCGTATAAGATGCGTATTTTGTTAGACTACTTGTTGAAGATGAAATTTCGTGCGCAAATTCTTGAGTTATTTTTTTTGATGTTGTTATGGGAAAATCAGTTATACCTACCAAATGATTAAATATTATTATATTAGAAGAATTTTTTCTTAATTTTTATATTTTATTATAATTACCTAGCACACAATACTCGGCAAAATCAGGACAACAGGATGAGTTTTCCGCACAATCCAAAGTACAATGGCAAGCGTCAGGAGCATTTAGAGGAATAATAGTTGTCCAAGTATTAACTTCTGGAGTATTCCCGCACCTTCCTCGGCAGCTTTGTAATGCATTAACAATCTCTATTTGATCTAGATAAGAAATAATAAATGAACATAAAAATATTTTTAGCTCAAAATGCTGAATTATCAAAGACTGTATATAAAAAAGATACTTTACCAACGTTACTGTTAGCTGTACTCCGACCTGTTACCGTATCAATTTTTCGCTCTTCAGCACATTCATCTCCTTGGAGAATAGCTACGTCGTCTACTGCCAAATCACTGACATAACTTGCACCTCTTACACCTTCAATTATTATCTAAAATAAGAAAGTTGACGTATTTTTTGGATATAAATTGTCATGAAAAAAAAAAGATTTATGCTGACTTGCCTGGAAACTAGAACTGGACTTGGGGAGATCAAATATACCGTGAAGCCAACGATTTCCTTGATTTCCTTGTTTTTCAAACATCATCTGTGACGTACCATTTTCTGGCTTAAAATAAACCCGCAATGCACCTATAGTTGCTCCATACATATGATACCTTTAAAATAATGAATTATTAGTGTTATTATTTTCGTTGGAATCACAAACTAAAGAATTCATTGATTGTAACGATAGTTATTTAGTTAATTAATACATTGTTATAATAATAATTATTATTACTAGATTACCAGAACGAGAAGCATCCAGAATTCGTTAGTGACGCATTATATAAAGGGGAAATAATTCTCGCCGTATCATTAACAAGTCGACCGGAAGCTTCAATATAAAGATAGTAACCTAAGGAGAGAATTAAAATAAATTCGAGTTATAGAAAGATAAAATAAAAACTGATAATTAGATAAATACCGTCATTTCCGGCGCCAAGAGTGTGGTCATAAGTTGGTCCAGTTCCAATATGCGAACTTGGTGTTTCAAAATTATGTCGTCTCCAATCAAAATCATGCCGCGGATCTTGTTCCCACCAACAAAGATCTGGCTTTTCAAAATCACACTTTGTTGGAGCAGCAGCAGTCGTATCTACAATTCTTTATTTCATTCGATATCACAGCTTAAAGCAAATAATAAACATCAACTACATACCTCTGCAATAAGGAGCAGTTCCATTCCAATTTCGTCCGTTGCAATAAATTTCTGCTGTTCCAATTAACACATATCCCGGTTCACAAAAATACATCAATATAGCACCATAATATTTTGAAGCAACTAATGCATGTTCTGGGGCGGGTAACGATGGACATTGTGAACCTGTTACAATTCAAAAAAATCTTCTTAATTGTTGACATTCGATACTCTCTAAGGTAGAACTTACTAACGCAAACAGGAATTGGGGTATCCCAGCTGCCACGAACACACGTCGAGTATTTATTACCAACTAGGGTGAATCCCTCAAAGCAATTAAATCGGATAATCCTCCCTCGTCCTCTCGATCGAACTTTTCCATTGGGAAAAATAACCGGTGGACATCGAGCTGAAATGTTCAAATACATGTAATATATAGCTATTTTTCATTTTGGTTTTATTTAAATTTTTATTCCGATTAATTATTATCATCCATTTATTTTTAACTTACAATTATCCCACGGACCTGCGGTACACTGACCAAACATGGTAAGCAGCAAAATGAAAAAATATCTCATTTTTATGGTTCAATAATTAATAACACAATATTATAAACTTCAATCTGTTTACATTACTCCATTAAACTAAAAAAAACAAATAAATATAAATTTTTATTGAAACGATTTATATTTCTGTTATCCGAGTAAATTATTTTTCAGATTATTCCCGGCTCCAGGGTTAATACTAAAACTCGATCCAACAATTGAAAATACTAGAATGGCGTTGAAACGTTTGTTCTTCAGCAGTAACAGAAAACTGAGGGCGGAGACGCTACTTCCCTCCCGGCTGTGCTTAAGCGATTGGTTACTATCAGCTTCCGTTTTTCTTATCATACTCTCACCAGTGTCAGGCTTTGAGGTCAAAATTATCCTGAATTTATTCAACCTCAGTGTTAGACACGTATCTGTTTATCATTCCAAAAAAAATATGTTCTCACGTTCATATTTTTTTTTAAAAGAATTATCCTAATATTTTACATTTTATCCAGTGTTTAAATAAATATCCTTTTGATGACATTCTACTAGTACAAGATAAGTGAGATATTTTTTTCTTTCATTAATTATGATGCGTCAGAGTATAGTGGATGATGACACAAACTTATAGATAACCATTTTACGCATTTATGTAGCTCAGTTGAATGACAATTTTTCTATCATATTAACTTCAAGGTTTTCAACAACAATAACAATAATAATGCGAACAATTACAATAATCACTAAATGATAATACAAGTAATAATAAAAATTAATCTATTGTTGAGCAATATTTATTTTATAGAAATTAAATGTTAATATAGATCATATTTTTTCATAATATACACAAATAGCTTCAAAAAAATATGCTACATGTATATTTCATGTAGGAATTATCCGAAATTAATTAATAAACTCATACAATCTATAACTAAAATAACAGTAATATTGTTATAACAATGATTCTAGAGGTAACTAGAGCTTTAAAGAATAATATCATTCAAGATATTATCAAAAATTAATTGAATAATTTGGCATAGTACTGAAAGCACCATTACTACATTTGGCTAATATTTTATTTCATAATTATAACGATTTCACTTCGATACTAATAGCCCAACTCGTCCATCTGCGAGTTGAATTTCATATGCATTCGAATTATTCAAATAGAACGGTCTATCACCTTGGATATTTGGTTTTACTGCTAGAATTGAGTTTGTTGGAACCACAATGCGTCCACAATTTTCATTTGTAGCATCAAGACGATTTCTGATAGATATTGGATGTGAACTTTTCGGGACTTTATGATGTGGACAGCATTGTCTGACTAGAGCATGATTTTTCTCTTTTTCCGTAAATACTACTACAGGTATACCTGATTGAACAGCTTTATGAGCATTCTGGTGTTCTTGATGTGTCAATAACTGCTGGCATGAAGTTTTGTTATAAATTGGTTGGTTATATAATGGTATTGTATGCTTCTCAACTTCAGGATAAATAGGAACTCGTTGGGGAGCTTGATTATTTTCATTTTCTTCAATCACAGCACGATATTTTGATGGTTGAGTGAAACTTAAAGCATGCTCTAGACGTAATGAATTATCTGTATGATATCTAGATTGACAGTTATTTGCTTCTGATTCAAGACATTGATCTTCCTCAAATGAAAGAACCTTGAAATTTTGTAGAACTGCATCATTAATTTCCATTTCTGTACTACCAAGATTTTCATAATTCTTTACCTCAGTTTGATTATTTATGGGAATAAAAGACACCTCGGGATTTCGATGACAATGAATATAATTTGGTGGTTCCCAGTTCTGAGGTAAAACTTCTCGTTTTGAATTCATTCTTCTACAAGGAACTTTTGATTGACTAGAACAGTGAAAATTTGCTACATGAAAATCTTGATGTTCATTGCGTGATAGTACTTCCCTATTTTTTAGAGGGAAAAATTTATTCATGGCATTATTTTGAACTGGTGCATTGAAATCTACTCGTGAATGACATGGAAACTGTTTTGGCTGATTTAAATATTTGTCGTTTGCATAAGCTATTTCATTTCTATCTTTATGATTATTTATTTTAATTTTTCCAGAATTTTTATTATGATTTCCATCATTAGACTTTATAAATAAATAATCAGATAATATTTTATGGACTTGTGCAGCCTCATTATTTAAACAAGATTTTTTTCGAGCATCTAATATTTTCTTTATTTCCATATTTTTAATTAAATATTTTTTTTTGTCCAATTCTTCAATAAAGTTTTGACCAGGTAATTGAGTACTCGAATTAACTTTGTACATTGCTTTATCAAAATCAAGTTTAAAATTATGAACTTCGACTTTTTCATTGTTTACCATTCGCAGGATAGTACTTGGAGCTTCAATATATTTGTTATCTTCAAATTCTACATGACGTTGAATTTTCTCTGTTGGTTTTATTATTTCATGTGGAAACATAGATTTACGATTATTTTTGTTGTTATTGATCTCGTGACTTTCAACTTTGTCAACATCAAATAAAACACTGGCGTGAGAATTGACTTTTCGCAATATCTTCGGCACGTGTTTAGTGTTATGTCGCATGAAATTCTTTGCAAAGTTTTGACGATTCTCCATGTCAGCGCACCAACCAAGTGGTGGAGAATATTGATTATTATAACCTGATGAATGTTTGATATTACTTTTACCCTGTACAGGATGCCTAGTATAAGTACTCGACCTATCCCATGTACTATTTTCTTCCACCTCTGCCTTATTTTGATGAGTCATGGTGATAGTTTCTAAATTTCTATTCTCGTTATCACGACCATTCGGAACTTGAAAAAATAAGTTTTTTCTCGCATAATCTGCTATTATGTTCGATGACGGAAGATTATTATCGATAGGAGCAGATCTGTTAGAATCATGTGGGTGAGAATTCATTTCTTTTCTTTCAAGATTCTCTGTTTCGATAAATGATTTGTGTACTCCAAAATCGATAAAATTTTTCATTTCTGGCTGAGCTCGTATTTTACTGTTAAATATTTCATTATTTGATACGGGTAGTTTAAAAGAAATAGCTGGACATTTATCATCGAAATATTTATCATTTGGAGTGCTAGTCGAATTTTGATGTTGTACTTCCATGTAAAGAGCAGATAAAGCGTTTATAACACGAAATTCAGGATCTAAAAATAAATGAACATGACTTAGTAGAATAATCAGATAATGAGGTTTATTTAAACATAAAATAAATTACCAGCTATGTTTGAATATGGAAAAGGATTAATAAAATGTTGCCTTTGAATTTTGGCACACAATTCTTCATAACGAATTGCTGGACAGTGGCCCCAGCGTTTTATTGATTGACTTTCATCATTGACATTTGATTTTGGCAATTTTTGAGTTTGAACTTTATCATCCGGTTGATCAATTCGAGGCGAAAAACTGGAAAAAAAACATTTAACTTTAAATGAATATTTATAAGAGAACAGATAATCAATAGTATTTTTCATTACCATAATGGTTCTATTTGCAAATGATTAATAGTCTCAGAATCTTCTACATCATTATCATTCTCGAAGAGTCTCCTTTTAGACTTGTTGACTCTTTGAACGTTCTCTAACATATTTAAATGCGTTTGTCGTCTTTTTACGACGTTTTGTTCAGTATTCACAGCCTTTGATGCCTTCTTAAAGCTAAAAAGAGGAAATTTTATAGAACTAGTGAGATTTACCAGATTTCATGATTCAAACATTGGACTTATTTCCTATGACAAGTGTACCATTTCCTATTGTTAGATGAAGGGCTGTCTTTGATTGTGTGAGTTTGAAACTGGAGATTTTCTGAATCATGTTCCCATTCATCTTGGGCTTCTTCATCTTTTTTGAAAGTACTATTAGATTCCTCAACTAAATTTGATTCAGCCAATTGACTAATAAAATTTTATTGATTAATAGCTTTAGTACTAAAATCGATTCAAGCAATAAAAAGGAGTTTTAACAAAATTTGAAAAACATACTCCGGTGATGAACTTTCTTCTCCGTTTAGAAGTTTAAACAGATTATTTTGAAGACGTGCTTCATCTATTTGATTTACAATATTATTTTTTGTTTTTCGAACTTCTTTGCTTGTCGCACCATTTCTAAATATTCCGATGGCCTGCGTTAATAAGATTTTTAGCATAAAGTGATTGTAAAAAAATTATTAAAAAACAAACTCTAAACGTTTTAACAAAATTTGATATACGTACAGGTTCAGGTAAGAGTCTCTCACAAATTCGTCTTTTCTTTGTGTTTTTTCTACTGTCCAATCCTTGAGTTTTGTTGTTCTATAAAATAAAGAAGCTTAAATTTTAAATAGGTTGTTAAAATAACTGGAAAAAGAAAATAAACTTACAATTTTCTGACGAAATTCCGCAAACTTAGTTAATGTTTTTTCTAATGAATTTTTTGAAGTTTTATTCACAACGTTTTTCGTCTGAAGAGATCGTCGTGACTGAAAAATAAATTGTTTATGCAGTGAAGTGAAATGACACATGAATGAAAAATAAATTGTATTAGTGAAAGACATTATTTCAAACACATGAAACAATTACATATAATGGAGCTGTTACGATGTTTTAATTTATAATTTATAGTTTTTAAACTAATTGAATTCAAATGTTGCATGCTAATGTGATTATTATTCTTACTTTATTTGAGTGAACTTACCAATTTTTTTTTGGTTGCAAGTACATTGCTACGAAGTTGCTCGAGGTCTTTTTTGCGCTTCTTTTTCTTCAGACGCTGTTTAGGATCTCGTGAATGCGATCCTTGAACGGAATTTGTTAAACTTTTGTCTTTCACCACTTTGGTCATTTTTTTTTTGGTTAACTATGTCGTTTCATTGCACATTTTAGGTCACCCATTTTATGGTTATAATTAGAAGAAAAACAAACAGTCAATAGACACGCGTTAATCTAGTGTACTGAGAATAATAGTGAATATCAAGGAATGTTTATTATTATCACGTGAAAATACCACATGATTGATAATCAATCATAAAATCTCTTCTAAACAGTGCTCAAAACAACCAATTAATTTACGATTCACAAGAGCGGGAAAATTCAATTTATTAACTTGTTAATTACCGTGACATTATTATGATGGTAAGGTAATATCATCAAGTCGTATAATTCAAGTGATTGGATTTTCTATGTTACATACTATTATTAGAATATTGCAAGGTCGTCTAGAACAATCAGATTAAAAATTAATATCTTAAAAAGAAAGTAGAGATGAAGTGACATATAGAAAATATGCTTAATATTTATTGTGTTTATGGTATTCGTAGGATGACGTTCTCAAGAGGTTAAGACAAATATTTATGTCTATCTTTTGTCGAATATTTTATCATTTCTTTATTTTTCATCGTATATAACTCATTTTCTTAGTGAAATTTTAATATTTCTTAATTATGAAACAATGTTTAAATGCAGTTTTTTTAATTAACCTAAACTTTTATTAACTTAAGTGTTAAAAAAATTTTGATTGTTATGGAAAATGATATTTTAGATATTTTTCAAAAACACACTAGCTGACTTATTTTTAAAAATGCACACATGTGTCTAAACGCTTTTATTTTTTTCACAAAAATACTACGTTGAAGGATTAAATTAATTCAACGAACAGACGGTGTTGACAGCAATATTTTCACCCATTCTGTGAAAAAAGTGATAATTGCAATCTGTAAATAAAAAAAAAACTTATAAATTATTTGCAAATCGGAAACTGGACGTAAACACTGTAAAATAATGAATGTATTAAAAAAAGTTTTACAAAAAATGGATATTCTTATATACCAAATGGAAAGAAAAAGATTCACTTTAACGTTATATTATAATAGTTATACAGAACTTGGTAATTATTTCTTCAATGCTACCAGGAATAGAGGGTGGTTATGACGTCATAGGAAAATAAAACACTTCACAAGGTGAGGTAACCTTATATATATGTATGTGCATACTTGTTGCTTGTGGTACCATAAAAAGTTATGGGGTGATTTACTGCCTTCAATAGTTTTATGTTTCAAACATTAATGTACGTGTGTGGACAGGTGTGTAGAGGTGTGAGTTTGTATTTACCAAGCACATGTGCGTGTACCTGTTTTATGCAGAGAAATGAATTAACGACATTTTTCATTTTCACTTTTTTAAATTACACATATTAATTTAAATAAATAAATGCTAAAAATGCATACGTTGGTCACGGATTTGCTGACAATAGAGGTGTTTATTTTAAATTAAATAGGACAGTATTTTGTTCATTATATTACAATTTTTGAATAAACGTATAAAATAGACTTTGTTAATTACTAAAATACTGACTACATAGGAATGTAAATTCGTTGAACATTACATATATCTAAACGTACAGTGGAAACTATAAGCAGAAAATTTAACTGACGCAATTAAAGTTATTTACTTTAGTAATGTAAACTATTATAAGCTATGTTTCCCTTCATTTTATATTCATTTGTCCACTGATACCAGATCATTTTACTCTGTAATATCAACTTCATGTCCACCAATTTTTAAGGAACTTTGAACGAAAAAATATAGATATATTAAAGTATATGGACCTTTACGTACTAGTTTTGTGTAAATAAATAGATAAAATAAGAAAATACCTACAGTAAAAAATTTGTGCACCAACGGTCAATGGAGTGAAACGAGATAAGGACGATTGGTAGAAGAATAAGAAAAATATCTTGAAGTAAAAATCGACAACGTATGTAAAACGAATAAAAAAGTTAGAAATATGGAAAACAATCCGTCAAATCGCTCTTTTCCTGTAAGTATTTCCTGATTTTATCCATCTCTTTGCCTAAGACTAGTCTGCTAAGGTCCATATACTTTTATATATCTATTTTTCTGCTCGAGATGCCTTAATTATCTAGTAAAACTAACTTTCTATCACTTATCATATTTATTATCTATTTTGATAGAAAAATATTATAAATTCTGTCCAAATGCTTTTTAATAATTTAGTACTGATAAGACAGTAACGGAATTTTATGAAAAATTTTGAGTTATCACAAAAGTTGGTGTCAATTATAAAAATGTTTTTTTGTTGCAGAAAAAAGTGAGAGCTAATTACTCTACAGTTGAAAGAGTTCAAAATTTTTGTTAGTTGTTGGAGATCCAAAAAAGCTGGACAAAAGAATATATGCATTTAACATACTGACGGAATTTCAGGATGAAAGAGATACATGAAGTGGTAAGAGTAAATTCAAAAAGCTTTGAAAACAATCCATTTCTAGAGAGCTTTAAAGTTCTTCAACTGAACCGGCAGATTGTACTATATATTGACTGAAAGTTAGCAATCTTATTCTGAAAAAAATAATTTAAAAAGTGAGTTTGAAAATGTAACGCAGACAGTGTTAAATAGAAATATTTGTTCTTACATTCAGCCACATGTGATATATAAAGTCAAGTACACGAGTGAGAATAACAGAACCGCAGAAGTATGGTAGATATGCTCTTGGACTGTTCACTGATATTGGAAGTCTGACACGTAACGGGCGTGACTACTTTGGCATTAGTTGACCCCAGACGAAGAGTTTACGTATATAATACCGATGACCTGGCAACCTACCTGCATATCCGCTAGACTGTTAATTGTCACTAACAACTGGCTCATTTTACACAGGACGAATTTTTTTAGCGCAACTTCATCCTTAGTAAATAAATAACTACTTCTGTATGCTGCAGAAACAACGTCCTCAATCCTGGTGGTACCCTGACGTGATTAATGCTAGGTATATGGCACACATTTTAACATGTTTTGGGGATGTAAAAAACATGCTCAGTGTCTCCAATAGTTACTTTTCAGGTCTAGGAACAAGACATATGAGCCTCTCGACCTTTCAACCCTTGGGTTTGTATACTATATATTCATTATTATCTTTACTCTTTAATGCCCCCTAAAAACATGCAATTTTTTACGCATTAAATTTTCGAGGGTACCGTGAAGTATGTGATCTTCAAAAAGAATATACTAAAACCTCTTATAGATGCTTTTTCACATTATTCTAAGTAAGTTTATTAATCAATTGAATGGTGTGAAATGAATTTTTTTTATTTAAGTTCGTGCGCAGCGAATAATGATTTCACTATATACCTATGTACACATTATATAGAATTTTTTCTCTATATATTGCCCTCTCTCATGTTGTATGATACACAAACACGCATGCCAACAAACTCCCTCCTTTTCAAGTTCTATGTTTCAGCTCTAGCCCGGCCGTGAGCGTTGCGTCGTTGACGGAAAGAGATGCGAAGCTCACTCAGGAATGAGGATGAAGCAGTGGCAAAGGGGTGAGAGACAGAGAGGGAGAGCTTAGAGAAGGGTGGTTGGCTCTGGTTCGCTTTAGCCGGCTGCCACGGGGAGCGTTGCTGCGCAGGACTTGTCCCTCATTCCCGTCGCGTACACCAAAGTTATCGTATCGTCGTTGGTTAGCATGAGCTCCACGACGCGTATGCCGGCGTTAAAAAGGGTGCTGTCGTCACGTCGCGTGAGACTGTAACACCACAGTGAGAGACGAGTCAAAAAAATTGAAAAATACTTTTTAAATATCATTTCGTGTAAAATGAGTTTATTTTTATTCAACAATTAAATTTTTTAACGTGTGGTACACCCTTTGTGAAATTATTCAACGTGTTACATTTTTGAAGCGCCTATCAGTAATGTTTCTTACAAAGTCAAATAAAATAAAGAAAGAGTTGAATTTTAAAGAGAAAATATGACACGAGGAGGTTGGGGAAGCGTCGGATTACCTGAGCGCGCCAGTCCGTGCGACCTCTGCGGCCCCTTCTTGGCATCGACCGTGTTTTACAAGACGCGACTGACCGAGTGAGTACATACTTATTTTCATTTGTCTTATGATCTTCAGTTTATGTTTTTCATTTTAGTTGCATCTGTATCAATCTTATATCTATGTCAGTACTGTACAGAGTAAAAGTACTTGTTTTGGATTTCCATCTAATGAAATTTACATGAATTTTTGATATTCAAATGTACAAAAGGATAGTTGAATAGAAAGAAGAAGTGAATGTAATTTAAACTTACTCCATTGAGGTAGACACTGCAGGAAATGTAAAACAATAAGGATAATGAGGAAAGACAATACCTTTAGTGTGACAAGAGTATGATCACGCGATAACCCTTATCAACAATATCGACCGAATACTAAAACCAGCACTCGACCTTTGATTCATAATTAGAAATAAATTAGTATCATTTCGAGCATATTCTATACATTCAAGTAAGTCAACTTTGCATAAGTTGTTGATCAAAGATTCTGTAAGAGGCATTTGATTTGAAAAAAAGTAATTTGATTTGAAATTTAATTAGACACGTACGATGTAATAGAAGTGTTTGAGAATCAGTGATGAGTTATCTCCTATATAGTATGGTATTTCACGCGTTCCAGAATACTTCTTGTTAATTGGCGATTTATGTTCACTCGTGCACATTTTTCTCATATCCTCGAGCTCAAAGCTAGTATAGTATAATTTGTTATCTTTTTTGTGCTTTATTTTCTTCTTTCCTACATCGTTTTCATTTGTATTTTTACTTTGATTAATAACTTTGAACAACCAGTAGTTTATTTTATCGAGTTCTTCAATCAAACTTAAATCTAACCAATTTTTTGTACGAATCTATGGGTTATTCTGTAAATTTATTGTCTCCCAGAAATCAGTCAACTATAACTTGTATATTCGGTGGTTTGGCATTTGTCTGTAAATTCACCAATATCTACTTGATTGTCACTAAAAACAAAATTATGTAATTGGATTGTGTTATGTCAATAGTAAAAGCCTCATAAAATACCACTCGATAAACATCAGTTGGAGTATGTAGATAAAATTATTAGCCCTCTAAGAAAAAGCTTGATTTAATCTCACTGAGAGCTTATAAATTATATCTTTATTATACAATTAATTAATTACGGAAATAATTGAATA